TAGATATGAGAAACTAATCATTTGAGAATATCAGGATGAAGAATACTTCTTTGATTGGTGGTAACTTTGTTAGATGTAATATGAATGGATCAGAATTTGAGAATGTGGATATTAGCGGAGTCAATTTTAATGGAGCTTAAATGTTCAATTGTAAATGGAAGAACATAAAAGTCCATGATTTGAATAAACTGGATGGTCATAGTAGTTGTGTGAATTCAGTATGTTTCTCTCGTGATGGAAATACATTAGCTTCTGGTAGTGAAGATAACTCTATCCGTCTATGGGATGTCAAAACAGGATAATAAAAAGCCAAATTAGATGGTCATAGTGATTATGTTATATCAGTCTGTTTCTCTTCTGATGGAAATACATTAGCTTCCGTTAGTATTGATTAGTCTATCCGTCTATGGGATGCCAAAACAGGATAATAAAAAGCAAAATTGAATTGTCTTATAAATAAAAGTTATCCAGTAAATTGATGGAAAAAGAAAAGTTGCTTTTATACATACATTTGAAATAGGGAATTGGGCTTGGATTAGCTACTTGTTTTGAGACAGAATTATTCTGAAGTTTTGGAATTATTTGAGGATAAAATAACAATAATTTTAATAAGGAAAATTAAATTGAATATTATACAAATTGAAGTTACTAAAACACTATATCATGTAAGTAAAACTGAATTTCTTTTTATAGACTTTAATATTATTTATAAAAATTAAATATAAAAGATGTAAAAAAATATTAATATATTTTATTTTTTGTTGAATCAGAATTTTATAACTTTTATATAAATACATATACCAATATCATTGATTTCCCATTTATTTCCATATTCAATTTGTTCAATTAATATCTTATTCAATTAATTGATTTTTTCTAAATTAATGAACAATTGTTAAGGAAACATTAACTAATAAATAAGTTCAGATCAGATCAGAATTTTTTAATTTTATATAAGAAGAATAATGTAAAGATAAATGATTTAAAACATTAGGTCATTATTAAATAAATATCATTTCTGTTGTAATTCTGGTTAGCTTTGCAAAATGCAACATCCTTTAGATTAAAATAACTAAAGTAAATCTAGCCCTTAATAATTTACAAATTCTCCATTATGTATTTTTGTTCCTTACATTTGAAGAAGTGGCTATTGTGATATAAGTAGTATAGTTATCTAAGAATTAACTAAATTTGACTAAATACTACCACAATCCTCTTAAAAATCGAATGATCGGTTTTATAATAGCGGGGATTAATACTAATTGAGAATGTCCTTAACATCCCATAAGCTGATAGAATTATCACTACTGCCAGATGCTAATGTAGTTCCATCTGGAGAAAAGCATATTGATAGAACCCAATTATTTTGGCCATCTAGTTGGGCTTGTTATTTTCCTGTCTTAACATCCCATAAACGGATTGAGCCATCCTCACCACCAGATGCTAAAGTAGTACCATTATGAGAGAAACAGACAGATAGGATTCCGCTCGTATGACCATCCAACTGGGCCTTTTATTACCCTGTCTCAACATTCCATAAAATGATAGACTTATCACTACTCGCAGATGCTAATGTAGTACCATCAGGAGAGAAGCAAACTGAATTCACAAAATTCAAATGACCATCTAATTTGATTTTTTATTATCTACTTTTAATATCCCATAGACGGATAGACTTATCTTTACTTCCAGATGCTAATAATATAGAATCTGGAGAGAAGCATATTGACATTACATTACTAGTATGACCATAGAGTTTGGCTAATTATTAACCTGTCTTCATATCCCAGCAGCGGATAGAATTATCAAAACCTCCTGATACTAAAATACTGCCGTCAAAAGAGATCCCTACTGTACTAACTAAATTTTAGTGACTTTAAAATTTCAACTTTTATTTTCCTGTCTTTACATCCCATAAACGTATAGAGTTATCATAACTACCAGATGCTAATGTTGTACCATCGGGGGAGAAACAGAGTGAAGAGACAGTATTACTGTGACCATCCAATTTGGCTGTTTATTATTTTGTCTTGACTTACCATAATCTGATAGACTTGTCCCATCCACAAGATGCTAATGCAGTACCATCAGGGGAGTAGCACAACGATTGGACATAATTAGAGTGACCATACAATTTTACTTTTTATGGTTTTATTTAAAGATCCCATAAACGAATAGAGTTATCATCACTACCGGATGCTAATGTTGCACCATCAGGAGAGAAGCAAACTGAATTTACAAAATTCGAATGACCATATAATTTGGCTTTTTTTTTACCTGTTCGACTATCCAATAAATGGATATAGTTATCCTAAGCACCAATTGCTAATGTATTACCATCAGGAGAAAAGCATACTGATAAGACATATCTAGTATGATCAAAATGGGCTCGTTATTATCCTGTTTTAATATCCCACAACAAGACATCACCCCTACCCCCTGATGCTACAGTATTTCCATCAGGAGAGAAGCATACTGATGATACCCAATCATCATGACCTTTTAATTAGGCCAATTATTATCCTGTCCGTACATCCCATATATAGGTTAACCTATCACCATTGCCACATGCTAATTTCTTACCATCAGGAGAAAAAATTACTGAATAAACACATCCATAATAACCATCTAATTTACACTTTAATTATCCTGTCTTAACATTCCACAAACGGATGGAGCAATCTTAACTTCCAGATGCTAATGTAGTACCATCAGGAGAAAAACAAACTGATAAGATTCCACTTGAATGTCCGTGTAATTGAGCCTTTTCTTTTCTTGTCTTAACATCCCATAACCTGATAGAGTTATCCAAACTCCCAGATGCTAATATATTACTATCAGGAGAAAATTTAACTGAACGTACTCCATTGACATGACCATCTAACTTGGCTTTTTATTTTCCTGTCTTTACATCCCATAAACGTATAGAGTTATCATAACTACCAGATGCTAATGTTGTACCATCGGGGGAGAAACAGAGTGAAGAGACAGTATTACTGTGACCATCCAATTTGGCTGTTTATTATTTTGTCTTGACTTACCATAATCTGATAGACTTGTCCCATCCACAAGATGCTAATGCAGTACCATCAGGGGAGTAGCACAACGATTGGACATAATTAGAGTGACCATACAATTTTACTTTTTATGGTTTTATTTAAAGATCCCATAAACGAATAGAGTTATCATCACTACCGGATGCTAATGTTGCACCATCAGGAGAGAAGCAAACTGAATTTACAAAATTCGAATGACCATATAATTTGGCTTTTTTTTTACCTGTTCGACTATCCAATAAATGGATATAATTATCCTAAGCACCAATTGCTAATGTATTACCATTAGGAGAAAAGCAAACTGATAAGACGTATCTTCTATGAGAAAAATAGGCTTGTTATTATCCTGTTTTAATATCCCACAACAAGACAGCACACCTACCCCCTGATGCTACAGTATTTCCATCAGGAGAGAAGCATACTGATGATACCCAATCATCATGACCGTTTAATTAGGCCAATTATTGTCCTGTCCGTACATCCCATATAAAGGTTAACCTATCACTATTGCCACTTGCTAATTTCTTACCATCAGGAGAAAAACTTATTGAATAAGCACATCCATAATAACCATTTAATTTACACTTTTATTATCCTGTCTTAACATTCCACATACGGATAGAGCAATCTAAACTTCCAGATGCTAATGTAGTACCATCAGGAGAAAAACAAACTGATAAGATTCCACTTGAATGTCCGTGCAATTGAGCCTTTTCTTTTCTTGTCTTAACATCCCATAACCTGATAGAGTTATCCAAACTCCCAGATGCTAATATATTACTATCAGGAGAAAATTTAACTGAACGTACTCCATTGACATGACCATCTAACTTGGCTTTTTATTTTCCTGTCTTTACATCCCATAAACGTATAGAGTTATCATAACTACCAGATGCTAATGTTGCTCCATCAGAAGAGAAGCAAACTGACGAGACAAATAGACTGTGACCATCTACTTCATTCTATTTTTATCCTGTCTTCAGATCCCATATACGGATAGAATTATGTCCACCAGATGCTAATGTATATCCATCAGGAGAAAAGCATACTGAGTAGACTGACCAAGCATGACCAACAAATTTGCCCTTTTATTCACCTGTCTTGACATCCCATAAAAGGATAGATTTATCCTTACTGCCAGATGCTAATAGAGTTCCATCATGAGAGAAGCATACTGAGTAGACCTCATTATGGTGACCATAAAATATGGCCCATTCATTACTAGTCTTAACATTCCATAAGCTGATCGAGCCATCCTGACTACCAGATGCTAATGTATTTCCATCTGGAGAGAAGCAAACTGAATTGATATTTGAAGTACTAAAATAACCCAACTTTGCCTTTTACTATCCTGTCTTAACATTCCATAAACGGATATCTCCATTATGACTACAAAATGCTAAAATAGTTCCATCAGGAGAGAAGCATACTGATTTAATTTGATAACCTATATTTTGCAATTTGGCTATTTTTTTTCTTGTTTTTACATCCCATAGATGAATAGAGCTATCATAACTACCAGATGCTAATGTAGTTCCATCAGAAGAAAAGCAGACCGAGTAGACTGCCCAGGCATGGCCTAACAATTTAGCTTTTAATTGACTTGTCTTAACATCCCATATACAAATAGACTTATCTGCACTACCAGATGCTAATGTAGCCCCATCTGAAGAGAAGCAGACCGAGTAGACATACTTACTATGACCATACATCTAAGCCTTTTATTATCCTGTCCTAAAATCCCATAAGCAAATAGGCTAATCCCGACTTCCAGAAGCTAACATAGTTCCATCAGGAGAGAAACATACCGAGAGAACTGACCAAGTATGGCCGTCTAGTTTATTCAATTCATGTATTTTCAAATTTTTCCATTTACAATTAAATAACTCTGCTCCATTCAAATTCATACCACTTATGTCTACATTCTAAAATTCTGATCCACTTAAGTTGCAGTTAACAAAATTGGCTCCCACTAAGGAAGTATTTTTAATTCTAATGTTTTCAAAATTTTAGTTTCGATTGTCCACCTTCATCTTAACTAATAAATATAATGAATTTGACCCACATTATACCAACTTTTCATCAATGGATGTGAGGCGAACTAAAAATTACAGAAATTCAATGATCCTTCTATTATCCTTGATGTTATTAATAAGAGTTAGTGCTAATTCTTCATTTTCTTCAGAGGAAAAATCTTTTTTGTTGAAGTCATGATCTTTTAATTTTTTTAAGACATCTATGATTTATTTGATATCATTTCTAACAACAGGCAATTTTTATTCCTTATAACGTTGTTTTAAATTCTCAACCTGTTGTAAAATTTATGATTCTAAATGTCTCTGATTCATTGTGTCTGATAGATATCCAATACAATCTTAAACTTTTTCTTTTCGAAATATTTCTAATATAACCCCAAAGATTTATATATCTACATCTTTTACTTAATCAAAGATGTCAGCTAAAGCTTCCTTCTTTGAAAAAGAGCCCTGCATTTTTTTTTATTTTTAATATTGAATTTCTATTACTCTAACTTAAAGTTATACACTGCAAAATCAATAAAAGTATCTTGTGTATATCTGTAAAATAGGAGTTAGGACTTTGTGTAGATTTTGAATTGATTTTAATAGATGTAAATGATGCTATTGAGAATTCATTTCAACGTCTACATTACTTGATTTTTTAATAATATAGAATATGTTTAAGAAAATTTAATTAAAACTCAAAATCTATTATCTATCATTTATTTTTCTAGTTAAACCGTAATGAAGAGAACAAATAATTGTAATTTTTCAGTTAAATATTTAGAGATTGAAATATATTTTACCACTCCTTTTGATTATGATTATTAGTTGCCATAAAAAAATTGTTGCCCTTTTTTTTTTAAGAGTGAATTGAAACTTTAATATAAGGATTATTCAAGATTGTATATACCATCCAAACACGTATTAAAATACATTTTTGACTAATGTATATTTTTATTTTGAAATTAAAATATATATTTTGAGTTCAAAATAAAAATATACATTATTCAATAATGTATAATAATTTCTAAATCGATAGTATAAATGAGTAAAACTTTTTTTGACCCTCCAGATATTGGTTGTCACCACAAACACCACAACTAAAAAATATATCTATTTTAATCGTAATTTTATTAAAAAGGCATTATATCATTAAATCTAGACACAATATTCCATTTTCCAATTTTTTTATCATTTTTATACTCACCTCTAAATCAAACTTAAGAATGCTAAATCTATCGCTCATTTCATTCCATCTTTCTATTTTTCTACTATAGCTTAATCGTAAAGCCCTCCTCCACTAAACTTTTAAAAATAAATTAACTTAATTTGATTCCTAAAATAAATTTCCAATTCCTCTATCATGTTTGTAATGTCCTTTTTCTTTGCATTTTTGCACTAATTAGTATTTATTTAAATAGATGCTTCAAAAAATTGATAAATATATCAACTCCCTTTCTCTCCTTTAATCCTCCTACAAGCGCTCTAAATGATTCTTATGATAGTAATTAGGTTTAAGAAATCTCTTATCCACCATTTTAGAAATTCTTTCAATCATCATAAATGATTGCCTCATCTTAGAAAAATATAAGAGATTTCTTCTTAAACATCATTTAGATGATCAAGATACCCTTTTAAAATTTATTCAGATTCACATCAGATTATTATTGTATAAAATTAGTTGATTTGATTTTTGAAATAGTTTAAGAACAAATCTTCCTTTTAGAACACTTACTCCTTAAGGANTTATTTTTAATATTGAATTTCTATTACTCTAACTTAAAGTTATACACTGCAAAATCAATAAAAGTATCTTGTGTATATCTGTAAAATAGGAGTTAGGACTTTGTGTAGATTTTGAATTGATTTTAATAGATGTAAATGATGCTATTGAGAATTCATTTCAACGTCTACATTACTTGATTTTTTAATAATATAGAATATGTTTAAGAAAATTTAATTAAAACTCAAAATCTATTATCTATCATTTATTTTTCTAGTTAAACCGTAATGAAGAGAACAAATAATTGTAATTTTTCAGTTAAATATTTAGAGATTGAAATATATTTTACCACTCCTTTTGATTATGATTATTAGTTGCCATAAAAAAATTGTTGCCCTTTTTTTTTTAAGAGTGAATTGAAACTTTAATATAAGGATTATTCAAGATTGTATATACCATCCAAACACGTATTAAAATACATTTTTGACTAATGTATATTTTTATTTTGAAATTAAAATATATATTTTGAGTTCAAAATAAAAATATACATTATTCAATAATGTATAATAATTTCTAAATCGATAGTATAAATGAGTAAAACTTTTTTTGACCCTCCAGATATTGGTTGTCACCACAAACACCACAACTAAAAAATATATCTATTTTAATCGTAATTTTATTAAAAAGGCATTATATCATTAAATCTAGACACAATATTCCATTTTCCAATTTTTTTATCATTTTTATACTCACCTCTAAATCAAACTTAAGAATGCTAAATCTATCGCTCATTTCATTCCATCTTTCTATTTTTCTACTATAGCTTAATCGTAAAGCCCTCCTCCACTAAACTTTTAAAAATAAATTAACTTAATTTGATTCCTAAAATAAATTTCCAATTCCTCTATCATGTTTGTAATGTCCTTTTTCTTTGCATTTTTGCACTAATTAGTATTTATTTAAATAGATGCTTCAAAAAATTGATAAATATATCAACTCCCTTTCTCTCCTTTAATCCTCCTACAAGCGCTCTAAATGATTCTTATGATAGTAATTAGGTTTAAGAAATCTCTTATCCACCATTTTAGAAATTCTTTCAATCATCATAAATGATTGCCTCATCTTAGAAAAATATAAGAGATTTCTTCTTAAACATCATTTAGATGATCAAGATACCCTTTTAAAATTTATTCAGATTCACATCAGATTATTATTGTATAAAATTAGTTGATTTGATTTTTGAAATAGTTTAAGAACAAATCTTCCTTTTAGAACACTTACTCCTTAAGGATTTTGAATTATTGATTAAATTCAGTGCATACCATTGTTGGAAATTATTTATTTGATTTCGCTCTTAACACACATAAGCTGAGAAATTTCAATTGTTCTTACAAAAGTAGTTAATTTAATTCATGTATAAAATTGCTTTAAAATTTATATATCACAAGATGAAAGGAACAGATGATTTCACAATATATATAATGATCTTCTAGGTTATTCATGCAAGTCATTTGTCCTTAAGAACAAAGAAAAATTTTAAAGATTGGAATATATAAACACGTCAGATCTGATTTTATAGATTTTAAAGATATCTTAATTATCTGTTCTTTTTGTTCAGAAAATAATAATTAAAAAATAATTAGTTCTTTTAGATTTAAAGTGTTATCGAATAAATCAGATTAAGCATTTTTCATTTATTCTGAACAAAAAAACAAAAATAGTATAAAAGAGAAGACTTTTCTAGTTTGAGCTGGGATACAAGAATTTAAAGTGATATCAGTTCATCCAATAATGATGAATGAAAACAAAATTCATAGAGATTCATTTTTCTCAATCCAAAGTTTACAATTCATGGAAATTATTGGCCTTAATAGGATAAATATTATGAAATCGATGAGTTTTTAGACTACCAAATGGAAACATCAAAGTCCTTTGAGATTTAAGAAAATTGTTACTTGATAGTTCACTAGCATTGAGTAAAGATTAGATTGCCAGCTCTAAAGATTGATCTGATAGATTTAATCATTTAATACTTATTCTAATTTTTAGCATCTTCATTACCAAAAGCAGGAATGGTCTGAGCAAAAGCTCATCTTTTTTTTGCTAACCTTTATTCTTGTCCTTAAATTATGATCTTAAAAGCAACTAATCATTTATACCGTTTGCAAAAGGCCTTAAGAAGTTTTTGTTCGTGATCTTATGATAGTCAATTTATTTTGAGAATAATCTAAAAAAGTTAAATTCCAAATGGTAAATAAGAGAGATATTGGATCAAAATATAATCTTGAAAATTTAAGGTGCTTACTTTCTTAATCACTGTTGCTTCTGCTTTTTTTTATTTATCTTATTTTTGATTCTCTTTTTCAATATTCTCATATGAAAAGTAAAACTCATCCTATTCCAAATCCAATCTACTATCTATTAGTAAAAAAATTAAGTAAATAAATTATTTCAATATTTAGAACGAAAAGTAGTTAATTCGAAGTGAAAACTAGAACCTAGCGAACAATTATAATTGTTCTATATTTATAGTAATAATGCTGAAAATAACCTTCTGACATTTTCTTTTGAACTCCTAATTGATATTTCAAATGCTCTATCTATTACCATATGGCATTATTGTTATTTTTAAATGGTGTTAGATACTTTTAACACAAAATTTGCCTAATCTTAAACAGCGTTAAGATCTAAATTTTCAATTTAAGAACTCAACAATGTACTTTTTATTTTTTTACCTGTGAAAAGAATCTTGGAAACAAAATCGATTAATATACTAATTAATATAAAAAGCTATCATTTTGAATAGCTATCATAATGAAATTAAAATGAAAGGAAGATTTGATTCCTACTTCAGTTTCTAAATACAATTAACACCAAAAGATATTGAAAGTAAACTCATTAGTTAGAGGTATACGAGTATATTTCTAAAATTTATTTCTTAGGCTTTTAGAGCCTTGATTTTAGATAGGAAAAAAAAATATCACGATCTTAAATCTATTTTCAATATTTAATAATAGCTATCAACAAAACTATTTAACTTATAACTTAATTTTATTGAGTATTCATATTATTATTGTTATTACTACAAATTAAACAGTACAGTCTTGTTCATGTATCATGTCATAAGAACATATTAATATTTTAATAGAATTTAATGATACAATATCAATACAGTAATTCAACTATTAAAGCTAACCTTAGGATTTTTTTGAACTTACAATGCCAATTTAAATACTGAGCAGTGCTTTATTAAAAGAAACTCTGTTTGTTATAACCATTGATGGAAATCTGACTGCATATTTTTTCAATCATGGCAAATTAGCCTATTTACTATATCTAATTATACATTTAAATATATATACACTAATTTAATAAATTATCTAAACTTCTTAGTTATTGATAATCAAGTTAATTTAATTATCTTATCGTATAATGGAATATTAATCTTTTGAAATTTTAAATAACATTCATATCCAATTGTTAATTACAATTAAATCTAGATAGGTGTATTACAAAAATGGAATTTATATGGCGTTTGTTCAATAAAATAACAACTAATTATATTTCTATCCAATATAAAATGTTTATATTTCAAACTCATTATAAATTTATTATTAAGTAGATTTATTAGGATACTAATTTTAAACAGGATAAATTATCAGTTCATACACAGTTGCAGAGATTTGCTTAAGAATTGATAACTATAAATAATTATATTTTGCAAGTAATATTATATTTCATCATTAAATCTGTACGCCAAAACACATTTATTTAATCTTGCAAGACTAGTATGGGATATTTTGTGCCTATTTTTCTGGTAGTGATTCCCCATTTAATTCATTCGTTTATTCAAATGCCTTATTCGCTAATTCATAGAATGTACTTATAATAATATTAATGAGTGTTGTTTAAAAGTAAAAATAAAATATAGAATTGGTCTAAATATTTATCAATTAATCATTAGCAGTCAATGGTTCAGTTCTCTATGGGGAATTTCAAATAATGCCTTATTTTTTAGAAACCAATTATTCTTATATGACTACAGTTAGTTACTTGGAGTATGATTAAAATTGTTGACTTTAGTTACAAAAAAAAGTCAACATATTATTTCAAAGATAATTAATTACTCAAAAATAATTCAACTTAGAATCTTAAGAATTAATAATTTAAAATAATACAAAATTAATCATAAATCCATCCAATTTATTTAATGGAAACATTAAGAATTATTCAATAAATTATAGAGCATGCAAATCATTTAATTTTACTTAACCTATAAATGGATTAACTTCTTAAACCTTGAACTTTTCTTTTTAGGCCGCAATCAAAAATAACAACATGATCTTTATTTAAAACAATATCAGTTTATACTAGCTAAATGAATAAACTGGATTTTATAGTTGAATATATAACTTTCCTTATTAAAATACTTACTGTTTTGTGATATTTATAGATAAATTTACATAGTTTCCTGTTTCGATATGTGCTAATAAAACAACTACTATATATGCTTATAATCTTACAGGAAAAATCGGAATTTAATATAACTTTTCAGAGTATTCAAACTTTTATAAAGCAAATTATAATAATGGTATACTCTAAGTATTAACAATAAATTATAAACGATTAATGTAATAATATTCTTATTAATCATTTTATTTTTGGATATTTGACAATAAAATTTATTTGGATTAAATATTTAATTCAAGTAACCTTTGCAATAATTCATATTTGGAATTTGTTTATCTCAGCATGTCTACAAATTACACAACTTAACCTTGTTAAATATTTGGATTTACATCCTTATAAAACAATGGTATATATAACCCCATATTTTAATACAGGTATTTCTACATAAATTAGTAAATAATTTGGTTTTTAATCCAACTAATATGCTTAAATTTTAACATCTTTTTTTCAATTAAAACCTGAAATTTACATCAAACTTTACACCTATACTTCAAATTTTTATCTGATATACAATAGTATTAAAAAATTCAAAACTTATAGCCAAAGATTTTGTAGTTGAATCACAGTTTATTATCTCATTAAGCTATAGTATTGAGATTTAGGCAATCTTATTTAATCTTAATAACGGAACTATTATAGGGTTCCATAAATATACAAGTTTATTCCTAACTTATAATTCTAATGTTAGTGGATATTTTGTATTTTAAGGATTTAATGGTGTGATAATTAATTAAAACTATGTTAACTTCACATTTATAACCACTAATAAGGTTAAGAATTTTATACACTCTAAATACCAGGTTTCTTATTATTTTCAATAGTAACAGAAAATTATTTATTTTTCACTAATAATTATTTCAATTAGACAATTGTGTATCCTCTCTAAAATTGGCTTGAAATTGATGTTGATATTATAGAAGTTTAACAATCATAAATTGATATAATTGCTTAAAATTAATAGAGTTCAGCCAAATAAACATATTTTTATTTAATGAAGCCTACTAGTCTATTCCGTAAGAAAAAGAAAAATAAAATGTAGGCTTGATAGTTGTACTCTCCATTTTTCTGTTAATTGTAATAACTTTAATAACTACAATGATGTTAAAGTATTTTAAATCTAAATAGACAATAACCAGAAATTCAAATTATTTTGAATTGGAAAATAGAAATGAGAATATCTACTCATAAATTATCGTGATAATATCATTAAAACATTTACATATTATTATTTGTTTAATTCATATCATATATAAGTTTAATGAGCATAAAACAAATATATATATTCAAATTTGAACAAAACTTTCTTAATCCAAAAAAAATGAAACTATTTTATTTATTTATTTATGATAATAAATGTTTCTTTATTATATCACTCCTTATCAATACAATGGGTTTTATTTATTGAAAATGAATCTTTTTGTTAAAAATCAAAAAAGTGATCAATTAAAGTATCAGAAAAGCTTTTGGAAATAAAATTTGCAAAAGACTTACTCTGTTTATAATTTCAACATATAACTGACAAGCATCTTAAATTGGGTATTCACCACATCTAAATCAGTGACTATTTACTTAGATCCTATCATAGAGCGGTAACTCTAGATTCTCTCCACTCAATTTTAAACCAAACAATTTTCCATGTTCTAAATAAAAATTTCTATTTAAATCGTCTTACTATCCATTAAATAATGAATTAAATTTAGTTCTGAGTATATTTGGGCTTATCTTTCTTCAGAACCTGACCCTTTACCAAAGTTTAAATATTCATTTAACTGACCTAATTAATAACCTTACTAACACTCATCTCTAAGACATTTACAAAAATTATTATTAAATTAATGATTTTTGTTTAACTTATATCTTATTTTAGAATTTAGTTCTAGCCGTTTTTTTTAGATATTTCTAACTAATCAATTTTTTGAAGTGCATATAGGGTTATTACAAAAGCTATTCGATAATAATAAGGATAAATATACTAAACTTATCAGTAGTATTTAGAAATCCTTTCTATAAATCTTTCTAAGCAATGACAATGTTCTTTATTTAATATGTAATCTTAACTCCATATGATGAATGGATTCCTATTTAATTAACAGAATAGCATAATAGTGACTAAAAATGGAAGGAATCCATTTCTAGGAACATATGTGATTCTACCTTATTTCTACAAAAATGATATAAAATAAGAAAAAATAGTCTTATATGAGGGCTGGCAATTTGAAACAATACTGTTTAGGTTTAATCATACTAATTTTTTCAGGTCGAACCTAGTGCTACCTAAATTATTCATGTAAATTCTTTTTATTTGTAGTTGAAGTCTAGAGAACAATAAATAGCGGCTCTGAGTTAATATTTGGATTCCTATTTCTGAAGAGTTAATCTAAATACCATTAGCATTAAAAGGTAAGACAGATTAAGAAAAATTCTGCTAATGTCTATGATTATCCNTGTTTCTTTATTATATCACTCCTTATCAATACAATGGGTTTTATTTATTGAAAATGAATCTTTTTGTTAAAAATCAAAAAAGTGATCAATTAAAGTATCAGAAAAGCTTTTGGAAATAAAATTTGCAAAAGACTTACTCTGTTTATAATTTCAACATATAACTGACAAGCATCTTAAATTGGGTATTCACCACATCTAAATCAGTGACTATTTACTTAGATCCTATCATAGAGCGGTAACTCTAGATTCTCTCCACTCAATTTTAAACCAAACAATTTTCCATGTTCTAAATAAAAATTTCTATTTAAATCGTCTTACTATCCATTAAATAATGAATTAAATTTAGTTCTGAGTATATTTGGGCTTATCTTTCTTCAGAACCTGACCCTTTACCAAAGTTTAAATATTCATTTAACTGACCTAATTAATAACCTTACTAACACTCATCTCTAAGACATTTACAAAAATTATTATTAAATTAATGATTTTTGTTTAACTTATATCTTATTTTAGAATTTAGTTCTAGCCGTTTTTTTTAGATATTTCTAACTAATCAATTTTTTGAAGTGCATATAGGGTTATTACAAAAGCTATTCGATAATAATAAGGATAAATATACTAAACTTATCAGTAGTATTTAGAAATCCTTTCTATAAATCTTTCTAAGCAATGACAATGTTCTTTATTTAATATGTAATCTTAACTCCATATGATGAATGGATTCCTATTTAATTAACAGAATAGCATAATAGTGACTAAAAATGGAAGGAATCCATTTCTAGGAACATATGTGATTCTACCTTATTTCTACAAAAATGATATAAAATAAGAAAAAATAGTCTTATATGAGGGCTGGCAATTTGAAACAATACTGTTTAGGTTTAATCATACTAATTTTTTCAGGTCGAACCTAGTGCTACCTAAATTATTCATGTAAATTCTTTTTATTTGTAGTTGAAGTCTAGAGAACAATAAATAGCGGCTCTGAGTTAATATTTGGATTCCTATTTCTGAAGAGTTAATCTAAATACCATTAGCATTAAAAGGTAAGACAGATTAAGAAAAATTCTGCTAATGTCTATGATTATCCTTACTAAATTTAGAAAGGGAATTATTGATCCCTTTATCCTTCTCCTACTCTTAAATATCAAGAACTTTTCTAAATTCATAAAGATCAATTAGTCTCAAGTCATCAATTAGTTGAAGATTTGTAGACAAAATTTATTTCCTTAGGATCTATTCCTCCAATGATCCAGGGGATTTAGATCTCATTTAATAAGCTAATTTTGTTGAATTTAGTCTATTATTCTTCTTTAAACTTACAATAATTTTTTTCAAAAAATTTTTGCACTTTCGAAATAGAAAAAAAAATTATTTTAATAATCGTAGATGAGTTATTATAATATTTCTTTAATTAAAAGAGGACTCCTGTTGATATAATCATTAAGTATTTTTCCGAAATTCTGTTACAAATTATTTGTTTTCTTAAATTCTTGTGAGTTCGAAGAAAATTAATTAGATCATCATAAATTTTTTGATTACTTTCATTTCTCGGATGCTTAGGTGATAACTGAATCATTTATTTTTTCATAAAAGGGATAATTATATCATATAAAATGAATTGAATAATCTAAGAATTGATATAAGAGACTTGGAAAAATGACTCTTCTAAATTATATGGAACCAAATTCTTATTATCTTGATTAGAGAATATTTATTGGAATCAATCATAAAAATGTTATAATTTATATTTATGAGTTAGTCTTGAAAAAAACAATATCGTTAACACAAAAGGGGAAATTTAAGAGGATAGATTATGTTAACTATTCAAGGGAAGATTTGTTTTTAGAAATTTTAAATGGTCCATTTATATAAAATTTATTTATGTTAAAAATTATAATTATTTTTGTTAGAAATTTAAACTATGTATTTTTTTGAAGAATGGTCTCTTCCTAACTCATTTATTATTATGCATAATTCTAATTCTCATCATCTTCAAATTATTTGGTCAACTAATCTCTCCAGTTTACTTGAATAAGGAGATAAAATTTAGGTCCGTCTTAGTAATCCTCCATCAGAAAGAATAATCACTGACTCTTTCAAATAACTAGAATAATATTATTCTTCCATCTCCATAGGTGAACTGAACCAATAACTATAATATTATCAGAGACTCTAATTAGTAAGAACAAAAGACAAATTAGAAAGTGCTTCATAAATATCAACAGAATCATGTCATCTTCCTTTAGGAAAACTAATCCCTGTTGTAAATTCTGTAAATGGTTATCATCTTCAACACCCTTGATTAATTAATATTTATTAAATATGATTCTGTTAATTTTTACCTCAGTAGTATATAATTTTCTTAGACAGATTATTAAAATTTTAGGAGGGATTTATACTATTTTAATTTTGTTTAAAATTAGGATTTGGATTTTTTAATTTGCTTAATCATTTGTGAAGATACCAAGGACCTTTTAAAAGTAGTGATTTTTCTAGAAGATTTCTTGCTATTTAATATTGATATCATGATTAACTATTATGGGTTTATTCCCAAAAATTCTCTTCCCCTTTGGGATGTAGCAATTACGACTCCTTTCTCTGCCAGTATATATTAAACCATTATTCAACAAGGGTCTTTAGCTTGATGCTAAATTCAGCTAGAAACAAGGTTCGACCTTAATTTCTGATTCGACTTTAGAGTTCAAAATTTGTAAGCTCTTGTTCCCTTATTTAGTTAATAATCGGAGTAAAATCAATTAATTATCAGCTCAATAAGCAATTTTAAACCTTGAGAAGGATTAGACCCTTAAATATGTCCTTTACTTCAATTAGAAGATTAAGCCTAAATAATTTTTTTTATCAAAAATTTTCTGTAAGATATGTTATAAATATAGAACATTAAACAAACAATAAAAATAACCTTTATAAAAGATTAGATTAAATTTTTAGTCTTTTTATTTTATTTATTAGATTAAGATTTTCTCAATATCACAATTTAGAAGAACGCACATTTTTTCAGTATTATCTGGATTTTATCTTTGACAAATTGTTACACCTTTACCAAAAATCTTCCTATATCTATAATTTATTTGGAATAAATCATCTAAACTCTGAAACTTAATTACAAGAATCATAATTCTAATTAAAAAGTGATGCCATACTGATTACATTTAAAAAAATGAATGATATAAAAATTGTATACCAATATAGATCATATAATGCCAATTAATTAAATTAACTAATCTAATCATAATATGGTATGATTTTAATAAACCAAAATAAAAATTTATTATTATTCTTTTTGACTGATAAATCTTTGAGTTCTTATATAAATTTAATAGATTTAAAATTACAAAATATCTTTTTAACAAAAATTTAGATGAAAATACAATAATTTCTCTCATTATTATTTTATATTTAAATAATTAACTTACGATTTCATCTGCATTACAAATTCATATTAGTTGGCTGGCATAATGATGGGGGGTATGTTATGGAAAATGAATTAGAAGGAGCTCAATGAAAAAACATAGATGAATTATATTTATGACTAAGTTGATGGAAAATATCGGATGAAGCTTAGTTGTAAAGGGATTTGAATTTACGAGGAGATTAATAGAAAAATGATGAATTTTGAAGATTAATTTCTGGTAACAAAATCAAAAAGCGAAAGCGGAGGGACTGGGTCTGGATTTTTTCTTTATTAATGAGCAATTTAATATGGGAGTATGAAAATAAAGGAAAAAGAATATTATTAAACTAATAATGTTTTTGAAATTGATAATAATATGTTTGAATTGATATAACAATGGAATATTTTGATAATATCATTATCTTTGAAAATTAGTCAATCTAAAATTTGATTGATTTACAATTAGATTAAGTTTATGTAAATTATTCGAATTTAGTAATTTGCTTGAATAACAAATTAGTTCATACACTTGAGTAAAGAGATTTAACAACAATAAATATTCCAATTTTTTTTAAATAAGTGTCCATATCATGATTTGCATATTTCATTTCTTCATATGGGAAAATGAGTTTAAAAATGAATGCCCTAGAAAAAAATAAAATCAAACAGAATTTATAAAATATCTCACAAAAACTAGATTAAACTTTATGATATTTCAACAAATTTATTATTTAGATATAAGGAAGAGAACAATGTTTATGGCAAAGATAAATTAAATTTTTTGACGCTTTAATTTAGAACATATCTTTATATAAAGCCCCAAAATTTTTCAATTCACTTCATTTAAATTCTAAATATTACCCGAGCTGGTTGAAATGAAATAATCTGGAATATTCTTCTCAAATGATGCTTCAATTATTAGTAGATTTAAGTTTGAGAAAAAAAGTTCGATTTAAATTAATTTTCTCAAGGAAGATAGACATTGGATGAAATAATCGAAATAAAAATCAGAGTAATCTTAATTATGAATGATGAGTTATACTATATCTTAACAATATGCTCTTGCTCTTCTATGAATTGAAAATAACAACTTAGTCTAAAATTTAGATCCAAGACTAAAAAGTTTATCTTTCAATTATTAATTAATAGATTTTATATATCTTTTCTATTATTTATAGATATTCAAAAATCATATCAAACGATAAATTTAATAATAATATTAATAGAGATTGTGCATGATTATCAAGGAAAGTAATCATAAAGATCTAAATTAGAAATTTTTAACCATAAAGGAAATATAGAAAGTAATTTTTATAATTTATAATAGATTAAAAGATAGCTTAAGATTTCTTCAGTAAATTAGATTGTTTTATGAACATAATTTTAGAAAACATTTAATCCAAAATTTTAAAAGAATTTTACTTTCAATACAAAATATTGGGCCTAAAGAAAATAATAATTTATAAATTTTGTTTGTGATTGGGATATGCTTGATAAATTACATGTCTGTTAATTGATTCTGATTAAATTCAGGATTATGATAAATAAGTATGAAGAAACTTTAAAACTGCAATTACATAAAATAATAAAATGATATTATTTCTAAATATCATTATTGATTATTATTAATGTTTTCTAAAATTCATAATTTAAGCTGAAAACTAACTTTATTTCTATATGTTTGAGCTACAAAATCGTGCGTAAATATAGATCTTTTTATATCATCCTAAGTTAATATTGTTTTATTGACTTCTTTCTCAATTCCTCTAATAACATCAAAAATCATCCATTTGTATCTCTTTTCTAATTAAGGCCTCATCATATTCCAATCTTCAAAATCACTATTTTCTTCTTAAGGGGAATAAAATAGATAAGAAATATAATAAGATTTTTTTGGAGGATAATAATATTAGTATTTATTTGGTCTTTAAGTAAATTCACTTTTTCTTATTAATTTTCCTTTTAAAATATCTATAAAAAGTAGAATATTCTTATCGTAATCGGATGCAATAACAAAAGCCTTATTAAGTATATACACTGGACGATAAGATTCATAGTTATAATTCCTAATGACTTTACAATTTTCTCCCATTCTAATAATAATAAATAAACCATAATCATCCAAAAGAAGCCCAATAGAATCATAAAGTAAATAAAACCGAATATTGTAATCAAGATATTTATTTAATATTGGACAGATCTGAAATTTCTAACATTTAGATTAATCAATTGTGTAATCTTCAAAATTGATTGGTTATTTAATTATTTCACCATCTGATTGTATATAAAAAAAACACTTAGATTTCTCATCATATTCTATCCGTAATAAATGTTAATCAAATTGAAAGATTGAAACATTTTAACAATCATTTTAAAGATCAAAAAATAAATATCTTGATCCTTTTTCATTTTTAGAAATATCTATAATAGCAACATTACCATCATTTGAAAATTATGGTTTTTGTTATCCTATAAAATAATTTATGTAAAATTATTTCCTAACCTCTTAATTCTTAATATCAATTACTATCATTCTATATGACTCTTTCTAATTTACCATTTTTATATCTACACATAAAAATATAAATTAATGATTTGGACTTATTACCATATATTATACAAAAAAAAATGAAGTTTCTCCTTGATGTTACTAAAAACTACTATCAAGGTCAGAAATATTATCTATCTCATAGTCTTCTACATCTAACTAAATTTATTCTCCTTGTTCATTTGAATAACAATAATTAATATTCAGATCAGCTGGACAAATAAAATCTTTGGAATCGCCATCTATCAAGTAATGATTTTCTATCAAGCAATCATCAACTTTGTATTCTAATTATTCGCCTTCTCGAAATTTGAATGTGAAATTGACAATCCCACAAATTTTTTTATATTCTCTTTCAGTCTCTATTTAAGACTTCAAATTATCCTCTTTTTATGATTTACTCATAAACAGAAATATTTCTTTAATTTAAATATTAGATATTTTATGAGTTTGTTCAAATATTATTTTTCATTAATATAATCTTGAAATCAAGTTTCATAATTACCTTTGTTATACTTAAAATCTAAAATAACTAATATTCTGAGAATCATTATTTTAGAATCAGAAATATGAATATTTCATAAATCCGAATAAATTTAAAGCTTTAAAGTACTGATTGTAATATAATATGTAATAATTCTCATATTTATGAAGAATGCATGTTTTATACAAATAAATTCATTTAAACAACTATTAAAGTTGAAAGAAATTAAGTAAATAATTATTAATATTCTTTTCCATTTAATCTTCCTCAAAATATTAATTCAAAATTGATTTATTAATTAAATTATTAATTTGTTTAAATAATTTTATATTAAATGATATTAGTGATTATTTATAGGTTTCATTGCCAAAAAAATAAAGGTCCTAAGTTGAATTAAATTTCTTCAATTATGTAGATCAAATAGAAATTAAGCAATAAAAAAGATTTAGTATTTAAATTAAGAATGAAATAGATTTCGAAAAGCTTAAAGGGCTTGAAATGCAATCTAAATATTTCAAGTCTAAGAATTTGAAGAAAAATAATTAAATTATTAAAATCTACCTTTTATTTCCCATTCAAATCCATTAATTATGTCAAAATTCGATTTGGACATATTTTTCATGTAAATAATTTAATTGCCTTTCAAAAAGCTAATTTTCTAAAATTGAATTTATAGGTGGGTTTAAATTGGTTTCAAAAAGATTTCTTATATGTTATCATTGTGCAAAAAAATAACGTTTTTTTGACTTGACTTTTTTATGCATTATTTAATTATTCTTACATCAATTAATTTATATTTGAAGATTAGATTAAATTATATTTTTTCAAAAGGGAAAGAGGTGATTCTACTTATTTTTTCATTTTGAATTAAAGAATTACTCTTATAATAATAAAAATTTTCAAGTCAGCTCATAAGTTGAATCTAAGGGAAAAATTGGCTTATTGAATAAAACGAATTGTTTTAAGGTTGAATAAAATATCTAAATAGATTAAAAAATATTGATAAAAGTTTTATTATTGTCTATGAATGATCACACTTCATATGTGACTTAAATCAGTTAAAACTTTATTAGTTTTAATTAATTATATTGTTTGTTTTAACATAAGGAGATTGAAATAAACATCATTATTTAAAAGGTGTTTCCATGAACAGTTTTCTAAAGAGACTCAGAATAATTCAATAATAGAAATACTCTCCTTATGATAAGTCATGATGGTTCCTATTATTTCATTTCTTTGGTGAAGTTGCTATCGATAAACTATTTTTTCAACTTTTCTTTTTCAAAAGAAACTCCCCAACATTTAAAGAGTTTAAATCAGATTAAGGCTACAGTATCATTTTGATGTTATAGTAGAATTCCTAGTTTATAGAAGTAAAACCAAAAATTTTATTTTAGACCATTTAATTGGTTAAAAAAGACTGTGTGTCTATTTTGAGAAACTTATTAGATACGAATCTTTGATAGTTAGTTTTATTTATCAAAATAGTAGTTTATTTGTAAAGTTTAGAAGTGAAAATGCTAGAATTAATAAATTTTTACTTTAGTTTAATACTTTTTAAGAGAAGCCTTTGAAATTTTGATTTTAAAATTTTAAAAAGTAAATTCGTTTAGTTATTTTTTTACAAACACAAAATTTATTCAATTAATTTTAATATTTGTTACAATCAAGAAAATTTAAGAATATTTAATGTTGATTTGGTCATGAATTCAAGTATAAAACAATATAAAAAATATTGTTTTTAAATAATAACACTATCTCAAAAAGAAATAATGTTTATTAGTTTTCTATCATAATTTTTGTAATTTTTATTAGTTTTACTTTGAAAATACTAATATTTATTAATCACTATATTTGAAAGATCAATTCTAAATATTTAAAAAATAATGATAATAATATTCATAATATTCAGTCGTTGTTGTTTTCTTTAATTTTGCTTAATCTCATATAGTTACTAGGTTATACTGATATATAAATCTTAGAGTCCATTTAGGTACTACATGTATATTGGGCTATATAATAAACTATTTTTTACTTAAAGATAGAATTATTTTTGTTTTTATCAATTCCATATGCTATCCTATGCAATTCTTTGGACCTGCTGAAAAAGGAATGTATATGAAGTTGTCATTATTTACGATTGGCTCAGGGGTTAGCCATCTTTTATTATCAAAATCTTCAAAGGATTTAAAATGTTATTTAGAAACTGATTGCAACAATGTGAATATCATCCCATATGTGTTCCTCAGTGAATGTATTAAAATTTCTTCTCTAATTTTCTATTGGGCTTCTGTATGCTATGCAAAAAAGTAAAGGCAATGATTACATAAAACTTATGTAGTGATTGTAAAGATAAATTGTATCATAAATAATTATGCCTGCAAATAAATACCGGTGTAAAATATTATCATATCTCATCAATAGCTTGGCATTCTAATTTAGAATGATAATTGTTGATGTAATCTTAAAGGAGAATATGTTCAAATAAGTTTGACTTTGAAATTTTCTAGCTTAATTGTGTATACTATTAACATATTTTTAATGAATTTTGTAATTTTTATTTTTGGTCAATCTTTTACTAAATTTAATTTTCAATTTCAGTTGGGAAAAGATTAAAGTCTAAATATAATTTTAATTAAATATTAACTGATACCTAAATTGAGTCTTTTGACATAAACATATTAAGATTTTAATCTTACATCTCCCGTATTATTAAGTAATTCTGCTATCACTACATTAATATCTTTTTTAAATATTGTTATTTTCTTAGCAGTACCTCCAAAAAGCTTTTTATTACTATTAATCCTGTTATATGCTCTAGGGTAATATAAGAGAGATAAATANAAATTTAAGAATATTTAATGTTGATTTGGTCATGAATTCAAGTATAAAACAATATAAAAAATATTGTTTTTAAATAATAACACTATCTCAAAAAGAAATAATGTTTATTAGTTTTCTATCATAATTTTTGTAATTTTTATTAGTTTTACTTTGAAAATACTAATATTTATTAATCACTATATTTGAAAGATCAATTCTAAATATTTAAAAAATAATGATAATAATATTCATAATATTCAGTCGTTGTTGTTTTCTTTAATTTTGCTTAATCTCATATAGTTACTAGGTTATACTGATATATAAATCTTAGAGTCCATTTAGGTACTACATGTATATTGGGCTATATAATAAACTATTTTTTACTTAAAGATAGAATTATTTTTGTTTTTATCAATTCCATATGCTATCCTATGCAATTCTTTGGACCTGCTGAAAAAGGAATGTATATGAAGTTGTCATTATTTACGATTGGCTCAGGGGTTAGCCATCTTTTATTATCAAAATCTTCAAAGGATTTAAAATGTTATTTAGAAACTGATTGCAACAATGTGAATATCATCCCATATGTGTTCCTCAGTGAATGTATTAAAATTTCTTCTCTAATTTTCTATTGGGCTTCTGTATGCTATGCAAAAAAGTAAAGGCAATGATTACATAAAACTTATGTAGTGATTGTAAAGATAAATTGTATCATAAATAATTATGCCTGCAAATAAATACCGGTGTAAAATATTATCATATCTCATCAATAGCTTGGCATTCTAATTTAGAATGATAATTGTTGATGTAATCTTAAAGGAGAATATGTTCAAATAAGTTTGACTTTGAAATTTTCTAGCTTAATTGTGTATACTATTAACATATTTTTAATGAATTTTGTAATTTTTATTTTTGGTCAATCTTTTACTAAATTTAATTTTCAATTTCAGTTGGGAAAAGATTAAAGTCTAAATATAATTTTAATTAAATATTAACTGATACCTAAATTGAGTCTTTTGACATAAACATATTAAGATTTTAATCTTACATCTCCCGTATTATTAAGTAATTCTGCTATCACTACATTAATATCTTTTTTAAATATTGTTATTTTCTTAGCAGTACCTCCAAAAAGCTTTTTATTACTATTAATCCTGTTATATGCTCTAGGGTAATATAAGAGAGATAAATATACAACATTGGATAGTAAAAAAAATCAAAAAGGGGGTGATTATTGCATGAGTTTGCTTTAAATTCATTTTATAGAATAAAACGATATTCTATAGTTTCTAACCATATATTGTAATATACTTTTTACTCTGCAATTATATTTAATGAAAAATATTTTTGCAACTACTCTGGTAATCATTATAATAATTATTTTATGTCTCTACTAAGTAAATTTAGATTCTCTGAAACATAGGAAAACACTATATTGTAGATGAGAAAACATAGTGTCATTGAAGCAGAATTTGCCATTAAAAAAGGAATAAATGTAACATTATCAGCACAGAATCTCATGGATTGTAGGTTTGGTGGAGTAGGAGGAGGAGCATGCGATGATTCATGGGAATTTCATGAAACTACAAGTGCATATATGTATGCGAGAGATTAAGGGATTTTAACTGAGTCTGAATATCCATATACTGGCAGATCCGATAGCTGATGTAAATACTCAGGATTTGCACTATGGAGTGTTTTATCGTACATGAAGCATGACGGTGTAAATTTGAGTTTTTACTATTCATTACGAGAACATTCTTTATAAGTAATAGTTGATGCTAGTAGCTGGTAATTCTATAGTTCTGGAGTATTATCTGTTTGTAGTTCTATATATAAAAAAGCAAATTACTTTTCATTAGGTTATTGGTTAAGATGGATTTGATAATTGGAGAGTTCAAGCATCTTTTGGAATATCTTGGGGAGAATTTGGAACTAGTAGAATAGCATCAGGAAATACTTGTGGTCTACAATTTTTTTTGTGAGATTGTGGTGATTCCTAATCATAAAATATTTACACGCATAATCAAAATTGCAAATTATATGTTATTGAAAAGGAATTTCTATTTTTTTTTAAAATACCATAATCATTAAATCAATTCTAAAACTATATTGAGAGAAAAAAAGAAGTTTTGTTTTATATAAAATTCAATATTATTTAAATTTCAATTTTAAAACTAAAAATAATTTAATTTTTATAATTATAAAGGTGATCATTATAATAATAGCACTCAAAAGATAATTAATTAAAAATTTATTGATTGTTAAAAATATCTATTTAAGGTATTCTACATACTGCTTGAGTTAAGCTTACCCAAAAGTTTCCTTTTTTACTTAAGTAAAATCATTTTTTGTGCACGAAATTATGGCTTAGCAACTTTTTTTTTGAAATAAAATATCATTAAGTGTTTCTATTTTAATTCTAAAGTAATTATTTATTGTTTTAAATCACTTAAGTTATATCAATTATTTTATACTGCAATCTCTTTCTGACCATAAAAAAGAATTATCATGAGCCTACATAATATATGAATTCTAAATTATTTACTTAACATTCAGTACGATCCTTTAGATTTATATTAATTATTATGATATCAATATAACATCAAAAATTTAGCCCTGTCTCACCATTCACTGATTCACATTTAGTTACAGATTGATCTATGAAATAAATTCAAATAGATATTCATATATATAATTAGAATTTAAAGAATCTTTATTTTAATCTAAGATTGGTAATTTTTACATAAATCTTTTTTTTCTATGCTTAAAGTCTAGCTTTAGTAGACCTGCATGTTGGGTTATAATTACTGCATGGGGATTCATAATTATTCTTATCTGAGTACTAAGAATAATTAGCTGCATTTGAACATAAAGAATTTCAGCATCAGACTCATAATTTGGTCAGCCTTAAACAATTTTTAATAGGTTGAGATATTGAATTTTAAAAAGTAAATTAACTTTCAGTACATAAGAATCATCTATTTAAAGAGCATATAGAACAAGTCGTAAATGGCATACAGTTGGTTGCTTAAACTAATGAATTCATATTATATGTAATTTTTTAGAAAAGGTTTACTTACTATTTTTTCTACTGCATTAATTATGTTATAGAATCAAATTATTAATCTGTAAATCCAGATCTTATGATCACTATTGGATTTTATTAAACATATGTAATAATACAACAACCTCCCTATTTCAAGCACATTTACTTTATATTCAATGCTTTCATTCCATATTCTGACTATGACCTATCATATACATTTAGGTTTTATAGTTTCGTCTTTAGATTGGGATTTATAAATGGTAGATTATGTATTAACGAAGATTACTATTAAATAAATTCTCTTTTTTTATATATTTTTATTTTGTCTAAATCAAATTCATTATATTCTTTTTATTAGAACAGAATTTGCTATTAATTATAAGATGAGCATATATCATCAATATTCAAGCTTTATTAAATTTAAATTAAACTAAATATTTAAGAAAAAAAAATAAATATTTTTAAATCACAATTTTGAACACAAAAAGCTATTATTATACTTCATTCAGCTATGAAAGGGAAATTAAATTCATATTTAAAATTTTTTTTATAGATTATATTCCCTATACATTTATTGCTCATCCATTAATGATTAAAATTCAGTTAAAATTAAGGATAATTTTATAAAAATTTAATAAAGCTTATTTTAGGAAGAAAATAAATAATATAATTTAATTATAATTACATATATCTCACTTATTGTGTTTTTATGACTGTATATATTATATTCAAATAAATAGAGATTTAAAAGTAGGCTGTGTTTACTTAATTTTTTATTATTTCCAATTTTATATAAATTATTTTAATTTAATATAAATTTGAAATCCATATTTTATTAATGGTGCCATTATTCCAAATAATAGCAGTCCAATTTATCCAAATCCAATCATTACTTGAGTTTCCAAGCTCAAGAAATGTGCAAATGTTTCTTCATAAGTTATATTAAGTAAAGTAAATAAAATAACAGGTATTTCAAACATTAGTATTAAAATTAAATCAATTTTCTTACTGACCATCCTGCCAAGAATAATAATTATTAAATAAAACGAATTGATCAATGAAATTAAAAATGACTGTGTTAAAGAGCTTTCTTGTGATCCAATTAACACTATAAGAAATAATAACTTTTTAGCAACAATCACCCCTTCATGCTTTAGGCTCTTCCTTTTCTTAATATCAATTTACGAATCTTTTTATGAGAAAATTTAAGAGATTAACATTAAAATACAAGTTATAAAAGAATACGCAAGTATATTTTAGATATAATTTCTCAGATTATTTTCTTTTTTAGAATAGAGATATATCAAAGTCTTAAAAAGAAGATCCCAACTATTTGCTTATATAACATATACAAGGCCTTTAAATGATAATATTTAATTAATGGTCATCCCTAATTTATTCAATTTATGTATGAATTAGATGGACTTTGATGATATAAAAAATTTACTATTATTGCAAATGAAAATCCTGAATTTATTATAGTATTTTTTAAAAAAGAGAAATAAATAAATTTTTGATGCAATAAGCAAAACTAATGTTAAACCTATTTGTACTATCAAACCCGATAAATTAGTGATTAAATCTGAATTTACATCATATAAAAGAAATTTTCCAAATGATTTTATTTATTCTGATCCAATAGCATTATCAAGTAGTTCAAGTATTTTTAGTTTTTCTAAAATAGGAATTATGGTAACTACTTAGGAAGATTCAAAATAAATCATAACATTTTCTGGAAATTTTGAATTAATATATTTTAGATTAGACTAATACTACATAGTATCCAAAACTTCAAAGCAATCTCCAGGATTACCAGATAATAAAATAATAAAACTAGATAGACCAAGGCCAATAAGTATATATATATTTAAAGTACATATTTTATTAGAAATTATTCTTTGAGATTCAGTTAAAACAATGGTATTCCTCAAATGCAATTTAAAAAATTAATTTTCTACTTAAAACCCATATTCATCAATTAATAATGCATCAAATTATACTTAAAAGTAAATTTCAGATGTTTCTTACTTTAACAATTAAATTTAAAATAAGTAATTGATATCTTTTAAAATTGTATCATTAGGCTCTACTAATACATACTCATAAATAATATAATCTTAAGGATTTAAATCAATTAAGGAAAATTTCAAATTGTCGGTGAAGTTTTATTCAGAATTTTGTAATTTGACTTTGCTTGTAATTTACAATTAAATGAATTATGAGTCATTAGTTTAATTTAAATATATTAAATTAAGTTTAGGAGGTTTCATTTAAAGACATTAACTAGTCTTAAAATTAATTTGTGTGCATTACCAATTAATTTCAATTTCACATTTATCAGAACATCCATCTTGAGATACTTAATTATTATCATCGCATTCTTCTAATTCTGATTTAGAACCATTGCCACAAATATCTATACAAATATTATTCTGAATTTCATAATCAAGTTCACATTTTAAACATTATCCATCTATACAATTTAAGCACTATTATGAACAAGAAAATTAACATTAATAGCATCCATCAAAAGGTATTTCATTAGCATCATCACATTATTCATTTGATGTGATTATTGAATCTCCACAAATTGAATGACATTAGTTATCAATTAATTAATATCCTATTTCACATAAAATAGTCTATGGATCATCTAAACATTTATCTTTATTGCAAATTTAACATTCATCTTTGCAGGAAAATTAACATTCATAACAACCATCATATTGAATGTTATTTCCGTCATCGCATTATTCAAATCCTTCTACCACTATTCCATCTCCACAAATTGGAACACATATATAATTTTTAATTTCAAAATACTTTTCACATTATACACAATCCAATTTTTTATTACAAAATTAGCAATTCTAACTACATTCTAATTTGCATTCAAAACATCCATCATTGCTCTCATCATTTTAATCATCACATTATTCTTATTAAAGCAAAGCAATTAGACCATCCCCACATGTAGCGACACATTTAAAATCAATTAAATTCCATCCTTCTATGCATTAAAAACATTAAGAATAACTGCATTACAAACATTCTAATTAGCAATTACTTTGACATTAATAGCATCCATCAAATTATTCAATATTAGCATCATCACAAAATTCATATTCTTAGACTATTCCATTTCCGCATTCTGGAATACATAAATTATTATTATTAAGTTAAAAATTGTCCTAACAAATCTAACATATATTCAAAAAGGAAACTTTACAATTTTAGGATGTCTCAAAATAGCATATGTTATATTAATATGCAAAAATTCCATAATTATCAATTGTACATTGAATTGTATCTTATTAAGATATAATATCAATATCTGTATTTATTACTACATTTTAAATATACAAATTAGACAAAAAATTAAAAATTTAACAATAATTTCCTTCCTATTTTTAGACAGAATACTCATATATACTTTCATTATTTTCATTATAGCAAGTAAATTCACATTGATTATTAATTAAATAATATAATGAATTACAAAGCAAACATTAACCAAATTAACAAGAAATACAATTTAAAGGGCATGAAAACTTACACTCATAACAACCATCATAAGGGATCTAGTTTCCGTCATCACACTCTTCTTAAGGCACAACAATTTAATCTCCACAATTAGGCAAACACTATCCAGATATTGTATTTAATTTCCAAGGGGTCAAACATTAAGTGCATAGACCCTTGACACAATTATTGCAACCTTCATGACAATCATATATTGAAGAAAAACAACCATCAAAAGCATATATATTTCCATCGTTGCAAATAATACTTCCATCTAAAACCTGTTTTTTTTCTGCATCTGTAAATAGTTCAAAATCTCTTATACCATAAAATGGAATAGCAGCAGATACTGTAGAAAACGCTGAAATTTCAATAGTAATAGTCAATATTGAGTCTGTACTAAAAAATTCTCCTAAAGCAATTTTATCTAATTTGAAATATGACCCACATATGTTATTAGAAGTTGTGATAATATTTAAAGGAAATGCAGTATTAGTTAGTACTACATTATTCGCTTATACCTTTATTGTAATAGAACCTGTAATATATGCACATAAAAATTTAAATTAAAACTTATACTTTGTATGTGGATCAGGTAAATTTAACTCAATTGAAATCATTTCAGACATTAAAAATTAGCCATAAAAATAAAAACCTAATTATAATACTTAAATACTTCCACATTATTGAGTACCACTAAATTCAAAATTATCTCTTTCCCATCCTTATCCGTCAGAGAAAAAAATTGTATTAAAATACGCCAGCACTCTATTCCAATTTTAGCAGTTTCCAGTTAAATCACAGAAATCACATCCTTCTGGACATTTTTAAACGTAAATTATGAAATCAGAGATCCCCCATGATGCACCAACCTAATGTGAAATTAATGTAGCTATAGCACTGTTGCCATTATGATCGATTTCTCTACTAATTTAATAAACTTCTCCAACAGTGCCAATACCACATATTTGAGTACCTGTAGATGTATTTGGATTATCATTATAAGCTTTAAACCCATCAATATAGAAATTGTAAACCGATCCACTCCATGGAGTCAATCTACATATAAGTAAAGGTACCTCCAGAATTTGAATTCGATCTTCAATTTATAGTGAGGGGGTAGAATAAAGGTCTTTGTGATTGTTGTTTAATAATCAAAAATATTAAGTCCCCCAAAAATGATTGAAGTTCCACAATTTGTAATATAATTTGAAGAAAGGGCTTAACACGCCTTCCAATCTAATAATATCATAAATATAGTAACCATCATCCGAGCTAAATGGAGTGAAAAATGATTTGCTTATTTCAGTTTATGCCATAGGATGAAGGCATAAATAGTTGTATATAATCAAATTGATTAAAACAGAAAAGCTTAGAGAGCATTAGGACATATGTTTCATTTTGGGTGTTAGTAATACTAGCCAAATCATGTAAATATAATTATATTAATAACTAAAGATGCTTGTTAATGAATTTAGAAATTTAAATATATATGAATTGCAAAGTATCTTGGATTAATTTCTTATATTATAATAGTTATTCATTAAATTTGAAATTAATCAGTTTTAATTAAAAATGAATTGATTATTAATATGTATAATTAATGTTCATCAGGTTAAAATGGGTATGTTCTTGTTATTACTTATTCAATTTTAGAAATTAATTAATTAATATAATTATGGTTATTCACTTATGTGTTTAGAATACTTGAATTAATGTTAATGCTTTACATAAATAGCTTTCCAAAAATATACACACTTGACGTTGTTACTTTTTAATAATTAATATTATTCAGATATTAAATTAGGAATTTGTAAAAAAAATTACAATTTTAAATCAATATAAGTTACCCAACTCGATCAGCATTTACCAATTATTATTAAAAATAAGTTCTCTAATTATATTATAATTTAAAAAATATTAATGAAAAAAGTTATTATGGACTTATATGGTCATATTACAAATAGAGTAAATGAATACTGATTCTAGATATCGTAAAATCATTCGTCGATAAAATATTTAAGCATATTTGATTGAATCTTAATTATGTCTTTTTTATAAGCAAAATTTTACCATCATAAATAAATATATTAAAACTATATAATATATATTTGTTCAATCTTGTAATATGAGTTATTATTCATTATAGGAACTTATTTATTTTTTATTTTAGAAGACTTTATTTCATTAAGCTTTGTTACTCAGAATTACAATTGAATACATCTATTATTTTGTACTTAAGAATTATAATTATATAAGATAATAAAATATTATGTCATATTTTTGATAGTATTTTAATATTTTTGATACCAGATATCGCAAAATTAAAAGTAAAAAAACAAAAAGATAATCAAAAATTGTTTTTGAATTTTAGAATCAACAATTTAAAAAATCACATTAATAAGAATCAATTAATAGTATATAATTCTATTCAATGTTAAAACATCAATTTAATATTTTTCAATTCAATTGGATTTCATATTATAATATTAATAAAACAACTTATAATACATGTTTTTATTCTTTTTTAATTCAATTGATTTATTTATATCAAATTTTAATTAATATTTTGTTGAGATTATTATATAATGAATATATCTAATATCAATGATCTATCTCCTCTCATAAAGTTAAAGGAAGAGTAGCATTTCACATTTCGTAGGCTTGAATGTAAAGATGTGCCATAACTTCTACCTCTAATGATCAATTAATTTCTTAACTACAATCCTGCATTTCAGATTTTATAAATCACCGAACAGGACATTAAAAGTTGTTTTACACAAGATCTTTTGTAAGAATTTCAACTAAATTTATTAGTGATTAGATAATTCAAGAAAAACTTTCATTTGGAGCTTTTAAAAATGATATGTTAGTTTCTGTATGCTTAACTTATGATTTAGGATCTAATGATACTTAAGAAGATAAATAGGAAATATTGCCAACATAGAAAATGCAAGAAATTATTAAAATGAATGATATACTATTGGGCAAGTATGCTGATAAGAAGGATATCAAGTAGAAATAAATTGCATATATGAGTCATTTGGCCACAAAATCTGATTATTTTAATCAATAATTAGCATTATCATGTTGCTTTTTATCAATTTAAGAATGTAGTAAATATGGATTTTAATAAATGATCACTGTGGCTGAGCATGTTGGTACCTATAAAACATTCTTGAAAATTTTTAAAAAAATTGATATCTTAAAAGAAATCAATGAATTCAAAGATTAACCAATTAATATACAAGCTTTAGCTGGTTCATTTACATCTTCATGAGAATTAATCATAAATATATAAAATCNTTAAGAATTATAATTATATAAGATAATAAAATATTATGTCATATTTTTGATAGTATTTTAATATTTTTGATACCAGATATCGCAAAATTAAAAGTAAAAAAACAAAAAGATAATCAAAAATTGTTTTTGAATTTTAGAATCAACAATTTAAAAAATCACATTAATAAGAATCAATTAATAGTATATAATTCTATTCAATGTTAAAACATCAATTTAATATTTTTCAATTCAATTGGATTTCATATTATAATATTAATAAAACAACTTATAATACATGTTTTTATTCTTTTTTAATTCAATTGATTTATTTATATCAAATTTTAATTAATATTTTGTTGAGATTATTATATAATGAATATATCTAATATCAATGATCTATCTCCTCTCATAAAGTTAAAGGAAGAGTAGCATTTCACATTTCGTAGGCTTGAATGTAAAGATGTGCCATAACTTCTACCTCTAATGATCAATTAATTTCTTAACTACAATCCTGCATTTCAGATTTTATAAATCACCGAACAGGACATTAAAAGTTGTTTTACACAAGATCTTTTGTAAGAATTTCAACTAAATTTATTAGTGATTAGATAATTCAAGAAAAACTTTCATTTGGAGCTTTTAAAAATGATATGTTAGTTTCTGTATGCTTAACTTATGATTTAGGATCTAATGATACTTAAGAAGATAAATAGGAAATATTGCCAACATAGAAAATGCAAGAAATTATTAAAATGAATGATATACTATTGGGCAAGTATGCTGATAAGAAGGATATCAAGTAGAAATAAATTGCATATATGAGTCATTTGGCCACAAAATCTGATTATTTTAATCAATAATTAGCATTATCATGTTGCTTTTTATCAATTTAAGAATGTAGTAAATATGGATTTTAATAAATGATCACTGTGGCTGAGCATGTTGGTACCTATAAAACATTCTTGAAAATTTTTAAAAAAATTGATATCTTAAAAGAAATCAATGAATTCAAAGATTAACCAATTAATATACAAGCTTTAGCTGGTTCATTTACATCTTCATGAGAATTAATCATAAATATATAAAATCAATAAGTTTGATTATATTGCTATTTTTATATCATTCTGTTGTATATTCTGAAATTGATGCTAGCTTATCATAATTATTTAAAATGAAATATTTGTTATTTTAACAAGAAAGTTCTTCTTTAAATTGCAAATTTGTTTCTTTCTTTTTTAAAATCTGTAAATTTCTTATTTCCAAGTTTTAATTTTATTATAAAATTTATGAACAATAAATTCGTATTTCATAAGCTACCTTCTTAATATCAAATATTAATAAATTTTTTCTGAAATGACAAACAATACTTTTGAAATTGTATCATAAAAAATTGATTCAAAATAGTTATAAGAAATTCTTAAAAATAGTATATATGTTACTTATTGAAGGAAATGATAAACAATTCTTATTATATTCAAGAGGACCTTTCCTAAATTTATTATGACAATCTTTTTTATACTATTTCATTGAAAATTTTATTGATATTTACATTAATTTATAAGCAATAAGTTATTAATCAAAAAAGTAGAGAATTTAGATTAAAATTAATACTTAAGAAGTAGTTAAATAATGAAACCAATTTTTACAATTATATGTCAAGAGACTTTTTGAAGAATAATTTTCCTATGTACATATTAAAGTTTGAATGTATTTTAGAGTTGTAATAATTTATGGATTAGTAATTTCTATTAACAGATACTGTGAGATTTCGTGGCTGAATTAATTCTTTTATAAAATCAAGATTCTAATAATAATATTTAGTTAGCAAGATATATTAAATTTATTAATAAGTTTTATTTTGAAACTATGAAAAGAATCATGAACTTAAAGTACAATTTAATCAAGTAAATGAACTTAATATATTTAATCGAATGATAGTAATAATTTCAATGAATTTCAATTTGATTATTTATCAATTTGACATAAAGTAAATTCACTTATCCTTTCTATTTTTGACACTTTAGATTTTTGATTCATAATTAAATATTTATAATGTAAAGAATGTAAAACAATTTTATAAGCTTTAAGTTGTTATTAAATTTGAAAAAAACAGTATATTTATAAGAATGATTTATTATTTTAATGAATTCAAGGCATAATCCTTTAAGTTTGTTAAGATAATTGAAGAATGCTCAATGAAACTACTTTAATATATTATGTATTAGATATCTTTGAAACAACATTGCTCTCATGATTTATTTTATTTTGGTATCTGAAATAAAAATAAATAAAATATATATAAAAATAAAATTAATAATAAATTAAATAATGGGAAACGATATTCAAAGAGTACAATAATTAGGAGATAGCATAAGATAATTGCGAGAAGATATGGATGCACTATCTAAAATTGCTCCTCAAGTTGAAAAGATGATAGCTTTGTCAAGTACTTTAGAATCAACAACAAAAAATGTAATATCTTTTAATAAATATTAGATTAATGAAAACATGTCTAAAGTAAGTAAAACAGTTTCAGACGTTGATGAGAAGGTAAAAAAAGCAAAGGAAATCATGGATAAAATACCAGGAGGAAATAAATTAACATCATTTTATTGAGATTTTATACATTTTATTTAATTCAATAATCAATATTATATGATTAGAATAGAATTGGTATAAATTAATAAATAAGTACACTAAATAATTATTTAAATACTTTTGAATGACTACTTATATTTAATACATAGTAATAGTATTAATGGCAGATTATAAAATTATTGGTTTGAAATTAAAAATATTTCTCTATTTTGAAAGATCCTTTATAATATAAAATATATTTAAAATGAAATTAATTGCTATATTATTCATCACCTTTGTAATTACATCATGCATATACACACCTGCTGAACGTCAATTTAATCAAGAGGCATTAACAGGAGCTTATAATTATAATAATTTGCCTGAACCATAAAATGTTTCTAATTGTGGAGATGATGAAATTTAGATTGATCTTTTTAATTTTGTTGGTTATATGCTTTAAAAAGCTGATAAAGCAAGTTTATCTTAATTATTAGGATTAAAAAAAGAAGTTGATGACTATTTTAATGTATTTGAAATTAAAAATTATTAAGGCACTCCCAGAAGAATATACAAATTGCTTATATGCTGAGCCTGAATTTGTGGAGATGTGTACTTTATATGGATTGAAAGAGACAGATAAGATGGAATAAATTACAGATAAAATCTATTAATATGCAATTGGACATTTCATTTCTACTAAGAAAGAGATTCATTAGGGAAATATATTATGGAATACAGAACATAAATATGAGGATGCAGGATATTTAGTTGCTAATTTTGCCAAAAAAGCCTTAGTAACAGGAATAGAATATGTTGAACAATGATTTGTATATGGATATAATAATTGTGTATAAATTTCATAATGTTTCCATTCTAGCTTCAGATACTTTAGCTTCTTTACTATCCCAACCACTAAATAAATATGCTGCAAATCTGTAATTTTTATTAGGAGGTAATTTGAAGTTAATTTATTTATTATTCTCTCCTGCTTTTCTAATTGAAAATACATTTCCATTTCTAATACATTCTATAATTTCTCCTTATTTAACTTCTATTCCTAGAGATTTTTTATCAAGATCTTCATCATTAGAGGCAGCAACCACTTAAATATAAATGATTAATTTACATTTGTCAGAATAAACAATCCACATTCCATGATCTAATCCATAATTACAATTTCCTGAAAAATCAGTTTCTTTGACAATATCAAAATCCACTATTCCAATTCCTATACTCTATAATGTTGATTAATTATTTTACAGTTTATATTGTATCACAACAAATTTTTACTTTTAATATGTCTTGTTCCTTTGCAGGTTCATCCAAAAGAACTAAACCTCCTTCTTCTTGTTCCTCAACAACGGCTAGATTACCATGTACTTCAACATATTCACTTTTGTAAGTAGAGCTAAAGTTTCTTGCTTATGCTTCACTTCCAATTTATTAAAATTATGGATCACCTATAACTGTGTTAGATGTCTCACAATTACCCATTATTTAATTTAATAAATTATCGAAATAATTTTTTCAATTAAATAAAATGAATAGTAATTAAAGAAAAGTATTTTAAATTTACTTAATTAAATTATAGATTGATATCTTTCTAGTATTTGCATTGAATATAACTTTATAAAATAAGGGTTATTTTATTATTATTCTTAATCTATTATAACAATTTATCTTATTTTTAAATTAAAAACAGTAAAAATTCTGAAATAGAAATTAATTTTTTTGGATATCCAAATAAAAAGAAACTATCAATAATAAAATAAAAAAAAAGGAGGAAAAAATGTTATTTAATGTATATTAAGTAAAATATTATTTTTAAACTAATTGAGAGAAAAGAAGTTACAAGGGTTACTTAATTAGGTAATATAGAGAATATTGATTATTAGTAAGTAAATAAACTAGGAAATAAACTTTAATGTATGAATAACTATTTTTTAGTTTATATATATATTCATATATATTTAGTATGATGTAATTATTTATGTCAATATAATTTAAAATAATATTTGTATGTAGAAAATCATATTGTTAGCTTTCATTAGTTTGGGTTTTTCAAGGTTGAGTTTTAAAGAAGGCCCTTATGATTATAGCCATATATTTAAAAGCGAAGGAACATTTCCTTAAGGAACAAAATGCAAAAAGGTTAATGCATAATAATTAGATCCTTTATTTGATGATACACAAATTATTTATTCAGGATATTTGAGTGTATATGAGAACAGCAATTCAGCATTGGGATTCATATTCTATGGAAGTTAGAAAGCTAAATAAGAAAGTGAACTCTAGAATTATCCAACATTGATATGGTTAAATGGTGGTCCTGGATCATCTTCATAATTAGGTAATTTTATGGAATTGGGACCATTGTTAATGTAGAGTAATGGTAAATTGAAAAAGAATTTATATGCTTGGAATACAGAATATAATGTGATTTTTGTTGATCAACCAATTGGTACAGGTTTGGCTTATGTTGAGAAGCAATCTGAAGTACCTACAAATTAAAAATAAATTGGATAATAATTTTTATATGCTTTAAATTAATTCTTATTTGGAGCAAAGGGTTGTGTAGAATAATAACAAGTGAGAGGATTGGCTTAATCACCTTGGTTTGTATTTGGTGAGAGTTATGCTGGAAAGTATATATATTTAGTTTGATTTAGGTATGTTCCAACAATAGCAAAAGCAATTTTGGATTATAATCTTAATACTTAGAAGAAGATTCCATTAAAGGGAGTAGGAATAGGAGATCCTTTTACAGATCCATATGCTGTAATTGCAGAATATGCAGCTTATTCTTTTAATTTGGGTTTAATTGATATTCAAGAGAGAATGCAAGTAGATTCTATTTTAGCATATGGATTGACAGAATTGAATAAAGGTAATACTTTAGCAGCAAGGGATGCTTTTGAGGAATCTTTAGATATTATCATAACTTAAAGTGGTGATATGAATGTGTACAATGTTCTTTAATATGGTAATTATGGAGTAACTGAGGAGAAGGTAGAGAAGTATTTGAATGATTTACAAATAGTAAATAAATTTGGATTTAGTGAAGATTGGAAATATAAAATTAGTAATGCTGATGATGGTCCAGTATAAAAGGCTTTGAAATATGATTTCATGTTGAGAGATGTTGTAGCTACAGTAGAAGAAGTAGTTAAGCAAATTCCATTTTTAATATATAATGGATAGAATGATCTCATTTGTTCAACACCAGGAACTTTGAGATGGGTTTATGATTTAAAATACGAAAAGATTGAGGAATATCGTTAGAAAGACTTTGATATATTGAAGATTACAGGGACAGAAAGAATTGTAGGATATTAAAAATCGGCTGGAAATTTAGAATTAGTATTAATTAATAATGCTGGACATCTTGTGCCTACTGATTAGCCAGAAGCATCATTGTAAATGGTTACAACATTTGTTAATAAACATAAATGAAAATGAGATTTATATAATAACAATATTGAAGGAGATATTTATTATTATTAATAAAAAATAGAAATGTTTGGATAGGTGGTGCATAAATTCCAAAGAAACTAGAATCATCTGTTAAGCAAATTCCTCAGAGCTGGTAATAGGTAATTTAATAAATGGGATGTAGATCCAATCCATTTGAGAATACATTAACCATCCTTGAAGACCCTGCTCAACATAGAAAACTATATCTTATTGGATCAACACATGCTTCAACTATGTTGGCCTATAGAACATAAAAATTGATTAATGAAGTCAAACCAGATAGTGTCTATGTGTAAACAAATGAAGAATGGTGGAATATTGTTAAAAATATTGAAGGAGTCACATCTCAATCAGAATTGAATGTCTATAATGATGTATTAAGAGGGGCTTATAAATGGGAATTGGAATCTGGAGTCAGAAATTTCAGAAATACAGTCTTTTGGGCAAGACTTTACTCATGGTTAGGTTTAATGTAATTTTTGAAAGGTAAATAATATCTATTAATAATTAATTTTAGCATTCAATAGTGATTTCCATCCATTCATTCCAGGCTTAGAAGTCAAATATGCTATTGAATAAGCTCGTGCTTAAGGTGCTAATGTTATCTTTGGTGGTTTGGAAATCTCTAATGATGATCTATTGTCATTAAAAGTATATTATTTTTTATATAATATATTTTAGACTGAACCAAGATTTGATCCATTAAGTGTTTCTTTGAATTTCCTTAAACTTCTTAGTCAAATCAGATGGAGAAGAGAAAGATAGGATTTAGCCTTTTAATTGGCAGTTCTTGGAGGAGAATAATTTGCTGAATCAATTGATAAATATAGAGCATCATGGTTTGTTAAACTTTTTGAGAAATTGAGTCCTCATTAAAAGAAAATATTGATTGATAGAAAGGATATTGAGATTTTTGAAACTCTTTACAGACATACTCCAGGAAAAACAATTGTAGCAGTTGTTAATCAATGGCATACTATGGGTATTGAATCTCATTGGAGACATACTACTAAGACTTAAATTAATACTGAGCCTATTAATCCAATTGGAGATATGGATTTGGAAGCTCTTAATGAAGATTTAGTGGTGAACGACTTCTTAAGATAATTTACTTCAAGACTTACTAAAAGTGAACCAGCATCTACAAGAGCATATATCACATAATATTATAAGGATGTATTCGAATATGAAAGATGTAATATTTATAAATTTATTAATTAATTATAGTCAGACATGTTGAATTTGATGGTCATAGTGATCCTCATTAATTCCATGGAGGTAGTCCATTTGAAGGAGGTTATTAACATCATCATCCATAATTACCTGCTGATGTAAGAAAGTAAATTGAAGAAAATTGGAAGAAATAATATGCCCATCATCATGAACACCATTGAAATATTATTAATAAATAAGATAAAAACAATATTTTTTTAATGAAGACAAACATGTTTTATTAGTTATAATTCAAATTTCAATTTCCAATAGACAATTGAAAAACGGAATCAATTGTTCGTTTTTGTGTAATATTAAATTAAATGAAAACCATTTGTGTTTTGGTATTAGTAATTGCTCTTGCAACCAGTTTGAAATCTACATTGAGATAAACACCATAAAAATTGTAAGGAGAACTATAAAAATCAAATTATGGAAAAGCACTTTTACATTTACTTGAATTACATTCAATGGCAGGAGGAGCTGTAAGTGAGTTGGTTGATGCAATTGAAGAATTAGATAATGATTTGATTGATGGACTTTAATTATTAGAATTCAATTTCCAATAAAGAACAAATTAACACAATGCTTTAGTTGTCTAATTGAATTAATAAATCAATGATGCTCAAATTGATATTAGCAGATCAGAAGATGTGATTGAAAATTTATTGATTCCAAGAAGAGAATAATTAGAAACAAGAATTGCTAATCTCGAAGAATATTAAGAAATTAACAGAAAAAACTATGATGAAGAAGTTTTAATTAGATAATAAGAACATGAAGCATTTGAAGCTTAAGTTGCTGAATTAACTGATGCAACAGTTGCAGTTGATGATGCTCTTGCACTTTTATAAACATTGAGCAATCCCTCATTGGCATAAGTTAAGAAATTCTAAAACTCACTTAAGAAAATTGAATAAAGTATTAAACCAAGATCTAAAATGGCTCCATTTTTGAAAGCTCTTCTTACATTAGCATCAAATTAAAACTTTTCAGATTAAGGAATTATTTCTTAAATTGTTAATGCTTTGAATGAATTCAGAAATGCTATTGTTGATAGTATCAATGATTAAACACTTGCTGAAGCTAATGCAGTTGAAGAATATGAAGAAAGATTAGATTAATTAGATCATGAATTTGCTGAATTCTAAAGATAAATCAATGCTGTCAATGTTGATTTGACTGCAACTAATAGTAAGTTAATATCTTTACTATTTCTATAGATAAGATTGATTAAGTCACTGAATTCCTTAACCAAAGAGTCGCTGATTTGAAATAATATGAAGCTGAATTACAATTAGAAAATGATAATTATGCTGATGAAACTCAAATCTATAATGATACCAAAAATGAATTCACTAGAGAATAATAAATCACTGAATAAGCTTTGGCTTTGGTTCAATCAGTTGATTTTAGCCATATTCAAGTTTGAGTATTAATAATAATCCACCAATATAAAAATTAATCATTTAATTTTAATTTATTTGTGAAGAAAGAATTTAACAATGGAATAATTCAATATTTAAGATATCTTATCATTCACAAATCTAAGGAAACAATACTCCTTACTTAATAATGTCATTCATCAATATGATACCACTTAAATAATCAAATTAAAAAAAGTAATCTATATCATTTTATTCATTAAAGACATTATTATTAGACTTGTTCAATTCTTGTTTTGATGAAAGTTTATTGATTGGAGGTCAAGTTTTATAGAAATTACTAACAAAATTATATAATGAATTAGGAAAAGAAGACAAAAAGAATGTAGAATTATTCAATCAAAGATTATAATAATTTGTTTCCATATTTGTTGATGATTACATAGAAAGTGTCAAATAGAATTAGAATAATTATAATCTTAATTATGCTTAATAGATTAATAGAATTTTGGCAGATGTAAAAATTGAATGTATTCAATACATAATCGATCACATTATAAAAAATGATCAGAATTTCTATTAACATAAACATAAAGTTTGGGCTATTGCTTCATTACTGAAATTTGCTAAATTAGAATAACAAATCTCTGTTACTGAATAAGGTATAATATACAAAAATGGAACCATTTTGAATCTAGATATTTAAATAATTTAGAAATGGATGTATAATATTGATAGAGCAATCTAATTTGAAGCCCTCTAAATATTTACTTTAAATAGCAAAAAAGCTGCAAAACCAACTCAAATTGAATTAGATTCAATTATACTATTTGTATAACATGTTATTAAAACATCATATCCTAATTTTAAGAAAAACTATTTGTAAAAATTAAAGTTTTTTTTTGAAAGAATCAGAGCAAGTTTTTAAAAGGATTTAAAATTGTTAGAATCAGGCAAATCAAAAGATACAACTCCAATTTAACCAATAATTAAATTTACTCAATAAATTCTAGATATCTTATATTCTCAATTAATTCCTGAATGTTGTTATGAAGTTTCAAGTCCTTGTTTAGAAATATTGAAAATGATATATATGTATTTAGGTACTCCTGAAAAATTAGAACCTAAAAAAGGAGAATTTTATGATAAAACATTATTTTTATTAAATTACTGTTTAGAATAAGCATATGGAAATACAAAAGTTGAATAATTGATCATTTAATGTAGTAGCAATTGGGAATCTTCAAGAACATTGGCTTATGAAATATTACTTTTGCTTCCAAATGAAATACAATTCTTTAGCGAATAGAAAGCTAAAGAACTCTATTAGATAGCTACTTCTTAAATAGGAAATCCTATCATAAAATTTTATGAAAGTGGTTCCCTCTTATTATCATTATTATTAAAAAAATATGCAAATATCTTATATCCAACTTAAAATCCAGAAATTGAATTTTTAAATTATTTAGTGGATGAATTATAATAGAAATTTAATACTTTTAAGTAAGTATTTTCTAATGATATTGTTTAATTATAATAAACACTTATTCATGGATATATATCAACATTTTGGATTATTTTATAAAGGAATAATATTCATTAATTGTAAGATAAAGAATAACTTAAATTGTTTTTTATAAAATTACTTGAATTATTAAAAGATATAATTGAATTTGCTACTTAAGTAAGTTCTGAAAATGTTTGTACATGGATAATTGATGATAAATCAACTTAATAATTGCCTTATCAAGTTGATTGTAGAGGACATTTCTATTAGACTGAGTTTGTTTAAAATGTACAAAAGATTCTGTAAGGAAATACATTAATTGAATCATTAGATGATCAAACTACAGATTAAGGATCTGAAAATATATTAGTAGTTTCATTCTTTTTAATAACTAGAGAATCTGGAGTTTTCTTTTAAGAATTAGCAAAAGTCATTGATTAAATGAATGATAATTTAATTCCTAATGATTTATTGAAGAGAATAACTTATTAATTTTTCCATGCTTTATTGAACATTAAACATTTAGGTTCTATTGATAGAATTGCATAAGGATTATATGAATTATGTAAAACTATGGGAGTCAGTAAAAATCCATAATTACCTGGATTAGTGAATGAATTAATTGATAAATTAGTTGAAGCTTTTGATTAAAATTAATTAAAGAATGTATTTAGAAGATCTGCAGGTTTACCACATTTGGTTTGCTGTTTATTAAGGTCTTGTCAAGGTAAAGATAAGTAGACGGAAAAGGTTGTAAAGATATTATTGAAATTTGCAAGAGATGGTCAATTGGAAATGAGAATACATGCTCTTAATGTAATCAGAAAGTTATTTATGGAAGCTTGGTTAAGATAGGATCTTGATTAATTCATATAAGAGGCTTATATGTTAGCAATTGATGGTTTTAGTTATGATGATTGGAGTGTAAGAAATTCATCTTTAATGTTATTTTCAGCTTTGGCATCTAGAACTTTAGGGAAAAATACTTAAAATGTAGAATAAATAGCTTAGAAATTGACTTTAATAGAATTCTTTAATAAATCACCTTAATTAGTACAATACTTTTAAAATAAAATTAAGGATTATAATGATGAATAATTATATCCTAGTTTATATCCTATAGCATTATTATTATCAAGATTGGCTCCAATGGAAGGTAAATTTATAAGAAAGGTATATACAGAAATATAGAAATAAGATTTATTTGAATAGAAATAATTAGATTAATTATTACCATCATTAATAAATTGTTTAAAGAATAAGAATTATTTAGGTAGAGTGATTCTATCCAAAGCTATTTTGCCATTCCTTTCATTTTAACAAATAACATCATATGTTGTAGAACTCTTAAAAGAATTAATTGATAGTAAGACTATAAAGAGAAATCATAATAATGCTCATGGCATTTTATTATTGTGTCATTAATTAATTAAAGATTATTATAATATCAAAAGGGAAACATTAGATTAATATGAAGATAATTAAATTGAATAATTGAAACAAAGTGAAAATACTTTAATTTAAGAAATCCATAATAAAAGATTTATTATTTGTGAAATAAAATGTCCACCTGTTTTATCTGTTTATTATTAAGTATTAAATATAATAATAAAAAATAATAAATAAGAAGATTGTGTTTTATTTTAAGAATGCTATTAAATTACAAAGAATATGATTGAGGAATAACATTTTAATTAATAGACATTCAAGATTTAATAAGATATGGGTCATAGTTTATTAAGAAAGAAGTAGATATCATTTTTAGTTAAATTAGATCATTTGAATAAAAGTCATTAATATTTAGAATAATTAATAAAGAATTAAGTTTAAAAATACATATAATAAAAAGAACTATTAGAAATTGATGATTTAGAAGTATTATAATAATTGTATAAACAATATAATACTATACTTAAGAAAAATAACAATGTAGAAGATTCTAATATAGAAATAGCATAATTAACTTATCAATTATTAGAAGTAATTGAGACTCCATATTTCAGTTAATGCTTAAAATAATGCTTAAAATTTTTACTTATTATTAGTAAATTAACTAAATTGAATCATAATGAAATAATTTTAGATTAGATTAATAAGAAATTTATAAATGATTCAGGAATAATGAAAAATCTTATTAAACTATATGGTTATGTTATGTTATAAAAATAAGAATTTTTGGATTAATTTTTGAAAATATGTGAATTATATTCACACAGTAATAATATAGATGATTTAAGAATTGCTGTAATAAAAAGTATATGTATAGCAATTCCAAATTTAATTAATTTGAATACTCTAAAATTATCTTTGATTTATTTAAGATTACTTCAAGATGAATTACCAGAAATAAGAAATAAGATGAGTAAATAAATATGTATTCATTTATTGAATAACAAAAATAAAAATTCAACTGAATTGTATAATAATGAGTATCTATTACATAATTATTATTAATTTATTGTGTCAAAGTAAATAACAAAAGAGAATTAAGTGGAGATTATCAATATTTTAATTACTTAATTGATGGATAGTGAATACTATATGATTAAAAGATAAAATCATTAATCTAAAAGAATATTCTAATATGAAAAAAGCAATAAATATATAAGTGAATTGAAAGGCAGAAAATTAGCATATGATTTTTTAGTTTATTGTGTAAATAACAAGATATTAGATTAAGAATTGGTTATTAAGGAATTAAATGAGTATGAGATTAGACATTAAAATACTGCATTGATGGAATATAAATTGAGTGAGATTCAAATAATAAATTATATAAATAATTTAACAGAGAGAGATGATTTTATATATGAGAATATGTGTAGATTGACAATATTTGAAGAATTATAAACTAAATTTAATTCAAATCAGTAAATATTTATATATATATTATTTTAGTAATTAATATGAATTGTATCATAAATATAATTTAAAGAGAGTAGAATTTTCATTTTAATAATTTGATTGATTGATTGATTGATTTTTAATATATATATATATATATATAGATTAATAAATTTAATGTATAATATATATACAAATTCTATATCAAGAACCCAATAATTTAAATTGTTATCGGTGTTTTTTATAGAAATTATTCATGTATTCATTATATCTCATTTCATCAATCATACCTTGATTCAATCCTGTTAATAATATTTCTCTTTATGAACCTATTATGAATTTAAATAAATACTAATGAGTGCTTAAATCATTAAACTTAATTTATCTATGGCTTCATCATCAAAAACACTAACATATCTAAAACTAAGTACAATATAATCACTTTCTGGTAGTTTTTTAATTTAATTAATATGATTCTAATATAATATTGATTATACTTTGACATTAATATAATTGATAGCTCCATTAAAACGATAAATAGCAAAAGATCCTTTAAATTTTTAAGTGTCAGGAAAATCGTCTTCAATTCCTAAAGTATCATTTCTTAATTGTAAATCAGCTCCATCCTATTATTTGACACAACTTCTTTTAATTATTGAGTTTTTCTTGATTGAATAAATAGAAATTAGATTATTACTTGTATTTCATCTGAACTAACTATTATTTCAGAAGCAGCTGCACTCATTTTTTCAGCAAATTATAACATTGCATACATACTTCCTATCATAGTACTTTCAATAGGTCCATAATATACACATATCATTGATATTGTAATTTATTTAACTAAAATCAATCTTCTTTTAGTTCTCCATAACATTTCTAAATAAGGCCATGTTGGACACATATATGCAGAATATAATAATATACCACTTACAAAATAAAGTGGAATTTATAGAAAGTATCTACTAAATATTCCATAGAATAAAACAACAGATAGGCCATTTAGGATAGATGACCATCTATTCATATTTCTAACTCTTATATTTAAGATAATTAATCTAATAGATGCACAACATGGAATACTATTGAAAATACCTGCACAAATATTAGTCAAAGAGACACATAAGATCTCTTTATCATGATCACATTTAACACCTGTAAAATATTCAGCTCTTTTTGCACATAATAAATTTTAAATAGTAATATAAAATGTCATTTTAATTGCATAAACAAATAGATAAATAAGTGTCCACATATCCGGTTAGAAATGAGGACCACCACTTTCAATAAAAGATAATTTTAAACTTACATCACCATAAACATTCTTTAAACACTTTTCTGTTGGATAAAGTATACCAACTGTCAAACCAGTTAAACATACTAATACAATCAAAGGAAGATCTTTATTTATCTTCCAACCGAAATATAATATAAAGAATATAAATATTGATGCTCCCAAATAATAAAGATCACCTCTTCTAAAGAATTCTATTTTTTATCTAATTTATTTTACCTTGATACATTTCAAATCTATCATGATATACTTAAAATCCTCTATTGGAATGCATATCACTTAATCCAAATGCATAATCTATGTAACCATTTGCAATTAAAAATAATAATCCCAAATAATATCCTTCAATAACGTAATTTGGCATAAAATCAATTAAATGATGCCATTTCAAATGACTCAGTATATATATTTATAATCCAACCATTATTGTTACCCAAGGAACTGCTTCATATCCATATTATTATACTATATGATAATTGAATCCAGCAGCAACCCAAGTTGGTGCATAGATTGAATGATTACCTTTAAATATAATATTAATATGATACTTCCACTAAAGAATCCATTAATTAATCCACCAATCAAAGCAGATGTATAAGCAGCAGAAGGATTACCACCAGTATTGTTACCAGCATTTAAAATAAATGGCATATTCATCATTGCCTATGTCATACCACTCTTCCAATTTTCTCTAATGAAAAAGAGTGCAGTATTAACATTATGAACAGATAAATGGCTAATTCTAGATAATGCATTTTTAATTGATAATTTAGTTTGATTAATTGATCCTTTTACTTAACTATCTTATTGATTAGACAATTTCTATTCATCTAATGCTTACATTTCTTATTCCATTAATGGTATTTTATGATCAGCATTCATATATATATATTTATATATATAAATTAATAATCAATCCTTCATATTATGCTATTTAATAATTAATAATCTAATTTAAATTATACATTAATGCTACGACCTTATCCAATTATTTTCGTTCTTCTCATAACATAAACATTGTCAAATGATAATAGTGATAGTGATATTCTCGAATTCACTACCACTCGAAATCAAATATGTTAAGACATTGAAAATTGTAAAAACTGAATATCATCATCATCTAGTTGATATCACAAATTCAGAAAGATAATCTATTTTTGATTCCATATATTCCGAGTAAAATTAAGATCTCTCAAGTCAAGTAGAAAAGTGGATTAATAACACCTACAAAATATCTTCTGGTGATTATTTTATAGATCTCTAAAATTATACACTTCCTTGGTTGATTGTTGCTATTTCAACTCTATTTATATCATTCCTCTACATATTAGTAGCAATTATGCCAAGGTAAATTAATATTATATGATAGTTCAATAATTAAATGGATTAAAACTCATACAGAAGATGAATTCATTTTAAATAATAGAAGATTTCATAAGTTTGGAATAGTAACCATTTTTATATTGAATTTAATCCTAATAATTGCTTCCATTATTACAATTGTAATCTTTATTCATATATTTTAGATCTCTTCAAACAAAGCTATAGATGGTTTAACTTATTCCAATTGTTATATAGCTTCATCTTTTGACAATTTACTATCAAGAAATGATGATAACTTTACAGGATACAGTATTTTATAAACTGATTTCAATTAATTGTCAAATGATTTTATTGATTTCTAATCTGGATTGAAAAAACTATATCAAAATAGAGTATCCATTAATCTATAATCAATATAATAAGAAGTTATAGAATTTAATGATTAGTACATTTTCCATTTAATAATAGACTTAAGAGAAATCGCCCTAATTCTCCTCTTCCTATTAAATTATCCTCGAATGGAACTAATACCATCTCAGCTACAGAGTCATATTTCTCGAAAATGAAAATTGTATAATTTTATGATATATTTAATTTATAGATAGATTACTTATTGTCAACAAAGGATGATGAAAATTATCTAACATATTAATAATATTATAATCTAATAAAAGAAGAAGAAAATACAATGCATCTAATAAATCAAGTAAATGAGATTTAAGACTATTATGGTAATATATTCTTAAGATTTGGATCTTTAGAGAATTCATCATTTACTCTTAGAGATTCCAAATTAACATCATTATTTACTAAAGCTAAATAATAGATATCATCCATCAATAATTATATTTTAAATTATGCAGAAATATTTACTGATTTTCATCAAAGTTTAAATGATGATATGAATTACTAAATCAAATCAATTAATGGTTTATTAATAATCTTAATGATTTTCAATATCATTTAAATCATATTATGGTTAGGATTCTTGATAAATAAACGTCTCAAAATTAGAAAATATATTGATATCCTCTGGTTTTTATGTAATCTTATACTGGCTGGAATATCAATTGTTAATTTCTTCCTATATACCAATTCCTAAATATCCAAAGAATTATGTATATACTTTGATGGCTTTATTAATAATGAATAATTCTATGAAAATCAAAAAATTATCCAATTCCCAGAAACAAAAGAAGCAATTCAATCTTGTCTATATGGTGATGGAAACATATATAATTAATTAAATTTGATTTCAAGATACAAAGATATCAAAACATTTATCAATAGTGAAAATGAAATCTAAAAAGAAATACAAAGACTTAATTCCAATTAGGCTTTTTATTTATAAACATTGAATAATAATTCTAATACTATTTCCTAAATTGTAGATGGCACTTTCATAGATTTAAATTCAACATAGAAAGAAGAATTTAAAAAAATGATTGATGAATTTAATTCATTTAAAAATATTGAAAATTGTGCAGAATTATCAGTCACAATATGTTCAGATTAATCATATCCAAAAAGAAATGGAGATTTAAATGATTCATAAAAATGTTGGCATCCATCTTATTTAATTACAGCAATTTCAGCATCATGTTGGGATTAATAGGATTTATTTTAATAATTAAAAGTACATTACTAAATATAGGCTTAAGGATGGATTAAAATGTAATTATTAGAATCATAATTTGTTTCATAAAATTTAGATTTAAATTTGAAATTAAATCAATATATTTAAAATCATTCAGATTTTATTGATGAATATCAAAAAACATTCTCTAATTTTAATAGTCTACTTAAATCTACAAATTGTACATTTATTAAAGTAAATTATTGATAATTATAATTTAGGAAGATTTTAATAAGATGTTGGATGGAATGTGTGTCATCTATTAATATTAACTTAGTAAAATTTCAATTCTTTTGATTATTATCCTCTCTGCACTATTCCTTTCAATATTCTTTAATTGTCTCACTTCATTAAAAGTATCCCAAATGGAAACATATCAAGAATATGCTTCAACCAAAGTTATTAATTTTGCTGGATCAAGTAGACTTAGAGCATCAATTGAAATTAATTAAATAATGCAAAATGAAAGTCCAATGCATATATATAGTACATAATAAGAATTCAAATGAAACAATTCAAAACTTAAAATTAATCTGTATTTTTTCCTAAATTTTATTCAAACATCATAATTTATCTTTAAATTTCTTTGTTTTCCTCTTAAATTTTCTTACTATCATTTGATAATTTTACGAACTATTATTATTATTAAATTAATCAATACATGTTAAGTAGTTCTCTCTAATAATTATTCTTTTAAATTTTAATTCTTTTCTAAAAACTCATTTATTCTTTAATGAAATATCTCATGATTTGAAGATTAATCATAAGATATATGATTAATCATTTATATACTAACATGTTATTGTATATCATTTTATAAAATTAATTTGATTTTTGTCTATGCTTTTATAAATTTCTCAATTGATTTTTCATACTCCTTTATTTATTATTGATATTCTAATTTCTTAATAAGATAAGGCAAATCCTTTTAAGTTGGTTAACAATATTTCTCTTTCATTTATCTCTCTTTTGTTAGAAACTAATTCATCATTGTTTACATTTTTTCACAGTAAAATATTAGTTCTTTATATGATGAATAATGCTCTTTAAATTTGACTATTTCCTCATTAAAACATTATTCATATAATGCAAGATAAATCTCATTTTGATTACAATCAGGAATTTTAATATCTTAATAAACTAATGGATAATCAGGTAATTTATCCCATGTTTCCTTAGGCTCATAGATGTGTTTATTTAATTCTGATGGTAATTTCTATTAATCATTCCCTGAATGTACTTCCTGAATTTAATTTTAAATTACCATATTTGAATTTTCATTAGGCACTTCTATTGAAATGGTTTAGGCTATATTTTATGAATCTGACAATTCTATTTTTGGTTATTTCTGTTATTTCTCTTGCTATTACTACTTGATTCGATTAGCATTATTTGGATCGAAATGAAACCTCATAACTCTTATTTCAAATTTAAATTATAATTATAATTTTTATCTAATGTTTAAAGTAAAATATATATATATAAAGTATTAATTATATAATCTCATTGTATAATAGAATGTCTCATCTATAAAAGTTGAAGTTGTAAATTCAATTAATTTATTTTATTCTATTTATTCTATGAATTGCAAATTTGAATAAGCAATTTGATTGCTTCAATTAAAAGATCTGTTTATGAATATTCAAATTAATATAAAATATCCATAGCAGTTTCCACCTGTTAATTTGCCTATTCATATTATTATTGATTGTAAAGCAATTAGCCTTAAAGCAATAGAATATTGGCATATTTAAAAGATTGATATTAATTACATTTCTCATATATTGATATTGCTTTGTTGTAATTTACAGATGCATTATTATAATCTTTCTTATAAAAGTACAATTAACCAATATCTGAATAGATATCAGCTATGCATGGATGAGTTTAAAATAGACGAATTGCACATTGCAAAGCACTTTCGTATAAATTCAAAGTATCATTAAAATATCCACTATCCATTAGATAATGTCCAAAAATGGAATAAATAATAAAGTAATAAGGATGAGAAGGTCCAAAGTAGGAATCTAGAATTTATAAAATCTATTCAAAATATTAAAGTGCAGTATCTAGATTGTCCATATTCATTTAAATGATTTATAATAAAGGCTTAATTTGACTAGGATGACCAGGTTTTGTAAAACACAATGCTTTATTGGCATTTTCACAACTTTCTTCACATAATAAATTAGCAAAAACTTCATCTCCTTCTTTGCGTATTAAACATAATTCTAATGACCATTTGATTGATTAAAATAATTATTCTTAATTCATTATATTTCTTCTCTTTGATTTTCTAGCTATTTTAGATGTATTTAATTAATAAGCCTTCTATTGAATATTGAATTAAGGTTTTTCTTTTAAAGGGAATGATTCCTTAAATATTCCATTTATTAAGGTTGGGGTAATAGTGAAAGATATATCACATTATTATTGTATACAATAAAGCAACATTGCTTTATATTACATAGTATATCTAGATGTAACATCAAGATTATATGAATAATCATACCAAATTTATTTTTAAATAATTTAAATCCAAAATATATCTGATTCTTTTCCAACACCCAATAATAGATTCAAAAAGTCTAGACAACTTTCATTTATTAATTTAGATGATAATTCTAATACAATTTTAATATCTTAAACATCTTTTGTATTTAATTCTTAAATCATTGAAAATTCTAAAATGTTAGATTAATCACTTTATAATTTTTATGATAATTAATATTTAAGATTTTTCATTAAATCTGCAACATTATTTCTCAATACTTTTTTACAAACTCTGCTTATCATATCACATATACATAAATCTTTAATATGTTATAATTAACACATTTAACAAATTTTACCAATATATTTTATATTAATACCTAATTGATGTAATTATTCACTTAATTAATTTGAATCAATTGGTAAAAATTCAAGAGATTCAAATTTATTAATTAAGTCATGTAATAATTAATTTTATACAAAATTAGATGCTTACTTTAATTCATTATAATCTGCTTCAGTTTCAGTAAGTTTAATTTACTTTAAATATGCATCAGAATTTAAAGGTTTATTCCAATTTCTTACAAGTTCTGGTCTCAATCTCGAAGTATTTTGAACATTATCTAAAAGAATTACAGGCATCAAATCTCCACATTTTAATAGATAATATATAGATAGATTCTATGGTGGGAATTCATTGATATTTTATTCATTTTCAATCCATCTTAATTCAATATAATCTTTATTAATTTTATGAACTTCTTAAAATAAACTCATTGGTATTATATTGCTTATCATTTCATCTTCAAAAAATTTATGTTATTTTAGATTTAATCTGATACTAATTTAATTCATATATTATTGAATTGCATTATTTGTAACAAATTAACCATCAAATGTTGGACCATGAATTAAAGTAGAATCATCTATTGGAGGTACTGCCAAAACAAAAGCTCTAATTCCTTTATAATCTATTATACAAGATAATGGAACTCTTAAAGGATAATTTGTTTCTTCTTAAATTAATAGTTCAATCTATTCTGCTAATAAAGAAAGATACCTAAATTCTATCTTAAATATTATTAATAAATACCATTTCCTAATGCTTTTAATTGAGACTCTTCATAAATTTAAATTTCTTATTTACCTTATTAAGTATGAATTTCTTATGATTTTAATTGACAAAATGATAATTTTATGAATAATCCATCATAACAATAAAAATCATCTCCAAAATCAATTGTATTTTCTTATTAACTATACATTATATATTTATCTTCATTTAAACAATCTGTTGGTTTAATTGTTTTCATTTAATTTGGCAAACATAATTCATCAATTATAATTTAACAAACATCCATTGAATGATCTCTCATTCTTCCTATAGATTCATGCAATACAAAACTATTTACTATACATTCCTCAATTGTTTTTGGATCTTTCATATTTGCTAATTCTATAGCTTATAAATAATTATAATTCCATGCTGTCTTTATTCTATTCCTTATAATATTTTTTTTTTATTCTTCCTTATTCAATAACAATTTTTCTTATTTATTTTATTCTTCTATTTTTTTCTATAAATTTAAGTTTTCTTATTCTAAATATTATTCCTTCTCTATTCTACTCTTCAGTTCTGTCTAATGAATCTCCTTTTCTTTTTGCAACTATATTTATAATTCTTCCTATTTCTATTGTTATTCAGACCTTTATTTTTCTAATTATAATTGAATCTATTGGACTTCCCTTTATTAATTCTCTTTCTCATTAGTATCCAATTATTATTAGATACTACTTTTCTACTTTAATATTTCAGATTATTATAAAGATGGCTGTTAAGGCAATGATTACTAAAACTATCTTGGTATTTATAATTCTGATTATTGATATTTTTCTGGATGTTTTACTTTATCAATTATTTAAGTAAATTCTTTTAAAATCTCTGATTTTGAAAATGCAATCTCCCATATTATGATTTCCTTCTTTTTTGTAATTACTATTGGTTATTAAGCAGCCATCAAGTCTCTTCCATAACTACTATTAACACTCATATTTGTGCTCCTATTTTTCACTTTTGAAGGGAATATGGCATCCTTAGCCATGAATGTTATCTCAATTGAATTCTATTTTTTTTGTCTTTCTGGAGGTCCTATATATAATATATTCTCTATGATCACTGATATCTTAGGCTACATTTTACTTAATTCATTCATCTCTATTTTTCATAAATCAAATTTTAACTTACATTTTGGAACTTTGAAATAACTTAGCATACCATTCGATAATGAAATCACTCTCTTGTTCCAAAACATCTTTGACGTTGATCTCTTTTCTACTTAAAAGATGTTAGAATTATCTTATATCACAGGCTTATTCTTTGGTTCAATTTACTATGAGGAAATCGAATTATTCATTATAATTGATAAAAATAAAAATAGATAATGAAGTAATAATTCTAGAAATTACAATAAATGATCATTATTAATAAGTAATTTATGAATATTGGGTTAAATGAAAGATTTATTACTAATGCAGAATTGTTTAATACTTAATAAATGACTAAATTTGCAATATTAAAAAGAATGCATAAATATAAGGTTGAAATAATTTAATAATTTGAAAATAAATTATTAACTTCTTGCTAATAAATTTAGAAAATCTTCCAAAGAGTAAGTTTGAATAAAAGAATTTATAAGAATCAAAATAAAATTATTTAATCAATTTATAATATAATTTAGGCAATCTCAAAATTCATCTTCACTGTCATTATATAACTATTTTGTTATAATAGAACTTTTTTATTTTTAAGATCTAATAACATTTTAATGAACTGGTATCTCAGATTCTTAAGGCTTACCAAATTGAGATATTTATGAAGCTGGTTTTTTTGTTTAGAAAATAGTTTGTATGTTTTCTGTTTAGAAGTCTTCAGAATCTTCAAAACTACTTTTTCTTTTACTTGAAAGTTATTATTATTATTATTATTATTATTATTATTATTATTATTATTATTATTATTATTATTATTACTTTTAAGATTATTAAGATGTTTTTTTTTCAAGTGGCAATATTTAAGAAATTTAATCCTTTTCTTAAAAATTTCCTATTCTATTTTCTGATTATATTTTCTATAATTATTATGGTTCTTATTTTTATGATTTTGTCATCTGTGATTTTAAATCCTTTACATTTTCTTTAACTTTTTAATTAATATCATATTCTTCTTCTGAATTATTTGATTAACTTGATGGAGGGGTTTCAGGCTATTAAAAGCGAACATTTCTGGATTATTCAATAATTGTTTTTCCTTATTTTTTTACCAATCTTCCTTTAAAATCCTTCTACTATTATATTTTTGATGTATCTTCTCCTCCATCAGAATCCATCTAAATAACATTTGGTCCATCATGTTTTTTTATTTCATCCAATTCAGGATCAGCTATTCTCATGTCTGATTATTTCTTATCTGATAACAATATAGTTCCATTTAATTAAGTTAAATATTCTTCTAATTCTTTCTAGATTAGTTAATTCAATAAAATTTACTTCACTTTTAAATTGTATTTCATTCATATTTACATTCAATACTTCTTTGAGTTTTCTCTCTAATTCATTATCCAATTGAATATTTCTGAAATGATCCATCAATTCTTTTGTAATTTAAGATTTCTTTTACCTAACTGATTTAACCAAATGATGAAATTCTTTTTCTTCCTATAGAAAAGCTGCTTCCTATTGGTTATCTATAATAACAGAAGGTTCTTTTTAATCATCATCACTTTTAGAATCATTAGTAACATCCTCTTTAATTTCTTATTGCACATCCTTAGCATCATAAATATCATCAGCAATTTCACTGATTTCATCTTCAAGAGGTCCTGCATTATAACTAAAATTTTCAGGTGGAGGAGTCGGTAATCTTTCCTCTACCTTAACAGGTTCAGGAATCTTAAGATTATCAATTCTGTATTCTATTTATTCAATTTTATCTAGAATTTCTTATGGTCTATGAACTGCTATATAATTTTGCAGAGCTTCCATCTATTATTGTAGAACAAGATTTTTCTATTCAAATTCATATTTAATTTGCCTCATTTAATAATCATCCATTTTTTCATCTTCAAGATCTTCATCTAAGGAAGAATCAGAATCATCTGCTTATTGTTACATAAACTAAGCTTATTACATGGTTTATAACATAAAGTCTTATTAATTCTGATTATTGATCATGGAATTAATTTATTATTGCAATAACAAGGTTTAAACTGTAAGTAGAGTTTCTTAGAAATTTTATTTTGGTTTTTCAAATTTATCAATATGATGTCTTTAATAATGTGCCTCAAGTAGAGGAATGGAAATGAATGCTTTTCCAGTACAGTATAAACAGGCATATACAGTTTCTTTTTTGGAAGCTTCTAATTTGATTTTTTTCAATTCTTTTTTGGCAGATGATAGTTATAGTTTTAATTTAGTGATATTTTTTTTGGATTTGATTAGAATATGCTCATTTTCACTGATTTCATTCTCTAATCTGAATTCTTCTTTGAATATTTAATCAATTGTTGTTTCTTAATATTATTTTGTGTATTCAAAATATAGTAACATCATTTACATCAGATAAACTAACTTCAAATATTTGATTGTATTAACAGAATCCTTAAACTCACGTTCAGTTGTAAAACCTCTAAATATGTCAATGAAATTACTATTGTAATGGAATTATGAAAGATTGTAAGGTCTCCAAATCACTATTCCTTTGCATCAATTCAAAATCCAAGTTATTTAAGGTTTGAAGATTGATTTTTGTGTTTCTGAGAGTATTTGGTATGAACATATAAGTAATACTGTTTTTATATATGTTTATTTATATATTTTTAATATTTCAATATTTTTATCTACGAACACCTGCCAAGCATGCTCTATAAATATTTCTAGGGTTTTCTGGGAACATATCAGCATGTATTCTTAAATCTTCAATATTGTCTTAAAATAATTGTATTTTTTAGATACCCAATTCTCCTTTTTTGGTCCACATAGCTTCTGCTGTATATCTTTTACACATATCTTCTGCTTCCTATCTCAAAACTGGATCATTCACTCTACCAGTAGCATAATCACATCCTTTCCAACAAATTTGGATTGATGGGTTATACCATGAGAAGACATCTTAACACATAGCATAACATGTGCCACCATTATATCTCAAAATTTGACCACCTTTTTATAGTATAAATTCAAACCTGTTGCCATTTAATTGAAAATATAAAATTAATAATAATAAAGAAGATGCTGTTTAGATTTAGATTAATTTATAAAAATAAATCATATAATATATTAATTATCACACTCCTTATGGGAATTTCATCATTTCTAATTCCTTTATAATTTCCTTAAAAGATGGTCTCTTCTCTGGATCTCTATCCCAACATCTCTTAGTTAATCGTGTAAAGACTTCTGGAGTCTTTTTTGGAATTGTTGGTCTAAAATCGTTATTCAATACATCTAAAGAAACTTATAATCCAGTGATATCTAATTCATAAATTGGGTTATGTACTTCTATAAGGAGGTTCCCTGGCTGCAATTTCCCATAAAATGATTCCAAAACTAAATACATCTGCTTTTTCTGTATAAACTTACCCTGCAATAACTTCTGGTGCCATCCATTAATATGTTCCAATCTTACTAGTCATATAATTAGATAATGTTCTGGTCCAACCAAAATCTGCTAATTTAGTTCTAAATGCTTCATCCAATAAAAGATTTAAACTTTTCAAATCTCTATGTAGAATAGGGGGATTAAATGAATGTAAATATAACACTCCTTTTGCAGCATCTAATGCCATTTTTCTACGATCTTCCCAAGTCAAATGAATATCTTGATTTTATATCACCTACCATAAAGATCCTCGTTAACAATATTCTAATACTATAGCTAGATTTGGTGGTTTAGTACAAGCACCAAGAAACATTACTATATTTGGATGTCTAAGAGCTTCCATGGCATGACATTCAGATAGGAAATCTCTAATATGATTCTCATTCATTCCATCTATTTTAAACATTTTAACAGCTACAATAGTTTCCCTCCATTTGGCTCTGTAAATTACACCATATCCTCCTTCACTAATTTATTTCTCTAACATTATATCATTAAAATCTATATCCAAACTAGATTAAAATATTCTATGTTTGATTGGTCTTTCTGGTGAGATTTCTAATGCAGAAATATCAAATTTAGATTATTATTTCTTAATTTATCTTTATATATATGATTCTGTTGTTTAAACTTTTTGATCTTTAACTTTCTTTTTAGATATTAATTCATTTTTCATTCTATCATATTTTTATTGTAATTAAATATTTTATTATTTCAATATTTCTTATTCATTTCTATATTTTTCAACTTCTTCATTTAATTTATCCTATTCCTTATTACTATTCTCATTTTCATCTAAAATAATTTCGAGAAAAGAAGGTGATAATAAAATTGAATGAAAATTACCACATACAATTTTTTAAGTCTCAGGTACTGTAAATAATAATTTAGGTAAATTAATTCCCTTTCCATTTACACTTGGTTATCCTGTTAATTATCCATAGATATTGGAACCCCATCCATATATTTATTTATAATCTGCAGATAATGCTAGACTATGATTTCTTCCTGCAGCTATTTATGATATCAATGGTAAACCCAAAATCTTAATAGGAACATCTGAATAGTTTAGATCATTGCCTAATTATCCTTGAATATTATCACCCATAGAATATACTTCTCCTTTACTTGTTAAAAATAATGTAAACATTTCACCCATCTTCATATCTAATACACATTATTAATTATTAAATTCATCTACCATTTTAATTTGAGTAGGTTATTTATAATATTCTTTATTTGATTTACAATAACCCCATAAATAAGGTTTTCCACCTTCAATTATACAACCTGAATGTGCTAATCCACAACTTATTTTTTCTACTTTAAAATGAGATAAATTTTAAATTAATTTAAATTCACTAATTGTCTAATTTTCTTAATGTCCTAATGCATAAGATTCACCAAAACCACAAGAGAATATTCTATTTTTATTAGTCAATATTAAAGTGTGTAATGCACCACATGCTACCTATTAAACTGCTTCATCATTTTATAATAGAATCTAACATTAAGTATCATTAATATTCTTTTATTTGATCTTTTCTTTCATCATTACAAGCTATTCCATTATATTGTCTATTGATGAAGATCTCTCTTTTAATCCTGGAGATGTAGATTAATCCCCTTCATTAGCACTTTTCATTCTTTTATGACCCTATTATTATTCTCTTGCCTTCCCATTACTATTACCAAATGGTAATAACCCATATACAAGAGTAGGTTAACTTATGTTATCAAAACAACCCAAACCTAATTGACCTTTTAAATTTAAACCCCAAGAATAAACTTCACCTTTAGCCGTCAACATAAATGTATGTTCAGCTCCACAAACAATGCTTGTTATTCTTTGATCTTTAAATATGGGACTCAATTTTGGCTGAGTATTTGATTCATATCCCAATTAACCAAATTAGTTATCACCAAATCCTATAACTTCATTCTTATTATTAACTATGATTGTGTGATTTTCACCTGCTGAACATAAGGTCACTCCTTAATAATGTGGAGTGATATTTTTATTATTCTTTAATTATTAACCACAAGTATTTAAACCTATATTAATAAACACTCTTACCCCATGAATACAATTGAATTGTATCTAATTACAATTATCTTGGTGATTTTGAGAAGTCACTGTATGATCTTGGTGGTCTAACATCTTTATCCTTAAATTGCTTCAACATCTTCCTAGATTCTGTCAAGTCATTTAATCTCATATTAGTTACTTTATATTTAAAATTCAAATTTAATTATATTGTTAATTTACATAAATTTATTAATCTATATAAATATTCTTCTATTTACAAAACACAAAACATAATAATTAAATTATATATAATAAAGATAAACAGAATGTAATTAATTCATTTATTAATATTGTATAATCAAATTCAATATTTACAAATATAATCTATATATATATATAATTTTAAATAATATAATTTAATAATTTGATATTATGAAAATATTTACTATATTATTGAGATTCTACAGAATATTACTCTAAACAAAAGACAATTTTAAACTATTAGAAAATTTGAGAATATATAATAATAATGAGGGGATTATAAAAAAACTAATTATTAAATGATTAATTTACTATAAAAGATCAGAATATAAAGGTAGGTTCATTTGGAAATGATGATAAGATAAGTTTTTGATGTTAAGAAATAATAAGTAAATTGAAATTCTAGAAATATTATATTAATAAGAATAATCTCAAAATTTTTGTGACAAAATTACTCAATGTTGATATCAATTTAGTAAATATGAAATTGCTGGAAATTATTGATGGATAATTTAAAATTAATAGTATGATAGACATTAAGATAATGAAATTATTATTTTAAAGCCAATAATAATGGATTTAAAATTAAAGGAAAATTTAAAGTGATATCAAGGACAATTTAAGAATGTAAGTAATTGCATAAAAACAATGAATTTCATAACATTCTTCTTCTAAAAGTATTTGAAACTTTTTAATAAAACCCAGTTGAATGAGCCAATAATTATGTTGTTGGATTATGATATATATTATTAATTATGAATTAAAGTAATTAAAGTATAGTGAATAGACATGGATTTCAGTACAAAACAGGAATAAATTATTATTAAATTGGAGTAGCAATTCTATACATTGCACATTACATAATAATCTTATTTCAAACCTTAGATTATGTAAAAAATAAATTCAAATTTATAAGAATCAACTTTGGATTTTGGTTACGATTTTTTCAATTTTCATCTCGATATTTTGGTTTATTACTACAAAAATAGATCCAACAGATCCAGAGATATATATTTAATATAAACTTAAAGAGAAGAAGTATTTAAAAATGATTATTTTGATAGAGTCAAATATGAAACTAAATTGAATTGTTATTGTAAAGTTTGTCAAGCTTATGTTCAAACTCCATCGAAGCATTGTAAATAATGTAATAGATGCACAGAACTTTTTGATCATCATTGTGTATGGTTAAATAATTGTATAGGGTTAAGAAATTATAAATATTTCTTTATATTAATAGTACTTATAGAACTCTATTTAATTACTGTGCTAATAATTTCAATATTTATTAATAATATACTCAGTTATGTATATATGGGAGTAACTATTATGTTAATGATTCCCATTAAATTTTTACTGGTTATGCATATATATTTTAGATGCAAGAATATGACTACTTATGATTTTGTATTAAGTAGAAGAAAAATTGAGTAGAAATCATCTTCTGAAAAATTATAAGAAGGTACATCGAATCAAACAAATTTACAAACAAATATCATTTCTAGAAATTATTTACAATAAACTCATTTAAATATCTAAACAGCTGTTTCAAAACCAAAGGTAATCAAAAAAGGAATAGATTGGGAATAAGAGGAAGCAGATGTTGAAGAAGGAGACAGTTATCATGCCAAAGAACCATTACCCTTACCTAGCTAAAAAAGTAGTGCCAGATAAATAGATTCTTAATGCAATTCAGGACATAGAAGGACTTGTCCAAATACTTAAAGGTATATAGTGTTATTAAATTTCAAGAGGTAACACTTCGACAATATAATTAAATGATCATAAACCAATCAGATCTTTATTTAATGTTAAAGATTTCTAATAGATAATTGAAAATTAATTAATGAATAATGTGAATGAAGGTTCCATTATTCAATTTGATTCAAAGCATTCATAAAAAACTGATTAAATTGAAATCAATATATGAATATTATTGGTTTCTAATATTATTTATTATAAATTATGTAATAAAATGAAAATGATCTCATATAAAATGATAATAATCAACAATTCATTTTATAATAGGAATAATAAGAACTAAATTAATAACAAGAGCAAAATGATAAGAAACCTCAAACAACCTTAGAATAATCAAATGGAAATTAAAAATAAAATGAACAATTTAATAATACTTCTTAATTTACAAATAATCAATAGTAAGAAGTGAATAAAGAGAAAACAACATTAGACACTGATTAACAAGGTGAAACTTAGGAGGCTCTAAATGAAAAAGAATAGTTTGAAAAATAAGAGTAACCTAATTCATAATAGGATAACATCAATAAAATTGAGGAAAATTAGTAAATATAAATTGTTGATCAAACTATTTAAAATGGTTAAAATGCTTAACCTTCAAATAATCATGAAGTCTAATAAGGTTAAAAAGAAAATTAGTATAATAAAGTAGATTAATAAGAACAAGAATAAAAAAAATAAAATAAGAAGAAAGAAGATAATCAAGTAGAAAATTAGGGTTAAAGAAGCAATTTAAAAAAGAAAACAACTAAAAGAAGAACTACAAAAGTAGAAATATAAGAAAATCTAGAATAAAATAATCCTAATTAATCAAACAATGATATCAATTAATAGAAGTAGGACACTGATCAAAATAATTAAGAGAATAAGGAGAAAGCAGATTTAGAATTAAATTAGCAATAGATAGAGGAATAATAATAAAAAGAAGAATTATTGAAGAAATAAGAATAGGAAAAATAAGAATAGGAATAATAAGAAAAACTATAAAAATTATTATTAAAAGAGAAATTTCTAAAGGGTATGATTTTTCCTTTAAGAAGCTAAAAAAGAAAAGGTAAATAAGTAGATTTAAGTTTTGAAATTGAAAGTGATAAATATTAAGTAGAAAGGAAAGAGTGTAAAAGTGCTTAAAGATATTAAAGAGAAAAGAAACCAAGAACAAAGAGTGTTATTAATAAAGAATTAGTTGATTTTTATAATAAAATGAATCCTGAAAAACCATTTGATCAAAATGCAATGACTCCAAATACGCTACAACGTAGAAAAAAATAATAAGAGTTAGATGAGATGAAGAGAGATTGTTAAAGACTTGAAGAATAACAAAATTCATAATCTTTACCATAAAAATAATAAAAAACTTAAATATATATTAAATAAAGAAATTCAACATAACCAAAAAAGAAATTAGAAGTATTTATAAGAAGACTTAAAAAACAAAAGGTACGAAATGGTCTTAGAGAGAGAATGTTAATAGATAAAGATAAGGATTCTTAATTAAAAGCATTAGATTTTATTAGAAAAATGTAATAGAATAGAATGGCAGCAGAATTAAAAAGATAAGAATAGTTGGAAAAAGTAAGTTATAAAATTTCAAGTGATTTATAAAGTTTGAGGTAGAATAATTAAAGATATAGAGAAGAATAATAAAAATAAAAAAGAAAACAAGCGCTTGAATAAATTGCAAAATAAGAATAAAAAAGATATGAAATGATGTTAGAATAATAGAAAACTGAAAAATTTGTTAGAGAATTAAAAGAAAAGTCTGCTGTGGTTAGTCATTATAGTGCTAAGAAATTAGCATTAGGTTCTCCTTTATCTCTAGTAAAAGAATTAGAAAATGGATAAATCAAAATTGAATAAAATATTGATACTAATAGAAAAATGAATGAAAATTAATTCATACTTAAAGAAGAATAAAATAAATTAATAAAAGAAACTAAAAAAAAGTAATAAGATTAAATTAAGTAAGTAAATTAAATGAATCTTCCTAAAATAAATGAAAAGAAAAATTTTGAAATGTAAAAACAAAATTTTACTATTGAAAATAAAGAAACTTTTCCTGAAATTAAACCAAAACCTAAGAAAGCTTGGTAAATAGAATAAGAATTATAACAAAAAAAATATAAAAATAGTGAATAATTCAAGGAATGATTATAAACTTATAAATTAATAATTTAAAAAAAAAAATAATCTATAAAATTATATAATTATTTTTTTAATCAAGGTTCAATAATTATTCCATTATTATAAATTTGAAAAACTTAATTTTCTTGATTTTATTAATTTTCTGGTTCTTCATATTCTTCTTCTCCAGGATTTTCTTCTTCATTTTCATTTTCTCCAGAATTTTCTTCTTCATTTTCATTCTCTTCTTCATTTTTATTCTCTACTTCATTCTCTTCTTCATTTTCATTTTCTTCTTCATTCTAAAATTGTTCTTTTTCATTTTCAGAATCAGTATCTTTTGAAATGATTTCATTTTAAACAAGATCTGATATTACTGAAAATTTCCATTCTCCATTTCTATATCCATTTAAAATCTAGCCATCAAATACATCACAAAAGTAAACTATATATTTTATACTATAATACATCTAGCATCATATTTACCAAATGTTTTCTCAAATAATATCATATTTCCTGTTATTTCATTTTCATTATATACTTCTTTTCCTTTTAATTTAAAGATTTCATTTTCATCATCACAACCAGATAAACATTTGAATCTCCAAGTCCATTCATCTTTCTTTTTTCCATTATCTCCATAATGACCTTCCTTAATATATAAAATTCTAATATTAATTAATTTAATACTATCCTTAATCTCTTTCATTTTCTACTAAAATATATTAATCAAAATACTAGCTTTCTCTCCATAATCCTGTTTTTACATCGTTAACATATTCACCCACTTCACTAAATAATAAATATATATTTTACTATAATATCCATTTATCATCATAATTAATAGATGTTTTCCATCTTCCATTTTTCTTTCCATTATTGAATTCACCTTTTGATCGAGTTCTATATTATAGATTATAAAAAGATACAAAAGAATTTTAAAATTTCCAATACAATCTAATATTTCTGCTTATCCATTTAATACTCCATTTTCATAACAACATTTTCCTTTATGACCTTATGATGAAGAGATCCATTCATTAATTCTATTGCCATCATCATTATAAAACCCTTCTTCTTAAATACGTCTACTTAAATTATTATTATTTACATAATTGAATCAGCATGAAAGTTTTAATAAATTCTGATTTCTTTCCAATCTTTAACTTTAATACCTTATTCATAATCTCCACCATAATAATATTCTTCATCAAGATATATATCCTTTTGTTTTTCTTTAAATGACCAATATCCATTTTTCTAGTTATTTTTATAATTTCCTTAAATGGTGGTCAACATACTAGCTTTTGATGAATATCCAATAGGTTCTGTCCAAACTCCTGTTTTTCTGCCTTACTTATACTCACCTTGAGAAACAAGATGAGAATGAATTTAATGTTCATATTATTCATATAATGTTGATTCCCAAACTTCTTCCTTCACTCCATCATCATTATACTTTCCTTCTGAACAAATAAAGCTATATATTTCTTTTTATTTATCAAATATAATTGAGTTTTACTCTAATTCTATCCATTTTCCTTTTTTTATACCTCCAATAAAGTAATTCCCACATTATCTAAATTAAATTTGCTATCTTACATAAATTTATTAAAATTGAAAATAAAACTTTAAGTAATTCGTTATCCCTCATAAAGTAAAAATTCTTCAACTAAATACCAAATATCATTTGAGATGTTTGGTTACTTATAAAGGAAATAACAAAAGGAATTTCCAATTTCTCTATCTTGAATGAATGTTTTTTCCCCTCTTAATAATAGATTTCAATAATACAATAGTTAATCATTTATTTAATATATCCATTTTCCTTATTTTTTACCTTAATTATAATCTCCTTTTGCTGTAATTATGTGTTGTCTATAAACTTCAATCACTTCTTTCCATGTTCCATTTTTTTTGTACCCTTCATATTATCCATAACCACTAAATGCAATTATAAAATACATAATATTTTTCTAGTTATCTAGGTATTCAATTCTCTTGTTTCCATCCTTGTCGAAATTATTATCAGCAACTTAAAATTCTATCAAATTCATTTTATATTAAATTAATTATTAATTAATCATGATGTTATATTACGATGATGATTTCTTCAATAGTAGACAGAAGAAAGAGTTTAGAATAAATGCAACTATTGTTATTTCAATGATCTAAATAACTATTTAAGCAGTCATAATGGTAATCAAAGGAATTTCTCACTTTTGCATTTTATATTATGCTGGATCTAAACATACACCTGCTATAAAATATCATTATCATTTCCACAGATTATTCAATCCAATCTTTTTACATGGAGGAAATGGTCACCTATTATCCAATCTACTTAGTTAATTGTTACTATGTTATTCATATGAAAATAGAAATGGAACATAGGATTTCTTATTACTATATTTTTTAGCAGGAATTGGAGGTAATATTGTTAGTGCACTCTACTTTCCAATAGCAACTGGAGTTGGTGCAAGTGGTGCTATATTTGGTTTCATGGGTTATTAATTGGCATATTTGATAAAAACAAAATAACCTTAAGAAAAGTATTATGGAATTCTGATAGTACTTTGTATTTAGATATTATTGATATTTGAACCTCACACTCATGTTGATTACTCTGCTCATTTTGGAGGATTTTTTGTAGGGATTTTATGGTATTAAAAACAGAAGGCTTTAATTGGATTGTTGTTGTTATTAGGATGTGCATGCATTTTTTTGATTGATGTACCAGATTAACGATACTGTTGAATTTATATATATATTGTATATTTTGTTAAAATAAAATTAAAGGTTTGAAATATAAGAAGTAGGGATTGGAAGTGTTATAACAGATTAATGTACTATTTTTTAAGCATTTTGATTTTAAATCATTTTTTTTATGTATTTTTAACTTTTGGTTAAGCTTATGTTCCTGCTCTGAAACCATTCTTAGCTCTTCTGGCAATTGACTTCAAATATCTCATTCTTCCTGTTCCAGTAGATCTTCTTCTAGCTACTTTCTCTCCCCATCCACTGTCTATTATTCAATTAATGAAATTACAAAGTCTTAATCTTGCAGCTGGATATCCACATGATGCACATCTATTTTTTTAGATATGGAAAGTTTATCTTCCACATCTTTTACAAAAAGTATGAGTCTTTTGATGTCTCTTACCGATTGCTGGAGTACCTCTTGCCATTGAATTATTTAATAAAAGATTTAATTTAATAAAATAGTCATCACTAAATGAGTTAATCCATTATTATTTTTTAATTTCTTTTATGGACATTCCAATCCATTCATACAATTTATTTACTACAAATAGAACTATTCAATCATGATTATAAAGTAAAATACTCATGAAATACTAAAAATATTAATTATTTTTAGATTCAATATATTTCTTTTTGTTTTGAATTTAATACAACTGAATTATATGTCTAAAAATAATCAAGTGCCCATAATTAAATAATTGTATATTACAAACAACTAAAAAATATTTATGATCCTATTCTTTTAATAATATAATTGAATAGAATATAAAACCCTTCTCTCTATACTATTTTAAACTCTTTTTTATTGATTATTGTGATAATTATTAATAAATCATTTAATATACAATAATATTTACTCAGAAATCTTCCACTTAAGCCTTGTCATTAAAATATTTGCCATGGTACTTCTCATCTCTTTAAAAGGGTAAATTGTTGATTAAAAATTGACTAGTAACAACTCCATCATCAAGACTACCTGGAGCTTAAGGACCTCCCATATCGGTTTTGATCCTATTTTAATAAGTTAATTAATCTTACCATCCTGGATGCATACAGTATATTGATTAATTAGGTTTAACCAATCCACTCAATACATATCTACCATAAGCATTCAAAATAGCTTTAGATGCTGAATAGACAGCCAAATTGTTATCATTTTTCTTGATAAATTCCTCTGAAAGTTAAATAATTTCTTCCTTTGTTTTTTTCTACTATAATTACTCTTTTAATTCTTTAGGTTGACTATTCAATTTTCCAAGAATAGATGACACTAAAAGAATCTAAAATTATATAAAATTATCATTTACCTTTCCATCTTCTGTTAATGTAGTTAATAATTATTCACTTACATCAATTGTTCCAATAACATTGATGTCAATTATTGATCTTGGGTTTTAACTGACTCCAGCATTATTTACAAGTACATCGATCTTTAAATGTTATTGTACAAGCCAATCTTTGAGATTTGCTACACTCTCCTTATTACTAACATCTAATTGATGAGTCCTGATTTCAAGATTTTAGAATTTCTTTTCTAAATTTTCTTTAATTCTTTCTAATTCATCTTGCTTTCTAGCTGTTAATATTAAAGAGTATTTCTCTGCAAGTACTTCAGCTAATTTTAATCCTAATCCTCTATTAGCACCTGTAATCAAAACAATTCTTTTTGCCTACATTCAAAATTTTATAATAAATTATTATGAGTGGTAATTTTATAAAGTATTGTATGTTAGTCGTCTTATTATTACTGATTAAAAAGAATATTTAAATTAATCTGAATTCTTAATTTTATTTACAAAAGAAAAAAAATTCAATCAAAATTAAAATTAAAGCTATAGCTAGATGCTCATTAAATAAATATAGTTACAATTATATGAAAAAGTTATCTTCTATTTTGATATCTATATTAAATTTCTATTTATATTTGAATCACATTTTAAACGATTCATTTAAATAGTATCGCATCAATGTAAATATATATACGAATGCTCATCAAAGTTTTATAAAGCTTGCTTATATAAATTATCATAATTGTAATAATACAATATATTTTGATGATTCTAAATTATTAAATAATGGATGTTGATGTGATTTTTTAGTAATTTTATATTTATTACAATGGGATTTATCTAATAAGTTGCAAATGAGGGTATCATAAATGTTTTACAATTTAATTATTTAGGCATAATTTTTTCAAAATTTAACACCAAACTGAAGTATCTCAAATCGTAAAACGGGTATATGAAGTTTTAAATATTATTTTAATGAAGTTGAAACTTGCAATATTGCTTATTCTTCTTATAGCTGTTGCTCAAACAAGAAGAATTAACTTTTTGGGACATCGCCAAGAGAATGAAACTGGAAAAGAGAGTGGAGAAGAAGGGCATGGAAATGGAGAAGAAAGTCATGGAAATGGAGAAGAAAGTCACGGAAATGAAGGAGAAGAGGGTCACAATAATGGGGAAGAGGATTAAAACAATGGAGGAGAAGAGAATGGATAAAGTGGGACAGGTGATGAAGGTAAAAATTTTTTAATGAAAATAGGTTCTGATAATAATGGTTCATGTTCAACTGGAGGTAATACTGGAGAATCAGGTAATACTGGAGAATCAGGTGAGCCAGTTGAATAACAAACTTGCAAAGGTGTGATATTCGATGCAGGAAGTTCAGGAACAAGAGTATTTGTTTATACTTGGCCTTGCAGAATGTTTAATTATGCAAATCCAGAGATAGAAATAACACAAAAGGTATTCCATTTATAATTATTATTAGGTCCCTTCAGTCAAAGTTAACCCTGGAATCTCTCATTATGGAGATAACATTTCTGGACTCAGAGAGTATTTCTAACCTTTATTGTAATTTGCAAATGAACATGTTGAAGAGGAGATCAGACATAGAACACCAATATTATTAGGAGCTACAGCAGGCATGAGAATATTAGATTGGAGTTAATAATATGATGTTATGGAGGAGGTTAGAAGTATTTTAAGGGAGAGTGGATATTTGTTTGAGTCTTCAGAATGGGCAAGAATTATAAGTGGAAAAGATGAGGTAAATTTAAAAATAAATTTAGGGCGCTTATTTATGGTTGTCTGTCAATTATTTGAAAGGTTATTTTTCTAGTAACAATATTGATGAATAAGGAAAATTGGTTGAAAGTTATACTACAATTGATATTGGTGGTGCTAGTACTTAATTGGCTGATGATATCAATGAAAAAGATTAATATTACTTAACATACGATGATGAATATTCAACAGATTATCATACATTTGATACATCTATTTATAATATTTCATTGTACTCACATTCATGGTTGTATTTTGGATAAGATCAAGCTAGAATTTAGATAAATAATTTTTTACATAATTTACATAAGAGATCATCAAGTTTTGAAAATCCTTGTTATCTTAAAGGATACAAAGATAAATTCAATGATAATGTTGAAATTGTTGGTAGTGGTAATCCAAATGATTGTAAAGATTTAATTGATTTATATTTACTTGGATTCAATAGCACATGTGATTAATGTTCAATTTAAGAATCCTATATCCCTACAATTAGATCAGATTCAAAAGTTTATGCAGCAGGAGCAGCTGATTTTGTATCAAAAATCTTTAATGATGATAATGATTATACTTGGACATAATTTGAATATTTTGATGAATTTTGTTCAAAGGAATTTGATGAGAATAATAAAAACAAATATTATGCCACTGAATGCTTTTTAGGACTTTATGTTTAAGAATTATTGGCTAGTGGTTACAGAATACCATCTGATACGTATAAATATTTAATTATATTTATAGTTTGATAGAAACTGGAAAGATTAATGATTTAGAACCATCATGGACTTTAGCTGCAATGTTCGATTAAATTGATGATAATCATGAGTGTACTGACAGTCCTCATTGTAATTTCAGAAGACATTTGAAATCATGGAGAAAAGATAGTTTCCATCCTTCAATGAAAGAACATAAAGGTAAGGCTCCTTTGTCAAATTTAATGCCTTGATATATATATTGTTCATTTATATATATCAATAAAATCATTTAATGTAAATCATTCACTTTATTATAAAAATATTATTCATAAATTATTATTTATTTTAAAGCGTTGTATCAATATTTTCATTCCTATTTAACCTTTTTGCAAGTTTCATCTTGTTCATGGTATGCTTTAAACGAAACAGCCAATTCATAGCAACGTTATTTCATAGACAAAATCCAAGGTACTCTTTTATATGTAGATATTTTCTATTTAAAATTGAAACAATTAATACATCAATTTAACCAGAAGCAATAAATTTTAGAACTTATTTAGCCATATTTTAAATTTTTTCATTATTTTCTTGATCCCATATTTCATCAAAATGTTCTATAAATTTAATAATCTTATATACCAAGATAAGAGAGATATCCTTCATAAAATTTTTCAGAAGAAAAAATTTTCTTTAAATATGATGTATTCATGGTTTTATTTGATGACTCAGATCTAAAGGGAATTAATTCTTCAATATTATCATTGGAAGAAAAATATTCTTTGTAGAAAACCTTCTCAATTTCATAAGCGCTCATTGTTAATTCATTTAAGTTCATCTTTTATTTCAAAAATTTAAAGCACTTTCTTAGAATAAATTTGATTTATTCTTCTTTTGTCTTTTTTTGATTTTAATATCGATTGATCAATGATTCTATTAATCCATCATCTATTCTAGTCAAGATCTAAAGTAATTTTTATCAAAATTGTATATACTTTATATTTAATTTTTTCATTCTCCTCTAATACCTTAATTTCTTCCTTACAGAGATATTCTAATAATTATTTGAGTTCTTAAAGTATTTCATCCTATGTAAATTATTTCAGTATTTCATTCTCTTTCTTTTGTTTTGGTAAAACTCTTTCTGATTGACTTTTCTTCGTTCGAATATCAGGTTATTAAATTATTGGTATTGTTCTTTGAGATGATTAAGAAAGAAGAGATATTTATTATAGAGGATTTAGTGATGGTATTTATAGATTTTGTTAGTTAGCAACATTGCTTTAGAGTGCACATAGTAATTGTAAATACTAAGGTTAATAATATAAGAATATACTTGTAGCTGTTAAAGTTATTACAATTATTGTATTTAGGGACAATATTAAAGTTATGCTAAAGTGGGAATCTATTAGAATGGATTCATGAAAAAATTAATAATTGATCAATGTTTTTGGATTCAACTTAAAATACACAGATTTTTATCAATTAAATAAAACTGAATCTAAAATGAATCATTATTATATTAAACTCCTTGATAATAATTTTTATATATTTCATCATAAATGAAACTCTTTCAATTATTATAATATTTTTTATTTTTCAATTCTTATTTTATCTTTTCATTATTCTTGAATATCGTTTCAGTTCCATTTAAATATAAATCCATTCAATTAATTTTAATTTTTTTACAATTCCTACTCTAACCACTACTCTAACTAAAATTTTGTAATATATATAATTCAACTATTATTTTATAATTTAATTTTCACTCTTTTACTAATTTATTTGATATGAGTAATTATGTTAAGGATTTTAGTTAACTAAATACATTAACATCAAATAATATCATACATAATTTTAATTAAACTTCAAATATATTCATTTAAAAATTTAAGTATTTTACAAAAAAATAACATTATTATTATGAGTATTTGATAATTACTAAAAAATATCTAGTAAATATTGATAAATGTAATGATACAATATTAACTTCATTTATTTATTTATTTCTTAATTATAAAAATACTCTAATTTACTGCTTATATTATAAAGTATTGTAAAGAATTTTAATCCGAAATTTTTACATTAATTAAAGTTTTTTTTATTGATAAATATCTTGATAATATAAAAATTTGCATATGATTATTGTGGATAATCCAATATAATACATTTTTTATTGGAATTTTCTCCGAAATATTGAATTAGTTCACTAATTTTCACGAGCTATTGAATTTATCAATTAAAATTAATTTATAAAAAAATATATATATATATATGAAATGACTGGGAATGTATCAATAATCGATTTTTATCTAATTAATTCCATTAGGAGAAATAAAGCAATTATAACTGATTTTCTTTCATTCTATTTTTTAAATAAATTAAAAATGTCTTAGAAACCGAAGTTTAATTAGATCATAAGTGTTAATGGTGACATTCATCATCAATCTATTATGTCACCTATTGATCATAGATGTGTGAAAAGATAAAAAAAAGTCACTTTTGACAATTATGCTCTTTATCTTTAATTTCGAGCAACTGACTGTCCTAGTGAAGTGAATATTACCCTTTAAAAACACAATTAATAGACATCAATCTCAATAAGTACCTGACCTTTAAAAAAAAAAATGATTTTATTTTCATAATATGTTTCACTCTCATATATTTAATTGTCTTCTATTAAAACTTTACTCAATAATTAACGACGATGATTATCTGTGATAAATTATCGAAAAGAGTAATTTAAATAGATACTCTAGATTACTGATATACAAAATAATTAATCCATAAAGGAATTTTCATTTATGGCAAACTTTTCAAATCACTAATTAAAAGTACATTAGGAAATGATTCATATGTCTTTGTTTAAAGAAATGACAGGCTATTTAATGAAATTATTTGATGATAGGAGAAAATAATGAATTTGCTGACTAAATTATTTGGATTGTCAAGAAAACATATACAAATTTAGAAAATAGATTAGGAAATATATAAGAACTGAATTATTACAAGTAATGTTTAGTTTTAGGCTTTTCAATGATATTAAAATTTGATTTAAAATATTTTAATAAAATTTTTATATAAATGTATATTTCATTATTCATAATTCAAATTTTGAATGTTGCCATTGCAAGTAAATGAAATATTATGATAATTATAGCATTGGATTGTTTAACAATAAAGGGGACAGCCTTAAGTAGTTTTGCTTATAAAACAGATGGGTCTGTGTAATTTGAATTTTCTATATCTGCAGCTGGTAATGTAGATTTAACATTTCCAACTTTTTGGAGTGGTTCACCTTCAATTTCACCTTTAATCAGCGGAACCACTACTTGTAGGGAAGTAAGTTTAAATAACATTATAAAAGACCACATAAAGTATAACATGTACATAAAATAATCAAAAATTTACATGTATTGCATAATCAGGAGGTAGTTTGATAATAAGATGTAATAATGTAATGGGACCACATACAAATAAACAGATTGGAAATTTCAATATATAATTTGCTGATTAATCTTGCGATAACATTCAGATTAGTAATTTCTAACCATATGGTGGTTCAGTTGTGTTTTCATCTAATTCAACAACTGGTTTATTTCCTAATACTGATAAATTGTAAATGATTTGGGAAAACATAGTATTACCAATTTCTTTTAATACAAATCCTCGAATTGAAGTTTCTATTTTAAGTAATGGAGAATTTGTAACAACTTCAACTGTAAAAGGCTATGTGTCCACTGTATCAATAGGTTTATTAGAATCATTATCAGTGAGTACACCAAATTTGATAAAAGCTTAAATGCCAGAATAAATTGCTGTTAAGGATGCTCCAATTAAATTATATATGGAAGCATTAAAAGTGATGGGCAACACATAGCCTATTCAATCATAAATAGATTTTAAGGATTCTAATGATGTATTGTAATATTAGATTCTCTTTCCAACAATTTCAGTTCAAAATGATTAATTGACAGCTAGTTTAAATATTGAATCAACTGAGATTAATATCTATACAAAATATACTTTTAGTATAACAATCAAGAATGCATTGAATTCAGCAGGATTTGTAAGAATAGCATTAGCATAAACATTATTATCTTCCAATTTAATATGTTATTGTGATAATTCAGTAGCTATTCCAGTTGTTAATGTAGATTATATTGATATTGGAGGATGTCTAACAACAATAGGTAAACATAATATAGCTATTTAAAATGTATTAAATCCAATATCTACAATATCAACTATTACAATATCATATATTTAAACTATGTAGAATGGATTTTCAGTAGATAGAATGACAAATTTTTAATATATATCACCATCATTCACACCTGGAACTTTAAATGCTTAATATGAAAGACAAGGAAGTAGTTTGGATATAGTAGGAGATTATTCATATTTCATATTAAAAATAACACCTAAGAATATTATACCTGCTTCAGGTACATTAAGAATGGAAATTCCTTAGGAGATTAAATTTGTAAATCAAAATACTTAAACTTGTAATGTAGATTTAATAGGTTGTCAAATTCTTACAATTTAAGATTAAGTTTTAGTATTCAAATTATCATCATAATTAGAGGCTTCAAAATAATTTACTATTAATTCAATATCTATACCAATTAGAAATCCATTTGATACAAGTTAAACAAATTATTTTAGATTTACTACTTATGATTAATTCAATAATATAATAGATACAATCTCTAATGTCTAAGGTTATTCAGTTAATACTAGATCATCATTTGATGGATTAATTATTATAGAATCAGATTAACCATTCAAAAATGGATAATCTAATACTTTTTAATTTACTATTAAAACTAAAACTCCTTAATTCTATCCTATCTAAATGTCTATCAAAGTTGGTGATTTAACAATCAATAATAATCCATAATGTAAATTAGAGGGAGCTGTCATTAAGACTTGCACTAAAATATCATCTAATTAATTAGATATATTAATTGAAAGTACTGATATACTCTTATTGCCAACTACATTAAAGTTAACAGTTTCAACTATCAGATGTAAAGATACTATGACTTAGAGTTAAGATTTTGAATTTTTTACTAAATCTACTAATGGATTAATGAGTTATCAAAAAGGTCCATATATTAGTAATACTTAATTTGGTGACATTACATAAACTGAATTGATTGTTGATAAATAATATTATGGAGCCTAGAATGCAGTTTATTAATTTAATTTTGCATTACAAAATGGATTAATAGAAGGTTTTTATTAGATTCATATCTTATTTCCTTTCAATCTACCTTCCACTGGTTATTCATGTAAGGATACATCCAATAATAAATTGGACTGCAGTGTCTAATCCAATAATATTTTAGTTTTTACTGGACCTTTTGATTCAAATCAATTAAGATATAATATTATTGTGAATGGAATTTCAACTCCTCAAAATGAATAATAACCAAGAACATTTACAATTAAAACTTATAGAAAAATTGACAATTCTAATTATTTAGTTGATAGTTCAATTAATGGAGCATTTTAATTTAATTTATTTTGTCCTCAATTAAATAATTGTAGAACTTGCAAAATCATTGCTTCTGATAATGTTTAATGTCAAACATGTTATACATCTATTATATCTAAATATATATATATGAAATAAAATGCTTGTGTAGATTTTTGTGGTGATGGATATTATTAAAATGAATAAGAATTAATATGTTAATAATGTCCAAACAATTGTTAAAATTGTTAACCTGTAAATAATGTTTTAATTTGTGATAAATGTTTTAATAATTATAAATATTAAGATGGTGTTTGTGTTGACACATGTGGTGAGACATATTATTTACCTTTGAATTCAAATAATAAATGTGAAAAGTGTGATAGTGAATGCATATTATGTTCAATGAATTCATCATATTGTTCAAAATGTTAACCAAATATACCATTATATGATCATAAATGTTATAGTAAAGGATGTGAACAAGGATATTATTAAACTTATAATTCAAATAAGGTTTTAATTTGTGAATTATGTCCAGCTACTTGTATAAGTTGTATTACTAATGATTAATGTACTGAATGTTAACCTGGTTAATATTCTTTATCAGGAACATGTAGAGCAGATTGTCCTCTTGGTTATTTTATAAATGAAGAATAAATGCAATGTAAATCATGTATTTCAGGATGCAGCCAATGTTCAGATGATACTACATGTGTTAAATGTTCTGATGGATTCTTATTAAAAAATTAATAATGTGTATTAACATGTGGAGATTAATATTATATTGATAGTTCTTAAACTTCTTGTTTGAAATGCAATTCAAATTGCCAAACATGTGAATTAAAAGATGAATAATAATTATGTAATTCCTGCATTAAACCATATTTCTTTTCTAATTTTACTTGTATTCAATAATGTGAATCAAACTATTATTCAGTAAATCAAGAATGTTTCTAATGTTCATAAAATTGCTTAACTTGTAATGGTAGTTCATAAACTTGTACTTCATGTTAAGTATAAGGAGATACACCATCATTTCTAGATGGAACTGTCTGTGTTACTAAATGTTCAGATACTTATTTTGGTGATATTACTAGTGGAAAATGTGTATAATGTCCAAGTACTTGTACTTAATGCACATCATTAAACAATTGCACTTAATGCAATTAATCATCAAAAATTCATTATTTAATTTAAGGTGCTTGTAAAGAAGACTGTCCAAACAATTATTAACCTAAAGGATTACTATGTGAATTGATACCAGAAGAAGTTGTAATCAATTTAGGACCTAATCGATATGTCCCAGTACCTCATTTCATATTATTCACATTTTTCACCATATCTGTACTTGTATCTAAATAATACAGAAGTGAAACTTATATGCCTGGATCAATTTTAGGTTTGAATGCTCCTTTAATATGGTCATCATGGTTGACCGTGTTATTTTTATTATATAATTATTATGAATACCAAGAAATGTATTATTTTTGGATTTTAGTTGGTGGTGTATTATTGAATTGGGTATTTAATATTGGTCATCATCTATTGGTTATTAAAAAGATTTGGAATGATTAAGATTTCATTAGATGGTAAGCTTCAACTGTGAAAAATAAAATTACTAATTATATTTTGATTTCTTTCTCCTTAATTTTAGCCTTTCCTCTTTATAAACTCATTATGAGTAGATATTTTGGTTTTTCTTTTTTTAAAGCAAAAATGGTGGATATCAAACCTTTCTTTTATTTTAATTGTTTAAATGGACTTTACATTACATTTGTAAATGTTCCTATAATTGTTAGTTGTGCATTGATTGCCTATTATGAATCTTCATTTAATACATAAACATTTATTAGTGCCATTGATTCACTAATTATTACTTTTTCCAATATTTTACTATTAATTTGGGAAACTTAAAAAGGAGAATAATTTTTTGATGAATTTGTCTAAAATTATTATTTAAATGAATCTAAATAAAATATTGAAAAATAAGAAATTTCTGGATTCTTTCAACATCCTTTTGATTTGAAATCTTAAGCAGAATAAAAAATTGATATTTCAGATTTAGATGCTTAAGCAGTCAATTAAGAGAATGATGTTACGAAATAGAAATCTCATGAATAATCATAAGAATAATCTTGTAATTTAAATGGAATAAGTATAATATTAAGTGATAAAAATTCAAATCCTGTATTTCAATAAGAAAGTGATAGATCCAATTAATTTCCTTAAAAATAAATTATACCTTCTAATCTCAAACATACTGTCTATTATAAGAATATATAGAATAATTAAATAGAGAATCCTGATGCCGAACCTCCATATGCATCTCCTGGATCTGAAAATTTCAGTTCAGTTAAGTCTCAATCAAGTCAACATTGTTAGAATTCTTTCAATGATCAAAGTCAAAGTCCATTAAAAGACATTAGTTAAATTTAGGATTCTGAAGAACCACATGAGAATAGTTAATTGTCAATATTTGATGATGAGAAGAATAAGAGTCCATCAAAATAATAAAAAGCTTTGCAATTATAATAAATTTAAGATTATCCACCTGATCATTATAATGTTGTACCAAACTTTGAAAATTATTAAGATAATGAAAATGATCCTCAATATATTAATTAATAAGTAGAAAAGGCTGATAGTTTTTGTAAAAAGAATTAATCATAATTATCAAATAATTAAGGAGAAAATAATCTTTAATCTAATCGTAAATCATCATAATCAAGGAGAGAATTAACATAATCATTATAATATTCATAAGTCTAATAACTTGCAAAATCTGCTTAATTTGCAAATGAAGGTAATAGAGTAATATCATCAAATAAATCTATGAGTCGAGATTCTTTGAGTGTTGAAACTAATAAAGCATAATAAGGATAATATACTTAATAGGTTTCTAATTAAGATAAGCCATTAGTATAATCATTTTTATATTAATAAAAGGAAATAGAATAATAATAATAATAATAATAATAATAATAATAATAATAATAATAATAATAATAATAATTATAATAATAATAATAATAATAATAATTATAATAATAATAATTACAGTAATAAAAATCATTATAATTTATTGAATCTTACTAATAATAATTAATTAATACTAAAAGTGATGATTTTAATTAAATTCATAAATAAAATATTGATGATTATCCTTCTATTCCTTCTAATCAATTCAAACCAAAAACTAAATCAAGTGATCTAAAAGAACCTTCACAGAAAAGCAATTAGGATGATGATTCTGATAATATATAACTATAACTAGGGGTCATAGATTAATAACCATAATTTGATACAGAAGAAGATTAAAATAGAATTCAAATTTTAATGGATAGTAGAGCAATTGAAGAAGAAGATTAAGAAATATTTCAAGATTAAATTCAAATATAACAAATAAAACCAAAACCTTACAAAATGAAAGTAGAGAACCGTTAAAAGAAAGCTAAGAGTGAATAAATAAGTAAAGAGAAGATTGAAAAGGAGGCTTAGATTAAGAATATTTTTGATTCAAATGATTCAATTCATACAATGTCTGATTAAGATTGGGGAGAGAATCAAATTTCTCCTTCTGAATTTAATTCACTGAATTAAAGATTTGAAGATGAATAAGCATTGGATTTCTAGATTAATGTGCCTACTCACAGTAAGACATAATAGCATTACAGATAGGCAAAAGTGAAGCCCTTAGATTTTGAATTTGGAGATGAAAATAATGATGAATAATCTTATACTGGGTAGGCTTAGGTTGATTTTACTAAGAATTTTTAGATGAAGAAAGAGACTAAACAACAATAATTGGAAAAGGTGTATTTATAGAAGTTAGAGAAAAATGAGAAGATTGGTAGTAGAGTAAATAAATGGGAATTTAAGAAGAAGTAGGTCAATAAAAATCATCCAAAAGATATATCAGATGCTTATATTGATGATTAGATTGATGTTGAAGATATCAACTTTTGAATTAATTAATTAATTATATATATGTAAATATTATAAATTATAAAATGAGAAGCAATTTGAATATTGATATTTCAAGATCAAGCAGTTCTCATTTTCTTAATGACATTGAACTTAAAAAACTGTTCCCATTTACATAGCAATTACACAATCGATATTTATAATAAAATAGGCTTTAAAATATCAAAGATGATTTGACAAATATTTAACAACAAACTATAACTTATTAAATAAAAGACTTACTGATTAAGTAGGATTATTGCACTATTTTAGAGATAAAACAAGAAGCAGAAATAATATTGACGATATCATTTATTAGTAAACAACTCCAAGAAGGTTGAGATCTAAAGAGAGAACGATAAGTGTGAACAAAAAGAGTACTTAGACAATAAATTATCATGATGCTTAAAATGTTAATTTACATAATAAAAGTATAAGAAGAGATATTGTGTAATTGGCTCAATGGTTGGAATTAATGATATAGCAAGTCTAATAAACTTAAGGCAATTTATCATTTTAAGAATACTATAATAAAATTGAAGTAATATTTAGTGGATCAATGTTAGAGTTATAGAGACAATTATAATAAAAAGGTTTTGAATTTGGACAGTGTCTAAAAAAGATTTGGGATTCCTTTTTGATAAATGTACAATATGTAATAGAAGGATTGAATGGGAAGGCAAATTAAATTGAATAATAAAGTTTAGATAAAATTAATAAATTACATGAATGGTATTAAGAAGCAATATAAAAACAACTTTATTAAATTTAATAATAGAAAGAAGAATTACTTTAAATCTAATAAATTAATATATAAATGAATAAGGAAAATTAATATTTAAGGAAGAAGGATGTAAGAAGAGAAAAATAATTAAGAGAATTAATATATGATAAAGATCATTATTTATTAGAGATAATTGAATTAAAATCAATATAAATGATACATTCTATAGATTAAGAATAAAGTTAACAGAAAATTTATGATTATTTTAAAAAGTAATGTGAAAATCATATGAAAACAATGGAAATATAATATAAGAATTTATAAGTATAAGACTTTTATTTTGATCATACATTAGATTTAATTATTAAAGATAAAGGATGTTAGGTTGTTGATTTAATAAAAATTAATGATTAATATACTAGTACATCAGATAATTAATTGATTAATGTTGCTACTTAGACTCATAAGTAGAAACGATAAATAGATGAAGAAATTTAAGTTAAAGTTAATACAACAGATTAAGAAACATAAGTTAGTTTATATTAAATAAAAAGAGATAAATTAATTAGAAATCCATATGAATAAATTATTTTAAAGAATGCTTATCTTGATTTAGATGATATTATTGATAAATTTTAATAATTCTATTTTCCATATTAAGAATTATTATCTAATGATCCATATTATTTGACTTTGATTAATAATGAAATGAATCGTTAAGAAAAATAGATAAATTAAATTATGGATACATTAAATATTAGAAATGAAATTGCTCTTAATGATTTTTATAAATTTAAGGAATATTTAAAATAAATTAATAAAGAAACTTTATAAAATTATATGTAAATTTGGAAAATAGTCTTAAATTAATAATCATCTGTAATAGATTCTATAATTGAAAAATAAGAATTATAAGTTGAATTAGATGAAATTAAATCTATTTTTACTAATAATATGTTAATCATTAAATAATTTTAAAATAAATATGAAGAAGATAAAAAAATCTCAGAATTTTATTAATAATCTTTAATACGAACTATTAGATATGCTCCTTAATTTATAATTAATCAAATTTAATAGTAAGCTAATCTATACAAAGTATTAGATGGAGTTGAATTTAAAGAAATGAGAAAGAAAACTACTTTAGTTGATTCAAGAATTTCAGTTAGTCCATAAAGAGAAGATAGTTCATAATTATATTCTAAGTAGTCTCCAATAAGAGCAAGTTAAGTATCTTTTTAATCTTAATTGTAAATAAATTCAATGAAATAAATAACAACCAATAATAAATCATTGAAGGCTCAGAAATCATTTGAAATTGAAGTAGATATGCCAAAAGGATTGAGAGACATTGATGAAGAATCTTATAAGAGTGAATCAGAAGATGATAATATATAAGAGAAAGAAGATAATGCATTTTCATTATTAAGATTTGATTTCTAGACTTAAAAACCATAGTTGACATTAGAGAAGAAATTAAGAATAAATACATGTCCATTGAAATCAGCATAACATTCAACATCAATTCTTAAACAAAGTATTTTTTGACTAAAAATTCTAGTATTAAAAAAGTTTAATAAAAGCAATATGAATGGTCTATATACAATAGGAACTCTATTGTAACATTACACAGAATTAGTTTAAAGACAATTACCTAATAATACAAATACACCTTTACATGTACATTTGTATGAACACATTACCTTTCGATTCGGATAGTCATAACTTAGTGATTGCAATAGATATAAGAGAATGATAAAGAGTTTTTTATATTATGAACATAGACATTCAACTTGTAAGATTATTGTACGTTTTCTTAAAGCTGATTTAGATGTTTAAGATTTTAATACATATTTATAAATACTAGAAATATGTAAAGAATATCCTAGTTTAACATTCAATAATTTCATTTAATCACTTTAAGATTGGCTTAATTAAAATCATTATACAGAAGAGGAAATGGAGATAATTAAAAATGAATTATATTAATCAGATCTTGCTTATTTAAGAAATAATCCATCTCCAACAGAATTTGATTTAATAATGGATTAATTCTTAACTATTTTCGCTAAATTCAAAAATAGAACTTCTCATAAATATAAATATTTATTTGAATCTATTGATACTTCAAATAAGGGTAACATTAATTTTCAGTAATGGAATTTTATTTATGAAACTCTTATCTAAGTAAATTATTCATTTAGTCTAAAATTATTCTATTCTGAAGCTGATTATCATGATAATTAAAAATTAATGTCAAAATAAAGATTTACTTTGGTGAGTGATGAATTATAAATATTTTAATAAGATTAATAAGAAAGATTATTGGATCATCAAAGTTTTGAAGATATTTTATTAGAATTAAAAGAGAAATGGTCTAACAATAAAATTTAAATGAAAATTTGTTTCATTAAATCTAATAGAGTATTATTTCAATTTAATATATTTATTAGTATGATAAATTTATTAAATCCTTGTTTCAATATGTGGATAGGTGTTTACTCAATAAATAAAATGGAGAATCTTGTTGTTATACCTATAAATTACTTTAGAAAACTTATAAAGTTTATTATTTAGATCAATAAGTTTAGAGTATGTTATATTCTCCACTCTAAGCAATTAATCTGAAATTTAGATAAATTGAAGAAAAGATCTTAAGTTTCTGAAGTATATTTATTAAATCTACAAATTTTATAAGTATTTTGATATATATATTAAATTTTATTAATAAATTTTATATATTATATTAATTAAGCAAAGATTTATTAAATAAGTTTTTATATATATATTCATTTTTTTTTTGTTTATTTTGATCTTTATTATTTCTTCATATTCTAATTATTTTATGAACTTCTCAAAGGATATTTTTATTTATTCTCTTAAACTATATAAGGTTAATTCTAATCAATTTTACAATTATTTTAAGAACTTTAATTTATTAAGATTTTTAAATGGTCTTTGTAACAATTTACACTTTAAAATGATGTACTTTTTTCAATTTTACCTTTTGAAATGTTTGTACAACTATTATGTGTAAATTCTTTTGAAATACTCTTTTAATTATTGGATTTCTTATCATATAAATTAGAATTAATTTCTTTGGGTTCAGCCTATAAGTAGAAAGGTTAGGAATCCTCTTCAGGATCTAAAAGTAATTATTTTGTCAAATAAAGATTACTCTTTTAACTCAAAATTTATGATCTTAATTATGAGAATACATTTACTTATTATTATTAAAATCAATCTCTTTTTAATATTAATTTTACAATTTGTGTTAATCTTCTTATTAAGATTCATAAATAATTTATGATTAAAAATCATCTAATGATAATAAATCAGTATCTAAGAAATTTTTATTTTGTTTTGGGGATAAATATGATAATTGATATTAAAATAATCCTAAATTCTTTTTTTTAGATTTTGTTTAAACTGAAGCATTTGTAGTTGATTTACAAGATTAATTCAATTTAGAATATTTATTAGTATCAATTTGATGAGTTTAAGTAAAATTTGTTTAAATTTCAGTTTCCTTAAATCTTTTAGGTATTTTAAGAATAAGTGATCTATCAGTTAAAATTTCACTATAAAATTTTGGAATCTATTTTTAGGATGATTAAGTACTACATTTCATACCTTAAAATTCTTCATCTTCATTTAATTCAATGATAGGTTAAGTTTTAGATTATTTATTATTTGTAGATGTATGATATATATCTAAAATCATTGATTCAAATTTTTCATTTTTTTATTAATTTTTAATTTATTCTTACATTTCATTCTCATTTCTTTATTTTATATTGTTATTTGAATGAGTAGAATTGTATAATCTATATTAATCATTATCTAGATTCTATTATTAATTAATTAGTTCACTTTATTTGAGTGCATATTAATTAAAATTAAATTTTGAAGTATTATTTGCATCCCACACAGAAAATGATTATTAATTAGATGAATTTAATTTGGTTGATTTGACTTAAAAACCATCTAATTTATCTGTTTTTGAACTTTCATCTAATTTTTAAGAACAATAATTTGTTTGAGTGTAGTAATGTTATTTATTATAAATATTTCCCCAATTTCCATTGTATTAAGTTGAATTTGATAGTTTATTTGAATCGTTGATTATCCTAGCATCATGAGATAATGGAAGCAGAGATTGCCATCCAGCTGATCCTTATACTGAAACAGTATTTTCATTAATCTGATGAAGTTAAAGCAATTTTAAATTCATTTTATTTTTTGGCGTTGAAATGAGTAATTCTTCATTGGGTTATGAAGATTACCTGCTTCTTCCAACACTCACATGGAGTTTACCAGGTTTCTAAATTTACTTTAATTGTTATTTTAATCTGCCTAAGGGATTTGATCTAGTGGTACTCTTAGATCTTACAAATTTCAACTGACTCATAAAATTTTATTTATAAACAAATATTATGTTTTATTTTATAATGAAAATTACATAATTAATTTGATGAAAAAATACTATTATTTTATTAAAATTTTTCTATATGATTTATCTCTTTTTCTTTAATAAAATATATTATTTACATAATTGATTTCCTATAGTAAAATGTATATTCTAAAAGTTTACAAAAAAAAAACTTCTAAAAATTCATTATTAATTAATTAATTAATATAACATAAAGGTAGGAAGTTAAGAATTTATTATGAGTACTTACCGAACCAGGTGAAACCAATATAAGTAATCAAAAATTTTTTAGTACAAATACTCTATTTTTAAATAATATTGGATTGTGTACTAATATATCATCGAACACTTTGAGACATACAGCTCTTTAGATTTCATTTATTAGGCAAATAGATTTCATACACAATCTTAATTTTAATTACTAAACAAATTAGAATTACCATCTTAATTAGGAAAAAGGTTGTAAAAATTAAAATTATCATTAACTCAGATATACTCAATAAAGTTTTGGTAATAAAAAGGTGTTTCAATATGAATGGTAAAAGGTGAATGCCAAAGAATTCCCGAGTCCTAATAGATATAAAATGAGATTAGAGCCTGATGTAAATCAATTAAAAAGGTCATTTGGATTGTCATGGGAAACATACTCAAAGACCTATCTACTTTGAAATAAACATTAAGCTCTTGAAGTGGCCAAATTCTTACCATTTAGTTTTACTGATGAGTAAATTAATGTCCTGGAGAATATAATGTGCATTAAGATCTTGGTCAACAGAAATATTAGTTTTAATTAAAGGGAAAAGGGAAATTGTTTAATGATCAAAGAGAAAATGGTGTTCATGGACCTGAAAATTATTAACCTTAAATTTCATTGATTGTTCCTAATGGATTTTAAGTAAGAAATATAATGAAAATGAATTTAGAAAATCCCTTAGGGGATAGGTGAGAAGAAGAATCCATTTTAATCTTTGAGTTTCAATCCTGGACCTAGAAGATATGAATAGAATTCTGGATTTGATAAGGTTTTTAAAAAGAGAGAATTTATAACAAAGCCAGGAGAGAGGAGATCATTTATATGAATTGAATAAAAAAATACACTTGAATATAATACATGTAATTTATTGATTTACATGAAAAGAAAAGAAATCACTTCATTTTACCTATCTATTCTTTTAATAATTGATTTCTCAATTCATATTCTAATAATTCATCATTCTCGACTGAATTCTTTGATATTGATTTTTTTCTCATAGGTGATGGTTCAATTGGTTTCAAGATGTTCCTTGCAAATTCTAAACCTTTTTATCGAACAGTTACTTGTTTTGGTTAACTTTTGGAAATTTTTTATTTAAAATGTCTATGCTCTGCTTTGACCTTTAGATATGTTAAGGTGATACATGCTCTGCAAATTCAAGCATCCTATCCATTTTTTCTTTTTACTATTACCATTTTTCAATAGATAATGTTGGACCCAGTCCTTGTCCTGGATTTCTTAGGATAGGTTACAATTTCAATAGTTTATATTAACTTAAAGTATAAGGTTTATAATTGAGAATAGAGTTTTTATCATCTTTAATAGAAAAATTTTTAGATTGATTTTGAGATTCTTATTCTTCTTTTTTCCATTATTCAAATATCATCAATTATTCCTCTTAATGTCTTCTAATTAATTCAGACAATTCTCTTTATTAAATGAGATGTAATTCATGTAATTTTCTTTTCTATTCTTCGGATAATTTTTCACTAAATCCATACTAATTCATATTAAATTTGATGATAAAATTATATTAATTTGTTGTCTTTTTTTATTGTTTGATTATATTATTTATTCCTTTTATATATGATATGAGTATATGATCATATATTAAAATAGGAAAGTGATCATTTCAACAAATTTTAGTATATTTAAAATTGATCAAATGAAATATATTTGTAAAAAAAACTTATAAGTAAATATATTTATATGCGAAAGCATACATCTCCCTATAGAAATTAAAAACCAGGATCTTCTTTAGGAAGAGTTCTCTTTAAACCAGAATACTAAACTAGAAATAATTCAAAAGAGAAAAAGACAACAAATATATCTCCCATCAGGTTTATTTTAAATTCTAGACATAATTCATTTGAATACAATACAAAGTAACCATAAACCTAACAGTCTGTACTTCCTTCATTAAACAGAAAGCATTTTAATCTTCAATATGTTATTGGGATTGGTGGTTTTGGAAAAGTTTGGAAAGTCACTTACAAATCATAATATTATGCTATGAAGGAAATGAGTAAAGCCTTAGTCATTTATAAAAGAAGTGTGACTTCAGTTATTAATGAATTACGATTGTTATAAAACCTCAATCATTCATTTATTGTAAATGCAGTTGCAGCATTCTAAGATAAACAGAATATATATTTAGTATTGGATTATTTATAAGGAGGAGATTTAAGATATCATTTGGGACGAAACAGAAGGTTTACTGAAGAATAAACAAGTATTATTTGACCAATATCAGAGTTCATTGTTTCATGTGTTATTGTTGGTTTGGAATATTTACATTCCCATCGTATTATTCATAGGGATCTCAAACCTGAAAACTTAGTCTTAGATTCCAAAGGGTATGTTAGGATTACAGATTTAGGAGTAGCGAGGAAATTAGACACTTTATAAATTGATACAAGTGGAACTCCAGGTTATATGGCACCAGAAGTAATGTGTGGATTAGAACATGGCATACCAGCAGATTATTATTCTTTAGGAGTTATAGCATATGAATTAATGCTTGGGAAAAGACCATATTATGGTTAAAATCGTAAAGAAATAAGGGATGCTATTCTTGCTAAGTAGGCTTAAATAAAAGTGAAATTAGAAGGTTGGTCTTTGGATGCTATTGATTTTATCAATAAATTGATTTAACGAAAGCCATCTCATAGATTAACTGATGTAAAAAATCATCCATGGCTTAGAGATTATCCTTGGGATAAATTAATTAATAAAGTTTTACAAGCACCTTATGTACCATTAAATAATGATAATTTCGATGTTTCACAAATTCATTATGAAGATCAAGAAAATCAAATAATAATCAACCAAACAGGCTTCTTGATATCTCAAAATTTAAATGCTTTTGAAGATTACTATTATGAATAAAATCTAAGAAGAAGATCATCATTAAATAGATCATTTTTTATCAAATGAATTTTATTATGTTATTAAATATACAATATATAAACCTATTACATATTATTCTTAAATATAAAAATAATTATAATTAAATCAACTTATTAACGTTGAATTCTCTATTTATTTAGTTTATCTTCTTCTACTCGAAATTACGGTTGTCTTCTTCTAATTATTATAAATTCAAATATATACCGATTAAATACTTTCATCAACTGTTGGATTTTAATTCAATTATTCTAATTCTTTCTTTAATCCATTTAGTTTCTCTTCTGTTTAAATATGAATTTTTGTTAAATTTTAATATTTACTTTTCCAAGATTCTAATTCTAATGTAATTGTATAACTGTCTGTCTTCACAAGTGTTTCTTAAATGGCCTCTATCTTTTTCTTTAACTCGCTATTTTTATTAATTTTAATATTCACACTTTATTTTATAATCTCTTTGTTGATTCAGTTTATTCTCTTATTCCCATTTCTGTTTCCATAATAAAGTTGAGTTTTATTATTATTCTGGATAAACAATTGATATTTGTTGTTAATCAATATGAATTTTCTGTTTTTCTAAATATGTTTTCAGAAGATTCGAATGTTTATCAATTAGTTCATTTAATTAGAACATAGTGAATATTTGAGATTGTAATATAGATTCATAATATTGTGATATTTATTCAAATTTTTCACAACACTATTAATCATTGTTATTAATTTAGAGCTTATCATTTTTTAATCGATCTGAAGGTTACCATCTTAGATAACTAGCTTGACCAAAATCTTAGACAAATGTATTTTAAAATGCATAAGGTATTTTAGGCTTAAAAGGACATTAACAATTAGATTATTCTTTTAAATCAAGTTAACAAGTCTAATCTGAATAGATGTCTTTATTCATATTTTTAATATTATTTAAGATTCAAAATTCATAAAGATTTTAAGTTAGGCAGATATTATATTTATAAAATAAAAACGGAATTATATATTATAACTTTTTATTCATTGTATATATATATATTGATATATATATATATATCTTCAAAATTATGATATTTCTTTCTCCATAATCCTAATTCTATCTTAATATAATTTATCATAAATTCAGTCTTTTGTTATTGCTTTTTCACATTATAATTTCATTTTCCAAAACCATTACTAATTGTTCTTTATTTAATCTAATAAACTTATTTTTCATTAATTTTCTCTAATACCAACTCTTCTATTATTTGTATTAATAAAAACATTAATAGCTAGTTAGATAATATTGTTTTCTATTTCTCTTTAATTATCATAATAGATAATTACATAATCTCCATCTCTCTAACAAGCTTTACTTTTATGTAGTATTTATTATTTCTTAATCTCTTTACGTTTAGCATCCTCTAATCCTTTATTCTAAGATTCAATAATTTCTAATGTTACTACAACATAATGCAATTTAATTCTAAAACTTTATTTATATACTCATTTATGATTAATTACTAAGATCATCCCATTTATTTTATTACATCAGAACTCTCAAATAGAATCATTAATAATTAATTTATATATATATATATATGTGTAGTATAATGGTCATATATTTCTAGTTGTTAATGTTCCGTATTGATATTATGAAACTTTAGAATTTTGATTTTCTTTCACAATTTCATATGATTCAAGCTAAAATTAGATATAAATATATACTTTAAAAGATCCATTTTTTTATTTTTTATAGGTATCTAGTTCAGCATTGGATAAAATAAGTTATTCTTATTATTTATGATATTCTCTATTTAAATTAATAAATTAGGCCTTCCAAGAATCAACCTCTTAATTAAGTTATGTAATTCTTTCATTATAAATAGTAACATCTTATTAATTGATTAATTTAATTTTTTAATTGTCGCATTCTTCTTAAAATTATTTGATAGTAATTTTATTTTATTCTATTTCTTATAATTTAATTTTTAATAGATTGCTCAATCTCTCTATTTCAGTAGAATATACCACATTCTTTTATTCTAATTCTTTTAATTTGTGAGCTTCACTTAATTAAAATTAAGAAAATTGTTATCTAATTTTTTCAATTTCTTCATTCTTATTTCTTAATTATACAGTCAATCTCTCAATTTCAGTACTAAGTAAAGTAAATTTCTACTGATATTCTTTTAATTAAGTAATATCTTATAATTTGAATTTCAAATTTTCTAATTCTTCATTTCTTTATCTCAATAAAGATGTAATTCTATTATTTTCATTAGCAAGTCTATCTATTTCTTCAGCTTTATGTTAAAGACTTTAATGTAATCTATCAATTTCTTGATTTTGTAATGCAATTTTATTTTCATAATCATCTACTTTATAATGATCATTAAGAGTGATCTATAATTTAGATATACAATTTCTTAATTGATCATTTTCTTATAATTTAATCATTAATGAATTATTAACTCTATCAAATTCTTATGCTAAATTTTAATATTTAATTTCATAATCTGTATACTTTTGATATTCTTATAATTAATTCTAATAAATCATAAATTATTATTTATATTTATCTAATTCATCTTATTTCATTCTAATTCTTTAATTAAGATTATTAATTTCTTCATTTTATAATTTAGATCTAATTTCATACTCTTAATATTTTGTAGTATCCTATAAAGTCATTTGAAGTGTTTAAATAATAGATTAAAGTTTAGAAATCTCTTCATTTTTATTTACCATTTCATTCATATATTTATCTTAAAGATTTTGATTATCCCTATATTAATTATCAATATTTTATTTATAATTAATTTCTCTATTTTTTAAATCCTAAATTTCTAATTCAAATTCTCTCATACGTTTAGATAGAATCTCAATTTCTTTAATATATGTTTATTTAGATTAATCATATTCTTCTGATTTCTGTTTAAGTAAAATTGTAATTCTTTCAAGTTCAGTAGTCAATTATCCTTATACTTATTATTATTAAATATATGATTATTCATATTTTTTTGTTTCAATTAAGGTTTTTTGCATTTATTATAATTATGATTGACTTTAAGAGACAAGTACATTTAATCTTTAAATTTCATTCTACCAATATTGTTCATTCTCTTAAGAACTCTTTTTTATTCTTTCTTATTCAACTTAATGTTATTATAATCCCATAAATTATTAATTCATTTGACCTAATTTTATTTTTAATTATTCTGATTCATTTGTAGTTTCTCTAAGAAGAGAATTTACTCTATTTAATTCAATTTAATATTATTATAGATTAGTTTCTAATTGTTAGATTCTATGAGTATCTTCAATATAAGTGACCTTCTCTTGACAAGTACTTTTGAGTCTATGAATTTCATTTGTAAGCTCTTGGATTTATTTTTCATATAAGGAACACTTATTTTTATAAAATTCAAGTTCTTCTCTAGATGGATCCATCACTTTAACTATCTCTTAAACCTTCATATTATATTAAGATTAAGATGGTTTCAATTGTTAAGTTTCTAATCTAATAGGTGGTTGAGTTTGTTGTTATTGAATGGTCCTAGTATAATAAACAATATTTGGAGATGTTAATAGATCTCTTGTATTGGATTAAGACCTTTGGGATTTATGAGGATCTTGATTAGGTTCTGGGAATTATTGGGTTTAGTAATAAGATATCTGTTAATCCATGTAGACGTTAATTATTTATTAATAAAATTATATATTTATATGAATGTGATTCATTAATTTTATTAGGTAATATTGGAGCATAATATATTTAATTAAGTAAATACTTAATATAAAACATTCTATAAGAGTTTAAATTTGTTTAAAACTAAAGTTTATTTACATATAATTACAATCTTTATTTTTATAATTTCCAAATCTGTATTAGTAAAGAGATTTAAAAATTATAGAGATTCATCAATTACAATTTTCATTAAGTTATTTTTTATAAGATGATTTAATTATTGAAATCTATAGATATATATATATTCATAATTATTATGATAATCATTATTAAGGTTTGCTTTCTCCCATGTCTCCAGCACTTCTGTTGGCTTTGTTTCTTGATTCGTAATACCCAAACTCTGATGGTAATCTATAACTGCCAGGAGCAGGTGTTCCAGCTGATATAAATATTTAAAATGATCACAAATACCTTTTCCAACTGATCCTGTTCTTCTTGATTCTTTTGGAAAACTTCTAACATTTGAAGAGTGAAATTTTGAAATAAAATAATGTCCATCCTTTTATATTCCTGTTTTATCAACTGGATAAGTTCCAGGTCCAGGAGCATATAAATTTGTGGCTATTCTAATAAATTATAATATACTTACAAAAATCTTTAACAAACCTTTTAGAATTTTTAGGATTAAATAAAGTAGCACAAGAGTTATTATATTTAGATATTGGATATTTGCCTACTGGATTTACAGCTGGTAATGATTCGTAAGTTCCTGGTCCTGGGATTTCTTTGCCAGTTAAAACCATAAAATTTGTTTTTGGTCTCTATCTCATTGTATAACGAATATCGCTTAATGTTGAACCTAAATCATAGGTACCAGGAGCTATAATGATAATTAGTATATTAAACCTGGAGTTTTTGAATTCAAATTTCCTAGAATTCCTGTGCTTGCCATTTTCTCTCTACTCATTCCAAATTTATTTCCCTTTGCCTTCTTTTGATTGATTTCAACATCACTTGTTATATTGTATTATTATGGAGATGGAGTTGTAAAGGCTACTTTTGTAAAATCAGTTCTTGTATATATATTTAAATCTCTTTACTTTGTTCCTTTGCCTATTCCAGCCGATCTCTTATCTATTTATGTTGGTAAATCATAGAAAGCCTTCCCGCAACTAATTTTAAATTCTAATTCAATACTTAACAGGATTTGCTAAATTGCCAAATCTATCTGATTTTGAAAATGTCCATAAGTTTTTTGCAGTACTATGATTAAGTGGTGAACCACAAATTTGCTAACAAGTTGAAACAGTTATTGACATGATAAATAAATTAATTATTAAAAGAAGAATATATTCATATAATTATTATAATTCTAACTAACTTTGTGTATTATCAAATATGTTTATATATATTAAATAAACAGAATTTTTAGTTATACATTTTAATTATATAGTTATATATACTTATTATTTAATATAATTTAGTATATTTAAAGAATATATATATGATTCATTAAATCTTATTTTATGAATAAATATAAATCACAAATTTTAATGATATCCAATAACTCACAAATCCTAACATCAACCATAATACAAAACATGCTAATATACTTTCTGCAAAATAAAATAAAAATTAAAAAAATCCATGCATATTAACAAAATAATAATAAAAGAAGATAAATCCAAATATGTATATAATACATTGTCCACCATTAATGAATGATATCCATTACCAATTATAATTACCCTAATTCAATTATTTGTATGTTTGTATAATTGATAAACAACCTACAATAATCAATAATTGAATATAGGAAAAGATCAACAAGGTGTATTACTCAAATTATTTATCACTCCATGTACTTTCCAAAATATAATATAGTTCCATAATGATCGATCTATAACTTAAATGTTTCTAATTACATAAAAGGTACAATTCCATATAAACATCCACTTGATAGAAACTAATAATTTGAGATTAGAACTTTCTTTTTCAATCTTTTTTCAAATAATTCATCTATTGTTTTCAATCTACCTGAAACACCACCTATTAAAGTTAAAGGTAAGTAAACAACTGTTAAAATGAATCCAACAGAAAATACTGCTGTAAATGATAATGTGGATGTTGTTCCAAATAAATATGAAAATACATCAATAATAAATAAAATTGACATAGCAGATATTGGAAAAAGTGCTGCTGCTATAAATAAATTTAATAGCCAACTCTTGCCTCCAAAAAATTTATAAAATTTTCCTGTATAATATCCATTGATTGCTAGAAAAATTAATAATAAATTTAAATACATCCACCAAAACTATATATAATTATTCCAGCTGATTTAATAGATCCTTTATGTGTTTCAAATAAATAAAATGATCCCAATATTAATAAAATAAAAATTGTTATTAAAAAATGAATTCCTGTACCAAGTAATGCAGAAAATACTATACGATTAGTTGGAGGCATTAATGATTCAATTTTAATAGCTTTCCATCCTTATGGTTCAATTTCATTTTCTTCATCTGGTATATTACTATAATCATTTTATATTGATTTCCTCAATAATTAGCTGACAATTATGATTAAAATTAAAATTAATATACTTTTGAATATTAATAAATTCCATTTAACACTATGATCATGAATATTCATCATTTCATTGTATTATTTAATTTAAATAGTATAATAGAATCCAATTTGTTTATTATCATCTTATGAATTTATAGATATAAAATCATCATCATTTATTGTAATATTAGTATACATCAATCTTTAATCATTTGATACATATAAATTAAATGTGATTCTATTCTTTAGATAATATTATCCATCATAAAATCTGCCCACTATATCATGCATTATAAAATCTGCTAAATAAAATTCAATTATGTATTCTTAATCTATTGCATCTATCCATTTTTTTATTTCACCTTTTGTAAAATTTCTCTCACATACTTATTTATCTTCTAATCTCTCTTTTGTATTAAATTTGTAAACTGAAGTCATCTATTTATCACCAGATAATGATTGTCCTAAAGATTCAATTACTTCTTCAAAATCATTCGGTTTACAATATGGCAACTCATAATATGTATAGGTCTCTGAAGGATTATCTTTAGGTCTTATTGTATTAACATATATCTCAATTGAATTACAGAATGTAATTAGACATAATAAAACAATAATCATTTAACTAATTAATATTTTTTGAGAATTTAGAGTAGTTCAATTTAAAGTATTGGTTTTTGTAGATAATCGCATAACCCAGAATGATCAAATTACATTAAATTATCCTTTGTATCATAAGCTGAACAAATTACAATTGCAGTCTTCTTACATCCCATTGAAATTATCTAATGTATAAAAGTAAACTTACTTCTTTCGAAGTATCAAATCCATTTATTCCTGGCAATTCTATATCCATAAAAATGATATCATAAAATTAACAAGAAGTTTATAGTTTCTCTTTTACTCTTTGAATTGCTTAATAACCATCATATACTTAATCACATTAAATTGCAAAATGATTTAAATTAGCTTTAAGAGCAATTTAATTAAAAATCTAATCTTCAACTATCAATATCTTTTTACAATTAATACTACATTCATGTAATTATAAAGTTGATATTTTAAACGAAAATGTTTAATTTATTAATAATTATCCTGGACTCTCTATAGATCTAAATTAAAAATAATTAGATTTAGGTATAATTATTCTTTCACTTTAATCATCAATTATATTTGGACTTTCGAATGATTTGAAACCTTCAGATTTTTATATTATTTTTTCTGAATTCTCATATTAATTAGTATTATCTTAATAGCAATATTTCTTAATAATAAAGTTATCTTCTTATTATTAAGATTAACATTTATTTTTAATAATAAAACCAAAAGTATTGGATTAATTTCTTATTAATTCTTTTTCTAATATTGGATCTTCTATTTATATTTAATTCTATTTTTTTTAATATATTTAATCCTATATTAAAAAGTTTATACTACTACCATCTAATGAATTTGTTAATATTTCTATATTATTATTATCTTAAATTAAACCTGATGCTAATCTTGCTGCTAAATTTAATCCAAATCCTAATTCTTGATGAGTCATTAAATCATTACAGCTTTCATTGTCTTAATTTTTTAACATTATTTAATTAAATGAGAATTATTTCTTTCTATTCATTTAAACAGATGTATTTTCTACAGCTACTTAAATTGTATATTCATCTTTAGCAAGAAAACTTAGATTGATATCTCCACCTTGTATAATATTATTACATTAATGATTAAGAATAATTAATAAAACTTAAATTATTCTTAATTTATCTGAATTCAAATATTTATCAGATAAACTTGATGAAACTTTAATTTAAAATTAAATCTTCTTCTAAAATAAATATGGAATAAAAACTTATTCTATTTCATTAATTAAATCATTAATTGAAAATCTATAGAAATAATAAGCAAATTCATTAAGTTAATAAGATAAAAAATCTAAAACATTATTCATTTAGTATTATAAAAAAGAAGTTGAACATTAAAGTAATTCTAATTTTTCTTTAATATCTTATTCTTCTTTAATTACATCATTTATAATCCTTAAATATTACTAATTTAAATTTAGAGGAGTTCTTAATTAGAATAATTAATTTTTAAGAAGATTGCAAAATTATTAATTTTTAAGTTCTACCTTTTTAAATTATTATTTATAGGTTACATCTTTTAAGATTAACACTAATACAGGTTGATTTAATTAATCTCCAAATATTTACATATCATTTTATACAATAGAATCCAATTATTAATTAGTCATTTGTGTTTAAATAATCTTAAGTTTTAAAGATTTATTTGATTCTAATTAAAAATTAAAATTATATTAATTTTAACTATTTTATGAGACTGGAGATTCATCAATACTACTTTTTTCTGCATCAAAAGTTCCTTAATGAAAAAAATATTAATTCAAATATTTATTTTAATTTAGTAGAATATCAAATATATCTACTTAAACCTTATTCTATTATGCTTTTTTTATTATTTCTTCTAATGTATTTTGATTCATTTCAATTTTTTTGTTATTTTGTGGTTATTAATTAATTTAACAATTATCCATATTAAATAATTAATTTCTTAAGCAATCTTTAAGTTTTGGAAGTATTAATTCTTCATTCTTACACTATAATAATTTTATGAATTTTTTATTAATAAAGTGTAATTTTTATTATTTATTAAGAATAATTATTCCATTAGGAATTATTTACAAAATTTTGGCTAATGAAAATTTTAATTCTAATTTATCAAAATCAATAGATTCTTTTTATCTAACAATTGAAGATAAATCATTATAAGAGTGAGGTTTATTGGAATAAATACTTGGAGTTCTAATTTTAAGTTTTTCTTTGGAATATTCATTAAAATGGCTAAATTCATTTTATTTTCTTTTTGTTAATCTTAATGCATTAATATGTTGATCTGTTTATTCCTCATCATTTAATTATAAAGATAAACGAATTTTTGTAGAAACAAGAGATTTCTCATCTGCCAAATTAGCAATTACAAACACTAAAATGATTATTATGCTTTCTAAAATTGTATAATCAAAGTTAATAAAAACAATTGAAAATAATCTCAATAATATATAACAAGGGTAAAAATATTTAAGCATTTTATATGAAATTTATTTAGAAACAATTTCTTCAATAATATGTTAATTAGTTATTATGAACAATGTGTTTGTATGATTAGAAAAAGGATTAAAATGTTAATAAAAGAGTAGATTAATTTCAGTGTATATGATAGTATCAATAAGGATTAGTAATAACATTAATAATTATTTACTTGAATCTAATTTTTTTCTTAATTGTATTAAAAATCCTGATTTCATGAGTATCGATGCAGAAGATAATCCTATGATAGTAATGTAATGATCCCATTAGAAAATAATGCATAATATTATCCACCATACACATTAGATTCCTTCTAAAACTAAAATTATGTTAGTATTCATTATTAATATTAAAATTTTCTAGCAACAATTATTCTGAATTATCTTTAATTTGAAAATTACTGAACCAACGAAATAAGAGCTTTTAGAAACACAAAGTATTATATAATAATATAAAAAGATCAATTAAAATTCCTTTTAATTTAAAAGAGTGTCCTTAATACTACTTCCAATTCGTCCTACTTTACAGGTTTTGGAAGAAATGTGGAGATCCCTACTTTTTGTCCTTCAATGAGATTTTACTAAGTATCATAAGCTGAACAAATTACTATCATTGATTATTATTATGTCAATTCATTAATCTATAATATATATATATAATTAATATAATACTTATTTACTAGTTTAAAAACCATCAATACCTGGCATTTCAATATCCATAAATATTAATTTATAAATAGAACAATGTTCTTATAATTTAGTTTTGACTTTATCAATTGCTTATAATCCATCAAATGCTTAATCTGCTTCAATTTAATAATGTTTAAGCATTAATTTAAGTGCTATTTAATTAAAGGGAATATCATCAACAATTAAAACATGAACACATTTATCACATAATGATATACTTTTTTGTATTGTATCTACATGTAATAAGTTTTTACATGAAGAAATGAATTTATGAGAGAAATATTCAGGACTTATAGGTAAAGATATTTATGGTTATTTAAAATTATCATTTAATTAAGGTGTATTCAAAGAAGATTCTGATTCATAAATAAAATGATCTTAAAATTAGCTATCTTAATCTAATTTTGAATTCATTGATTTAATTAACATTCTATCATCAAATTTCTTTTCACTTAATGTATTTTAAATACCTGATTAATTAAATCTTCCTGTTAATTAAGATACTAAATTAGATTAATATTAATCATTTGTTGTATTTAAGAAATTCTAAACTTAAAATGATACCTTTGTTCCTTAATTTTTAATTGAACTGATTAATAATTAATTATTATTCTATTCAATTAAACCTTCTACTAATTTAGCTGCAATATTTAAACCTAATCCTGCTTTTTAAGTAACTTATTGAGTTTTTAATCTTGCACCAAATTCCAAATTACCATTCAAACTATTTTAAATTAATGTTAATTTATCATCTTCTATTCCAATACCATTATCCTTAACTTATATTTTAAGATAAAATAATCTATTTTATTTTATAGTTAACTTAACCTTTCCTCCCTCTTTTGTATATTTGGCTGCATTATTTAATAAATTTACAAGAATCTAAAGTATCCTTTATTTATCATTACAAATAATTAAATCTCTTAAAGATTACTTAGCTTTAATACCAAATTTTATTTTTTTTTATCTCATTTATATTTTATAGAGATTCTCTATTTCTTAAATAATCTAATTTATAGTAAATCTTGTAATACGATAAGAGAAAGAAAAAGATTAAATAGCAGCATAATCAAGTATATCATTAATTTGATGAATCAATAAGGTAATAGAACACATAGCAATATCAATATATTCTTATACAGTCTTTTCAATTAATTAATGTTTAATTAGATTTAACATATGTTAACATGAATTAAGTGGAGTTCTCAATTCATGTGAAAATGATTTTATTAGACTATGATGAATAATTTATTCATCTTTCATCTATTAATATTTATGTTTGCTTGTAATATTCTTAATCATAATAAGTAGAACTGGAATTTCTGTATCATTATTAATTTATATATTCAATTTACTAGAGCATTTATTTTATGAAGGAAGAGATATGTATTCTTATTATTAACCAGTCATTGAAGTTGGTATGATGATTAATTTCAGTTTTTTTTAATTAATTCTATTCTACAATTCAGATTCCATTAACCATTCATATATAAATATTTATTATTAAAATGTTAATTAATCTGTTTTTGAATCTTCTTAACTATATGCTTCTCCTTTCTAATCTAATATTCCATAATATTTTTAAGGATAAAGCATAATATCCAAAACATCTGCTCTTCTATTTTCTTTTTATAATTTTCTTACTATTCTTTAAAGTGTATATTAATTTATTTATCTATTTTATTTTGTGGTTTACAAAAAATTTGAAACTTCACTTTCATTATCTGACATTTTAGCATCATTAACACAAATCTTTATTTTCTCTAAAACTTAATCTCCTCCTTAACATTCTAATAATTTTTCACATTTATTATTCATATAACTGACTTATTAAAATTGATTTAATATTAAAATACCTTATGGAAATATATTGATTAAATTTTAATAAAATATGTGTAATTGTAAATCTGATTTTTCAGAAACCTTGTTATTCTTTTAAGATTTTGATAAATTTGTAAAATTAGATAATAAGCCCAATTTTGAATCACTTTGTTAGTCTTTCATTAATATACTTTAACTTTTTAAAGGTGTTTGAATTAGTGATACTCTACTTAAGGATTTTATTAAAGATTATTATTGATTATTAGGTGATTCCTTGTCTTCCATTATTTTCAATTATAATTCTGGTATTTTAGCATTTATTTTTGTTTTAATTTAATCGTTATTATTACTTACATGAATTCTCTCAATTTATTAATCTGTAGTTAACAAATATTATACTAAAACAACTATTATAATTAATAAGCTTTCTAAAGAATAATAACTAAAGGTAATGAATATTATGGATATGAGTCTTAAAATAATATAAAATGGAAGTCCTAATTTACATATCTGACTCCATTTTTAAACTGCAAATTTCAAATAAGAATTATATGTAACAATTATTAATAAACTACTAGAGAAGATGCCTAAAGAGTAATCAATTTTTAAAAGTAATAAAGTTTCAATATACATCACGTAATAAAAGAGAGATACTATATGCACAAATAAATACAAACCATATTTTCTTGTGATCAAAATTTATTATAAAATCCTCATTGTGACACACCCTATTTGTAAATAAAATGCAATCTAATTTATTGGTTAGATTAAATATAAAGCCAATATCATCCACCATAAACTTTAGAGAATATTGGCAATCAATATTATATTCATTGCAAATAGTTTGAATAGTTATTTCATGTAGTAATACAAATGTGTTTATTTAATATACAAATTAAATTAGTTAGAATTTTAAGAAAGATTAGTTTTTGTTTTTAGCCAAAATATTTAATTTAAGATTCAAAATTTAAGAATAAGAAGATGAAAATGTTTATTTTGAGTAAGATAATAAAACAGTTGTATTGATAATTAATAATTATTAAGTAAAAAATACATATAATTAATAAACTGTGTTCATATTTTGAATAAATACTTTTTTAAGATTTTATCTAAGTCTTTTTTATTAACAGGTTTTGGTAAGAATTCAGTTATACCAACTTATTAAGCAAAATTATAATTTTCAAGAGTATCATATGCAGAACACATAACAATTATAGATTAGACACCATGAATTTATGAGATCTAGTTATAAACTTAGTTTTACAATTTTAGAGGTTTAAAAACCATTTTGTCCTGGCATTTCAATGTCCATAAATATTAATCTATAGAACTTGCAATGTTTTGTCAATTTTTATTTTACCATTTCAATTGCTTAGTACCCATCAAATGCAGATTCTGCTTTTATTTTAAAATGATTTAACATTTGAATGAATGCAATTTAATTAAATGGAATATCATCAACTATTAATATTTAAGAGCAATTTTCACAATTATTGGAATTTATTTAAAAAGATAATAATGAACCTTATTTCTTTTATGTTTAAGTAAGATTTGTTTTAAAATGATAAGAACTTGTAGGAATAATCACTGAATTTGATTAATCTTCATTAATTCTTGGACTTTCTAAATGCTCTTTTACAAAAGTTGATTCATTTTAGGGATTCTCAAATTTCTACTGTAATCCTTTCATTAAAGATTAAGATAACTCTGATCTTGGAATAAGTTGGGAAGAAGAAGCTGGAGATAATATTTCAAATCTTCCAGTAATATTACTTTATTATGGTGATAATAAACATTCTTAATTCATAATTTCTTAATTTTAAAATACAAAAGAGACTTAAGTTCCATTATTAATACTAGAATTAATATCTAAATATGTTTTATTATATGTTAATCCTTTAACAATTTTTCCAGATATTTTCAAACCAAATCCAAGACCAGAATCATAAGATATTTTAGAAGAAGGTTTACAGAAGGTTTTTCTAATTTATTCAAGTTTATTTGATTAAATTCCAATTCCATCATCTCGAACAGAAACTTCAATCAAATTACCTTTCATTTATCTAAATGATAAATATATTTCACCAGTAGGTTTAGTAAATTTACATGAATTATTTAATAAGTTAACTAAGACTTGCATAATTCTTTGTTTGTCATTAATAAAAAATTGATTTAATAAAATTTGATCATATTCGATTTCTAGTTTGATATTTTTATAACTTACTTGTTAATCATACAATTCTTTGATCTCTTAAATGAGATCTTTAATACTAAATGTTGTTGTATGATAAGAAAAAGTCTTTGATTACATGGCAGCAAAATCTAAAATATCATTAATTTAATAAATTAATAATTTAATTGAACTTTATGCTGTATTTAAATATTACTGTATAAGTTCATCTTTTGAAACTTCCTTAATTAAATTAAGCATATATTAACAACTATTTAAAGGAGTTCTTAATTCATGTGAAAAAGACTTCAAAAGTGAATTATTAATTAATCTTTCCTTTTTCAATTCTCTTACTCTATTTTTATGAGTAGTATTCTTAATTAATATAAGAAGCATAGGTTAAGGTATATCATTAGAATTTTACTTTTTTGAATTAGTCAAACCACTTTATGAGATAGCTTCTTATTAACTTAATGTCATTTAAGTTTAAACTAAAATAAATTTGAGTTTTTTTGATTGATCACATTTCTCTTTATCAATTGAACCTTCAAAACAAAAAGTATGTTCCTATAATAAGGAAGGATCAGAAAAATAAATTGATCCAGAACTACTTCTCTCTTATTCAAATGATCCATTTTATCCTAAAAATAATGGTTAGATATATTTATTTGGATTTAATAAAACATCAAAAATGTCTAAATCTTGACTATTTTATTTATAAATTCTGATTATTTCTTCTAAAACTCTTTAAGTTAATTTACCCTTTGTTTTAGTTAAAGATTAAACTTCATCAGGTAAATCACAATTAGCTAAACATTTTTTGATATATTCCAATACTCGTTCTTTTCCATCACATTCTAATAACTTTTCACATTTTGAACTAATAAATTGAATTTACTAAAACTTATTTAACATCAAAACTCCTTCTGGTAAAACATTGACAAGATTTTAATAGAAATTTTACAATTAAGAATCATTTCTATCAACTATTAAATGTGAATATTAGCTTTTAAAACCTGGTTTTAGTTTAGAATGAAATGTAGGTATAGGTGCACTTTCTTCTCTATAAGAATCTTTAATGTTAATTTAAATACTATTTCTAGGTTATGAACCTTTTTCAGGATAGAGGATCATCTTATTTGAATTTTAAGTTAGCCGCTTTTCTTACTTAACTTATGATTAATGTAAAGAAGCTGAACAATTTTATAATGATTGATCTAACTTTGGATTTGATTGTGTTGAATTTATAGAGACATTCTAATTTGAAAAATACACTAACAAAAATAAGGCCATTAAAGAGGCAGCTTCACATAATTAGATATCAAACTGTATGAATATTAAGGAGATCAATCTTATTAAGACATAAGTGGGAAATGCGAATCTTGATAACAGGTCTAGAGTTTAATTTTTTATTAGTGTTTAGCTCTCTATATAATTTAAAAGGATGATTAAAGTGTTGATATGATTTAAATATAAATTCTTGCTTTCAAAGTTAATATTGGCCTCAGTATAGCAAACATTATTGGCTAATGTTGTTATGAGATTAAATCGGTCATGCTTCTAATGCTTTTTGAGGTACACTATAGAGGCAAGCAGCCTTGTTGTTATGCATAATGAACACAAAAAGTAATATGTGTAATTTGATGACTTTTTAATAAATAACATTTCAGCAATCCACCAGATGTTTTAAATAACTTGTAGAAGGAAAATGTATCTATGATTCATTATCCGGACTTATCCTAATATTGAATTTATTTTATTTAAATATGTGTTAATTCTTTACAAATAGCAAATACAGTGTTATATACATTATTAATTAGTTAATACATATCTAATTTAATCAGACAAATTATTATTTAGATTGATTAATTTGTACTTTTTGTATACTCTCAATTATCTTGCTTCCTTAATAAGAATCTGATTAAGTGGAGAATTAATGAAAAATATATCATATCAAACTAAATTATCTGAGAATTCTTTCTAAGTCTTTTTGATGAACAGGTTTTGGAAGGAACTCAGACATACCAACCTCTTCTCCTTCTCTAAAGTTTTCTTCAGTGTCATATGCCGAACACATCACTATTTAAGTAGAGGATTATGTGATTTCAAGTATCTAATATATAAAATATATTATATACTTCTTTTGTTGCTTAAAATCCATTAATTCCTGGCATCTCAATATCCATAAAAATCAAAGCATAAAATTAACAATGTTTTTAAGTTTGTTTCTTAACTATCTCTATTGCTTAATATCCATCATAAGCTTGATCTGCTTATATTTTATAATGTAATAGTAATGCTTTCAGAGCAATTTAATTGAATGGAACATCATCAACTATTAAGACTTGAATACATTAAGTGCACAATTAACATGAGCGACTTTAAGTTTAAGATTTATATCTAAAATAATCTGGACTAATTGGCAATTCTATATTATAATTAGCATTATCAATTATTTCAAGTGAACTATCAGTTTAATTTGCTGGCATTAATTTATGAAATCTATTTTTTGTATTTTTTCTTTTTTTTGAAGGAGACAAATGATCAGGACTTTTTGAATTCTCTGAATATTATCTTAATATACTTTTACCTTATTCTAATTAACTAGGTTCAATTTAAGAAATCATCTATTTATAAGTATTATATTTGTTAGTATATTCTGAAATCATTGGATTTCTTATTGATTCATCTCTGAATGACATTTAGTATTCAATTTTAAAATATATTTTAGTTCCTTTGTTTTTATGTTTAGAATTGATTTCTAAAGTACCATCATTCTTTTAAACTAATCCTTCAACTATTCTTGCTGAAATATTTAATCCTAATCCAAGACTTTTCTTTATTCTAGAACGATGAAGACTCTTCCCCATTGAACTTGTTAATACTTTTCTTAAGGTTGATAATTATTCAGTTCCAATACCTATTCCTGAATCTTTAACTTGAATCTTAATAAAGTGATTTTCATCTGGTTTAATAGAGAGTACTATTTTACCACCTTGAGGTGTAAATTTACTTGAATTATTTAATAAATTAATTAGAACCTACATGATCCTTTATTTATCTGATCTTATGTTTAAATTCTTAACTCTATCATCTATTTTGATATTAAATTCTATCTTCTTTGATTCCAATTAACTGTTATAAATATATTTAATTTCTTCTATTAATTCTTACAAGTTAAATAAAGTAAATCTATATTTAAAAGTATTCGATTACATAGCAGCATAATCTAAAATATCATTTATTTGATGAATAAGAAAGATAATAGAAACATGAGCTATTTCAACATATTCCAACATTTTTTAATCCTATATTCTATCTTTAATTATCAATAGCATATCTTAACAACTATTTAATGGTGTTTTCAATTCATGAGAAAAAGATTTAAGTAAAGAATTATGAGTTTCTTTTTCTTTATTCATTTATTCAATTTTATGTTTCTTAGTAATATTCTTTATTTTGATAACAATGATAGGTTAAACTGCATCCATTATGGTATTCTTATTAAAAAGAACCTTCTACAATGAGGGTTAAGAAAGTTAATCCTACTAAGAAGAAGTCATATAAGTTGGAATAATTATAATTCTTAACTTTTTAAGAGAGCTTCCATCTTAATTAATAATATGTTCATAAGTGACAGCATCTTTCCTTTGTATAAATGTTTCATTTATTGATTCTGATAGACTACTTCTTTAATCATAATCATAATTTGGAGAAATTGTTTAATAAAGTGAATTTAGATATGCTTATGGATGTAAGAATGCATCGAAAATATTTAATTCTTATTAATTATTTTGATGTTACTTAAGTATTCTTTCAAATGTTGCCTTATTCATTTAAGCCTAAGATCTAGGAGGAATTGAAACCAACGGTGATTCATCATCTTCTAATAAAGAATTTGCTAGTATGATTTTTTTGATACTTTCTAATACTTTATCGGTTCCTCTTTAACCTAGTAATTTTTCACATTTGTTATTCATAAAGGTTACTTTTTAATGTTAATTCAATATTATTACTCCTGCAGAGAATATACTGTTTATTAAATTTTAAAAGAATGTATGAAGTGGTTGATCTGTTTTATCAACACTAGCGATTGAAATTTTTTTATTAAAACTTTTTTTTTTATGCATAAATGGAAATTAATTTTTTATATTGTCTTCAGTTGTATAAGGTTTATTATATAATGGAATACTGGAAAAGACCTCTTGTTTTTCTTATGGTTATTATGAGTAATGAGTTCTACTTTTTTTGATTGATGGTCCTAATGATTGTCTTCTAGAATCTTATTGAACAAATGTCATAAATTGAGAATTGAAATTATGTTGATCACTTAAATTAAGTTACTTTGTAACACTTTAGTTTGCATCAGTTTTTTATATCATTAAGTCTTATGTAACAAGACATAAAAATATGAAAATAATTATACAACTTTCTAATATTGTATAATTGGAGTTAATAAATGTGATGGAAAGAGTTCTTAAAAATGAATAAATTGGAAATCCTAATCTTGATATAATTTGAATATTCTGCTATTAATCTATGTTTGCATAACAATAGTTGGCTATAATCATGACTGAGTTTGAATGATTTACAAATGGATTATTCATGGGCATTCTTATACTGACTTCTGTATACAAACAATTTAGAAGTAATTATAAAATTTGATATAGTAATGTTTCCTTAACCCATTTCTCAAATATAATAAGAATTATCCTGATAACTATGAATGCTATAGATAGACCACAAATGAAATATTCATAAGGATCATAAAATATTAATGACCCAATTATCCACCAAATGTTTTGTATGATTTGAGTATAAAACAGTATTTAATAATTCATAAATTAATAAAAACATAGTTGATTCATCTTTATAAAAAAAGGGTAAAAAAATCAATTAAGATTATAAACTATATTTTTTCTGTTTATTTGATTTCTAATATTCTGAATTATAAAATTAGCTCAAAAAATATTAATATATGTTATCTCTAAATTAAGAAATAAGTGATTCTTATATTCAGTTTGATTATATTAAAATAAATAGTATAGATATACATAATAAATGAAGATTAAGAAATGTAAAAATAATAATTGATATAAAAATTAGAATAGAAAATGTGATAGCATATTAATAAATTAAAATTATATGATAAATTAATAGAATGTGAATCTATAAAGCAATGTTAAGGTTTAATCCATATTAGGATTCATACCAGCATTAGTATTTTAGCATATTCTTGAAAATCAGATAAAAGGAATAAAACCACATGTTCCAGAAATCTAATCATTTAAAAGTGTAATCATGTTTGCTGATATTTGTGGATTCACTAACTTAACAGAATAACTTTCTAAAATAGGTCCAGAAGGATCAGAAGTTATAGCATTTGCAATCAATAGATATATGGAATTATTGATTAAATCAATATCAAAGAGTGGAGGTGATATATTTAAATTTGCAGGAGATGCAATCATAGTTGTATGGCCACCTCCTACAGGATTAAATGATAAAGATGAGTAACTCAAAACACTATTACGTTAAGGAATATAAAGTGCATTAGATATTTAAGCTAAATTAAATGATACTTTTATATTAGAGAACATTAAACTATCTGTTAAAATAGGATTTGGAGTAGGAGATATAAACATTTTATATGTAGGAGGAGTATTCAATAGAAATGAATTTTTAGCTACAGGTTAAGCTTTGATCTAGGCTTTCGAGAGTGAGCATTGTGCAACAAAAGGAGGTTAAGTAATAATATCTAAGGATGTATATGAAATGGTGGGATAATATTATAATTGTTTAAAAGTGGAGGATCGTTAATCTTATTTTGTGAACTCCAATAAAGGAGCAAAAGTTTAGAACATTTCAAATGCTCTATTAATAAAGAGTAATATAAGTCCTTAATCATTTGAATCAATAAAGAGTCAATTAATAAGATATATTCCTGCTGCCTTATAATAATATATCTATGTAAGTATTCGTATAAATTTAGGTAGATTAAGAAAAATGGAGTTCTGAATTAAGAATATTAACAATAATGTTTATTAATTTGAGTATTGATTTATCTGCAGCTCTTACTTCTAATGGGTTAAGTCATATTTAATAAGTTATAGAAACTGTATAAAAATCAATATATGCATTCTAAGGATCTCTAAACAAAATCTTAATGGATGATAAGGGATCAACATTAATTGTAGTATTTGGTCTACCTCCTATGGCTAAATAAGATGATCCTGCTAGAGCAGTAATGACTGCTATCACAATGAAATCAGAATTAAATGCCATTAATTGTGGATGTAAAATTGGCATTTCAACTGGGTGTACTTTTGCTGGTGTAGTCGGAACTAGTGGTTCTAGAAGAGAGTATTAAAAATATCAATTTAATCTCTAGATATTCAATAATTGGAGATGCTGTTAATCTGGCAGCAAGACTCATGTAAATAGCATGTAAAGATGATCAACATTCCATTTTACTAGATGTTGAAACATCAAAGGAAGCTTCTTATAAAATGAATATTTCTTTTTATAGATCAGTTATGGTAAAAGGAAAAGCAGACAAAGTCAATATTTATTATCCAGAAATCAATTTAGAGTTGAATAAAATTAGAATTCATAATCCTTTCTTTCCAAGACTTCTCGATAACTATTTATTTGATATTAATAATCTAAGATTAATTTAAAGAAGAATTCAATTATTTCAACTTCAAAATGAATCTAATGTATTATTATAAATTTCAGGAAATTAAGGATCTGGGAAATCATATTCTGTTAAATAATGTATAGATTTATTTTAAGAGAATTTTAACTTTATATAAATTAGATTATGTTCTTTTTTGTAAAAGGAACAATAATATTTGTATGCTATTAAAATAATATTTCAACATTTCCTTAAAAAAATAGCAATCATTTTAAATAAATCATATGATATTTATTTATTCAATGAAATATTTAATTAATAAGATCAACTATTATAAATATTTGATTTTGAACCAATTAGTTAAATTTAATTATTTGATACGTAATTTAAAGATAAGAATGATTCTTTAGAAACATTAGATATTTAAATGATTAAAGAAAGCATAGACTTATTATTCAGAAAATTTCAATCTATTACCAACTATAATAAATAAATCTTCGTTTTAGATGATGGTCATAATATTGATGAAGATTCTCTAAAAATAATTAGACATCTAATGAAACATAATTAATTTATCTTACTCATCTTTATATTTAGACATGATTATTTTGAATAATTTTAATTTCATGAATAACATTAAAATCAAATTTAAATGATTGAAGATGGATTAGATTCAATAACATCTAAATTAAATGATATAAATAATTCTGAACATATTAGTTTCAAAAATATCTCATTAAATGATTATTAGATTTTATTAAATGATTTATTCCATATCAATAAGATTAGATGTTCAAAGAATCAAGAACCATCTAATTCATTAGACAAAAACATATTGCATTATGAATACATAAAAAATCAATTGATTTAATCAAATACTTAAGAATTCTTCTTATAAACAATCTATAGAAAAACTTAAGGGAATCCTCTCACTTTCATAACTCTTGTATATACTTTAAATATTATTTTTAGATTGAAAAATTGTTAAAATGCAATTATATGATTGTAGACAATAAATAATAAGATGTTGTTATAGTAAATGATTCATTATTAAATATATTGAATTTAGATGAATTTATTATATTAGAGGCTCCCTTAAATAAATTTAGACTTAATTCACCATATTTAGACAAAGTAGGATGCTTGGAGTTATTGATACTTAAAGTTGCTTCTATAATTGGAGATATCTTTGATGTACAAACACTTAACAAAATACAACCATTTAAAGAAGTCATTTAAAAAGAAAATTTAATTAAGATATTAAATAGTTTAGAAGAATTAGAAATTATAGAAACTATGGAACTAAATGATTTAAATAAGTATTACAGATTTGCTAAACCATTCCTTAGAGAAATAATCTATTAACGATTATTATTCTCTTAAAGAAGAGAATTACATAAATATTATGCTCAAGCATTATAAGAAATACCATCTTAATTTGAAATTGATGAAAAATTGGAAGCTTAAAGATTAGAACATACTTGGATACTGGCTGAATAGAAGTGGAATAGTTAATCGAATATTAAACCAAGAGGATTAGAATTATCTCATAAAGCAAAAAGATCTATAATAATTAAATCCATATAAACTAAATTAATAGCTAAAACTAATAATATAAAACTTGGTTTATTAAAAAAGAAATCAGATAAGAATGTTACTTGGGCAGAAAGATATTGTTTGATGACATAAAAAGAATTAAAGTATTATTATAGTGAATAAGATTATCAACGATAACCATAGAATGCTTTAGCAACAATAATTCTTAGTAGTATATATTAGATTGTTCCACTTAATGACAAAGAAAAAGTTAATTAAAAATATGCTTTTGAAATTAGAACTGGTAATTGGTTTAAAAAATAAAAGTTAATGTAAAGGAGAGATTTCTATTTCTCAGCAAATAGTGATGAATCAATGGAAGAATGGACTATATATATTGAATTTATGAGAGTTAAAGCAACTTATGATGAATTTGTTAATAATTTTGGAAAAATCTAATTTCCAATTGCAAATTTTAAAGAATTCTATGATATGAGTTTAGGAACAGAAATCAATAATTATTAGTAAAAGTAATCACAAAATAAAAATTCAAAATCTAGTCTAATTCAAACTTAAAAAAGAAACACTGTTTTATCTATTAATAGTTTTTTTAAATAATCTGTTGTTGAAAAGAAACAGAAATAAAATAGAGAAGAACTTAAAATATTAATTTCTAAATTTTTAAATAGAAGTTAATTATTATTATTTAGTCATATATTTTAAAATTCAATATAAAATAGAAATCATATTATAATTGGTTAAAATACAAAGGCGATGTTAAATTTTGGATAATTTTTTATTAAAACTATTTCAGTATATTCATAATAATAATAATAATAAGAAAATGATACTATTTAAACAGAAGAATCTCCATAAACTAGACCTAGAGCAAGTGTGAATATCTCAGAATAATTAGTATTAGAAAAATAAGCTGAATCTATATCTGATAGTATTAGAAATACAAAAAGAAAATAACCTAATGAATAGTTTTATAATAAGAGATCAAAAAGTTCAGAATTTTTAGTTTAGTTTAAAGAAAATTCAAATTTAGAATAATAATAATAACAAAGTTGAGTATATTTAATATTTAAAAAAAGATAATCAGTAATTAAATTTAGTTATGGTTATTACTTTCATAAGATCATCATTAAAGTTTGAGATTTCATAAATAAAAACAATTTATTGTCTACATAAAAAACATTCTTTGCTTTTTTGAGCCATTTCTAATCCACATTTATAACAAATTCCACCATGACCACATATCATTAAAACTGCATTAGGTGGATTTTCACAACATATAATACATTTCTAATTAGATTCATTCATTTTATTTTAGTTTTCTTATAATTATTTAGATTCCATTTCTACAGTTGATAATATTTTTTTTGTTTGTCCTCTTTCAGTCATCAATTCTGTCATCTTATTAGATTATTAAATTAAATCTTCTTTAGTTGTTTATCTAAAAAAAGCAGATGATAGCTTTTTTAAAAATATTTAATGAATAGCCCTCCTTTTTTCATATTATTTTTGCTAACTGATTTAACTTGTTGGTAATTCTCTTTAAGATTCAATATCAGTTGATTATGATTATAATAAATCGACACAATAATCTATAATAGAGTCCCATAATAATTTAGTAATAGCACAAAAAATAATTAAATTAAAAGAAACTGTTGAATAAAATAAGACTTCACCAATTTTTATTGGCAAATCCAATCCTAATCTATTAAAAGTATTAATAATCCACATTACTGAAAGAATACTACTTATTATTGATATATATAAAGCCCATAACAGAGATTTATCTAAAAATAAATAGATTTTACATTCTTGAGGAACTGTCTGATATTGCTTGAAAATTTCATTAATAAGTTTTGATAGAAGTACAATAATTAAAGTAAAACAGGTACCAACTAAAGCACTTAGAAACATCCAATACCACCAGAAGGCTTAAGGCCAAGTCCATTCAACATATTTGCTGAGTTTTAAAGAAATACAAACACTTGCAATCAATGATGAAAATCTATAAAACGTTTTTAACTATATTTATAATGTATATGATTATTACAAATCTTATGATTGAAGAATATTCATGCTATATTTAAGATGAGCAACTTTCTTTAGTTCTGATAACAAATGATAAAAGGAAGAATAAATTTCCGAATAAATAATATTGAAGGTTAGTGTAATAAAGGATGATAACAAAATTCTTGAGTAATATTTGTGGAAATTACGTATGCCATAATGTGTAATACATGGTCAACCATCTTGACTATTTGTTTGTTTGAATAGTAATAACAAATGAAGATTTCGAATGCAATGCTCAATCCTAATGGTACAGCAAAAGGTGCTCGATTATATTGGAATAAAGCAAATAACAATGCAAATAAGTTATAGTAAAGGTAATGGATGCAGAAATAAGATATAATTTTCTTTATTTTGGTTCTAAAATATAATTGATATTACTTTTAGATTAACATTTGTTTTGATAATAAATAAATAATTTATTGGATCAAAGAAATTATATTATGTTATAAATTTATGATATATTAATATCATCACATTCTTTAAGCACTCATTCTAATCTAGCTACCTTGTTAATCCATACTCTTTCTCGAATTACCTAATCTATTTGTAGATTTTCTTCTAAGAACACTTGTTAAAGAAGTATCCATATCCCCTGATTATACTTCATTTTCTCTAAACAATTCAACAAATTAACACCAACGTTCTGGAATGGCCATTTTTACTAGGACTGAAAATATGATGCTACCAACACCAAATCCAAGACATAAGAGGTGTTAATGTAAAGTTAAATGAGAAACCTTTACAAATTTGCCTCCATATTGGATGAGTACGCATTAAATAACCAAAGTAAAAGTTTAAACAGCCCAAAATAAAGGGTTATTACAAGCATTAGCAAATGGATTGATTGTCTTGTAATCTAGTTGTCTGCATGAGATTGAATTAAAGACTTGCATGACAACGAAAGTTTAGAAGAAAATACTCATTTAGACTACATTTTTGTGGAACTAAATAAATTAATAATTAAATTACTTTCTATCCTATCAATTCAGCAGGCATAGATAAATCCATATATTATGGAAGCAAGAATAAAATTGCACATAGTACACAAATTTAATAGATGGATCCACCAACTATTGTTCTATTCATAGTGGGTGATACAATTTTATCATCTCTTTTGTATGGTTATCTTTCAAGTACTGTAATATTAGGAGGTTCAGTTGCTAAGGCTAAAGAAGCAAAAGTATCCATAATAAGATTAACCCATAACATTTCTATTGTGTTCAATGGAGATTCCTTAAGAACTACAGCTCCTAAAAATGACATGAACAAAGCTACTAAATTGACAGTCAATTAAAATTAGATGAATTTTCTAATGCAATCGTATATGTTTCTACCCCATTTCATAGCTAAATTAAAAAATTATAATACCTGTAATAATGGAACTAAAATTATCATCTAATAAAATGATATCTGCAGCATCTTTGGCAACATCAGATCCTGTAATACCCATAGCAAATCCAACATCTGCTTTCTTTAAAGCTGGAGCATCATTAGTACCATCTCCTGTGACTGCAATAACATTTCCTTCAGCTATTAAACCAGTAACCAATATATATTTATCTTCTGGAGATGCTCTAGCCATGACTTTCATATCCCTACTAACTCTGGCAAAGTTCTCCTTATTACCTACAACTTTCACAGTTTTTCCATCAACAATTTCATCTTTTAATCCTCCAACAAATTCTCTAAACTTTTTACCATCTACAACTTCCCATTCACTTATTTCTCTATTTGTTGGTAATATTCCACATTCTTTAGCAATAGCAGTAGCGGTAAGAATGTTATCTCCTGTAACCATTCTAACTTTGACACCAGATGCATGACATTATTTAATTGAATTAGGTACATCAGGTCTAATTGGATCTTTGATACCTGCAATACCTATCAACACTAGATCTTTATCTAAATCATCTTCAGGGATATTTTATGCTATTTTAGTCAATTATGAAATCTATCCTCTAATATTTGATCCATGAGATTAAGGATCAAGATCTCTATAAGCAATGGCAATTGTTCTCAAAGATTCTGATGCAAATTTCTAGATTATATTATCATAGATATTTTTTCTTAATTAAGGGTCTAACATCTATTCAATACCATTATTTGCTATGTATTTATTACATTATGACAATACAATTTCAGAGGCACCTTTAGTATAGACTCTAATATATTGCGATTTCTAATTAAAAATGACTGTACTCATCTTCTTTCTTTTACTGTTAAATGGAATCTATCTTAATACCTTATCACTTGGTCTGAATTGATTAAAATTAAATCCAAAATTATCTGAGCATTCTAATAAAGCACATTCTGTTTTATTTCCAATTTAAATCCATTTGTTTGTTTATGGATCCTTTTCAGGAAATGCATTTGAATTATAGCAAATACTTTCACACATGAGTTCAATAGTTTCCTTTTTGATTTTATTTTTATTAGTATGAACTTAATCTTTAAATGTTTGATTTTCAGTCCACAATGCAACTACTTACATTATATTTTATGTTAGTGTTCCTGTCTTGTCACTACAAATATTATTAGCTCCTCCCATTATTTCACAAGATGATAAATTCTTAACCAAGTTTTATTCATCTTTCATTTTACCAACTGAATATGCTAATGCAATTGTTACAGCTAATGGTAATCCTTCTGGTACTGCAACTACAATAATTGTAATAGCAATCATAAAAGATTCCACTATGATTTATAATGTCTTTATACTCAGAAATGGAAACTTACCTTAATAACAATCATATCCTAGATGTCCCATTAAAGCAATAAATGTTAAAATAGATACTAAAACTCCCAATTTACCTATATCTGATGCTACTCCTTCTAATTTTTATTGCAATGGAGTTGGAGGATTCTCTTAAATCAATAGTTGTTTCAACTTTCCAGATACTGTATTTTAACCAACTTTATTATATTAATAAGTTTCTACCTGCCAATACAATCATTTAACCTGTTCCATCTAGACATTTTGTTCCGGATATTAAAAATGGACTTACATGTCCTCTAGCTGCTTCTTAATTAACATTTAATTGATTATGTTGCTATTAGACCATTTCAAAATATGGTAATTTCTTTATCTCATCACTCTCACCTGTCATTGGTGATTCATCAATTTTAACTGCACTTCCTTAAACCATCAAACCTATTGAATTTGATACAGATTATTACCATCTACAACAAACAAATCACCTAAATTGAAAATTAGCAAATCTCCAACGACGATATCTTTTGTTTGTATTTCCGTTACTTTACCATCTCTAATTACTTAACATTTTCCATCATCCAATTTTCTACGTAACTATCTAAATTGTCTCTCCTTTAGATAATTGTTTCCTGCTGTTATTGATATGATTAAGAATATTGCAAAAAATATAGTGGCACTAAGATATATTACATATTTTAGTACCCTTCAGTCCATCCTGTTTTTACTCCTTCATTGATCATACCAATCACAGTCGATACTAGCGCTGCTATCAATAAGATTTGTAGCATTGTATCCCCTAAACATTCCATTATCAATTCACATAAAGTTGTTGGCTCTTTCTCAATAGGTGTATTGTCCCCATACACTTGCTTTGATTTCTCTATTTAATTCTTATCTGAAAATCCTTTCTAATCATATAATTATCATCATTACCTTTAAATCTGTGTTTAATTTCTTTGCTAATCCAGTATCATCTCCAAATTATTTTACCTTTTAAATACTGGATCCATCATTGATTGAGTTCAACTTAAATAAATCAGACAAGTCATCTATAGTTAATTGAGATTAAAATTAGGCTTCTACATCTCTTTATTATTTATAGCTCATTATATTCAATGAACTAAATTTTATATTAAATGATTAACATTTGCAAATACTTTATATTGGTTCAAAAATACAAATTAAATTCTTATTAACTCAATCAAGATGATTAGATTAGATTTATAAAAAATACAATAATTGCAGCAATATTATTATTAATATGTCATATTCTTAATAATCAATAATATTATAGTTATTATAATTAAATGATATAACTAAGATTTATTACACAAAATAAAAGACTAGTTTATTCTAATCAAAAAGATTAAAATAATTTTCAAACAATTATTACATCATGTTAAACTTCTTGATTTCTAATTTAATAGCATGCACTTGTAATTTATCATATCAATACTATATTAGTTGCCTAGATAGTTTATGAAGAATTGAGCGAAGTTTAATTATCTCAACTATTTCAAACCAATGTGAAATAATGTTCTGTTCTTGATAAAATTGATTTCTACTTTATTGATCAAGAGTAACCCAATCTTAATTTTCAATTTAAAATACAAGAACCCCATTATGCTGTTGAAATATATGTTGATTTTTACCTTATTGGTGATTATACAGAGTAAAATATTAATATATACCTTGATAACATCTTAATTGATTAGTACTAAAAACTTAACAAATATCCCTCCCCATTTTGTGATGATTAAGTTGATACTGAAATGGTTACATACTTTACAACCTATTCTCATTTTTAGTAAGATCTGAATTTAATAATTTAATTGGAAAATACCTCAAAATTTACTTTAGGAATAAGAAACATTTAAATAGTACCTAAAATATGTCATGAATCATGTACTCAATGTGTTGGTCCTAAAGAAAACAATTGTCGATCTTGTGGATTAGGAGTTCAACTTAATAGAAAAACAAATCAATGTGTTTGCCCTTCTACATAACCATATTTCAGTATAAATATGAATTAATGTTTAACTAAATGTGATATCTCTGAATATTATGATAAATAATCCAATAAATGTATGATTGATAAAAGTATGAAACAAATATTATAATAGATATTGAATAAATATAGACCTTTTTTTGGAATAGTTATGACTATAATGGATGGACAATTATTGAAAATTAAATTGTATCGGAAATGCAAGACAAAACTTACTCTAATGTTGTAGGATTATTTTCAATAAATTAAATTATTAGCTATTAATTCAACAATACAAATCCTTTTTAATCCATTAGAATAAGAGCAGACATTTACATATTTTAATCACTTATAAGACCTGAGATTTACATTTAAGTTGATGAGATTAAAACTAATATTAACCCAATCTATACTTAAACAATTACAGGATAGAACGGATACAAAGTATTTCACATCGATTATATAATTGATGCCATATCAAATTCAAAAATCTCTTTTTCAATAATCGGAGATCCAAATACAAAATGGGGCATTAATTAAGTAGTATTTAATCAATAAAATTGCCAACCATAATGTTAACAATGCTCATCCAAAAATACATGTTAACTATGTAAATCAGGTTATTTGTTATATTTAGGACAATGTGTTTAATCTTGTCCTAAATATTCATCATTATATAATGACGATACTTGCAAAGATGTAAAAGAAAATTATCCAAATACAGAAGTAATTATGAGAGCGTTTGATGATAATCTAATTGTAAATTTCTTATCAAAAAATGTTACAACTTTAGCCTCTCTTACTTAAAACTATTATGGAACATACTATAATGGAATTAGATATTTTGGAGGTTTAAAAGATGTGTCAATATAACTATATAAAAAATCATTCTATTAATTGCCACCTCATTATTAAGTCATAGTTTAATTCAATATACTAACATTTGAATTGAATACAACAAGTCAAGTGCTTAATTCTATTGAACTTTATTAAGATAACAAAACTATATTAATTATTAATTCAAAATAAAATTAAGTACAGGAAATTAATTAGTAATTTGTACATAATTCAAACAATCTACAATTATCTTTACTATCTCATTAATAAAACTATTCAATTTTCAGTTTTGGAATATCAAATTTAAATGTCATGATTTCAAGATGCCACCCATTATGTAAATCATGTATTGGACCAAATGAATCTGATTGCAAAGAATGGATATATGATTAGAACTCTAATGATTTCAAAAAATGTAAAAATGGTTTTATTTTTGACATACAATAACAAAAGTGTGTTTTATGTCCTCTAGGTTGTTAAAAATGTTCTGATTAACAAACATGTACTGAATGTGAAACTAATTTCATTAAATAAGGAAATAGTTGCTATTGTTAGAGTGGCCGTATTGATGATTTCACCTTAGAGTGTCTAAGTAATTATTATATTTATAAATCTTAGCCTATGCATGAATTCATTGATAATTTTCATTATTTTTAACAAATATTAACATCATCAATTTTATTACAATGTTTATTCCCTTTATTGTTGCAACAACATCTCATGTTTTGGCTGCCAAACATATAATGATAGGAATCCCATTACAATTATCCCAAAATTCAATATAATTTGCATGTAGTTTGCTGATCTGGTCTTCATTGTTGCACAAGATGATAACAAGAAAAAAAATGCCATCCAGATGAATACTTTTTACTATCCTTTAAAAATTCATTTACTTTCATCCAAGTTCCTGCAAATGCCAACAAAAATGAAAAAATTTGTTGCATATCGCCTCCTTATTCTTCTTATACTACACCTTTCACTTAGTCGTAAGTATATTTCATAATTAAATTACTTAATTCAATTTAATATTAATTATTTACTATTAATTAATCAAATATTTTATTAAATATATCAAATATAAATCAAGTAATTCTTTAGTTATTATTCTTCAAGTTCATTATTCTAATTTTAATTATTATATTCAATTATTTAAAGGTACTGTATTTTCTCTATTTAACATATATTTTATTACAACTTTATTTGATTATAATTTCAAAAAGATACAATAGAATTCAATTTATAGGGTTAGAAAAAATAGTATATTGTAATGAAAAAACATTTATTTTAATACTTTTATATAGAGTTATACTGGTTTATTCAAATTACTATTACAGAAAAATATATCGCTATTATATTTAATTAATAAAGTGGATATATCTTATATTAATAAGATTGCAATTAAACAAAAAATAACATTTAATAAGAAGTTCATCAATAAATAAATGAAAATAATATATTCTACTATAAATTCTAATTGATATTATTTAATATAGATTTAGTTAAAAAACATTTTAGATATAAATTAGCTTAATATTACAATAAATGATAGAATAATATACATATTAGGATAATCATATATAAATTAAAGAGTATATAATAATTTAGGATTATTTATAATATTATTTTTATATTTATAAGATAATGTTGTTATTAATATTATTTTTTTATTTAATAAAATGATAAAATTGTATTTTCTTTAAATACTTTTTATTTTATTTTTTTCAATTATCATTAAAGCATAAAATTAGAATACTAATTTCATAGTTGTTATTCTCTGTCTTAATCTTCTAATTTTGAAATTATCATTTTATTTCCTAAAGTTAATGAAGGAAAAAAACATAAAAAGTGAATAATTATTTTCCATTATTAATAAATAAAAACAAAGAAATTATAAGTTTTGAAAATCTAGTCATACATAAATTTCGATAATTATTGAATGATATAATTTTATTTTAATTAGTTCTCAAAGATTAAATTTGTATATAAATTGCATACGCGGATATTGATTATTTGAATTAAAGTTAATCTTGTTGTGTGATTTGAGATGTCAAAGACTTTAGACAGATGCTAGTATCATCAAAAGGTTGGAATTGCTGTAGAGTGGTTGACAAGAGATGAAAATAATTATTCAATTTTGTGCGAAAATTGCTTAGCTGAAAGGGCTAACAATAAGCATATATATTTATTGAAAGACGCTGAATTAATACTTTAATAATTTAGATTGGAATTTTTATATCGATTTGAAGAGGAGTAGAAAGGGAAAATCAATTTCTTAAAAAATATGTAAATAATTGTATAGAAATTGCAGAATCACTTTTCATAAACACTCGATTAAATAAACAATAAAATAAATGAAAGAATGGAATTCAATACAATGATTTTTAATTAAGGGGGAATGTAAAATGAAAAAAATGAAAATTTGAGTGGTAAGTTAAATATCAAGAATTTTGGAGAATAATTAATAGAGGAAATAACAAGATGTAAGAGAATGAAAAAGATAGGTGGAGAATAGAATATTATAGAATTTTAGAATCAAATATAACATGATATATTGAGATTATAATAAGGTGATATATTATATGAGTGTTTTGAATTAATGATTTAGGTGGATGAGAAAAGAATAGTTAAATTAATGGAGAATAATTAAATGAATGTTGAATATTAATAGGGAAATATTTAAGTAAGAATATATTAATATATTGTTCAAAGAGAACTCCAAAGTTGGATTTGATTTGCAAAGAACATGATAAGGAAATAATTATATTTGATTTAAGTGAGTAGCAACAAAGAGAGTATAGGGCAAGATGTGTGGAATGTGATCCATGTATCTTTACATCATTGACAAAATGTTAAAATTTGTGGAGAAACTATGAAAGATAACAATCTGAAATACTGACACAGTATTATTAATCCAGAAAATCATAGATTTGGATTATTACACAATAGTTATTTTAGTTGAAAAATTCATTTATAGAAAAAATTAACTCAATCATCATATAATTGAATGGGGTAATGGTATAGACAGAATAAGATATCTTGAAAATTATAGGAAGCATGAATAAAGATTGGAACACTATGACTTTAAATGAAGTTTTAGATATAGCAGATATATTGAGTAAACCGGAATAAATGAAATAATGTTTAAAGGAAATGGAAATTAAATATAAGATGAAAAATTTGAATATTGATTGCATATTCTAAAACAGTATAGAAGAATTATAAGAAATTAATAATCAAATAGCTTAATTGAATTTATGTTTTATTCATGAATAGGGTGGTAATAATAATAATGATTATTAATCACCTAAATATAATTATAGATCAAGATAAAACAGTGAAAAAAAGAAATAAAGATCAAACAGCACATTGAGTGAAAATTTTTAGGTTTAATTGAAGGATCAAATATAGGATTAAAAATTTAAGAAAATTAATAATAAGATTAAATCATTAGAAGAATGGAGAATTCAATAATTAAAATGGTCTGATAAATATATCGATTATTAATTATTTTTTACAAAAAAGTAAGCTGAATGGTGTAATGCAATAGCTTTTAATAAATAGGGAAATATTATGATAGCTGGGTGTATTTTTTCAATTAAAGTCTTTGATTTTTTAAAAGGAAGAATTGTTTAAACATATTAAGCCAAATAACATTCAGGAGATATTAATTGTTTATTATTTAGCAAATAAATCAATCAATTTATCTCTGGGAGTGATGACAGAACAATTAGAATTTGGAATTAAATTGATCAGAATGAATGGAAATGCATATAAGTTTTATAAGGTCATGAAGATTGGGTTTTGTGTTTGATTTAGACAGAAGATGAATAAACAATCTTATCTGGAAGTAGAGACAAAAGTATAAAGAAATGGATCAAAAATTAATTGAATTAGACTTTTGAATGCACTTAAACTTTACATGTACATACAGATGCAGTGTTAGGATTATCATTAAATAAATCTGAATCGTTTATGGTATCTTGTAGTTATGATAAATCAATTATCATATGGGAAATTTAAGAATCATTTTAAATTGAAAAAAAGCAAATAATTTAAAATGAAACATATGCTAATAGGGTCCTTTTTATCAATGAAACTCAATTTTTGTTTCAACCAAATAATAATGAAAATGTCCATATTTTTAAATACAATTCTCAATTATAATAATTTTAAGCTTCAAAACACAATATTTAGTAAGTCTAAGCAGATGATGATTATTAATATTTTCCATCGAAATTCTTAACAAAATAAGAGTGTTTTGCTAATATTCATAACAAATACTTGTATATTACTAAATAAATAAATGAGGAAGAATATGAAATACTCTAAATAATAGAATTTGAAGATTATCGTAAATTCGGAAGCTTTACAGAAGATGGAGAATATTTAGTAACATGGCATTATTCATCATGTGAATTTTAGATTAGAAAGAATGTTGGAACTTCGAGAATATCATGGTGATTTATATTTGGTATGTACTATAAATAAATAAATATAATAATAATATATATTTCAAGATTGAAAAATTTGATCAATAGTTTTATAACCACAAGGCTTAGTAATCTTATAATTTTTGGCATCTAAATACTTTGTTTTATGTTTAAATTAGTTTAAAATTATGTCACTATTTTTCAGATTGAAATATTCTGCATGATTTTTAAGGATTCTAGCAGAATTACAAAGATTTTTTAATAATTTAGGATCTGCATGTATGATTCTAAATTCAATAAATATAATTTAATTTGGATCAAAGGGAGAGGATTTAAAAATTTATTTTTATTAAACTTTTGACCTAAATTGTGAACCTTCATAAGTGTTCAAATAATAATCAAAGAATTCTCTACCTTCGACTGAATATTAAGCCAATTCACACCAATTTTTTAGAGAACCATCATGATTGAATATAGTTGGTAATGCTTATGTTTCTTTGAGATGATCGAACATCATATCTTTAGTAATTCCCATAAGATCTAAGAGTTTTTGATTAATAATTCTAGATGATAGAATACTATTATTAGGATTAACATTTTATAGAGTGCATTAAAAAGGGTATTTTTGGAGGGTTTATTCAAATTCATTTAATTCATTGTCTGATATTAATGTTTATAGTTAGAAATTGTCTAGAATTTTAAATCTCTATTCAACACATTCTAATGCTTATGAGCTATATTGATCATTCATATTTTGTATAATTTAGCAAATTTGCTATTTAGTATATTGATGTCTGTCGTATTGTTAAAGAGAAAAGATAAAAAGATCATGTTTTTAATCAACTCTACAAACTTTATAATTGTAAGTGCAAGGATTTTCACATAAGGATCCTAAACATCTTTCTTAAGGACACTATAAAGCTAATTTCAATTCAACTGAGGATTTAATAACAGTGGATATTGGTCTAGATATTGAAAGTATTGGAAGTATGATTTTCTTTGAGATCTAAACATTTTAATGATTTGATTATTCTAATTAAATTGATGAAAATACTCAGTTTGCATATAGTCTTAGTTACACCCTATATATTAGATTGTTTGAATTCCTCTTAGTTTATAATATTGCTTAAATTGATTATTTAACTCATTACAATTATAATTATAATTAATTGTGTAAAATCATGATTACTTAACATTGAAAATTGATTATTTAATTTAATGAGCTGAGATGTTAGGTAAATGAATATCCCATTTATTTAAATTGCTCCCTTTTGGCATTGATAGATGTCTAAAAAATTAGGTTAAATATTTATTTGATAAGGGGGCTAATTTATATGTATTTATAATTACTCTATTTATTTAATTATCTATTCTTTATAATTGTCAAGTCTTAATGAGATGTAGTTTTCTTAAGTGTCTGTCTTTTCTAAGAATTCTAGATTTTGTAATAATTTAGATTAATATTGGTTTCAGTTCGAGCTTGAGCAGACATTCGAATATGATCATTTCCAAGCATTTCATTAATTCCATCTGAATCTTATGTTTTCAATTAAATCCCTTCCTTTTAAGAAAAATCACTTAGACACTTGATAAATTTCAAAGCTTAGATTATCTATAGTGTGATATTGAAAAATATAAATATTTACTATAATGAATTTTTTGGTAAAGGAATATCTCATGATAATCTCTCTATTACTAATTGGATGTAATTTAGTCTGTTCTCCTAACATCCAAGGATGTTAAAGACATTGTTCAGCTGTCATTCTATCAAAATGATGAGGACATAATGTATTTTTAATGAAATCCTAGGACATCCTACTGTTGATATAATTTTTACTCAGAGAGATTCTCAGGATAGGTTAAAGTAAAGTCTTAGGAGATTATTTAATAATAATCTTTCTTTGATAGCCCATCATACCAAATAGGATGCTTATTATTACACATCATCTAAAAATAGATAATACCCAATGAAAATATGTCAACTGCCTATGTTTATTCTCCACCATTTATCATTTCAGGTGCTATGTATAAAGGAGTACCAACTTAATGGCCAATAATGCCTCTACAAAAGATCTAGTAGCCCAATCCCAAATCTATCAATTTAACCTAGTTATTGACACATAAAAAGATATTTTCTACATTAATTACAATATTTACATGGCTTCAAGTCTCTATGTATTATTCCTTTGTGATGTAGAAATACTAATGCATTTAATAATTAATGCATGATGTATCTGACCTAAATTTCATTTAAATTTCTCTGTCTCAACACTACATCTAATGTTTATCCTATGAGTTTCTCCATTATCAAATAAATTTTGTGATTTGCATACAACACTCTATAGAATTAAACTATATTTGGATGAGAACACTCTTACAATAGATATGACTCTATATCTTACTAAAAGTGAGCAGTAACCTTAAATTTTAACAATATTTACTTTAATAGCCACTATTTTATCTAATTAGGAACTATAAGCAGCAATGACGACTCCAAAACTTCCTCTCCCTAAAATCTCCTTAAAACAATAGAATTCACTCAATAAGATATCATTTAAATCATCTATTAGTTTTTTAGGATCCATAGATTTAACAAATTTAAATATTATATAATTTTGTTATCTTCTACCTTGGAATTAAATTTAATTTTTTCATCATTTCTAAATTTAATACCGATTATTAATAGATTTTAATAAATTATATATAAAATGATATTGACTGATTAAATCTTTCTATATCTTAATAGCCTATCAAAACATTTGAAAAAACATTATTTATACAATTGAAATTACTAAATCAATGATTTATAACAAATCTTATTAATTAATACATAATCTATTCTAAAATTGACAAGAGATATAGTCAATAGTTTTTAGTTTTTCAAAAGTCTTCAAATTCTAATTTTAATTAATATGAAGACTGAAATATACATTAATAAAATAATTTGCATTCTATATTGTGTGATACTAATATGATATAATATATTTATGATGAATCAAATAATGAAAATCGAATTCTTGATATAACCTCTATTTAATTTATATTTTGATTGGTTTCTTTTAAGCCCTTCTTTAAATAGAATATATTAGGAAATTAATTAAATATTTTCAGAAATAGGTTTAAATGCGAAATACAATTATTTATTAGAAAAATCATTTTAAGTATCATATGGTTTCATCTTAATTCATTATTAATATAATTACTTAATTTAATTAAACACAATTCATTTGGTCAACATAAATTTTCGTATCATAGGTTATTTTTAAACAGAGCTTTCCAGGTAAATAACAACACTTAGATAGCTTAGTATTATTTTTTTTATTAATAAATTGAATTCTAAATTTAATTATATCTAAGAATATTCAAGTATTTTACGTATTTCTTAATATCATTCTGAAGTAATTTCTGAATGATATTTTTTAAATAAGCAATATTGTATTTAATATCCTATTTAAAATTTACACATATCTTTTTTGTATCATTTAATTAAAAAATACAACAACATTTTTCAATTTGCTGAGATTTTCATTAAATTAGAAATTATATTGTGGTATTACAATAGACTATTTTAATTGATTATTAATATATATATTATACAAATCAAGAGTTCATTAAATTATTAATTTTCTATCTTACTAAATAGTATTCTTTGTCTAATTCACCAATTAATTTGTTTGTGACCTTAAATTTAAGAGCACGATACTTCAATGTTTTTAATGATGCTATTTCCTAATTATAATGTTTAGATATATACATCTGTATTTTATGTGAAAAATTCAGCTTTACTTAAATTATTTAAAAATTATAACAAAATATCAAATTTCATTGATAATATTTTTTCTTCATAAGTTGAAAATATTCCCAAAATAATTTAATAAAATCCACACCAACCACGACTTAATAATACATCCCATATATCAAAAAGAACAGTTGAAAATTCGTTTTTCATAAATGATCCAGTAAATAAAGTAATAAACCATGGGGCAGAATAATGGCCTGCTTCAATTTTCTCATCTTTCAAATGCTAATGAACTTTTGGTATAAATATTGCCAATAATCTATCCAATTTATAAAAGAATACTCTTATATACTTAAGATCATAGAGTAATACATCTTTTAATAATTGATTAATCAATGCTGCAAAACATCTAAATGTTAATTCCTCTTCAATCATTATAGTAAATATAAACCCCATTACAAAATTCATCCCTTATGTATATGAGATTGTATTATTATAATATGCATATAGTTTAAGTAAATTATGCAATGTAAGATGATTAATTTTGCTTTATTAACCTCCACTATTAAATGATCTTTATACATCCTAAGCAATTTAATGTTCTAAGGTTGCTTCCTTGGCTCCAGCCTATTTAGAATATTTTTCCTTTAATTTGTAGTAATCAAGTTAAATACACTCAGGTTACAATAAACTAATCCATAAGAGTTTTCTTTTGATTGATAATCGTTCTGTTAGATTATTTAAACATAAGTATCTTTATTTAACTTTCATACTTAATTATGAGAATTCTTTATTAATTTAAACAATAGTTAATTAATCAGATAATGGTAAATATTTTAAACATTTTTTTAATGTATAAAATAATCGTTTTTTTTCCATTATTTATTATTGAGTCTTGGGTGATTATGGCTAAATCTATTCCATGTATATCTTTATTGACTCAAATTATTCTAACAATAAAACTATGTCTTGAACTCTAATATTACACATTTTAGATAATATTATAATAGTTTCACTTGCATAGTCTATTTTTATATCTAATTTAAGCATTATTGAACAAATCTTTTACAAATTCAATAAAACTTTTAAATAGTTGAGTCTTTATTCTTAAGTCATTTATTCTTGTATTATTCTCTTTTTTTGATATAATAAATTAATTATTTATGTTTTTTTAGGTTTGATAGATTTACTATTATTTTAATTGTTTTTTTCACCTTTTTTTGTTAATTCCAAGTTTTCTTTTTCATTCAAATACAATAATAACTATTACCATTTATTTTTTTCATAAAACAAAAATGTTTTTTCACTAGCTTATTATCCTATTGTAATAAACTAATTTTTTTCTCTCATTCCAAATTATGTAATAAAATTCAATAATGAATTGAATTCAATTACATTAAAATTTTGATCCTTTTATACATCTTAAATAATTAATATTTATTTTTACTTAGAATTAAATGTTTAGCAATTAATATTAAAAGATCATTTGATGATGGATTGATTACAATAACATCCGTAGGTGATTAATCTATTATTTAGATTATACTATCAAGTAATTTAATTCTTGTATCTTAATATTAAAATAATGTTTCAAAATCAATATCAATTACTGATTAAAATTATTACTTATTATAATCTTATTTTTTTGCCTATTAGATTAGATCAATCAATAAGTTGATTTGTTATTCCATTTATTATGTCAACTTAAATTTTTAAAGATTAACAGGATCAAATTTATCATGAGAATTAATATTTGCAATCCAATCTTCATAAGTTATAAAATTATCCTATTTTGTAACCTTAAAAATATTGAAGGTTCTATTTCTCATAATGTTTTTTAAAATAGGTTATTTTTCATTTGAATGTTTATTTTATATAAGCGAAAATTTTTCATTTGAAGTGACCAAGACTTATTATAATTTCTAATTTAAAACATTTGTAACCTTAGAAATGTGAGATACAACTTTTTCTGTCGTCGTTTTGGTAAGTTATGTTCTTGTTAATTCATTTTTATCATATTCATCAAATTATGATTTAAATTTTTCATTAAATATATGCCATAATTAATTAACAATAGCTAATTCTTATCTGTAATCGACAAATAATTCATCAGCCTTTAATTATAATTATTTAGAATTCTTTCTTTTTTCCAGATCATAAGCTGTCTTTAGATAATCTTATTATTTATTAAATAGAGACTCTCTTTAAGTTTAGACTTATTTTAAAAACTCTCTTGCTTTTATAAATAAGGTACTATTTGTTTAATAATAATTAATCTAAAAATCTTCATAAGGTTGAATTATATCCTAATCCATATCAGCCATTAATTCTTCCAAATTATGTGATAGGTTGATTATGGTATTTGACATTAGATTGTAATAGAATAAATTCAACTCGTTCTCCTCTGGTGTCTTTGCCAATTATGTGTAAAATTATTCAGAAAATTCATTTAATTACATGGATAAAGTACAAAATGATTGATGAATATTTCTAATGAATGCTTTAAAAACATCAACCTATTGAGTATTAATGTAATACCAACGTATTAGTATGTTAGACCTTTGTATTTAAATCATCCAAATAAGAATAACTTTCTTAGATTATTTACTCTTGCATTATTTAATATTTATATAATTATTTTATTAATTATATGAATAATAAATTTAAATCAAACTGCTTGGCTTGGATCTTCTTTACCTGAGTATAAATAAGGAGGGATATATGGTAATACACCTCCATCAGCAATTGTTGTATTGGCCATTAATTTATTTAGTTCATCATCATTTCTAACGGCTAAGAGAATATGTCTTGGATTAATTCTATTCTTCTTATTATCTTTTGCAGCATTTCCAGCAAGTTCTAAAACTTCAGCAGCCAAATATTCAAGCACAGCCGATAAATAAACAGGAGCACCTGCACCTACTCTTTCTGTATATCTTCCTTATTTTAAATATCTTGAAACCCTTCCAACAGGGAATTGTAAACCAGCTTTATGAGATCTAGAAACTGATTTATGAGCTCCAGCAGCCTTTCCTCCTTTTCCAGCTTTTCCTTTTCCACCTGATGACATTGCTTTTTATTTATTTATCTTCAAACTAAATCAGTTCCATTTTAAACATTTTCAATATTCTTTTTTTCGTTTATAATCCAATCATATTCTAGATATCAATGCACTATTTAAACATTTAAACACTATCAAATTACAAGAATACTTCTTTAGACTATTCTCAAATATATTCCTACAAAATTAGTGTTCTTCACTGTCTCTTATTTAAAGATACATCAAAAGATTTACTTATAATAATTAATATGTTATAATTAAACTAATAATTAAATATATAAATAAAACATAAGAAAAAATTATATATTTTGATTAATCCAATATTAATATATATACATTGAAGTTATTTAATTTCCAATTATTATTATGTTATTATCTGATATAATCTAATGGTATTAGTTATATAGATGAATAAATTGAAATATTTAAACAAATTATAAATTATGATAAATAAATATAATTTATGAATTTCGATATAGTGTTTTTATTCGTGTCTATTTTAGTAATGGGAGGAAGTTATTACTTATTGTTTGTAAAGAAAAAAAACAAATAATAAACAGTAGTTTAATAAGGTTAACAATAAGCATAAGTTTAGTAATAAGGATAATAACAATAATAACAATAATAATAATAAAGAAGATAAATAAATAGAGTTGAAGTAGAATCAGATGATGAATCAGATAGAGAATTAGATGTTTAGAATGCAGAATAATAAGCAAAAAGAGAAGCTAGAAAACAGAAGAAACAATAACAATAATAATATATTAGATAATAAATAGAAATGTTAGAAAAGAAAAATGAAAAAAGAAGCAAAGAATATGAAGAAAAAGAAAGGTAAAGAGAATAATAAGAATAAGAAGAGGAGGAATGGAGAAAAAAGATTGAAGCAGAATAAAAATTAAAAGAATAAGAGGAATTTGATAAATGGAGTGTAAATTATATTAAATTAAACAATAGAGTATGTTCTAAGTTGAATAGAGTGGAACTATGAAATTGTCACTAGAAGAAGAAGAACAAAAAAACAAAGAATTTAATGAAAAATTAGCAAATTATATTAAATTAAGAAAAGTAGTATAGTTGGAAGAAGTCAGTGCTGAGTTAAGTATAAGTACAACTGAAGTTGTGGACAAAATAAAACAGTTAGAAATTTTGGGATAATTAAATGGACTAATAGATGAAAGAGGCAAGTATATTCATATAAGATAAAATGAAATTGAAGTATTTATTCGTTTTATAGAAAATAGAGTTTAATTAATTATATTAATGCAAGAGGTAGAATGACTAGAAGTGAGCTATTGAATGAAAGTAATAGAATAATAAAATTGGAACCATCAAAGCAGGATTTATAAAAGATCTAAGAAGAGGAACAAAAATTGTTAAACGATTTATAATAGGAATTATAGCAATGAATTAAAATTAATATAATTATATAATTAAATGAAATGCGAAGTAAAAACTGTAAAGCTCAAAATAATAGGACTCACTGATTTAAATAAAATAATCAGAAATTCTTCTTATCAAATAAAAGTTTATTTTGGAGGTGCAAGATAATTAACTAAAATATTAAATTACTATGTAGGTATTTAATCTAACCTTAAGACTAGCTACTGAATAAATTGAAATTAATTAGAATTTTGAATTGAGTAGTATTCATGGAAAACAATTATAATTTTGGTTATTTGATAAATTGAAAAATAAGTTTATTGGAGCAGGTTCATTTGAATTGACTGAGGTTGAGGGATTTCAATTATTAGATTTAAAAATTGATACAATTATCACATGCGTTTTGATGTTTGAATTAACTGTTGAAGTTTAGAATATTTATTAGCCTGTTATTTTAGAGGATGATAATATTATTTTGAAGAAAGATGATTCTGAAGAGAAGAGAAAAGAATTAGAAAGATTAGAATAAGAAGAAAAACTTAAAAAATAATAGGAGGAAGAAAGAAGATTATTATAAAATTAAAATAAAGTTTCAATTGTCACATTAACAAATAGATATGTTGAAGATTAATCTTATTATTGATTTATATTTATTAAATATCAATAGCAATTTTGTTCCATAATTATAATCATATTGAATTTATTCACTCTCCTCTTTAAACTATAACCAAATGTATATTTTGATACAATAAATCTAACAATATAAACTTCAAAAATGATATTTATCTAAAATTTTTCTAATATGGACTTGCTCTTTTCTATATGTCGAAATCAACTCCTACATATACCTTTTCGAAATCTATTTAAGGTTAAAATGATGTGCTTTGAGGTGTGAATTTTGTTTTATGGTAAATATTTAATCATTTTCATATTTAACAATTTGGATGTTTAAATAATCTTGTTCTCTTGCGTTATAATTAAGTATACTATTTCTACAATAGAATAAGACTATTCCCCATTATATTTATCTATTAAGTTTTATCAGAATAACTTTCATTCAAATTGTTCATAACATGATTCCAATTCATCTACTAAAACTTAATCATCATTTAACTCTAAAGTTATAAATTCATTTTATAATCTATCTTTAAAATATTTTATTAAATTTTTTTCTTTCCTTTCATTTTTTCTCTTGATCTGTATTATTAATTTTTCTTATCTTATTTGCATACTGTAATACTTCATAAAAACTAATTAATTAAAGAATTCAAATTTATCGAAAAAATAATATGTATTATTGATTCCCGTTCATTTACCAAAAAATAAAAAAAATAATATTGATTGATTAAAATGGTTGTAACTAAATATTATCAATAACAATTTGAAGTTTTATTAGAATGTCAAATATATTTTTTCAAAAATTAAAAGTTAATTTTTGATTAATTTCTATTTTGATATTTGAAAAGGAAAATTTATAGGATGTATTTTTTGTATTTTTCTTTTCATCTTTCAATAAAAATTAATATTTTCTAAATAATTTTGAATTAATAATTATTCAGAGCGAAGGAAACAATTATTACTTTATATATTTACTCTTTTTACAGAAGAGCTGAAGTAAATTTTACTAATTGTATTTCATTAATATATTATCTTTACTTGAGTTTATTGATTCTGGAGTCATAAATTTTCTAATCTGATAAAAATTCTTTAATTCACTTTTTTAATAAAAATTCGCAATTTAAAGGTTCTGTTAAATGGAGAGAGGCAATTTATAGATGATTAGTGTATTATTGGATGGTTTAAGTTTGATGGCTTTTTCATAACCTTAAGTTCGGCTCATAATCAAAGAACTATAATAATTAAATTATGTATTTTTTAATTTAAATAATAATAATATTTTAGAAATTATTTTATATATATTATTATCCTAATACCAGAACAAAATTATTTAATAAAAATGTCTAGACTATATCCTCTATTAATAACAATTACTATTGCATTATCATAAACAATTAAACTAAATAACCCTATTCACGTAGATTATTACAAAGAAAAATTAAATGAAATTTTCTTAGATCATAATAATTAACTATGGTTTGAATTTGTAAAATCAATTGAAATTCTTAATCCAAAAACAACAATATGTAAAACAATACCTTATCAATTTGATTCGATTAATCCTATCTCCATTCCATTTGAAAATATTACTACTTCTTTATTCGATAATGAATAGAAAACTCTATTTGTTTTAGAGAGTAAATAACTTACTGTGATTTAGATAATTTTTACAAACTTTTCATTAAGTACATATCACTTTAGAAACGGTTAAGCTAATTATATTAGCAGCATTGAAAGGAGTTCCTACAATATAACTAATGGAATAGCTTTAGCATAATTAGAGGAAAGTTTGGTCTTTATTTTAAATGATTAAAAAAAAATAATTCTCTTTGATAAAATTTCAAAGAGTTTTGAAGATATTTTAGAATTATAATCCTAACCTATTTGGATTACATGTGCTAATGGTTTTTTATTTGTTGGTTTTGAAGATAAAATGATCTAATATTCATTAGATTTAAGAAAATTAATAAAAATTAATCAGATTGAATTAATCTTGAAGGAAAGTTAAATTCTAATGATTTAACAAAGTTCTATTTTTATATAATTTCCATTTTATAAGGTTATCAAAATAACATTTAGTTAAAATGTATTATAGATAGAAGAGTACTTAAACAAGAATATGGAAATTAAAAGTTTGTCAATATCAGGATAAAAAATATCATATTTGACAAATAATTACGTATTTTTTTATTCAGGAAATAAATTGTTTGAAGAATATGATAAATTGATTTAATTTAATGATCTAATAATTTTAATTTCATATAAAGGGATTCATAAAGTTTTATGTTAATTTAGTGATGAAATATGTATTTATGTGAATAAATTTATAGCATTTCCTCTATATATCAGACATTAGAATGTAAGTGATGTACATTTCATGAATAGTTTTGGAATAAACTATCACCTAATAACAAGATCGAAAAATCTCATTTAAATAAATGAGATCTCTATTATTGAATCATTTATTTAGTGTGATGATAGAATAGGGGACAATTAAGAAGCTGTATCTTTTATAGCTTTTGCTGATGGTTGCAATAATAGAAGGACAATAGCTCCTGCAACAAGTTGTAAATTTGAAGGAAAATTATATTGTAAATTTTTATCTATTACAATCATTAGTTAACACTATTTCTACAATATATTCTAAGTTTTCTGAAATAGTTTATATTATGATTATGTTACTATTCATTGCTTCAGTCTTGATTTTATTAGCCATTTTTTACTCTCGAAAGTATCAAAAAAAGGCAGAAGAATATATAAAAATTAAAAAAGACATCCACAAATTGGATTAATCAAAAGATTAAATAAATTAAGAGAATGAATATTGATATGAAATATAATTTAACTAAATCATAGATATTTTCTTCATTTGTGATTCTTCACTTATTATATTCTATTCCAATCCATATTTTTATTTTAATAGGAGGATATCTATAACCATTTAAAGTGAACTACTTAAAGATACTATTTTTTCAAAAATATGACCATTATTAAATAAAGTAGGTTCATTTTAACAGAAAATATAACACATGTAAAAGTTTAAGGTATGAGTATATATTAGTCAATTATGCAATTTCAGCAGGGATACTTTTAAAGGTTAACAATCTACAAAAAGATATTCATTTCTGAAGAANATCAAAATAACATTTAGTTAAAATGTATTATAGATAGAAGAGTACTTAAACAAGAATATGGAAATTAAAAGTTTGTCAATATCAGGATAAAAAATATCATATTTGACAAATAATTACGTATTTTTTTATTCAGGAAATAAATTGTTTGAAGAATATGATAAATTGATTTAATTTAATGATCTAATAATTTTAATTTCATATAAAGGGATTCATAAAGTTTTATGTTAATTTAGTGATGAAATATGTATTTATGTGAATAAATTTATAGCATTTCCTCTATATATCAGACATTAGAATGTAAGTGATGTACATTTCATGAATAGTTTTGGAATAAACTATCACCTAATAACAAGATCGAAAAATCTCATTTAAATAAATGAGATCTCTATTATTGAATCATTTATTTAGTGTGATGATAGAATAGGGGACAATTAAGAAGCTGTATCTTTTATAGCTTTTGCTGATGGTTGCAATAATAGAAGGACAATAGCTCCTGCAACAAGTTGTAAATTTGAAGGAAAATTATATTGTAAATTTTTATCTATTACAATCATTAGTTAACACTATTTCTACAATATATTCTAAGTTTTCTGAAATAGTTTATATTATGATTATGTTACTATTCATTGCTTCAGTCTTGATTTTATTAGCCATTTTTTACTCTCGAAAGTATCAAAAAAAGGCAGAAGAATATATAAAAATTAAAAAAGACATCCACAAATTGGATTAATCAAAAGATTAAATAAATTAAGAGAATGAATATTGATATGAAATATAATTTAACTAAATCATAGATATTTTCTTCATTTGTGATTCTTCACTTATTATATTCTATTCCAATCCATATTTTTATTTTAATAGGAGGATATCTATAACCATTTAAAGTGAACTACTTAAAGATACTATTTTTTCAAAAATATGACCATTATTAAATAAAGTAGGTTCATTTTAACAGAAAATATAACACATGTAAAAGTTTAAGGTATGAGTATATATTAGTCAATTATGCAATTTCAGCAGGGATACTTTTAAAGGTTAACAATCTACAAAAAGATATTCATTTCTGAAGAAATAAAAAAAAAATAATCTTTTCTTTTTCTTTTAATGAATTTTTTGTTAGATATGATTATCTTTAATATTCAAAATGAAATATTTACTTAAATCGAGACGTAAAAAAACATAAAGTTCGGTTTCTTAATTAGGAAATTTATTGAAAAGCATGAACATAGAACAAATCTTTCAATATCATATTACTCTCTTATTATTTTATAAATGACATCTTTTCTGCGTATGTCTCTTTAGAAATTGTTATTATTTAATAATTTCTGTATTGGTTGAGAGTTATATTGAAATTATTTAATGAAGGATTTAAATCACTCCAGAAACATTTTCAATTCGTCAAATTTTGGTTTGGATGTTTTATTACCCAAGAAAGTAAATGTCATGATCAATAATTAAGGGTTTAAATAACAAAGCTTTCATCCCAACATCAGACATACCAATGGAATTATGGTTTTCACTAAAAAGAGCTGAATAATAGTAACTGTGATTCTTTCACATTCTGAATTATAAAGGACTTAAAATTTCCTTTATATTTTTATTAGCTTATTATTCAGTAGGTTTTAAGCAGTTTTAAAAAATTTCTTATGATACGATAATTACTACTGAAAACAGCTAAAGTTAGGTTTGCTTATTAAATAAAAAAAAAACTTTGAAAAATTAAAAATTAAATGGGTAAGAAAATCAAAAAGAACTTTTTGTTTATTAGCATCATTTCCATCTTTATAAGCGTTGAAAAATTTCATGAAATTTTCAACCTTCATCTAATCAATTTATTCATTTTATCGTAATCAGTGCTGTAAATAGAACTAGTTTTTAAGTTTTTGTTATTGTATGCAGACTTATTTTTTGAATCTAATGTCATTTCTGAATTATAACACAATATTTGATAAATTAATTATTAAAACGAATAACTTAAGTTCCCTAATTTAGAAATTGATAAAATTACTTAAGAGCTAATTTTAATTTCTTCTAAAGAACTCTTTGGATTATCTCTGAAAAATTACTTGATTGCAAATAACTTTATTGCTGCTAATTTTGATTTAGAAAAATGTCTGTTGAATGGTTCCAACAATGGAAATGTATTGATTTGACTCCTAAGTCTGCTGCTAATTGTTAACAATTAATCATGAATTCATAGATTTTTTGTCTCTCATGCGGCTATATTGAATCAGTCATTATATTAGTGTAAATATGAACACCATCTATTAATTATCTTAAACTCTCTTGTAAAAATTCACTTGGTTGAAAATCAGTAGAAACATCTGTAATGTAAGAACAATTTGGCAACATCATTTTGCTTTCACAACCACTTGGAAGCACGTTATATATATACAATCAAAGTCCATCTATTATTTTTGTCCAAATTTTTATATCTCCTGTTTGAGTATACACTACTTAACCTAATTCAAGTTTTCCCTCTTCATTTAAACGTACTTATTTCCATTCATTTATTACAAACTATCCTCCATATTTTCTAATTTTATAAGTTTTAATTATACTTTACAAGATCCTCCATGTTTTATCCCATTTTTAATCTTGTGTTTACCATTATCACTATCGTGTCTGTATCTTCATTAAAGAGTAGCTTGCTATAACTTAATTTTATTTGGCAAACAGCAAAGGAAACATGAGCAGCAATATTAGGTTATAAACTCGTTTTTGAGCTTTTTCCAAAATGATCAGAGCCAGTTCAACATTATGTTTTATTACCAATATTAATATTATTTATTTAAATAACGTTATAATAGCAAAAATTCTTATAGAATATAAGAAAAATTAAGATAATTTTGTAAATGATAATGCTAAATTTACAATTTTGATCTTTAGAATTACCTTTATTATTATTATAGTATAAATGATGAAAATTAATTTTGATTTTTATTGTAAATGAAATATTTTTTCAAAACAAATCAATTTCTTTTATTCTCTTTAATTGCTAAAAACCCATCTTCAACTAAATGATCCTCATAATCTTCTAAAGATTTTATTATCCTATTATGATATTATTATTATATACCTTTAACCTCTCATTCTATCAAGTCTTGTATTTAAATCTTAAATTAATCTTTACTATTCTGAGATTTATTAATCTTTAGAATTAATCGTCTCATCATTAGTTGCTTAGTCTCTTAATCTACTATTTTCTTCAATTAATTCATTCATTCTTTTCAGCAAATCAGGATCAGATTACTAATATTTAAATTAAATATTATACATTAGCTATTGAATTGAAAAATACTAATTCTTTTAATTAGACATTTCTCTCTATTATGCCAATCAATTTCTCAGTTGCCATTTTTCTATGAATGAATTTATACTGGGTTGATTAAATTGAACTCTTCAACATTTATTCACCTAATTTTTAACATTATGAAGTTATTAGTACTAACTCAGTGAATCTTAATTTCAAATGTCTACGGAACACTCTTTACAATGTATTGAGTGCTACTTATTGACTATTCTTTAATAAAATTGATTCCACTTAAGATTTCGCTAATGAATCTCTTACAGGGGTTTATTATAAGAAACTTGAATGTGATGGTTAGAATGAACTTGCATCAGTAATTCCTCTTCCAAAATGTTCAATATTAGTAAATGCTCTTTATCTAACTCTGTCATATGCCTTTAATAAATTATTTATCAACTTTTTGCATTTAACTATTTATAAAGTATTCAAGCTGACTGCTCTTTAAGTAGTTGCATTGTCTCTCATTCTCCAAAAAGCGATTTAAGGAGTGATTCTTGTATTCTTTGCAATCATTTCAGCTACTCTCTAGAACCATTAATTTTATAGTTTAGGTCCTCTCCAAATATTCAATGCTTCTTTCATTAATTCTCTATCCTGCTTCATACTGAATAGAAGTAATTTTTAAATTGCATTAAATACTGAGATCATATTCTTCTTAACAGCTCTAATATTCCATCTTTAGAAATATATTCTTAATTTTATTTAGGCAAAATTTTAGAATAATAAAATTGCCTCTCTCTTCAATCTAATTTCTCTTTCTTAAGCAGACTCCTTTTTATTTGTCAAATTTGATGATAAGCGTTTCCATTCCACAAAAGCAACATTTAGCTAGTTCATTTTATGTTAGTAGAATAATTGAATTGCAAGTTTCTTCTTATCTGATATATTAAAAGCTTCAGCCGCTCTGCTAAATTCAACAATTTTGTACCATTTTAAAAATGCTTTCTTTTAAGCGCTCATACAATTATATAACATTTTATTTACAGCGTACTTTTATTTTGCCTATCCATCAAGATAAATATTTTATAATTGATTGAAAGTTGTTTTTCTCACCATGTGAATTTTGAATCGATTAAGAGATTTTTCAAAGACACTCGCTTTCATTAGATCTAATTCTTTATTTTCAGGTAAAGCTTTCCATTTTTAGAAGGAAACCTCAATTTACCCTACTAAAGTATGCAATAATTAAATTTATATTTTTTTTATTAAAGCTTATTTTTATCTTGCCTATTCAAACTTTCTTAAAATATCTCTTAATTTGCCTTGATCATTTGTTCTTAAATTTCTATGGAGAGCAAATAATAACAACTTTTTCTTTTCATCATCAAGTTAAGATTAAATTTTAGATTACTTGGCTTAATTATTCCAATGGACAAAAGCCCATCTTAAAGAATTGTTGTAATTCATTAACATTTTATTCAAAACACTTTCTTATTTTTTATTAGGCTTAAATATTGTTTAGACATGTCCTGCTAACGTAAGAGCAAGAGTTTAAAATAGATTTGTTGTATATTTACATGTTTCTATTGATTTATGTAATTTATTAATGTCTCGCCAATATAAAAATAATCTTTTATTTTAGCCCATAGCAAGAGTAAATAATTTCCTGAGGCAATATAACTTTTTGCTATTGCCATCTTGATATACATCTTTTAATGGTTCTAAGGATGCCTTAAGTCTGCCTCTGAACAGTAAATCTAATGTTCTCTCAAATTTTCTTGCATTCTTTAATTATTCAGTGTTGACTGGTTCAGGTAAATTCTTCCATTTTTAGAAAGCCACAATAGCACCTCCAAATTATGTTGCAAACAATTTAGCAAAGAATCTATCTTGAACGGCAGTGACGCTTGAATTTCTTTTGAATTTAGCAAGTATTGCCCTCAATTTTGCAAAGTCATTATTCTTTGAGAAATTATTGATAGCTTCTAATAACAATTTCTTCTTCTCTTCATTCATAGCTCCCTATAATTTCAACAATTTTCCATCATTATACCATTTCATAAAGAAATATCTTAAGTTGCTATCAAAATTACCAATAAGTCTAAGCAATGCTTTTTCTTTCTTTTATGATTCTTCATCTGGTTTCAAAGGTGCAATGTTATTCTTGATATGTAAACCTATAAATCCAAACAATCCTATGACGCATTTGCATCTTTCTACTTCCTTAATTAAACCAACATTCTTGTTCCATTAGTCCAATGCTCTTTATTATTCTGATTCCTGTGTCTTGATCATTAAAATTATGGCTCTCTTCTTTAAAGCTTGTGCATCATCATAAACTTCTTAAAGAGGGTTCCAGGTTCTCTTCCTCCATATATGAAGAGCAAATTTATTTAATTATGCTTCAAATTTGCTTGCTTTAATTAATTCTTCAGCATTAGCCTCAGGAAGATTCTTCCATTTGTTAAATGTATCCCAAACTGCTCCTAATTGAGTTTTTAACATTCTTGAGTTAATTTAAAGAATCAGTTTGTCTTTCTTATGAGCTAACGAAAATTTTGCAAGAATTGCTCTATACAGAGCGAATTTATTGCCATGTTCAAATTATACTAATTATTCTGTCAATTGTTTTTTCTTCTCAACTGTTAAAGCATCTTCAAAGTTCTAATGCATTCTATCCTATTAAGTTTTATTTCTCCACAAGAAGAAAGCTCTGCTTAAGTTTTCAGCTTAACCTTGGAATATCAAATGAAGAGCTTTTTCTTTAGCTTATGCTTCTCGAGGATTTTACATGATTGGTTAAACATTTGCAGTTACAATTTAAGCTAAACCAACAAATAAACTTGTAGTTAGTTTGCACAATTCAATTTATTTAGCTTATCTATTTTATTATGCCCAAAGTAAGAATAATCTTTTATGAGCACTCATACCCTTCTCAAAAATCTTTCTTAAACACATTCTCTTTATATTTTAAGCATCCATATAATCTTCTTTTAATGGGTCAAATGACACCTTTAAGTGAGTGTGGAAAAGAATATCTAATTTTCTCTCAAATTTTCTTGCATTCTTTAATTATTCAGTGTTGACTGGTTCAGGTAAATTCTTCCATTTTTAGAAAGCCACAATAGCACCTCCAAATTATGTTGCAAACAATTTAGCAAAGAATCTATCTTGAACGGCAGTGACGCTTGAATTTCTTTTGAATTTAGCAAGTATTGCCCTCAATTTTGCAAAGTCATTATTCTTTGAGAAATTATTGATAGCTTCTAATAACAATTTCTTCTTCTCTTCATTCATAGCTCCCTATAATTTCAACAATTTTCCATCATTATACCATTTCATAAAGAAATATCTTAAGTTGCTATCAAAATTACCAATAAGTCTAAGCAATGCTTTTTCTTTCTTTTATGATTCTTCATCTGGTTTCAAAGGTGCAATGTTATTCTTGATATGTAAACCTATAAATCCAAACAATCCTATGACGCATTTGCATCTTTCTACTTCCTTAATTAAACCAACATTCTTGTTCCATTAGTCCAATGCTCTTTATTATTCTGATTCCTGTGTCTTGATCATTAAAATTATGGCTCTCTTCTTTAAAGCTTGTGCATCATCATAAACTTCTTAAAGAGGGTTCCAGGTTCTCTTCCTCCATATATGAAGAGCAAATTTATTTAATTATGCTTCAAATTTGCTTGCTTTAATTAATTCTTCAGCATTAGCCTCAGGAAGATTCTTCCATTTGTTAAATGTATCCCAAACTGCTCCTAATTGAGTTTTTAACATTCTTGAGTTAATTTAAAGAATCAGTTTGTCTTTCTTATGAGCTAACGAAAATTTTGCAAGAATTGCTCTATACAGAGCGAATTTATTGCCATGTTCAAATTATACTAATTATTCTGTCAATTGTTTTTTCTTCTCAACTGTTAAAGCATCTTCAAAGTTCTAATGCATTCTATCCTATTAAGTTTTATTTCTCCACAAGAAGAAAGCTCTGCTTAAGTTTTCAGCTTAACCTTGGAATATCAAATGAAGAGCTTTTTCTTTAGCTTATGCTTCTCGAGGATTTTACATGATTGGTTAAACATTTGCAGTTACAATTTAAGCTAAACCAACAAATAAACTTGTAGTTAGTTTGCACAATTCAATTTATTTAGCTTATCTATTTTATTATGCCCAAAGTAAGAATAATCTTTTATGAGCACTCATACCCTTCTCAAAAATCTTTCTTAAACACATTCTCTTTATATTTTAAGCATCCATATAATCTTCTTTTAATGGGTCAAATGACACCTTTAAGTGAGTGTGGAAAAGAATATCTAATTTTCTCTCAAATTTTCTTGCATTCTTTAATTATTCAGTGTTGACTGGTTCAGGTAAATTCTTCCATTTTTAGAAAGCCACAATAGCACCTCCAAATTATGTTGCAAACAATTTAGCAAAGAATCTATCTTGAACGGCAGTGACGCTTGAATTTCTTTTGAATTTAGCAAGTATTGCCCTCAATTTTGCAAAGTCATTATTCTTTGAGAAATTATTGATAGCTTCTAATAACAATTTCTTCTTCTCTTCATTCATAGCTCCCTATAATTTCAACAATTTTCCATCATTATACCATTTCATAAAGAAATATCTTAAGTTGCTATCAAAATTACCAATAAGTCTAAGCAATGCTTTTTCTTTCTTTTATGATTCTTCATCTGGTTTCAAAGGTGCAATGTTATTCTTGATATGTAAACCTATAAATCCAAACAATCCTATGACGCATTTGCATCTTTCTACTTCCTTAATTAAACCAACATTCTTGTTCCATTAGTCCAATGCTCTTTATTATTCTGATTCCTGTGTCTTGATCATTAAAATTATGGCTCTCTTCTTTAAAGCTTGTGCATCATCATAAACTTCTTAAAGAGGGTTCCAGGTTCTCTTCCTCCATATATGAAGAGCAAATTTATTTAATTATGCTTCAAATTTGCTTGCTTTAATTAATTCTTCAGCATTAGCCTCAGGAAGATTCTTCCATTTGTTAAATGTATCCCAAACTGCTCCTAATTGAGTTTTTAACATTCTTGAGTTAATTTAAAGAATCAGTTTGTCTTTCTTATGAGCTAACGAAAATTTTGCAAGAATTGCTCTATACAGAGCGAATTTATTGCCATGTTCAAATTATACTAATTATTCTGTCAATTGTTTTTTCTTCTCAACTGTTAAAGCATCTTCAAAGTTCTAATGCATTCTATCCTATTAAGTTTTATTTCTCCACAAGAAGAAAGCTCTGCTTAAGTTTTCAGCTTAACCTTGGAATATCAAATGAAGAGCTTTTTCTTTAGCTTATGCTTCTCGAGGATTTTACATGATTGGTTAAACATTTGCAGTTACAATTTAAGCTAAACCAACAAATAAACTTGTAGTTAGTTTGCACAATTCAATTTATTTAGCTTATCTATTTTATTATGCCCAAAGTAAGAATAATCTTTTATGAGCACTCATACCCTTCTCAAAAATCTTTCTTAAACACATTCTCTTTATATTTTAAGCATCCATATAATCTTCTTTTAATGGGTCAAATGACACCTTTAAGTGAGTGTGGAAAAGAATATCTAATTTTCTCTCAAATTTTCTTGCATTCTTTAATTATTCAGTGTTGACTGGTTCAGGTAAATTCTTCCATTTTTAGAAAGCCACAATAGCACCTCCAAATTATGTTGCAAACAATTTAGCAAAGAATCTATCTTGAACGGCAGTGACGCTTGAATTTCTTTTGAATTTAGCAAGTATTGCCCTCAATTTTGCAAAGTCATTATTCTTTGAGAAATTATTGATAGCTTCTAATAACAATTTCTTCTTCTCTTCATTCATAGCTCCCTATAATTTCAACAATTTTCCATCATTATACCATTTCATAAAGAAATATCTTAAGTTGCTATCAAAATTACCAATAAGTCTAAGCAATGCTTTTTCTTTCTTTTATGATTCTTCATCTGGTTTCAAAGGTGCAATGTTATTCTTGATATGTAAACCTATAAATCCAAACAATCCTATGACGCATTTGCATCTTTCTACTTCCTTAATTAAACCAACATTCTTGTTCCATTAGTCCAATGCTCTTTATTATTCTGATTCCTGTGTCTTGATCATTAAAATTATGGCTCTCTTCTTTAAAGCTTGTGCATCATCATAAACTTCTTAAAGAGGGTTCCAGGTTCTCTTCCTCCATATATGAAGAGCAAATTTATTTAATTATGCTTCAAATTTGCTTGCTTTAATTAATTCTTCAGCATTAGCCTCAGGAAGATTCTTCCATTTGTTAAATGTATCCCAAACTGCTCCTAATTGAGTTTTTAACATTCTTGAGTTAATTTAAAGAATCAGTTTGTCTTTCTTATGAGCTAACGAAAATTTTGCAAGAATTGCTCTATACAGAGCGAATTTATTGCCATGTTCAAATTATACTAATTATTCTGTCAATTGTTTTTTCTTCTCAACTGTTAAAGCATCTTCAAAGTTCTAATGCATTCTATCCTATTAAGTTTTATTTCTCCACAAGAAGAAAGCTCTGCTTAAGTTTTCAGCTTAACCTTGGAATATCAAATGAAGAGCTTTTTCTTTAGCTTATGCTTCTCGAGGATTTTACATGATTGGTTAAACATTTGCAGTTACAATTTAAGCTAAACCAACAAATAAACTTGTAGTTAGTTTGCACAATTCAATTTATTTAGCTTATCTATTTTATTATGCCCAAAGTAAGAATAATCTTTTATGAGCACTCATACCCTTCTCAAAAATCTTTCTTAAACACATTCTCTTTATATTTTAAGCATCCATATAATCTTCTTTTAATGGGTCAAATGACACCTTTAAGTGAGTGTGGAAAAGAATATCTAATTTTCTCTCAAATTTTCTTGCATTCTTTAATTATTCAGTGTTGACTGGTTCAGGTAAATTCTTCCATTTTTAGAAAGCCACAATAGCACCTCCAAATTATGTTGCAAACAATTTAGCAAAGAATCTATCTTGAACGGCAGTGACGCTTGAATTTCTTTTGAATTTAGCAAGTATTGCCCTCAATTTTGCAAAGTCATTATTCTTTGAGAAATTATTGATAGCTTCTAATAACAATTTCTTCTTCTCTTCATTCATAGCTCCCTATAATTTCAACAATTTTCCATCATTATACCATTTCATAAAGAAATATCTTAAGTTGCTATCAAAATTACCAATAAGTCTAAGCAATGCTTTTTCTTTCTTTTATGATTCTTCATCTGGTTTCAAAGGTGCAATGTTATTCTTGATATGTAAACCTATAAATCCAAACAATCCTATGACGCATTTGCATCTTTCTACTTCCTTAATTAAACCAACATTCTTGTTCCATTAGTCCAATGCTCTTTATTATTCTGATTCCTGTGTCTTGATCATTAAAATTATGGCTCTCTTCTTTAAAGCTTGTGCATCATCATAAACTTCTTAAAGAGGGTTCCAGGTTCTCTTCCTCCATATATGAAGAGCAAATTTATTTAATTATGCTTCAAATTTGCTTGCTTTAATTAATTCTTCAGCATTAGCCTCAGGAAGATTCTTCCATTTGTTAAATGTATCCCAAACTGCTCCTAATTGAGTTTTTAACATTCTTGAGTTAATTTAAAGAATCAGTTTGTCTTTCTTATGAGCTAACGAAAATTTTGCAAGAATTGCTCTATACAGAGCGAATTTATTGCCATGTTCAAATTATACTAATTATTCTGTCAATTGTTTTTTCTTCTCAACTGTTAAAGCATCTTCAAAGTTCTAATGCATTCTATCCTATTAAGTTTTATTTCTCCACAAGAAGAAAGCTCTGCTTAAGTTTTCAGCTTAACCTTGGAATATCAAATGAAGAGCTTTTTCTTTAGCTTATGCTTCTCGAGGATTTTACATGATTGGTTAAACATTTGCAGTTACAATTTAAGCTAAACCAACAAATAAACTTGTAGTTAGTTTGCACAATTCAATTTATTTAGCTTATCTATTTTATTATGCCCAAAGTAAGAATAATCTTTTATGAGCACTCATACCCTTCTCAAAAATCTTTCTTAAACACATTCTCTTTATATTTTAAGCATCCATATAATCTTCTTTTAATGGGTCAAATGACACCTTTAAGTGAGTGTGGAAAAGAATATCTAATTTTCTCTCAAATTTTCTTGCATTCTTTAATTATTCAGTGTTGACTGGTTCAGGTAAATTCTTCCATTTTTAGAAAGCCACAATAGCACCTCCAAATTATGTTGCAAACAATTTAGCAAAGAATCTATCTTGAACGGCAGTGACGCTTGAATTTCTTTTGAATTTAGCAAGTATTGCCCTCAATTTTGCAAAGTCATTATTCTTTGAGAAATTATTGATAGCTTCTAATAACAATTTCTTCTTCTCTTCATTCATAGCTCCCTATAATTTCAACAATTTTCCATCATTATACCATTTCATAAAGAAATATCTTAAGTTGCTATCAAAATTACCAATAAGTCTAAGCAATGCTTTTTCTTTCTTTTATGATTCTTCATCTGGTTTCAAAGGTGCAATGTTATTCTTGATATGTAAACCTATAAATCCAAACAATCCTATGACGCATTTGCATCTTTCTACTTCCTTAATTAAACCAACATTCTTGTTCCATTAGTCCAATGCTCTTTATTATTCTGATTCCTGTGTCTTGATCATTAAAATTATGGCTCTCTTCTTTAAAGCTTGTGCATCATCATAAACTTCTTAAAGAGGGTTCCAGGTTCTCTTCCTCCATATATGAAGAGCAAATTTATTTAATTATGCTTCAAATTTGCTTGCTTTAATTAATTCTTCAGCATTAGCCTCAGGAAGATTCTTCCATTTGTTAAATGTATCCCAAACTGCTCCTAATTGAGTTTTTAACATTCTTGAGTTAATTTAAAGAATCAGTTTGTCTTTCTTATGAGCTAACGAAAATTTTGCAAGAATTGCTCTATACAGAGCGAATTTATTGCCATGTTCAAATTATACTAATTATTCTGTCAATTGTTTTTTCTTCTCAACTGTTAAAGCATCTTCAAAGTTCTAATGCATTCTATCCTATTAAGTTTTATTTCTCCACAAGAAGAAAGCTCTGCTTAAGTTTTCAGCTTAACCTTGGAATATCAAATGAAGAGCTTTTTCTTTAGCTTATGCTTCTCGAGGATTTTACATGATTGGTTAAACATTTGCAGTTACAATTTAAGCTAAACCAACAAATAAACTTGTAGTTAGTTTGCACAATTCAATTTATTTAGCTTATCTATTTTATTATGCCCAAAGTAAGAATAATCTTTTATGAGCACTCATACCCTTCTCAAAAATCTTTCTTAAACACATTCTCTTTATATTTTAAGCATCCATATAATCTTCTTTTAATGGGTCAAATGACACCTTTAAGTGAGTGTGGAAAAGAATATCTAATTTTCTCTCAAATTTTCTTGCATTCTTTAATTATTCAGTGTTGACTGGTTCAGGTAAATTCTTCCATTTTTAGAAAGCCACAATAGCACCTCCAAATTATGTTGCAAACAATTTAGCAAAGAATCTATCTTGAACGGCAGTGACGCTTGAATTTCTTTTGAATTTAGCAAGTATTGCCCTCAATTTTGCAAAGTCATTATTCTTTGAGAAATTATTGATAGCTTCTAATAACAATTTCTTCTTCTCTTCATTCATAGCTCCCTATAATTTCAACAATTTTCCATCATTATACCATTTCATAAAGAAATATCTTAAGTTGCTATCAAAATTACCAATAAGTCTAAGCAATGCTTTTTCTTTCTTTTATGATTCTTCATCTGGTTTCAAAGGTGCAATGTTATTCTTGATATGTAAACCTATAAATCCAAACAATCCTATGACGCATTTGCATCTTTCTACTTCCTTAATTAAACCAACATTCTTGTTCCATTAGTCCAATGCTCTTTATTATTCTGATTCCTGTGTCTTGATCATTAAAATTATGGCTCTCTTCTTTAAAGCTTGTGCATCATCATAAACTTCTTAAAGAGGGTTCCAGGTTCTCTTCCTCCATATATGAAGAGCAAATTTATTTAATTATGCTTCAAATTTGCTTGCTTTAATTAATTCTTCAGCATTAGCCTCAGGAAGATTCTTCCATTTGTTAAATGTATCCCAAACTGCTCCTATTTAAGTTCTTAAAATTCTTGCATTAATTTAAAGAATCAATTTCTCTTTCTTATGAGCTAACGAGAATTTAGCTAAAATAAGTCTAAATAAGTTTAATTTATTTCCATTACAGAATCCTTATAACCTATCTATTAATTCCTTTCGTTGTTCAGATTAAATTTCATTCAAAAAATTATTTTTCATTCTATCCTATTAAGCCCAATTTCTCCATTTAAAGAATGCTCTTAGTAAATTTTCAGTTTACCCTTAGAATATTAAATGTAAGGCTTTTTCTTTAGTTTAAGCTTCACGAGGATTTTACATGATTGGTTGAACATTGGCAGTGACAATTTAAGCTAAGCCTACAAATAAACTTGTAGTTAATTTGCACAATTCAATTTATTTAGCTTATCTATTTTATTATGCCCAAAGTAAGAATAATCTTTTATGAGCACTCATACTCTTCTCAAAAATCTTTCTTAAACACATTCTCTTTATATTTTAAGCATCCATATAATCTTCTTTTAATGGGTCAAATGACACCTTTAAGTGAGTGTGGAAAAGAATGTCTAATGTTCTCTCAAATTTTCTTGCATTCTTTAATTATTCAGTGTTGACTGGTTCAGGTAAATTCTTCCATTTTTAGAAAGCCACAATAGCACCTCCAAATTATGTTGCAAACAATTTAGCAAAGAATCTATCTTGAACAGCAGTGACGCTTGAATTTCTTTTGAATTTAGCAAGTATTGCCCTCAATTTTGCAAAGTCATTATTCTTTGAGAAATTATTGATAGCTTCTAATAACAATTTCTTCTTCTCTTCATTCATAGCTCCCTATAATTTCAACAATTTTCCATCATTATACCATTTCATAAAGAAATATCTTAAGTTGCTATCAAAGTTACCAATAAGTCTAAGCAATGCTTTTTCTTTCTTTTATGATTCTTCATCTGGTTTCAAAGGTGCAATGTTGTTTTTAATATGCAATCCTAAAAATCCAAAAAGATTGATAACAAATTTACATTTCTCAACTTCTTTAATTAATTAAACATTTTTGTTCCATTAATCCAATGTTCTTTATTATTCTGATTCTTAAGTTTTTATCATTAGTAAAACTGCTCTTTTCTTAATAGCCAACGCATCATCGTATGCTTCTTATAATGGATTCCATGTGCATTTTCTTGCCATATGAATTATATATTTATTTAGTGATTTTTCAAAAACACTTGCTTTAACTTAAAGTTCATTATTATCTTCGGGTAACTACTTCCATCTATTAAATGACAGCCAAACTTAAGATATTGTATTTCTATTTATAATTGCTAAAGCTTTTCTTTTGAGATTTTATTCAACAGCATTTTTATTAAATCTTCTTAATACTTCAGTTAACGCATGAAACTTTACTTTAGATCCTGCATTTATCCATCCAATCAATTTTTATTTGACTATCTAATCATTTAAAGTAACATTAAGTTAAGAAAACTTATCAAACATTTTCATCTCCCAAGCTTTTCGATGCCACAATAAAAATGCTTTTTTTAAGTCACTTTGGGTAACAGCAATTATTTTATTGATGCAAAATTTTTTTTTGGCCTACCCATCCAATAATTCATTTTCTAGTTAATCCCAGGAATTTAATTTAATAAATCTATAAGCAATTTTACCAAGAGAAATAGCAAATTTACTTACTTTAGCCTAATTTTTCAAAGCTTCATCTCCAGGTAATGACTTCCATTTTTAAAATGATAATTCAACTTATCCTATTTATGTTTGAAGAACTCGAAGATGTATTTTCTTAATCAACTAATTTACTTGTTACTCATTGTAGAAGAGCCTTAAGATCCTTCTTAATCTATTCAAATTATCATTTTTAATAAATCTTTGAAGGTTAATTAACATAAATCTTTTTTTTTCATCTCCCAATTTTTCTGAAATCTTTTATTATTTATTGTAATTTTTCCATTTTAGAAATGCTATCATCAAATTATTCGTAAATGAAGACATTAACTTTACTAAACACCTTTCTTTAGCCTCTGCATCCTTTCTTGTATATAAAAATGCTCTAATGTTATTTCTCAAAACTTCTTATAAAGAATCAAAAAAGTTATTTGTTTTTTAACACGCTATAACAGATTTATAAATTTTGTTCATGGATTACCATTAACGTAAAAATCTTTATGGGGCACTTAATTATTTAACCAACATTTATTTAACACACAATCTTTTACATTAGATACCTTAATAATACACTTCTTTTAATGGATCAAAAGATTATTTTACTCTCTATTTAAAAAGGAATTGAAGTCTAAGTTAGAATTTTGAAACATTTTGTAGCATTTGTTATTCAGAAGGGTCAGGTAACTATTTCCATCTACGAAATGCATCCATAGCCATTCCGCTTGTTGTTAAAATAATTCTACCAAAGTATTTATTCTTAATTTCTGATTGTTCTCTCATTAATGCAAATTTTCTTAAAACTTATCTAAGCAATCCTTTTTCTGTTTTATTGGCTGTATCCCCTAATCTTGAAATAATTTCTTATTTATTTATGTTATCTAATTTCTCCTGCATTTTTTTTTACATAGACACATTTTCGATTTATCTTAGAGCATCCATTTTTTGTCTTTATTGTATCTTTAATATTAATTTATTTAGAAATGAACATATTTCAGCCTTTTAACTTAATCCGAATAGTTTAAATGTTTCCAACTTTACTAACTATTAAGTCACATTTGCACTAGCTTATAAGGCTTTAATTTTTTTTAAGTTGGTTTCAGTTAGTTTGGCATACGTATTATAATTTGCCCATTTATAAAAAGCTGTATAGGATTGATTAAAAGTAACTTCAATTAATTCTCTGATGACTTTGGTTTTCTTATTTTTGGCATCATCATCAATGGTCTTAAAAGAATTCCAAACTAGTCGTTTATTTTAGTCAGCTTTATTTGATAATTTAGTTATTAATAACATTCCTTATTTCTTCATGTCATTTTCCCTTTTGTCAGGCAGATCAACCCATCTTGTATAACATCTTTATAATCGACCAAATGTTGTCTTTAATAATACAGAAAAGAACTTTTTTTTGAGTCTAAAATTCATTAAATCTCCTCTCCATTTTTCAAAAGCCTATCAATAATCTATTATTCATACCTCTTTAAGTCTTTATCTATCTAATCGATCATTTCTCATATTATACTCATCTCCTAATCTCTCTAAAGCTTTCAATTATTTTTACAATTTATCAGATTTTACCTTTGAAAACAGTCTCCACCAATTAAATTTCTCTCTTAAATATCTTTCTCTATGTTTAGAACTTATACTCCATAAAAGCAAACCTAACATTTTATCTGAATCTTAATTTTTTGGTTTTAAGGCAGAGATAGCTGCAGTTTTTAGTTAAAAGTCTTTCTTTTAAAGGAAAAGTGCTAAATTTATTAAGCACATATTTTTTCTTTTTTTTGCATTCATTTTTTTCTAAGGATCTTTTAGACTAAAACACATCTTATAATTCATACCCTATAAGATTTTTCAACTTATGAAAAGCATTGAATTCGTTTAATCTAGAGTTGAGTAGAATCTAATCAACTGCTTTCTTAACGATTTCAGGGTCGGCTCGTACTTTCCATCTTACTGATAATTAATTATTATACCTAAAAAATGCTTCATGAAGAGATGTATGGCTTTCATATCTCAATAGTTAAGAAACAATTTTTCCTTTAATTTTTTTGGATATCTTAGAGACGTCAATTTTTTTCTCAATCATTGCTGCTCTCATTCTATCAAGATTATTAAACAAAATAATTACCTAAGCATAGCTCTATGCAGGTTGTGCTATGCATGCGAATTTCCCATATTGAAAATGTGGCTAAGTAGCTTACGATTCTCGTTTAATAATTCTAATTTTTAAGATGTCAGCACAGATCTTTATTATTGTTTGTTCTTTTGCCTAAAATTTATCAGATAATGATTTACAATTAACCCGGTGGCATAATGACCTGAATGAAAATAAATTATATTAATAATAAAGATTTAAATAGATACATTTTCTCGTTTTATTTCAATACAAATAATAAATAAATAATAAATCACATAAGAAGAAATATATTGAAAATATCTTTCAGTAAAATATTATTTCGCTTGTGTTTATTTTTTATCCTTTCCTAACTGCTTGATCTAATTCATCAATTATTACTTACTGGTATTTAGTTCATAATAATCTAATAAATATCATGAAATATTTTTGAAATCAGTTATTGAAATATTTATTTATATATATAATTTATTTTAATAAATAAAAACAAAAAAAGAGATTTATTTACAAAAATAAAGACTTTAAAAACTGAATATGAGTAAGCGTTCTATATTTCGATTAATTAAGAAATTTTAGACTATTAGTATTAATATAAATATTTTTTAAAAACAATCTTTAAGCTTATTTATCATTAATAAGTATTGATATACCAATTGTTTATTAATTAAGTCGAAAATTAATATAATTTAGTCCTTCAATAAAAAATCTTAACTCAATTTTATAACATTAATTTAAACATCAATAATTAAAAGAATTTAAATTATGATAAAACTATTTTGAAGACTAAAATTTATATTTTCTAGAACTTTTTATGATTCAATTTATTGAATTAATTTATATTAAACACATTGTTATTTAATTTATTCTGCTTAGCTAATTATGTATTATACAGTAGTAAACTCTCACTAGAATTTTACTAAAATTAACGAAAAGTAAATAAAGTTAAAATTAGCTGATTTAAGTTTCATTTGAATTTTTATAAAAATCTTAAAAATTTTTTTCAGATAAATCTCCCTCCATCCTCTTATACCCTAACTTTGCCCAGCTTTTTTATATTCAGGATGCATCCTTCATCCTAATATAACATAATCATAAAACTAAAGTAATTAGAAACGAATCACCTAATTTAAGGATTTAGTATGTCTAAACAGAATTTATACTAAAAATCCTACTTCAATCATTCAAAATTCCGCATCCATCTCTGTTTTATATATTTGATGTGGAATGGAGTTATACTATTTTTAAATTATTATGTAAGAGAATTAATTTAAATAGATCACTACTCTAATTCTTTGATTTCTAAATCTCTTAATTTTTTTTTTAATTGTTTCTTTTTTATGTAAAACCTAAAATTTTCTATTTTTTATTATGAAAGTATTAAATAAATTAATACTAACATGTTAAAATTTCTATTTATTAATAGTAATAATCGTAGTTGTTAATAATATTTTCTTTTTGAAAAAAATAGAATGTAGTAAATACTCCTTTAATTAGGCAGCTTAAATATTATCATCATCATTTAACCATCAATTCAGATATAAGAACTCATTCTTATAATTCTTGGTGTATTTCTATGAAGGGGATCTACGATCCCTTTATCTCCTATTGTCTTATGATGGCGAAAATTAGGTTATAATTAGAATTCAGGATAGTTTCTACATTAATTCTGCAGGTTGCATTCATGTTACAGGATATCATTATTTAACCATAAAGTAATGCTGATGAAGATATCTCATGCAGATGCCATGGGCTTTGTGCACCTTGAGTTGAATTAAACTAGTCAAAAAACCATCACTAGAAATTAAAATAATTAAAAAATACTAATTTCAGCTTAAATATATTATGAACGTAGACTTTTTTGGGTCTCAATTATTTGCATAGTGAGGCAAAAACACTAATTTTTACATAATGAAATTGTATTTAAAGTTATAGAATACTAAATATATAATGTGAAAATGCACTCAGATGACATATCTAGCAATTACTCTAAATAAGAAATACTTTTCCCATTTCTAAATGTCAAATAAGGAAGGAATAAGTGGTAGAACAAAAGCAGAATTGGGGAAAATCAAAAAGGGAAAATCAAAACTACGTTTTGATTAACTTCTGAATGTAAAGGCAGTAGCTTTTATATTCAAACGGGAAACAAAATCAAAAACCAAGTTGTATTGTCTCATTCAAAGAAGATTAATGTTAAAAAACTAATCATAAATGAAGCCTTGATTTTAATAATTATAATTAATCTTCAATATTTACCAATTTTCTTTCTTATCAATTCATTTTATTTTATTATTTGTTGTTATTATGACTCTCGAATTAATGGGTTAATTAAAAAAACAACAATAGAAGGAAAAGTTATAACAAAATTGCTGATTTAAATAATTTGAATAATCATTTTTTGGCTGCTTTTTGAATATCGGTGAATTTATTAAAGTTAATTTTTATCTTGAAGCATACTCTAATATTATCGAATAATCTGCTATCAGTCTTCTTTTTTTTGACAGTCTAACTTTGATATTTTACAATTTCTATTTAGTTTTCTTAATTTTGTTTTCTGCCACATGTTAATGAGATCGTCAAAAAAAATTTAACTATTTTTTCCTTCCCCAAGCGTGTCTAATCCTCTCAGCAAGCTAAAATAATTTGAAATAATACTAATATATTTAGAATATTTCATTTTTTTCATCCAATATAAAAAGAATTTTAGCAAGCCATTTTTTATCAGGTAGCCATTCTTATGTTATTCCAAGGTTAAGCTATTTTTATTTACAAATTCCTTCAAGTTCACCAAATAACATAACTTTGGTGATTTTTTTTGATATTTAACTAATCTTAGCATCCTTTTTGTCAATTCTAAAGCATTTGCCTAAAGATAAATTAAATAAATATTTGCAAGTGACAAGAGATAATGTTAATGAGCAACAATCGATTGATAACAAATAAAATATTCACTATCCCATATGTTATTTTAAAAGAATTTATTTCATTTTTACAGCAAAAAATGAAATGAGAGTTGAAAATAAAAAAGTGATGATTTTTTTTTTTAATGCAAATACGATACTGGTTGTTTATAAAGGAGGAATTTCTTTATAGAATTGTAAATGATATTGTAATATTTATTTCTATAATTAATAATATTTAGAACTTTATTCAAAATAGGTAAAATTAATAATTATTAATAATTAAGTCCTTTTTAATTGGTCTTTTATTGTAAAAGATTTTATCAATAAAGATATAATTTTTTTCTTATGTTATTATATTATTTTAGGATATTAGGATATCATTCTAATCATTTTTCTAAAAACCTAATAATAATGAATATTTTAACATCAATTATTCTTGCATAATTCTAAAAACCCAATAAAAAATGAATAAGTTAACTAATTTTTTTCAATCAATTATTAGTGATATTGTACCACTTTGATTGATATAAAGAAATCATTACATAATTGAAACCCCCCAAAGAAGCTTATTTTGAATATCTATTAAAATTTCTTAGAATTTTAATTTCTGGGATTCTCAATATGCTTTTTATATTTTTAAAGAATAGGTCAATCGTCAAAAAATAATTATACATCTTAATATTATTCTTAAAATACATAACATCACTATCTCGATTGATTGAATTTCTCAAATAAATTCTTAAAATGGACTTTTTTTTTTCAATTTAACTTCATCATTTCAAATATTTTAAATTAGTCTCGATTATAATACAAGTAAATTCTTTTATATTATTTATGTCTCTATTATTGCGCAGTTTTTTTCATCCTCCATCCAATAACTTTTTAAAATTTATTACTCTCATGAATTCCATACTAAAAGTTTATCATTAATTAATTGTCTTATCTAAAATTCGATAATAAGTAATTATCAGGAGGCTCAAAGTTGTGTCCAATAGCCCAAGAATTTAATTTCTAATTTTTTTTACTAAACTTATGAATTTTCATTTTAATTAAGTTTCTCTTAACTAATTATCTTAAAACTAAGCATCTAATGTTTAAATAAAAATAAGATCAATCATAAAAATATGGTTAAATTTTTGATCGGCATCTCTATCTCCCCAACAGAAAGTCTGTAAATCAAATCTATATCTGCATAATATTTGTTTTTTATTGGTGAGAATATGAAATAATCTTAAAACTAAGTTTATTAATTTTCATTGATAAGAATAGATTACCATCTTTTTTTTATGCGTAAATTATTAAATATTTTTCTTAGATAAATTAATTTTATTTGGTAAATTATCTTTTATAATTAAAAAAGTACTTTATGAAATAATTCTGAGCCTGAATTCTTAAAGCTTGTTCTTTTATATTATTCTTAATAATTTTTAGGATTTCAAAAAAAAATCTAAATTATTTGATCTCCTCAAATAGAAAATTCTCAGATTTATGCGAATTTTTCATGTATTAAGTATTGACCCAAAAATTTATTACGATCTTTTATTCAAGAAAAATAGATTAATAAAAGGAATTTTGTATCAAATAAATCTATCATTTTATTCAATTTTGAATTATTTAAGAAAAAAAACCTAGAAAAATTTATCAATTTTTCCAAGCAGTACAATAATTATATTATCCTAATTTCTAATTAGCATAAAAGCTTAAATTTAGTTTTCTTTATCATTAGAAATTAAATAAATATTGTATAAATATATTATTAATTATTCCATATCAATATGGCATATTTTTTGGAATACTTTTCCCTCTTTTTTCTTCAACAGAGCATTATTATAGATATTTTTTTAACATTTTTCTTTCATCAACTAACATTTTCCATCCCTTAAAAACTGAATAAATCAAAGATTGTTAAGATTCCTATTCCCCTTTAATTTATCTAAATATAACTATAAATATTTACAATTTTTTCTCAAGTTTTAGTTATTTAATAAACTCAGCTCCAATAGTTCTATAATGATATAAATAAAATCCTTTAAAGATTTTCTTAAATTATTTTTTTTAATTATTTCTTTTTAATAGTTCAATTATCCAGGTTTAAAAACATACATTAACAATATTATTATTTTGTTTAGATGATAAAAATTCCATTTTTTTATCAGTAGTATCCTTTACTTATTGTAAAAATTAAATAAGTTAATATTTTAATTTATTCTAATAATGCAATTCAGCTTTTTAATTTTAATTTTAGGTTTTGATTTTGTTAAAATAATATGATACATTTCTATCATAGGACATACCTAATATTTTATCAAATGTTATAGCAGCCTTATTTATTCTCCATAATTTAAAATAATGTTTTTTTAATTTTCTTTTTTTACACTTACTTAAATATTATTATTTACTAAACTTCAAAACTTTGCTTAAAGCATTTTTCATTTTATTTTTGAAAAGTGAATTCAAAACATCATAATATTTATTTCCCTTTTCAGTTTTCTTTTAATTTTAGGATAAAATCTACATAAATTTAGATACATATAATAATTTATTTTATTTAGAATCATAATTAGTATCTAAAATGTTATAGATGCTTTTAGCGGCAATTCTTTTTTAACATTATAAAAACCAATATAATAAAACCTTCTTTCTTTTTTTATCATCTATTTTTTTTAATATTATTTAGTTTTTATCACCAAATTATTTTATTATTTTCAGGTTGTAATACATATTTCTTTTAAATATTTCTCCTAAGGATTTAGAAATAAATTTATATGCAACTGATTCATTTGTTAATTTTGCCCATAAAGTAAAACAAATTATTTATTTTCGAATATTCTTTTAGTCAAGATAATTATAATAAATTGAATCTTATTATAATTATCCAAAAACTGCATTTTATTTATGTTACACTAATTTATTAAAAGTTTTCAAAGCAAATTCCCCTTTTAGTTATTTTATCTAATAACTTTATAAATGATAAAATAAAACGCTCTAACAATGCTAATAGTATATTTTATTTTTAAAAATATTTTCAAGCTTAGATTCAAACAATATTAATTTTTGATTCATTTTTGATAAATAATTCCATCTTAAAAATATTTTAGATAATGTTTTTCTACTGAAAATAGAATTTAATGTAAATTATTGATTTATACCAAATAATTTTTTAGCCTAATTATTAAATTATTCCATCTCTTTTTTTTTAAAAATAATTTGAAGTTTATTGAAACCTTCTATTTAATGTATTTTTTTTAACCACGTATGAAAAATCCTTTTTTTTTGTAATTTGGAACATTAAATCACAATTTTCTAATCTTGATTTATTTTCTTCATTCTATTAAAAACACAAATTTTGGTTTTCTTTAATGCTATTTAAATAGAAAATATAATTCTTTTTAATGAATTAGATTTTTGATATATTTTTTTCCATTTTTAAAAGTGTTAAAATAACAATTAAAAACTTTATTAATTTTTAATTTCAATTTCTTTGCTGTTATCTTTTATCGCTTAGAATGAGAAGATCATATTTTCCTTTCTATTATTAATTATTTGAAATAGAAAACGTTAAAATTTCTTTAATTTTTAAAGTTTTAATTTCCATATTTTCAACATTTTTCTTTTTATTAAATTTATTGAGTTTTCATAAACTTAAATACTTTTATTTTTTAATAAAAGCTTTTAAAATTATTTTTTTAATTGTTTAAATATCAACTTATTCAAAATTGTTGTTAGATATATAGTTTTTTAAGATGATTAAGTTGAATCAAACCAATAATTAAGCACTTTTTAAATTAAATTTTGATTGTAATACATATTTGCATTTTTAATTCTATTATTTGAGCATAATTTTCTAAAAAATTTCGATTTTTAATCTTTTTATATGTCATAAATTGCTTAAACTATAAGTTTAGTTCCTTATTATTTACTAGTAAACACTTTCCATCCTGCAAAACATTTTCTTAATTTATTCATTTTCATAATTTAATCTCTGGGTCTTTTCTTATTAACTATAAGCTCTTTAAAACCTTTGAAGTATTTTTATAATAAATTCTTTTTTATCTGCAAAACAGTAATTGCTGTAAGATATGCTACATTTTATTCAAAAGTAAATAATTTTCTCATGTGTTTAAAACTATTTTATTTAAGATGATATAATTATCTTTTTTTTATTATTTCTGTATTATTTCTGTATTTAAGTTTTTTTCTAATAAATAGACTATTATTAATTACATTTTATATTTATTTAATTAATTGAATGCAAATTTCATTAAATAAAAAATTCTACCTTAGGCCATATATTTTTTCTTTTAAAAATCTCTAACTTTGATTAACTAAATAAAAATTTTTAATTACTTGCATATGTTTAAAAAATATTCTTTATTATAGATTCATAAAACTAATGCAAAAGCTTTCAATTCTTCCTTTTGACAATCTCTTTGCATTCCAAAATTTAAAAAATCTCAACTTTTATTTTTGAATAATAATTGGAATATTTTTTGAATCTTAGACATTTTAAATTTTCTTTTTCCATTTATAATCATTCAGAGTTTTAAATACTCTAATGTAAAAACCAATTTTACTTTTAATAAACCTTAATAATATGTAATTTGTCAAAATTGTTTCGAATATTTCTTTTGTAAGAATGCTTTTAACTGTAATTAAGCCAAAAATAAAATGGTCCTGCCACATATTTTCCGAATAAACTTCTTTATACACTTCTTTTATTTCTATTTATATACATATTATAATTACATCAATTTTTATCTATAATTATTTCCTCTTACTTTCATATAATCAAAAATATGTTTTAATATGTTATGTTAATGAAGTGATAGCAATTATTTATAAAACTACTACTTTTTTAAATGATTAATCAGATTGATTCTTAATCCGCTTATAACTTTTTGTTTAAGTTTTAGAGGGTATTTATTCTCCTATTTAAATCTAATATTATTTAACTAGTTGATAGAATCATTTTTACTTTGAGTTCTTTTATAAAATCTTTCTAATATTTAGATCTCATTATTCTAACTAAGTTTTTTAACCATAATGATCTTTAAAATGCCAGTCTATATTTATTAAAATATAAGTAAATTTAAAATTATTTGATTTATGGGATATTATAAATGTCTTATTTTCTGTGGAATTTCTTTTCTTATGCCCATTTCAACCAAAAATTAGTTAATCTTAAAATATATATATTATTTACCTTCTTAATTTATTTACTCTATAAATTGCTCTAGCTTTTGAATGTAATTCTTTTTTCATTTTTTATTCTTTTGTATATTATTGTAATATATTAAATGGTTTGCTTATATAAAGTATTTATAAAAATCGCCCAATCTGCTGATATTATCTTAATTAAATAAATTATTACTCTTTTTTCTTCTCTTTAATTTAGATATTAATTGCAAATCCTTTAAACCCTTTTCTTAATAATTAGAATAAGTAAACATCATACAATTATTTATTATAATTGTTGTTATTTTGGATTATAATATGATAACCTTTTAATATTTTGAGAATTTTTCTTTTGTTTTACCAGATTAATAAATTATCAGCTGTTTATTTTCTTTTTCTATTGAAATCCTTAAGTTAGAGATATTATTTCCATTTTTTTAAGCATTTTTTCATAATAATTTAATTTGTTTCTCGTTTTTATTAATTCATCACTAAGTTATTCCATAATGTAAAATACTGTTTTTATAATTTTTATTGATATAAGCCATAAGCTAATAAATTATTTTAATGTTTATTTCTACGATATTGATAATATTATATAAATTTTGTAAAACAAGTTCTTAATATTTCTTTATTTCTTAATTGAATTAAACCTGAACTTATTTTTTATTTAGAATTTTTAGTTTATTATTTTAAATGAAAATTGATCATTTTTTCAAAATATATTCTTAATTAATTAAGACTATAAAAGTGATCTGCTTATATCTTTTTTAATCTATTTTATTTATGTTTAATGGAATATTTTCTCAATTTGTTAAATGTTCTCCAAAGATAGTTATGTTTTCTCATTAATAATACTTGATTTCTGGAATTTTTAATTCTCTTTTTCTTCAACCAATATTGTTTCTAAATATCATTTCATAATATTACTAAATTATCAAAATGATGGAATAATATTTTAAGTATTTAATTTTCTTAAAATTATTGTATTTCTTTTTCAATTTAAAAAGAATCTTTCAAACTAAATTTAGCAACTTTTGATGGTTCTGCTTAAATTTCAACATCTTATAATAATTTTACAGGTTCATTATAAAGATAAATAATTTTATTAAAGGCAAGTCTATAATGTTGCATAATTTTTCTTTGTAATACAGATATAAGTTATTATAATGAGTTGATATTGAAAGAAGAGATAGTTCTATTTGTTTTATGTTGTTTATCTGATTTTATATAGTCACTTTGAGCAGATCGTCTCTTTCCATCAGAAATTTAATATAAGATTTGATTGGTTAATCTAGTTTATAATTGATATAATTACTCTTTTTGGTAATCAGATTAAAAATCTGTTAATTTTGATCCTCTAGTCTCAAAGGTTGGAGGAGATGCAAATGTAGTAGGACTAGTAAATTTTAAAACTTTGTCAAGTTTACTAGATTAGATTCTATTAGTTTGATTTGGGTTATTTTCATCACAGGAGGTTTTTACATCAAAAGAGAAGTTTAGACTATTTAATTCTTTTAGTTATTTTGGTTTTAATGGTATGTATCTTTAATACCATTTATCACCATCATTTCTTGATTCTGTTATGATTTGTTTATAAACTTTGTCATACATATCAATATCAATTCTTTTTGCTCCTTAATTTAGTAATAAATTATTACTTCTTAATTTGTCTAACACATCCAAAATGTTACTTAAATTATAACGGCCATTCACTTCAGCCATTATCTCTTACATAACAGGCTCCATACTTGGTTTAATATTTAAATTTGAAAATTATATTAATTATTTGTTATGATTTAAATAATATAAGCTCAAAGGTAAATAAATTCAGTATTTATTCTTTATTGAATATCTATTGATTGAATAATACTATATGTTAATTAAAATTCAAAACTATTTTCAAAAGAAAATGCGAATCATCTAATTTATAAATAAAAATATTTATATTATTAAAAAATGAATGAAGAAATCGATCATCATTTAGAGATGTAGGAAACAAATGCTATGTTACTTTAATAATTTGAAAAAGACACAGAATTATAAGATTAAGGGACACCAAATAAATATTCTGATCATTCAGATCCGCCTTCACCCACTAAAAAATCTAAGAAGAAGGAAAGAATTGTTGAAAAGTTATTAGAAAATAGATCAAAATTTAATGACAGGACAGCATTGTTTAATTTAATAAATTCTTTACAATTGGTAAAGGCTTTTTCTAAGAATTTAGGTTATAACTCTATACAATCTTAGTTCAATTATTAATATAGAAGGTTAAACAAATTTAAAATTTTATGATACTACTCAGATTTATAGCTTTTATGTTTGGAATAAATAAGGATTTACTGTTTATTATTTGATTATTATTTTGATTATGGTTCATATTTTGAAATTGTTAACATGTTTGGTGGGTAACAATAAAATTTATCAAATTTAGGTTATTTTTGTGTTGTACAAAAGAGTGAATAATTGTTAACAATATTTATGATGTTAACTTTCACTTGTGTTATCACTAGAGGAATAATAACTATATTATTATTAATCGATTATAATTAAATAGAACTTACTTAATCTTATATATATGGAGATTCTGATAAAGTAGCATAATCCTAAGCAGTATAATTTACAATAGTATTGATTGTTTTTGTTGCAGTGGAAATTATAATGGGTTTGTAGAGTCTTTTGTTGGCAGGTTAAGCTAAGAAAAAATATAAATGTACATTAATTCATCAATATAAATTAAGCTATGCGAATAAACGAAAAGAAAATAGCTGCTCATTATTCAATAGCATATTAAATAATGTTAAGGTAATTTGTAATTTGATTTGTTGTATAATAAATATCGATATTATGTGTATAAAAATATTGTATGATATGACATTTATAAAATAATAAAATATGATTATATTTTTATAATCTTTTTCTTATAATATTTATATATATATGAATATCTATATAATATTCAATCTTAAATAGTTATGATATAGAAAATAATTTGAAATAAATAAATATATATATTATAATTATTCAATATCACTTATTTTGAATTTAAATATTTGATTATCCTTATTTTAATGTTTTATTTATTATGATGATGTAATTTCAAACTCTTAATTATAATTTATATTGAATGTATTATTGAATTGAAGAAATATTTTAGGTAAAATGATTAAAAGTTTAAAAAAATCAGTAGGAATATAATAATTTATAAAAATGGGAATTTGTGGAGGTACTAAAAAATAACCTGAAGATTAGATTCATAAATTGAATCAACCAATCATAACTAGTGGAGAATTGTCGATAAAAGTGCTATTGAAGAATATCAAGTTAAAGATGCCAGATATATTATAATGTTCTATAGAATTCGATTTAGGAAAATGTAAGTATACATCTCCTGTGCATGTTAATAATGAAGGAGAACATTATGTAATTATTATTTGATAGAAGTAATTAAGTGGCGAGCAAGTTTTGATGGCTTACTTAAAATGACTGAATAATAGATGAGAGAAACAAATATTAAGATTTTTGTATTAACGTCGACAGTGATTGGACAAGCTTAAATCAATTTGTTTGAAGCTGCAGTAGGACCTTTCCATTTTGAATTACCAATAAGAGGCTAAAATAATGGAAATGTGAGTTTCGATTTGAAAATGAATCAAATTGTTCAAGCAACCCTATAGAGCAAATACATAATTTGGGAATTGAATTAGAGTTTGAGTGAGGTTAGATACAATTACAATTTGCGTTTGGTGGTTCTAATAAATGTCTATTAACAAGACCTCCCAATTGTCGTTCATTTCTGAGCATTCATCTACCTTTACTAATCCAAACTATAGAAAATAGAATGAAAGAAAGAATACACAATTTTAATCTAGTCGAAAGAGCATCTTAGACCAAGATAGTATAAAAGATAGTGTGCCTTCATTATCAAGACTCCCTTCATTAAATAGTCCTCCTAATCCACCTTATGATTCTATGGCTGCAACACCTACTCGTAAAGTATTTAAATAAATAATATAATAGGTGAATCATAGAATTGAATGGGAAAATATAAATGATGATCTGACATTGATAGTAGAATTACCAATTTAAGAATTTTAAGGTTCAGCAATATAATTGTGTTTATGGTCTATTTCTTCAAATAAAAAGAGTTTGGAGAATATTAAGTCTCCTCAAAAAACTATAATAAAGAAAACAAAAAATCAACATGATTCTGAATATATGGATTTAGAAATATAAGATCATCATTTAGTAGCTGAAACTTATATTAATTTATCAAATATGGAAACAAGTGTATCAGCAGAATTAGGAGCCAAATTTTTAATGATTAAGAGTTATTAACCTAAATCTCTTTGGTATCATGGCGTTGAAGTAGGTAAAATTGATTATGAAATGAGTGTTAGAATCCCAAATCATCTCTAATAATCTTCATTTGGGGTTTAAACAGAAAAAGGAATTGTTTCCTCTATTTCTGTAGTTGGAAATGTAGAAAATATTAGTGTGACAGAAATTAAAATGATATAAATGGAATTTTAAAAGTTATCTAGTAGTATTTTTAAGATTGAACATAAAACTCTCAATATTGATGAAAAATTAAAAGTTAGACAAGAGATGGATTAACATTTAAATCGTTTAGCATAATTTCTTTGTCAATCTCATGGAAGTGCTATCAAAACCTTCTAATATAAATCAGAAGATGATTTAATGAAGGCATAATAATTACTCATTTAAATATCTATTCATTTAGTTGATTATTCTAAAACATTATCTACTTTTAGTTCTTATTATGAATGTCTCAATCAAGTGTTAAGTCGTGGTGAATTAATGCTTTAATAACTTGGATTTTTTAAAGCTCTTAATAAAAAACAATCTCATTAGAAAATTGAAGTATGTTTAAATTATTAAACATTTTTAATCAATACATTACGTTATACATTATCTAAATTAAATTAAAAAGATCCTTCATATGAAGCTAGAAAACTCTATATAAAATTTTTAGTCATATGTTATTTTAGAATACCAGAATTTAGAGCCAAATTCTTAGAACTTATTAATAAACCTGATGATCCTCAATTATCTGAATTAAGAGGAACAGAATTCATACAAGATGATGATCCAACAAATATAGATAAAAGTACTAAGAATAATATATCAATATTTGATTGGTAGAATTATTTTCATACTTATTTAAATGATAAAACCTAAGGAATTCAAAATTAATCAGCTCTCAATTAAATATTAGATGATGAAAGTTGGAAAGAAAACATAAGACATAGATCTATTAATTTTAGTTTTTTTGTTGAAGAATGGGCTATTTATGTAAGAAATATTTTACAAGTTAAAATATTGCCTTGGCAAGATATACCAGGTTATAGAATTTTAGTTAAAGCATTTATGTGTGAATTAAAATAATAGGATTCAGTACCAGATGCCATGAAAATAGCTTTGAGAAGTCTGATGCAGAATGTTAATCTTTTGGGAATTATAGTTAGTTTATAATTTAATAAGACTAAGTAAATAGATTAAAATTTATTTTAGTTTATATAATACAGAATAAGTAATAGAAACCTTTGAAATTTTGGATATTTGTTTTTCTACCTTATCAACTATGCCACCTTACTTTGATTATCCATTTCTATTGAAAGGAATTAAATAAATTATAATAGATTCTGAACATGCTATTTGCATTGCTAAATGTATGTGGTTCATCTATAATATCTATCCATTACTTTCAAGTAAATATAGGTTTTTTATAAATCAGTGGACTTTAAAAAAGATTTGTGTGAATTCATTTTTGAGAAAGCTGTATTTAAATTATTTCTTCATTGGAGTAAGACTGTTAGAATGATGTTTCATTATTTTCTACTATACAGAGTTTCACATTAACATAAGAATCCAAAAGTTGGAGGATTAGATGAGGAGTAGATTTATAATGTAAATAAAATAGGTAAATTATTTAATAATACACGTTAATCAATAGACCAAAAAAGAATCAAAGTTATTTTGAAAATAGATAACCATAATAACAATTAATAGTAATTTAATAGTATTTATAAAATAGTCTGATTATATATATATGAAATACTTGAGATTCTTAAGTAAAGTTGAATAAGCTAAAATAAATGAAGGATAACGAGATTATTAATAAGATTATTAGAGTTATTATTAGAAAATGGTAGCTAAGAAGTTGAAATATGAATAAGAATAAAAATTATTATAAATAACAGAACCAAAAATGGAAATTTTAAAATTTGAAAGACTACAATCTGAACATGATGAATAAACTTAAAAGTAAAATTAATTGAAACCAGTTATAGTTCCAAGAACAGTAATGCATAAGAAATTAAGTTGTAAGAACATTATACTCATTTTTAGTTAAACATGATATTGAAATAACAGAAAAATAATAATAATATGTTTTATTATCAATAAGAGAATTTGAAGAATAACTTAAAAATTATAATAATTGGAGACAATCTAATATCAAAAAAGTTATGGGTAAATATAATGATGAAGGTTTAATATTTATTATATAAAAGATAAACATACCATACATTTAACATTTGAAGTTCCAAAAATGGATATTCTTAAAAGAATAGATGAAAAAGAAGGAGCATGAATTTATCTATAATTATTAATTATTTTATTTAAAAATACTTTATACTTTTTATTAATACTCTTTCTATCATTATTAATAATAATATATTAAAAGATTTTTTATAAGATGAAATTAATTGTATAGATGAATTTGTTGAATTTATAAATTTGATATTAAATTGTGAAAACTAATCATTTTTTTTGTAAATACTAAGTATTCTTAATGATAGAATTAGTAGTGTATAAGCAATTTTATTTTAGTAAATAATTTATTTGATTATTAATTAAAAAAATAAAATTAACTGAATATTATATCTAAATAATAATAGAATTAACTTGTATTTTTTAAAAAAATTGTAGAATTACAGGTAATAAATAAAAAAGTATAAATAATTTAAGAAGAAATGATATAGATGGGATCAGGTAAAACATATTTAAAAGAATGTTGCAATTAATTTAGATGTATATATTATTTAGTATAAATAGAAGAATTAGACACAAATATTTTTGCAGTTAGTTTTACAGATATGGAAGAGGATTAAAAGATAATTGAAATTCATTCAGGAGATCCTTTATATTGTTAAAATTGTAAAGGAATTATGAATAAATATTCTAATCTTAATCTATAAGTTTAAAGTGGTAGTATTTCATAATATAAATGGAATTGTGAATTCTGTTCATATAATAATGAGATTTAAATTGAATAGAATGATATACCAGAGAATGAAGAAGCTTTGTACTGTATTTAACCTCATCTCAAGTAATAGAATTAAAGCGGTTAAGATAAATGTTCAATAACTTTTTGTCTAGACACAAGTGGTTCAATGTCTACTACCACTGAAATCAAAGGAAAAATAGAATGCTAACCAGGATTATCTTAACAAGAATACGAAATGTTAAAAAAATATATTTAACCAGAAACTCAGATTCAATATTTGAACAAATCAAAAGATATCAGTTATGTATCAAGAAAATAATGTCTTCTTACAGCGATAGAATAATAAATAAAGATGTTAAAATAAAAAAATCCAGAGATAATAGTAGGATTGGTCACATTTAATAATGAAGTTGTTGTTTATGGGGATGGATCCTAATAGCCTATTAAATTTAGTGAATAATAATTATATTAAGAAGTATAAATGAGAACAGTTTTAAGTGGATGTGCCAAATAGATGATGTAAAATCCTATAACAAAGTAGGCTGATAAATTAATAAATGTATGTCAACAACTATAGGATAATGGCTAGACTGCTTTAGGTCCAGCCTTAATTTCTGCATTAGAATTAGCAAAAGTAGGAAAACCTGGATCAATGATTATTATATGCACAGATGGTTTGGCAAATTTAGGATTGGGTGCATTAGATTGTGAATCAAATAAAAAATTTTATTAAGAACTTGGATAATTGGCTGTTGAAAAAGGAATAATAATATCACTTGTTACTATAAAAGGAGAGGGATGTAAAATAGATACATTAGGAGAATTGGTTGAAAAAACTAATGGAATTGTGACTAGAGTAATTCCTGAAAGAATAGGTTAAGATTTTAGTAATATCATTAATGATATAGTCATTGGAACTTAAGTGGAATTAAAAGTTATTTTACATAAAGCATTAAAATTCAGAAGAGAAGAAAATTCTAGGATAAAAAATAGCACTTTAAAAAAACATATAGGAAATATAACAAAATCAACTCTTTATACGTTTGAATATTAATTAAAAACTGCTTAAGAATTAAAAAAAGAAAATATTGATATAAAGAAATTGAAATAAATTCCATTTTAAATAAGAATTACTTATACTAATTTAAAAGGTGATAAAATGATGAGAGTAGTAACAAAACTTATGGAAACAACATAGAATATTTAAGAGGCTGAAAAAGAAGTACAAGTTGATGTGATTCATAAAAGAATAGCTTAAAAAACAGCATAAATTGCAAAATAAGGAAATTATGAAGATGCTTAAATATATAATCAATATTGGAATTAATACATTTAAAACAATCCTCATATTAACAGTAATTAAATCAATTAAAAAAAAAATTAAAATTTTTAAAAGCATAATGAAAAATTATAAACTGCTTTAAAAAATTCATAATCGCGCAAATACAAATCAATATAAATTTAAGAAAATTAATAGAAAATACCTTCTATCAATCAATAATTTGTATAATCTCCACCTAATTAAATAACTTAAACTCCAGATGAACCATTTATTTATCCCTCAATGCCAAAAAATATTCCAATTACTCCATTGAAATCTTAAAAACCACCTTTGTATACAGACAAGAAGGTTAAGAAAATAGAAGATTAAAATCAATAACCTGAAGTAACTATTAAAACTTCTGATTTTAAATCATTCACAAAAAATAACAAAATTTAATCAAATTCTATTACTACAGCAGACTCATAATCTAATTAATCTAAAATTAAATCAAGCTAAAATTCCAGTTAATCAAATGAATCTGATGAAGATTAAGATTATACAATCTTGTTTGGTTATGAAAGAGCTAAATTTTGACATTTTTATTTTTATTTTTATGTCATCTAATAAATATATCGAACAATCTCCAGAAATCCAAAATTAAAGAAATTCAATTCGACATTCTTCATTAAATTAGAGTGTGCATGAATTCTCTGCCTACAAAGAAAAAATGTAGGATCTAATGTTACCAAATGTAGAATTTATAGAGCCATAAGATTTTAAGAAATAAAATGAATGCATAGTTTGTGCTATTGAATTTACTTAAACTAATAGATAACATCATTGTAGGTAATCTCTATATTATTATTGTATTTTAGAATGTGTGGAAGTTCATGTTGTGGATAATGTTCATATAAAACAATTAATAAGAACAGAGTTTGTGATATTTGTTATATGAAGGCATCCTAATTAGCCGCTGAAAAAAAAAGAAATAAATTCATACAATCTCTAAAGGATTCTGCAAAAAAATTAAAAAGACATATAGAATAAGCAGAAAGAAGAAAATAAGAATTGTAAAATGAACGAGATGCTTAATAGGACAAATCGTAAATAGACTTAAGAGTATTAGAAAAAGAGACAGAAGATTATAGATTGAAGTATTCTCAAAAAACTTAAGACAAATGTTAATATGAATAACAAGTGTTGGATTTAAAATTGAAAATGTCTGAACTTAATACTCTTAAAGAATAAATTCATTTAGAATGTTAAGAAAAAGAACAAGAAATACGAGCTTATGATACTAATTTATATTTAAGGGAGTAAGAATTAAATGACAAAAAGACATAATTGCAAAGATTAAAACAATAAAAAGAGGAATTAGAAAATATGTCTAATAAAATTGAATAAAATCCAGAAATTATTGAAGAAATTATCATCCCAGAACCTGTGTAAATGTTATAATAAGAGAAAAAATAATAGGAAATGTACAATACTAATATTGACATTGAGGAAATTATGTTTGGAAATACTAATGGTAGTAAGGAATCCTCGACTTTAATTAAAACAGAATAAGCTCAGTAATAGCCATAAAAATAAAATTCAACAAAACCAAGCCAACCAAAATAAAATAAGGATGAAGATGATGATGAAGAAAAATATAAATGTAATATTTTTTGATTTACAACGTTGAGTGATTATTTCACTAATTATCTAATAATTATTATAACATTCCTAATGTTTTTTGAAGTTAATCTTTTGCATTTTAATATTTTTTAAAATCTACTTCTGAAATGGCTTATTGTAAAATAGTTTTAATTTAATTTCTCAATTAGGCCTATTCCATTGGTGTGAGCTTCTAGGTTTTCCCTTATTAATCTATAATAACAATTTAATAATTACTTTATGGTTGTGCTTATGATTACATTTATTATTAATTAATTAATTATTATTATTATTGATATTATTATTATTGTTATTATTATTATTGTTATTATTATTATTGTAATAATAATTATTGTTATTATTATTATTATAACTATTATTATTATTATTACTATTATACTAATTATTATTATTATTAATATTACAATTATTACTATTAATATTACTATTATTATTATTAATATTAATATTATGATTATTATTAAGGTTAAGTTTAGGGTATTTCAATTTAAGGAGTTACTGGTTTAATAGATTATAATGGTTATTATATATTTGCTTATTAATATTATTATTATTAATTTGAATTTTATTATTGATTTTGTGTCAATTAAGTTTATTTTTAAGCAATTTATTCAAGTTCTTCTTCAATTGAATCTTTGGGTTTTGGTTTAATTAAAGTTGGATCTTTGAGTTTTTTATGTTATTCAACCATCTTAAATTTGGCATACTTTTCTATAAGATTTAAATACATATTACGCTTTTCTTATTGATCTTAATTCAAAGGTTCAAAGTATTGGAGTACTTCAATAGCCTTTTAAACAGATCCAAACATTTACATGAGCTCTTAGGAAACTTCTCCATCTCTTTCTCTGGTGTCTGCATCATAGAAGAACTTATACACAAATTCTGTGTAATGTTTTTTAATTTCTTCTTTATTTTACAATTATAGATTTTAAGACTTTAAATTTTCCAATTCACTGATCAATTATTAAAGCAATTACATATAATCCTTAGAAAAGGATAATTAAGAATGATACCTATTGTTGAGTTTTTTTATAGATTGCATGTAATCTTTATGCACAATATGCTTTAGTTATATAAGCAAAAGTAATGTTAAAAGTACTAAGTTATTAAGAATGTTAGAGCAAGGCTTGTATTTACTTGAATTCTGGATTTTATTGCATGAATAAAAATGAATCTATAAAAATTAATCTGTATTAAAGAGTAGTAGTAATAATAATTAAAAAAAAGAAAATGGACGAAGATTAGAAAGAACAAAGTAGTGAGATTTAAATGAAACGCACAGAATCATAGGCAGGAGTATTAGACATAAAACCACCTTAGTTAGGCTAAGAATAAATAACTTAATAAGTCCCTGAAGTAGATTAAGAATATGAAGATAGTAATTTTGATTTTTGATATATTAATTATAGAAACTGTAAAGACTGAAGTAGTGTAAGGAGATTAATAGGTAATATCAAAGAATGGAACTCAAAATGGGACGAATTCTCAATCTATTATTGATTAATCAGCTTAAATTAATAAGCGTGCTGAATAATATTTGGCAAATTCAGTGATAAAAGTTCCTGAACATATAGAAGCAGATGAAGCAAAGGAAGATCCATAGAATTTTAATTTAGATTTGATAGCTGAAGATTATTACCTTCCAGATGATTGGCAACCTGAGAGACAAGAAGAATAGATATAACCATTTATTCATCCAGATACAATTTAATTCCATGATTGTTTTGGAATGGATTCAAATAAGAAAAACAATTTATGGCTGATAGATTAATAAACTTTTGTGTATGCAAGTAGTATCAGTTACCATTTTTATAATTTTGTAACAGGGGCAAATGAAACATTTTTTAGCAGAGATGGAGGTGGTATAGGAAGTGTTTCAGTCCATCCATCAAGAAAGTATTATTCAGTGGCAGAGAAAGGAACATTTCCTAATGTTTACATATATGATATGACTCATAAATTATATAGGGTATTAATGAAAGGAACAGAAAGATCATATTCAAATTCAAGTTTCTCTAAGGATGGTGATAAATTTGCAACAGTGGGTTCATCTCCTGATTATTAAATTTGTATTTGGGATTGGAAATAATAAAAGATCTTATTGAAGGCTAAAGCATTTTCTTAAGAAGTGTATAAAGTAGGATTTTCTGAATATAATGTAAATTAATTGGCTACAAGTGGAATGGGTCATATTAAATTTTGGAAGGTAGCAGAAACATTTACAGGTCTTAAATTAAAAGGGGAAATTGCAAAATTTGGTTAAGTTGAATTATCAGATGTTTATGCATTTTATCCATTTCCTGATGGAAAAGTATTAAGTGGAACTGAATATGGACGTTTGATTCTCTGGGAAGGTAATGTAATTAAAGTAGTAATTGGAATATCTGAAGAGGAACCATGTCACAAAGGAGCTATTGAATCTATATTTTTATATAAGGATTGTATAATAAGTGGAGGTAAAGATGGATATCTACGATCTTGGAAATTAACAGAATTAGATTAAGCTGAAGGAGATGATCAACTCAATTATTACACATAACCTAAAAAATCTTTAGAATTAGTTGATGATGAAGAAAATGCATAAATTATATAGGTTGTTATGGATGAACATTTTTGGTTGGTTGGTGATTAAGGTGGAAGAGTTTGGAGAGTTGATTGGGAAACAGGAAAAAAGGAAATTCTTTATAGGAATAATTCTGGTGCTTATTTGGATCTTGCTCCTTCACCTTAATTGAATGCAGCCATTACTGTTGGTGATGATGGAGCTATTACTTTATGGGATTATGTAAAGAGTGAATAGACTTATAAACGTAAATTTGCTAAGAAAGCTACTTGTATATAATGGATGCCATTTACAATGAGTAATAAAGGTAGAGTAATTGTAGTTGGATATAGTAATGGTATTGTTAGATTTTTATTGCTTAATTAAAATAACTTTACATTATTAAATGTATAAAAAGTACATCCAAATCCAATTCAAAAAATAATTGTATCTAGCAACACAAATTATGTAGCTATTTTATCCACTAAAGGTGAGATATTTTTTCTAAAATATTCTGATTCAAATATACAAGATGTATAAGCATATTGTTTATGGGAAACTAAACTTAATATCAATGATTTCTGTTTTGATAAAACAGGAACTAAAGTTATGATGGCATGCAAAGATGGATATCTGTATGAAGCTATTGTACCTAATGAAGTTGATAATAGTGAAAATTATCTTTAAGAATTTAATGCTACTAAATATTTAGTCAGAATGATGGAATCTTAAAAACCTAAAAAAGAGGATCTTGATTTATAATTTCTGATGAAATTAAAAGATGATAAAATGCCAGATGTAGAGTGGGATCCTGCTAGTGTAATGAATGTTGCATATTATGGAGATAAAGTATTTTGTACTGCAGAAGGGAAATATTTAGGTTGTTGTTATATTATAGATCTTAATAAAGATAGACCAATTGAAATGTTTCCAATATAAAAAATGTAAACTTATCATTTGGATTATAAAGATGATGTATTGACTATTGGATATAAAAATGGTTAATGGGATATTAGACATAAAACAGATTTTAATAAATAGATTAATAAATAATCTCATGATATGGATTATGGTCGTGTTCGTAAAGTAAGTTTAACTTTTGACAGAACTGGAGTATTGAGTATAAGTGATGATGGAACATTCTATGTTTATAAAATAGATTTCTAAAGTTTCTTAATGTAATTGAGTGGTACTGAAATTACAGATTTCTAATACCCAGAATTCACAATGGGTATTAATAGTGGAACATTTGTGGAAGAGATAGCATCAGAAGAAGCTCAAGATATTTTAGATGATACTATATATTCAATATAATAGGCAAAATTATTAGCAGAAGAAGATAATCGTAGAAATGAGGCTAATTAAAAGAAGGAGACAGTTAAATCACGTGTTTTATAGTTAAGAGAATAATTCTCATAAGTCAGATAGAAAAATTAGACTGCAGAAGATGCTGCAAAATTGAATGAAGATGAATTATGTGTAGATCCTGAGTATAAATAGATGTTGTTGGATAGAGTGGCTGAAGATGTAGAAGAAACTAGATTAGAATTAGAGTGGGATAGAACTTTAGCAAAAATGAAGGCTGATAAATTGAAAGCATATATGATAGATGAACTTGAAATAGACAAATTTATGGTTAAGGGATTCAGAAATTAAGCTTCTGTTTAAACATTTAAAGTCAAAAAATTAAGCAATTTTCTTATTGAATAATTGAAAGAAACCTATCGTTTAATTGAAGAAGAAAGAAAGAATTAAGAAAATCAACCTTAAATTGAATACAAAACTTAAGAAAAAATTTAAGCATAATCTCAAGTCAAAATTACTGCAGTTGATATGAAAGAAGATTAGTAAAAGGCTACAGTTTAGTAATTGGATAATGATTAAAAAGTACCATAGGCAAAATTAGAAAGAGAGAGATTACGTTAAGAAGAGGAAAGAATTAAAAAGGAGTAGGAATTGCTTGAGAAAACAAAACCTATTGAATTGGCAAAACCAGAAAATGCTCCAGATATTTAAGAAGCCATAAAATAATATGGTGATTATAAATTAAAGAGTTCACCTAATTATGAAGTACCTGATAATTAGAGAATGAATGTCAGTAAGAAAAGAAAACATATGTATATGTTAGAAGAATTCATTTATAATACTAAATTGAAATTCAATTAATAATTATTAAATTTAAAAAAAAGAAAAGTAAATTTGATAGATAAAATTAAAAAATATAATTAATAAATAAAGAAAATTAATGAATAATTGGGAAAGTAAGAACAATTATTCTAACCAGAAATTGATAAAGAATTAGAAGATCCCCATAGTTTTATGGAAATTAGTGATGAATAAATTAATGAATTTATTAGTAAATTGTAATAACAATAATAAAAAAAGGATGAGTAAAAGAGAATTGCTCCTGCTTAAATTTCAAAGCCAGCTGAATAAAATTAAATTAAGACAAGAAAAGGAATTAGAGTATAATAATCAAGTTTAGAAGAAGAGATGAAGACTATTCAAGATATGGTATTGAATGCAGAAAAATAAAGAATGATTGAAGAGATGTAAGAAGAAATCATTCAATTTGATAAAGATGTTGTTAAATGTTAAAATGAAAAGAATGTTCTTGAAAGTGATATGTTGATAGCTTAGATGAAATTAGTAACATATTATTAAGAATTAATCATTTTAGAAGATATGGAAGATTTTGATAATAAATTAATAAAGGAAGTTTTAGATTTTAAAAAGGAAAAACAGAATCTAGAATAATAAGTTGAAAAGATCTTGGAGAATCTTGCAATATTATAGAAGAAAGAATAATAGAATGATAAAGATTTAATAGAATAATTAAAGGCATGGAAAGAATTAGTACATCCAGATGATGAATAGAAGAGAAATAAAATTCATGATTATTATCGTAAGAAATTCAAAAGAGAAATGATAAAGAGATAGAAAAAATAATAAGAGAAGGAACATTCAGATTCTGAAGAGAATGAAGATGATGAAGAAAATGAAGATGATAATGATGATGATATTGTATCTGATGATGATGAAGAAGAAAAACCTGATATCTCTCCTGTTGAATAAGATCCAAAAGTCAGAGATGTTATTGAGAAAATATGTGGATTGGAAGAATAATAAGATAATTTCAAATAGGAAAAAATATAAAATGAATAATAAAAGTCTAAATTAGCTAATAAGATTGCTTAGAATGATATCTATTTAAAGAGAGCTAATGATGATTTAACATAGTATTAAAGGAAGAAATTGTAAAGAGTAAATCTATTAGATGTTAGTTTTGTATTGAAATTATCATAAGTTTAAAATCTTAATGATTAAAAGTAATTACCTGCTGATCTTAATAAATCTATATTATTTACTGAATATGATTTCTTCAAACTTTGTAAAAGAGTTATTGAATTGAAACATGAATAAGGAAAAATTACAAAATAAAAAGCTTAAAAAGATAAAACTAAGAAAATGTAAGAAAAAGAAATTAAATTAAAAGATCTCAGAATTGAAGATTTGAATAAAAAATATGAAGAAAAACATATGCTTAAATTTGGAGATATTATTGATCTCAAAATACTTGATGCTTTAGAACCAACTAAAGCTGTCTTAGATATGAGAGCATAATTTAATTAGGAAGAAAAAGAGGCATAAAGAAAAGTTTCTAGAGCTAAAGAAGAATTGTCTAAAGTGAAATAATAATTATTAGAAGTGAAGAGAGAAAATACAAAGATTTTTACTAACATTACAAAATTAGGAAAGTAATAAATGGATTTAAGTAAAAAACTTACTTCAGGCAATAAATAATTGTTTAAGGGTGATAATAAAGAGAAAAGATCAGATATGGAAAGTGATAAATAGAGTTTAGAAGATCTAGTCAAATTTTTAGGTAAGGAAATAGAAGATTTAAAGAATGAGATTGGATTATATAAAAAGAAAGGTATATTATTATCTATAAATTAGGTGGACATATATATACAAGTATTACATAAACAAATCAAAACTTTGTTTAAAGATGATTTCTAAATCAAATTATTATTAAAAAATCAAACTATATCATAATCTTCTTCATCATCCATATCCCATTGATTTTGAGCAGAAGGTTTAAAATTCTTTTGTACATCATATTTATAATTTTTATCTCCTGGTTTAACAGAATTTTTCTTATACATAGATTCCATAATTTCTTTATGTTTTTTTAATTCTTCAGTTGTCATTTTATTTAAATTCAATTGATTATAACCCATTTTTTAATAGAGCATCTTATATTATTCATCTGTAATTTCATTGTCTGAATCCTCTTCATAATTTTCTTCATATTAATCTTCATCTTCATCGTCATCCTCCAAAACAGGTTATTTACCTTTATAATTTTTCATTGCGTAATTGTATAAATCCTCTTCAGACATACCATAATCTTCAATATCCTTTTATAATTTAGATTAAGTTTTGGACATATTCATTGATGCTTATGTGGAAGAACTCATAGGTCTTGTTGAAGATGTTGGTCGTTACAAAGTAGCATTAGAATTTACATTTGGTTTAGTAATTTATAATCTTTTTTAAATCTTTCCAATTAACTCTATTTTATTGATGTAACATAGCCTTACCCAGCAATTACTTTTCTGGTATCTTATTATTCATAAAGTACATAGCATGCTTCTTCTTTAAATATTCTAAAGCATGATTAATAGGAGTGTCAGGCTTTAATTTTAACAATTTCATTTTATGATGATACAACTTCCCTGAAGAAGTTTACAAATATTCAACAACTAGTTTATATAAATTGAATATTAACTTATCATTGGAGGATCAAATCTGATGGCCAATCTTTTAGGTTCCATATTTGATAACTTTTTGCTTTTATCTCCTGTGTCATTCTTTTTATTTCCACCTGTTGTAGTCTTTTAATTTATATCAAAATTATATGGGTCTTTTGCTGCAGTTTTAGCAAAATTATACATAAAATATTAACTTACAGATTTGAATTATAAATGGGTCAAAATAATTGTACTCCTAATATTCCAGGATTGGAAAACTGTTATGCAAGATACGAATAAACAGATGAAAATAAATATCCTTATTTAGTAGCAAATAAACATAGATTGGCAGAATCACAAAATTCATAAATCTTTGAATTATATCAAAAATAATAAGATCAACTTAGATGCTATTTACAGAATTCTCGTTAACTCTCTTAATCTACTAGACGTAATTATGAATTTGAAGGAAGATTTCTTAAACTTCCATCACATCTCATCTGTCACATTATGTATTTTGTTATCGATGATTATATCAACTTATTACTTGTTAATACTTTATGGTATACAAGATTAAATGAAGCCTTTTCAAAGACCGTTAGTATTGTTGATGAAAAATTTTAACAATCACATTCTTTTTTTAAATTAAAGTAATCCAAAAATGCCTTTTAAACTTTTCAATTTGGAAGACAACAAGGTTTTAGATTGGATAGATGTTTAATAGCAGAAATCACTCCTGGAGTTGAAAGTAGCATATAATATTTATTTGAGATTCAATTATCAAAATATCATATACATATATATGTAAAGGACAAGAAAAAGCTGTTTGTTACAAATTTGGAATTTTGAGAAAGAATACAATAAGAACTATTTGGATTGGAGTAGATTAAAGCACTGTAATAGTATATTATATATAGATAGAATATATATGATAAATAAACAGTTCCTGTTATCTAGCCAGTCTTACCCTTTTGTGTTGGAGACTACATCAAAATTCCATTTACTCTATTGAATCTTTAAGGATAAGTCAATTTATAAAGTATTAAATGGAATAAACCATAAATTGAAAAACTTGATGTAGGTATTTTTGGAAGTAATTAATATAATCTATAATTTAATAGATCCAAAACATATTACAATGTAGCCACCCCTTAGATTTGAACCTAAAGATGCCGATTGGACTTTATTTCAATACTTTGATCATCCAATGAAGAAATGCTTTGATAATTTCAAGCAAATAAAATTGAGAGAGTGTAGATGTTGTGGTAATGGGTTAGTAATTAATCGTATGAATTATACTTGTATATCGGAGGGTCTTCTTATGATTCCTTAATTAAATATGAAAATAATTGTCAAATAAGGTTGCATTACTAATTAGGTAAATAGAGCAACTGTTAGTTATGAATTAGATAATACATTGGAACTAAGAATAGGAGATCTTTTAACATTGTACTACCTAAGAGGAGGTGATTCTTGATCAATATAAATATCTATATAAATTTAGACTAATAATCCTTAATTATATATGTTCTAAGGTAGAATTGAATATTTATATTTAATTTAGAAAATGATAATTTATATATTTAAGGAATATATTATAAGTATTTTCCAGAATTTTAAATAGTGTTTTATTTATTAATAAAAAAAATAAAAGAAGACAATAAAATTCATTTGAGATCATGTAATAAAATAAAGAAATTAATAATGTTACAATAATATTTATTGATATATTTAATCATTTTCCCTCCTTATAATTAGAGCTATTAGTATTTGAAGCGAAGGAATTCTAGAATTATTAACTACTTGTTGGTTAATATAAAGGAGTATTTTTTTGGAAAGAATCATTCTTAAAATTATTGGATTGGATTAAATTAAATTAAATGCTTTAATGGTATTCTTCTTGAGTGTAATATTTATGGAATGATGAATTAACACATTATACTTTTTCTGTATTCGTAATATCATCTCTAATTTTATAGATAACTAATACTATAATTGTTATTATTGAAGTGGAGATCCTTATGGTAGGTTATTCTAAATATTTATAAAATAAATTACTGTATTTGAGTTATTGTTAGATTGCTTTTAGAAGTTTTCAGGTTTATTTGGATCGAAATCTAAATTTTTTAATTCTTAACGGGAATAACTGATTAGTATTTCACTCTTTTAGGGATTCTGTTGACTGCTAAAAGGATAGTTCATAATCGAATGATTTAATTATTTATAATAATAATAAAAGCCTAATATTGAATTAAATTTTAAATGGAATTGACAATCTATTCTAAATAATTAGATCTCAAATTTGATATTAAGATTAATAAATCAAAAAAAGTGAGAGAAATTGGTTTGAGACTTTTAAAGAGATTTGGATATTCAACTAAAACATAATTCTCAATCTTTAATGATGATTAATCTTTGGAATTAGAAAACCTAATTGAAATGTATTCACTTAGTAAATCATCAAGTTTACAAATAATATTTACAAATAAATTTGAAATAACTCTAATACATAAATCTTTAGGGAATAAGGTAATAATTATAGAAGCATGGGATTAATTTACAGAAGTTAAACATTAAATATAAAGAGAGTATGAATTACAATAAAGTTATGAGGTATGTCTAAAAACTAGTAAATAAATTTATTGTTTAGAATTTTTGATAGTTTAAGAAGATATACATGAATCTACAAATATTTGGTGGGAAGCATATGAAATAATAAAATATGAATTTGAAAATAAATAATATTAAATCAAGATAGATGTATTTGATAATTGGGATATGATTATTAAATAGATCAAATAGGAACGATAAATTAATAAAATCATTAGATTAAATTAGTTGATATCTAAAAATATTGATATAACAGAGAAATACTATCAATCAAAGTTCTCTCCTGAGATAATCTTTTTAATAGAAACACCTGAAAAAGTCATACTTTAAATAGCTTACAAAGAAACAATAAAAAGTATAAATGTAAAATAGACAGCTACTGTTAAGGATTTAATAACGATAGCAAAAGTAGAAAATAATTTATAAATTAAAAAATAATTTGATATCTATTATAAAGGAAATATTCTTTAAATAGATTAGAATATTTAAGACTTGAATTTAGATTGGAAATCTCATTTAGAATTAATAGAATAAAAAATAAATAATATTCAAGTATAATTTAAAAATAAAAAATTCAATCAATTATTAGTTATATAAGTAAATCCTGAGTTATAATTGATAACTGTATTAAAAGAGATAGTAAATAAAAATTGTAATATATATTGTACAGATTTCGTTATACTTATAGATTAAAAAAGAATAGATTAAAATTAGTCATTTTCTGAACTCAATATATAAAATAATCAAATAATAGAGTATGAATGCGATTCAATAGAAATAGATTTCATAATTGGATCAGATACATTAAAATATCATGCCAAGAAAACACATACTCTCTAATCTTTAGAGTAAGAAGTTAAAAGTATTTATTAAGATTTAATACCTTCTAATTTTACTATTTTAAAAAATAGTAATTATAGTTGCAATAAAACATTGGAAGAAATAGGTTTAATAAACTGGAATGTTAGTTTCACATTTTTACCATTAGGTAAATTGATTTGTGAAATTTAGTTTGAAAATAAAATAGAAAACATAGAGTGTTTTGAATATAATACTGTAGATATGTTAGAATAAATAATTGCAAATAAATATTAAATAGATAGTAAGGATATTTAATCGTTTTATGGTTATTTACTACTAAATAAAGATCAATTATTAAAAAATATAATTGTAAATACTAGATTGAATATAGTAATGTAAAAAAAATAAAAAATTGAGATAATCTTAAAAAAAATTGATACAGATGAATAATAAATTGTTAAGATTTATATAGATGATCCTATTAAATTAATATTAGAAAGATAAGGATTAAAAAACATTTAAGATATATCTTTGGAAGGATAAATAATAGATCTTAATAGTGATTGCTAATAACTATAAATTAAACCTCATTCTATATTGTTTTATAGATTATAATAATGATTAATCAAATATATATATATATATGTAGAATTAATTGGATAAGTTTGTATATAATAATAGAATTCGAAATATATATTTAATTTCTTTCAAAATTTGATTAGTCTTATGATTAATGTTACCTTCAAGATAGATCAACTAAAAATCAATTTAACACAACTTGTATATCTTAATCAATAGATTATTTCTGAAATTCGTCGCATATTATACAAGTCTGGAATTGATTTATCAGGTTGGGATAGTTTTTAATGCTAAGTCACTTATAATGATGTAGTATTAGATTCTACTAAAACTTTTAATGAAGCAGGAGTCATAGATTGTGCAATTTTATCTATTAAACTTTCTTTACTTATTACTCTAGAAATTGTTAATAAATAATTCCCATCATCGGAAATTAATGTAGATGCATTTGATAGCATTTAACAATTTAAAGATTTGATGATTCAAAATTACTTAAGAAATACTTAATTTGACATTATTATTATTAATGGATTAGATGGAAAATTAATGGAAAAAGATACTTGGATCTAAAATGGTGTAGGAAATTCTATTCCAATTTTATTAGATATTTAAATAAAATAAAGAATATTATGGAAAGGAGAGCTTTTAGACTGGAATTTTAATATATTTTATCCAATTTCCAAAGTCATCCAAAACTTTAAAAATAAACTCAATATTAATGGAATAGTTTCATTATAATGTCAAAATACTCATCTTAAACCAGAATTATCATATTTCGATCATAATCTACCTCTTAATGTTAATTGGTCAGCAAGTGTTCCTAATGAATTAATTTATAGAGTATAATTTTAAAAACAATCAAAAGAAAAATAAATTATCTGTAGTAAAGATAATTAAATTAATAATGTCATTAAATAATTAAGGAAAGACTTTAATATAAATAGAACCAATAAAATTATTTTAATGTATTAATGGGCTTTAGATTAACATGCTACCTTTGCTTAAGAAGCAATACCAAATTTTAGTTTGTTGAAATTAGTAGAAGAAGAATACAAAGGAGAATTTTAAATATTCTTAAAAAATATTAATGAGAATGCCTTATAAACATAATCTATTTAAACTCAATATGTAAATAATGATACATCACTTGGAGAATTATCAAGAAAAATCCCTCATTAAAATGATTAAGAAGTAAACTTTTATTTTGAATCTTAAGATTAAATATTGGGTACCAAATAAAGAATGGAGGATTTAAACATTTATTATGGTGCCACAATAATGTATAAAATTATATAAAAATAAAATATAGAAAAAAATACTTTAATAAACACTAAAATAAAAGCTGTTGAAAAATTAATAGAATTTAAAAAATTTGGTCTTTTAATTATTGATATCAACATTGTTATCAATATTGACAATTTAAGCATTCAAAATAACCTCCTTGCTTTAGCAGAAGTAGTGAGATTTAAATTAAGTCTACCAAAGAACTAAATAATTCAGTTCTCCTTAGGTACACAACTATTATCACTTGATCAGTAGATGTATGAAATTATGAATGGCAAATTTGAATTCTTACAAGCTAAATTATAAACAACAATAAAAATTTCATTATAAAATAAGAATACAAGTAAAAGTTTCTAGGTTGATATCAATTTGGAAGACACTTTAAGGAAAATAAGTGAAAAATATTAACTTGAAGCTAAATTCTTATATAATAATATTTATTTGGGATTGGATGAAACTTTTTCTTAATTAAATATTCTAAATGGGGAAATTATTATATATGAATTAGTCTCTACTCCTAAGGAAGATGTTGAAATTCCAATTGCTGTTTCTTCCTAATCGGTTTCATAAAATAATGAACTTCATTAAGCTTCACCTTTTAATAGTAATGCTATTTCTGTTGAAAATCTTAATTAATAATAATTGAAATCTCAATAGAATTCAAATTAAGTTTAAGCAGATTAACCTATTAATAATTTGAATGATACTCTAATCACAATCAAAGCTTAAGCTGGAGAAAAAGTGTACAAATTTTAGATGAAAGGTAGTGATAATTTTGAAATTCTCAAAAAAGCCATTTTTGATTTAGCAGTTTAAGGAGATGAATAAAATGTGAAATAGTATAATCTAATTTATGGTGAATAGGTTCTAAGAGATGAATAAATTGCTTCTACATTAAATAAATAAGAAATTTAAATACAATTTAAATTAAAGTGATATTATATTTGAATAATTCATGTTATAATCTAAACATTTTGATAAATAAAAATTAAATAATTATTAATGCAAGCTCAAATACCTGGAGATTTTGAAGCCTAAATTAGAATAGTCAATGAATAATTATCTATAGATTAATAAATTATGGAATAAGAAACAGAGGATAGAAATAAAGAATAAGAAGAAGAATTGACAGAAGAATAAAAGGAGAGAAGAAGAAAAATATTAGAAGTTTAATTGGCTAATAAAAGATTATTATATACAATACATAATAAAGATATGGAAATATTTAGAGTTAAAAAAGAAATTGAAGATTAAAAATAGTTATTGTTTGATCTTTAATAACAAGAATAAGTATATCAATAACAATCTAATGGTATTTATATATAGAGGATAGAGAATCTTAGATATTTGTGAAAATTATGCCTTTAATAACAACAAATAAATTGAATAATTAAATGAATCTAATAAGGAATTAGAAATCATTAATGATTCTTATTTATCTCATAGAGCCTTAGTATCATATGATACTTATCTAAGAGGAACACTTAGAGAATAAGATAGAAAAATATATGAATTAGAATTAAATAATGCAGATATTAGTGAGATTTCAGCCAGAATTGAAAAAATAAATAAAGAATATGAAAGAAATATATAACCTCTTGTTGTTGGGGATTTTAAGACATAAATAGATGCAGATATTAAAAGTTCAAAAAATTAAATTGATGCTTTGAGAAATTAATTTAAAGAGATTGTAGATGATATTGTGAAATTACATGAAAAACATTTAGATAATATAGATATGTTTTCTACCTTATAAAGATAATTATAAGTAATTTTATTATATATTTCTTTAAGGAATAATTATTAGCAAATGAATAATTAGATTTTGAATTAAATCAATTAAAAAAGAGCAAAGATTAATGTTGATTGATATATTATATATATTTTAGATTCATTAAATCATAATCATTTATAAAATTTTATTCTTTTTTTTTTTGTTTATTTATTATTCAATGATCTAAAAATATCATTATAATTATGATATAATTTTTAAGATGTATTTATAATTATCATTATAATTTGCCTAACTTTTGCCACATATTATGATTATCTGAATAATTTGGAACAGAAAAGACAATCTACTTTTTAGTAACTGGAAATAGTTGATCTAATGTCAATGAAAAGGCATCATCAAGCATTCGAGGAATAAGTCTTTAAAGCAATTAGCTAGATTCTTCTAAACATGGATTGGAATTAATTTCAATAAGCCAAACTTTAAAATCATCATCAATCATAAAATCTAATCCAAATATCTCAAAACAAAATCTTCTTCCAAGTACATTGATTTTCTTTCTAACTGATTAGAATGCTTTAAGAGAAATTTATTTAATATTTTCAACAATCTTAAATTTGTTAAATATTATTTACCTATTTATAGAAGTCACCTTTATTCTTAAAGTATATAGCTGCTTAATCAAATGATAATTGATTTCCATCTTCTAATTTTCCATAATTTGGACTATATTTTTATATGGCATTATTTGTTAAATGTACATATTAATTTAATACATTTTTAGTTGTGTATTCTTCAGATGCCATCCTAATATATCCTTATTCAAAAAAGAAGAATTCAAGTTCTTAATTAAGTAATCCCCAAACTCTGATATCAAATTTACGATTATTTATTAATAATGGTTTTTCTAAATATTTTTAGATTACAAATTATTTTGATTTTATTATTTAACCATCTTTCATTTATTATTTGCCAGAAATATATTGATCAAGTAAATGAGTCATTTAATCCAAATCTTTGATTACATGTATACCTCTACCACGATTATATTGAGTTGGTTTCAATATCCATAAATATTCATGGCCATAGAATGTACTTGGAATTTTAGATTTGGTTATTTATATAATCTTATCAGTTAATTGCATATAAGTATTGAGTTAACGTCTGATAATATAAAATTTATTCTAAGTATCATGTAATTTAATTGATTAAGGAGCATTATTTTCATAATATTGAAGAAATTGTAATAAATATACATCTGCCTTTTCGTTAGTGAAATCTAAAACAAAGGTTAAAGGAACAAAACTCAAGATATCTAATTGGTTTTCCTATTTAAGTTAGGCTATACTTCACAATATTGCGATAGATTTCTAAATAGATTACTCTTTTATGATATCTCTGAATGAAACTCAAAATGGTTGACTACCTACTTGACTTTATTGCCTGGTAACAATTTATCATACTGATAACCTTTTTATGTCTATTACCACCTAAAATTTATTAATGAATCATTCTTATTATTTGTAGATATCCACTCATTTCTTTTAGAGAGTACTCTTTATACTACTTAGTGATTATTACCAGTTCCTAAGAAGTATATATAATTATTTTGTAATAAAGTTGGCAATTATACTACCTTATTTTAGTCACTGCTTCTAACTTCCTTACCAAGAATGACTGATTAGGTTAGTTTTGGTTAATCCTTGAGTTTAATATACTTGGATGCTAAGGCAATAGCTAATTATTTTGGATTATTTAATTGAGGCATCACAGCCATTTAATTTTATATGAATCTTGTGAATCTGGCTGTATCAATCTGTTGAAGATCCTTGACTTTTAATTAGGGTAGATTCATGTTTATTATATATTAAATAATAATTAATCATGTAAACTTCTTCCATGGATTTTCGAAGAATGACTCTTTGATTAAGTGATCATAACTTTAGCCATTCCATTAGAATTTCTCTTCCCATTTTTTGTCTTTCTTATCTCTCTTCTGATTTTGAGCAAACATTTCTTCATTTTTACGAGTATATTCTTTTAAAAAAGGAAATTTATCCATAATTAATAAAAGTAATCATTTGAAACCAGGAAGAACCGTCGGCTTGCCCAATTTTAACATTCTTCTCTTATTTAGGTACTTCATCGATACGAAACCTAATCTCAAATAAAATCTAAAAAACTAATAAAAACAAATCAAATACCTCATTAAATGATTACAATCTCTACCACATCTTTTATGGAATGCTTGCATCCTATTAATAAATCTTTTGAATTCATTAAAATTCAATTAACCATTCTTACTTAATTTGATAATCATCTCAACTATATCTGGAGTCTTATTTAAGTTTCCAAACATAGACTCTAAAATTTTATCATTTATTTCTTAAGCTAATTCGTATCCTGGAGTTCTGTTAATTGCCTTTTAAATAATATCTTATTCATTCTATTCAGGTATCTCATTTGAAATTTGATCATAAAATATTTTCTCCTCTTGTTATTTATCATCATAATCCTATTACAATTTATTTAAAACAAGATCATCTTTTGTTTTATTCCTAGGAGTATAATACTCACGAGGTGAAGTATTTTATGATTGTGTACCTGCTGTAGTGTACATTCTTCTATGTTACTAATTCCAATGTTTTTCCTCTTATTATTCATATATTTTTTATTTCAAAGATTTTCTCTTTGTTAAATTCTTTTGATCTTTCAATTAACTATTGTAAAGTTATGTTGAAAATTATTCCTATTCAAGTTTCAGACTTTGTATTTTACTTTTGTGTATTGAAGATGATGGAGAAGGGAATACATTTGTTTAATGAGATGATTATTGATTTCGAGGAGAAGGTAGATTGGAATTAGTAGTTGATTGAATAGGGGATATAAGATTACCTAATCCCATGGTTCCAGCAGAATTGAAATTGCAAGTACTACTTGTAGTCAATTAATGTTATGAATTCATCTTACTAAAAGATCCTTATTATTATTTCTAATTATCTATTTATTCATTTTCTTATTATGGATTATATTATTTTTCTATCTAATCTGATATCATTATTAAATCTGTCTATACTTATTAATCCTTTAAATCTTTTTTAGAATCACTCTATTTTATATGTAATTATTTTTTTTCTTATTTTATAGAATTCTATCTGTTCATATTAATATTTTGAGATGATTTTGCTTTTGATAATGGATAATGTGGTGATAATTAATTTAAAGTGGATGTATTTCCAATCTTAAGAACATCCATTTTATTTGTTAATTATCCAAATGAATCTATCTTTTTTTAATTGCTACTAGCAGATGACATATTTCTACTACTTGTTATTTATTATTAATATGATTATTATTCTGTTGGTATACTAACTTTAATTGCAGGTTTATCATTATTAGTTTCAATTTCAAATGAATTTTAAAGTAAATTTTTACTAAGATTATTTTATTTAAATTTATTTTCTAAGTTTCTCATTGATGATGGTGGATCTATATTGTTTGAAATTTAACTGTTGTCTATATTGTCATTTTATAATAAATCATTTTCTTCAATATCCCTTATTAAATCAGCCAATTCATGAATTTAAGAACTAGCCTTCTATTCTAATATAAATTGCATCTATGTTAATCTTCTTGTTTAATTGTTTCCATCTAAAACATTAACTAATTTAACTAGTCTTTCCATTTATTAAGTCTTCTTTTATATATTGTAGGTATCTTTTGGTGTTAAAAATATTTATTATTTTTACTAAGATTATTCTCTACTAGTAGTTCTAGGATTCCCTTATACTGTATTTATTAAGATTTCATCATTACTACTAGATGAAACTTATCCTCTATCTCTATCACTATTCTTTTTAACTAATTTTGAATATTCTCTAACAATATTATCTAATTTTTATTTGAATTCAGATTTTTCACTTTCAAGTTATTAGAGTTAACTCTACATTATTTTACATTACATATCTTTCTAATCATTAATTACTTAGAGTTCTAATAATTAGTTATCTTTTTTCTAAATTTCATTTTATGCTTATTCTAATTTATTTTTTAATACCATAATTTCATTCACATATTACGAACAACGACAATCTTCTTTATTATTATTTGTTTTTTTCTTTAATTTACCCTTCATTTCATTAATCATTTATTATTACTTTTCTTTTTCTTAATGTTTTTATTTATATCGATGAATTATAGCGATGGCTGTCTACTATTATATATGATGAATATGTTATAATAGAAATTAAACAGTATGATCATAATTCTGAACACCTTAATTTTCTAAATTCACTGACTTTAATAACTATTCTAAATTAAGCCTTTTAAATTGAATATCTGATATTACTAAATCTAATTCTTCTGGCTTACCCTAAAATTCAATATCTAATTATTTTTTATTAGCCAATGCTTCACTTAACATAGATATTGTATCATTAGTAAACTCTAACCATTCTCTCATTTCTTCTTCTCTTCTCAACAGATCACTTGATGCTTTCTAACAATTTTAATAATAATCGATAATAGTGCTAGTACCTACATCTTAATAAGTTCTTAAATTTTTAGTTCCTTAGCCTCTACATTTATAATCACTCCAAGGAATTTGTTGATATGTTTTAATTTATTATGGTGTACCTAATTAGTCGAAAATGGAAACACTTCCTAATTAGAGTGCATTAATAAAATCAGGAATTTAAGGAGTCAATAAAATTTATTTAGGTTCAGGATGTGGTTTAATTTGAGATTATGCTGTTTCCAACATTTCTCTAATGAGATTAAATAATTTATCCATGACATTGCCAAACTCAATACTAATTTCCTTTTGTACAATAATTATACATTCTGAAAATACTTCATAGCATTCAGAATCAAGTTTAAAATGGTTTATTTTACTCTTTCTATAAAAATGTTCAACAAGACTTTATAATCTCTTAACTTAATCTTCCATTTTTTATATTGAAATAATAATACAATAAAATGATTATATGTTATTAAACATATTAATTATTCAAGTTCCACCTATTTCACTTTCAAGTGATCTCATAATTCTTTAATGAAGACTATTAATAGAACTAAGCATATGTTATTCAAACTTTAAGAGAAACAAAAGGTCTTTAGTCATTTATTATTTGATGTTATTTTAGGATTGGATGGATGTTTACATTTATTTAAGTTTCTCTTTATTATTCTTTTTTTCACTCTTTGAAAAAGATGTATTTGGTTTATTCTATTGGAATCTATCTAATTCAATAACATCATCATCAAAGTTGAAAGATATCTCACTATCGGACATTAAAAATAATAAGATTGAAGAATTTAATATCATATTTTAACATCTGAACTGTATGGTATTATTTAGGTTTATAGAATATGGGGATGAAATCACTTTTTAGGTGGGAAAATCCTCTACAATTTCTATTAATCTTATTAATTGAACAAAGGAGCTAATCTAGCTGTTGATGTTGTAGGTTGAACTTCTGTAACTGTTCGTTGTTTCATTTTCTCTTATAATTATTGATGAGCTTATTAAATTTGTTCAACTTGTGACTAATTTAAATATATAATGCAAATTACATCATTTCTTCCAGTCAGTATTTTATCATAAAAATCTTTTAATTCCTTACTCTACAGAGAACCTCGAGCAGATGTTGGTTAATCGACTGGTGTTGGTTATTATGTTGGTTATTCAACCTATCTCTAAATAGGTAGAATAGGTCTTGTTGCAGGTGCTTAAGATGATTTCTCCTTTAATTTAGTGAAGAATTCCTGATCATCCTCAACTGTCAATTCCTCTTTAACTATATTCTATTATTATATTATTAATAAGTAACTTTACTTTTTTCAATTATACTATTGGTACACTTTCCTCATATTTAATTACACTATTTGCCAATTTAGTAAAAGTACTCTTTATTATATTAATGTCATCTTGACCCAAGGGGATAAAGAGACTTTCAAAATCTGATAAATTTTTGTGTTATGATGTTTCAAATGGCATATTATACAAACGATGTAACACATACTCGTACATTACCTTAATGTTGATCTTCTGCTTCACAGAAGTAAAAAGCAAAGTTGCACCATCTTATTATAAGTATGTTAAAACTCTTACAATTCACACAAAATTAACGTAAACAAAATTAAATGATTTCTGCTTTCTAATCCCAATCCTTTCCTTTGTCATCTCTTTCTAAAATGTCTGATTTATTCACCATAACCATCAATGGTATTCCCAAATTTGTCTTCAATAAACCTTCATGTACTTAACCTCCATCCATTTATGACATATATTACATCACTTTTATTATATCAAACTTATTTTACCATTTTATTTCATCTCTTCTAATTCATTTAGACTCAATCGTAAATCAGCCATCATATCCTACAATACACTAATCCATCTATCTAAGTCTTCCATAAATGTCCAAGGCTCTTACATGTCCAGAGCTATTATTACAAATGTATTTTTGATATTTTTGTGATTCAAAATCTGAGGTAACAAATACTTCTGCCCCTCTTCTTCTAAAATATACACATTCAGACGAGCATTCGTGTTGTAATCAGGGTCACGAAGGTCTATTAAATTTAAGTAGGCATAATCCACTATAGGTGTAATGCCTTTTTGTCGAATTGCATCTACAAATTACTATGAATCAATTTACTCTTATGAGTCTTTGTAATTTCAGCTAAAGCATCTAATAAACTTCTTTTCCCACTACATTTTCTGCCTAATATTACTAAATTCTTATTTATGAAACCTCCTTATCTACTTTTCTCAAATAATAGTTAATTCCAAACATTCTCTTTTTTACTCATTAATTTTATTATGGGCACTTGTCAATCTTGTTCTCAATAACCATCACCAGAAGTCAATTAAGGTGATATAGAATAGCCTGGTATTCGCAGTGACTCAATACGTAAGATAAGTAATTTGCTAAATGAATTTGAAACTTTTCAAGTGATTAAAAAGACTTCATATTCATTTATTTAGGATGCTGCATTCAGAAATGGAAAAGTTAATGCAAAGAAATTGATCAACACATAAGGAACAGTTAAACCTATTAATCTACAATAATTACATTAAGTAAACAAGGGTTTGGAATAATTGAAAGCACTTGCAAATAAATAAGATAAATGTGAGATCGAATAGTAGATGAAATTCAAATGTGGTTTAGAATTAGGAGATAAATTCCCATAGATAAAATTTCATATGCTTTTAAATGGAGAACCTTAAACATTAATATTAAAGGAAAACACATATACTTTAATTAAATCATGGGGTTAAGGCGAATAGATGGTGAATTTTTAACATGCAATAGAATTGATTGAATCATTCAAAAATGTTCAATTTCAATTGATTGGCTTGACCAGAGGCAATGAGGAATAGCAATCTGTGTTTGAAGAATTAGTGAGATCCAATCCTGGATGGCAATAACATTAACACATTTATGTACTTGCAGAGGAGCCAGAAAATCATATATTTGATATATATTATTAGGAATAAGCAAATGATATTGAAGAAGGATATATTGCTAGTGCTCTATTATTTTATGGTTAGAATTTGATTTGGAAAAGATACACAATAGAATGGGATATGTCAGCTGATTCTGATGAGGTAGCTTTGGAAGTTACCAATCTCATAAATTCAGGAGTGAAAGAGTATGTGGGAGTAAAAGAAATGAATTAATAAAGTACTATAAATAAATAATAATATTTGGAATTAAAAAGATTTATTTTGCAATAATAACAACAATAAAAGTTCACTAGAGGATTGGAAGTTCAAATAAATAAAAAGACTATTTATGGTAAGAATAATAAATAAGTTATTTATGAGAAACCAATTATTTAAGTAGCATGTTCACCTAAATCATAATAGATTACAGAGAATTTTATTAAACCTCTCTAATAAAAACCAATAATTTGGGACATTTAGATTTTAAAGAAAGTATTAACATAAAAAATTAGAGAAAATAATCTCAATATTGAAGCTTCTTTGGAGAGATAGATTAAAATTTAAATAAATTATGAAAATAATCTAATATCAATTCCTAATTGGGAAATGGCTACACTAACTCCTTATTATAAATCTACATAATATATCTCGTAAGTCAAATAATGGATACATGCTAGAGATAACATTTTAAGCGAAGTTTAGAATACTGATGACCCTGTTTTATAAAGAGTAAATAAAATGATTTATCAATTTTTCAATAATATACCAACTGTTGAAAAAGTACTTAATTAATAATATGGTAAAATTCCATATGCTGAAAAACGTAAACCACCTTATGAAGAGATGTCAGTTTCAAAAAGTTTGGGAAATGAAGAAATTACAAGAAAATAAGATAAAATATTATTCATTTTATTGATTGATTATGAAAATGATGATACTTTAGATATGTTAAAGAACTTAATTATATTTAAGAAAGAGAATTCTATTTAATTGTAAATTGCAGTATTAGGACATATAAGAGCAGAATCTTGGACTAAATTATTCTAAGCATTTATGGAGAAACATAAATTAAATAATGATGCTGAAGAAGGTATAATAGAAACATGGTTCCCAGTTGAAGACAAAATTGGATCAATTTCATTTAGTGCTATTCTTAGTAAAATGTATGGTATGTGTTTGGAAAAAAGAGATTGTATGTTAATTGATTTGGATAATCAAGTTCGAGTTATTGATTCTAGTAGAAGGATTATTCCTAAAATTTCTTAGATTTTGAATGATTTAAAAAATAAGAATTAAATCAAAGAGAAAGAATTTATGTATTTAATTTGTATTCATATTTTTAGAAATTATAAGGATTAATATTAACAATTTAAGAGATCTATTCGAGATAATCCTTAATTGTTGTAATTAACTTAGAAAATTAAAGAATAATGTAAAGATGATGATTGTTTGATTGTCTATGAATAGAGAAAAGCTAAAATTTGGGATTTTTAGGGTGCAAATTTAAATGAATCTAGAAAATATTAATAGCCAACAAAGATCCTCAGATTGATACCAAAATCATCTGAAATTGTTGAACTATCTTAAATTCTTGATAATTCAGAATTTTTATAAATGAAATGATTAAAAGAAAAAATATATAATAACTATAAAATTTATTGGACGTATGCATTCTTGCAAAAATAATTTGACATTGTATTATATTCCAAAATATAGCTAGATTAAATATTTTAATTAATTGAAATATTATTAAATCTATATTTCATTAATTAAAATATGATTTATTAGATAAATCTAAATGATATCGAATTAATCACCTTAACATTCTAGAATCCAGTTAGTATTCAATAAATCATTGACAAAATTATTGAAATTTATTAATATCCAAAAGAAGCTGTTTCTAGAATTGAAATAGATGGTATTACATAGTCAGGCTAATATATATTGAACTCTTAACCAAAAATACCTATTAAAGCAAATTTTCAATTTAAGACGAAAATTGGTTTCTTTAATAAACTTTACAAGACTTTTTATCTTAATGTAGATTTATGTGAACCAATAAAAAAAATATCAATAGATATTAGGGATTTAATACTTCCAAAAGATTATTCTGTAAATATTGTTCAATCTAATAACTTAATTTACTTGAATTCTTACGAAGAAATTCCATAATAACTTGAGTTCAATGTCGAAGCGAACTTCTATATTAATTTCAAAGAAATCTAACATAATTTTAAAATTAATCCTTTTGAAATGATCAAAGATATTAAACTTATGATTTCATAACTTTTGAAGATTGAAATTGAATTTACTCTTTTTTATAACAATGTCTTATTAAATGAATAAGATTAATATTTGGACTATCATATTCCAGATTATTCAAAAATAAATATAGATTTATAAAATCGAATCAAAATTTTTCTAAAATATAACAATATTGTTCATTAACATTCTATATTATCTAATTAGAAATTGGGAGAATTCAAATGTAGAATTAGAAAAATTTATAATATTCCTATAAATTAAGAATACTAATTATTATTTCAAAATAATCCTCTTGAAAATAATCAAGAATGTATTTCAAATATTTTTTCTGCAGATGGCTCTCATATAATTTTGAAATTAACTAAAAAGACAATTTAATTAACCTTATAGGATTTAAATTCTTAAGAAAAATTTAATTGTTAAGTTTAATCAATTGACTTAGTTTCTTCCTTAACTAAGTAAAGTTTTTTTTTAAATAAGTAGGTCATCTTTTATTATAATAAGTAGAACCTCATAATGACTCAAAGATTTGAATAAATTCAATTTAATTCAGATAATTTCATTATTAATTATCATATAATAGATGAAGGATAGGAAATTAATTAATTTTACATTTATTTTTCTTGCAAAATTGATCAAACAATTTATTTTAAAAAATTCTCAGAAGAAAATACAATTTATGATGCCAAATGCATATTCTCCTAGAGTTTATAAAAATAGAAGACTTCAATTTCTATTTTTTCGTAAGATACCTAATTAAAAGATGACCAGCTAATTATCCATTTTAAACAATAAGAATTATTTATTTATGAAACAAAATTAATTAGCTTTCATACAAGAAACGGATAAGTCTTAAAATAAAAAGTTTATAAGGCTTGTATGAAAGTAAAAGAAATGAAAAATGATTTCTAAAGAGAAATATCTTAACAATCTTGTAAATATGAATTTAACTAATCTCCAATTGATGATGAAGATAAATTACTATCAGATATTACTGATTAAACGGAGATTGTTTTAGATGTTGATTTTCAACATAATTTGAAACTTATCAATAATGAATTGAAAACACAATAATTTAATGTTTAGTTTTATTAAACAGAAATTGTCTCCTCTATTTTTTCGAAATTTTTAAAAGGTAATTTACAATACTATTATAATGGTTAATTGATTGATATTAATAAGAGTTTTGAAGATAATCTAATTTAAAACAACTCTTGTGTTTATTATGGAAAAATATATAATTTTACTTTTAAATTCACAAACAACAACTAAATAATTAAAATTCAAGTTAAATCATTAAACACTAAAATCGAGGATGCTGTATAACCAATATTAAAGGAAAATCATCCTCAAAATTTTTAATTTTCTTGTAATAATCGCTTAATCAATTTAGAAAAAACATTTAGTTAAGAAAAGATCAAAGAAGGAGTTATATAAATAGAATTAAAAAGTTTAATCGTAAATATTTATGATAAAAATAAAATTTATAAATATCACGTACTTCCTAATTTAACTATTGAAAAATTAAATAAATTAATTAATAATAATCAAAATAAATGGTTATTTAAACTAGATAATGATGATATATTATAAGATAATATTGAATTATCAACTTTAAAAAACTCTAATGGTGAAGTAGAGTTAATTTACAAGGAATATATTAAACAGAATACAATTTTACATTAATATTAGGATGATGTATCAATTGATTTTTTTGTAACACAAAACATTAAAACCATTGAAAATTCTTCATTAGTTATACCAATAGAATGGAATGATTAGAAATTTTTCGAAACTGTTAAATTAGATTAGAAAGTTGAAGAATTTTTAGAAGACTTTAAAAAACAAAAAAAACTTTCTAAAATATTTTTCTTTTAGGATGGAGAAATAATTGATATTAATAAAAAATTTGAAGACTTAAGGGATATAGAATACTCTTTTTTTGAAATAATAAGTGAATGAATTAATATTTATATTTATATTTTATATTCTAATAAACTAAAATTTTAATATCCTCATATAATTTTTAAGCTTTAGTAATATTTATAAAGATGTTGACAATTTAAATAAAATTAATTAACAGTTGATTGGAAATTAATATTATTTTAATTCCAAAATGGGCATTTGTTGTTCTGGTGGCTAGAACCATCCTAAATAAAAAGTTGAACAAAAAATATAAACAATAAACAATGTTTATTAAGAATAGCCAAAATAAGATCAATTTTCAGAATTAAGTGGAGAAATTTAAGAAATTTTAGACATGTATTTAAAACATGAAAAGAATTCACCATAACATAAGTCTTTAAATGAATCCAATCATCTAAAACACAGTCTAGAAATGCCTAATACTCCATATTTTAAAAATAATGCAGATTCTGATGACTAATTTCATTTTCTTAGATAAACTAAATAATTAGAAGAAATTAGCATAGTAAATTAAAATTAAGATTTAGGAAGCACTTACCACATAAAAGTAGTGATTATTTACCAGCTCTTTAAGAAATTAATCAAGAAAAATAATAGAAACATTGTTTGATGAAGAATCACAAATTTTAGAGTAAATGTCCAATATGTTATAATGATCATATCTGGTTTCATAATTGCAAATAAGATTTCATTTATTAAGAAGAATTATTGTTGTTGTGTTAATAATGCAATTTCAAAACTCTAATTATAGAATATGAATTTGTTTGTCTAAAAACTTCTGAAAGATTCAAATTCACAGCAGATCAGATAGGAGAATTCTTTGTCTGATTTTATATTATTTATTTATTTATTTTCCTAATTTTCAATTGTATTGTAAATAGAATTCTAAAATGAATAAAATTTCATAAAACATATTATTCAATCCTATTAATATTATACATTATTTCGAAATATTTATTGATTAATTTTTAGTAATATAAATTCAATGATAACTTCACCTTAAGAGATGAGAATATTATCAAAGCGATTCTTTGGTAATAAAGTCATAGATTCTATTGTACTTGAAGAAATGAAGGAATATTATTAAAATAAAGAGAAAATAGCTAATATTATTTAGAGATGTTATCCTGAAAGTTACAAGTTATATTCAGATTTAGGTAAGAAAACATAGATTAAATATACAAGATCCTTAACTTTTAAGTATCTTCATTCAATATTTTTTGAATTAACTTAATTTTGTAATTGAAAAAAAGTATATATTTCAAAGAGCAACATGCTTATTGGAATTGAGTGTCCATTTGTTTAATATTTCATGGGAGAAAAGATGGAATAGAGAAAAATCTTTTGAAGAGTTCAGATAAATAATTGTTAGACATTCATTATATAGGTTAATATTTATTTTAATAAATAAAGACCACCACATAGTGTTTATATATTTAGTTTAGAGAATTTGAAAGAGATTTCATTACATTTTCTATCAACATTTTTTAGATTTTATAGAGCTTATTTCTTTACATTCACTCCATGGGTTGATATAGTAGTGACAACTTATCAGAAACATTAAATAAAAAAGGATGTGAAGGATTTAGAATTGGAAAAATTGAGATAAGAAGCAGAATAATATAATGATCAAATAGATCCAGAAATGATGGAATAATTAATGAGTGGAAATTCTATATTTTAGATTCCAGAAAAAAAGAAAAGGGAAATGTTAGAATAACAATAATAAAAAGAAAAATAAGAAAGAATAGATAGAGTGTTAAAAAAGAGATTAGAAGAATTATAATAAGTGTTTGATTAAAAAATTAAAGAATAAGATGAGCATTTTATTAAATTAGCTGAAGATTTAAAAAACCCAAAAAAAAAGTGATTCATTAACTATAAATATAATATTATTATAAATTTATTAGTATATCCAAATGTATAAAATAGTTTAGTTCATTCTATGAGGATAATAATAAATGATTTAAGTTAATTTTTATAGGATTTTTCTATTTAAATAAATTTTTAGCTATGATTTGTTCATATTAATCCACATTAATACTAAACAATCTAAAAATGATAGTTTCATTTTCTATAAATTAAATCATCACTATTCTTTCTTAGATTATGCATTTTTAATTTGTTACTATATTATTATTAAAAAATAAAATAAACTTATTAAATTCACATAATAAAAAAGTATTAGTTGTAAAGATAAAAAGTTATTTTGGAGAGTATTTACTATAAAATAATTATTTAAACATCTGAGCTTAGAGTTGATGAAATACTTCTTTAATTCAATTAAATGAAAGATTTAATCAATTAACCTTATTTTGAGAATATCAAAATTAGAATTCTCTGTATCAAATAAAAGGTTTTTAATGATTGAACAAACTTTAAATTATCTAAAATAATGTAATTTTGATTAATCCATTTAACTAATTTATTTTCACTTTTATTAAAAAATTGATTATATAATAGATTAATATAATAAAAATTTACACTATATTTAGAAATTTTATTCTCTAATATTTTTTTATAAGATAGAAAAGATATGTTTATGTATAATGTTGGTAAAAATATTTATAAACTTCATTCTTTCTCATTAATCAGAAAGCTGTGAATGAAAGTTACACAGATCTAAGGCAAATAAATAAAAATGATACCTTCCATTGATCTTGGCATCTTGGAAATGTCCTAAGACACTAAGACTGCATCCTACATCAGAATAGAGTATTTTGCAAGAGCTTTGATTAATGAATCTAAGAATTATAAGATATAGTACTTCATGTTCTAGATAGGTGTCATACATCCGAAGTATTAATACATCTACTCTATGGTAACACCTGTAAGGCCTGTAATTTAGATTGAATTAGACAATTATTAAGTTATTATTTGTTTTCTCTCATTTGGTGGAAGGGTTACAGAACGAGCATCTTAAGGTAGTTTATCTGAGAGCATTATAGTCATAGGCATTCCCAAAAGAAGAACCTTATTTAGTAAATGTTTGACTCGAATTGCTTCTTCTTTGGATGGCAATTAAAGGAAGGCTCCATATTAACTTTGATATATAGCATCTACTCTTGTGACTGTACTAAAGATGTTGTACACCACTCGTAGATTAGTATTGGGATGCTGCACTACCAAATATGTTGGTATAGAAGTAGGAGTCATTAAAAAGGGACTGCTTTATGTTTAAGGATATGGTGTGAAAGGACTAGCTCCACAAGAAAAGGGATTGCTAGAATCATTACAAAAGACTTCATTATAATTGTCTTAAGAACGGGCAGATTTTTGAGACTTGGGTGACTATTCAGAGGAAATGCTTTCTCCATCTGAGAATTCTTCTTTATCATCTTCGGATGACTCTTCAAGGATTTGTTATCTAATTGAATCTAGGGTAGAATGTTGAAAAGGTGATGGGGAGGGAGTGGTAGTTGAGGATACAATCTATTTTTATTTCTTACCTTCTCTTTAGAGTACAGAAGCATAATTACGCAACTATTATTAATAAAGGACTGTCAATTATTGGGTTTGATTACGATATTCTTGAATTTATTGGATTAGGGAAATTTGTTCTTTTAAATCACTCTTCTGATTAAGTTGAGTAATAAATTGATTCAAAATATCAAGGTTCTGTTATAATTATTGATTTAGGGAACTTGAATCTTCCTTCAATTGTTGAAAAAATTACTATTTAGATTGAAGAGTAGTGTAATCTTTATTTTTAAATAAAATTATACCGACACCGCAATTGTTGTTATTCTAAAACACAAGGGAATCTCGTTAGCTTAGATGGACTCTCATTTTCAGTTAGTAATCGAAGAGAGTACCATCTAAGATAAGTGCTTATTGTGCTTATTGTGCTGTTTCGTATTCAATAAATACTTTCCAGATGATTTTTCTTTCAAATATTAGAATCTTATATGTTTAAGAAAACAATAAATACCTTTTTAACTTATCCAAAGACAGAGAAGGTTCTGAAGAACTGACTATGTTCAAGCACTTTCCCCTATTTATTGGTGACCAACACCAAAATCACAGGGGTTGGTGAACTCGGTGAGGGTGAATTCTTGTTCATTAAAAAAATAATAATTGATAAATCTAATTTTATGTTTCCTTTTAATAGTCAATTTCAAGAGCTTTTTGCTTTTTTACTGGTCTTATGATCACCAGTATGATGTTTATTACTATGATGATGATGTTATTTGCTCTTTTTTTTTTCTTACTCTTACTCAGTCACATATTAAGCTACCAAACTATTGACAATGGAGATCATAAAGAATCCTATCATAAGAATAATGAAATAATCCCACAATTAAGCTAATAATGGTTTAGTACCTTCTTTGAAAAGAGAAGGATCTCTTAATTGTTTTCTTTATTTATCAAGTAAATCACTTAAAAATTAATATATAAAAGGAATATATTTCTGGATCAAATTAAGTAAGGCTTTGACTGGTTCTTATGAGAATACAAAAACAGTCATTGGCAACTATAAAAGCATGTTAAATTATATATACCTGAATGTGCATTTTGATGAATGCCTTACCCAAAACAGTGGCTCCAAAGAATGTCCAAAAGGAAATCAAAAAATGACCACAAGTGATGCCTGCTAAATCAAATAAGGGATTTGGAATTGATGCACACAACATAACAGTAAGGAATGCATTTTTCTATAATTTATTATAAATGAGCAATTTCATTCTCTACATAAAAGAATCTAAAAGGATTTATAAAAGAGACAATTACTTTCATCTTTCTTTTCCAAGACTTCTTCTAATTCTTCCAATTTCTTATTGGCTAAAGCAGCAGCTCTAGCAACAAAATAAGGTGGCAATTCACCTATTGCAGTACCAATTCCAAATAGAACTGTTTCAAAGTATACTTATTTGATAATATCAAATATTGTAATTCCTGTTGCCTCTTTTGGACATTCCACATATTACGTGGCATATTTAGATGGCACAAATAAAGGTAATGCATTGCATTCATATGCTTAAATTGTTGTCTTAGCAATGTGTGGACCTAAATACAACACGAATGTATGCAAACCAGTTCCTAAACCCACAGATGACATAATTCCCAATACAAGCCAATATAACATAAAATATGCAATTTCATCACCCTGTCTTACCAACTAAACAATATTCATATTTATATTATACTTCTGAGTGTTCTCCTTCTACAAATCTAGGTGCTATGACTACTAAAGCCAAGAATCCAATGATGTGCCAAAATTTACTTAAATATTTAACTGCATCTTTTGCATAATTAAATAGGACTATCGTAAACAAATATAAAGTCTTTATTGGATTGGAAAATAGTGTTGGTGCTTCTACCATTAATTAAATAATTATTTATTTATATATATATGAATAGAATATTAATCTTAATCATTAATCTTCTTCTTCTTATGCTTATAATTTAGCTTATTTCTCTTCTATAGCTCCCTCTATAACACTTATAACCTCATAAATATCACTACTGTAAACCATCTACTTAAATTTCAAATATTCTATCATTCTATTAACATCATTTAATTCATCTGAATAATTAAATTATTCTGCCAATCTTTTATTCAAATGTTTATTAACAGCATTTTATAAAACATTACCAAAAGTATAAGCTTTAGTTGTTTTCATCCAAAACTAATATGCTATGATCATGTCAGTAACTCCAAGCATAAATGTAACTGGTTCCATAACATCCCATCCCCAGACTACATATGTTCCATATTGAGTAAATGCAATCTACATAAGAATGTAAAAGTAAATTTAATATAAAGTTGTCTATTCTTTCATTTCCAATTCTTTTATTATAGAATCCTTCAAATGAGCTAAACGATTCTATTTACTTTCTAGAAATGAAATCTAATCATCAATTATCTGTTTTTATGCTTAAGAATATATACCCAATTTCATTATGACCTTCTTTATTATTAACATTATTAAATCCTTATCATATGTCAATTCCTTATGTTTCTCAATTTCAGATAATAGTTTTTAAATAAAATTGCTTAAGACAACCTTTGTTCTTTAAGGCACATCTATTTCCTAAAAATATTCGTGTAATGCATGTTATGTGATTGGATAGTTATCAATTAAGTCAATCACTGGAGGATTATCTACTTTATTGAGAATTATGTAGTTTTCTGTCTAATTCAATCTTAAAACCATATCCTCTGCCAAAACCAATTACATAGGTGTGGAGGATGCATATTCAACTTATTCATCATTGTTAGTTTATTAATATACACCTACACTCTTTACATCATCAATCTATTTCTTGATGGCTTATTGGAGTTCAAGAACAGTCCCTTCACCTTTGAAAAACACTTTTTTACTGTGGAAGTAGAAATATAAAACTAAAAAGGTTGCTATTAAACAATTATACCCTCTTACTTGAGATTAAGGTTTTTACTTTCCTCTTATGAAAATCTCTATAACATAAGAATATCCTAGAAATTGTACCTTTTTAATGAACAGAATCTAAAGAGACTTTTTAATAACATAATTTAATTATTATGAAATCATCACTTGTAACAGAGAATGGACACAGAACCAAAACAAACCCTGACCATAACTCTAAGTTTAGTTATTCATCTTGTAAGTCTTGTCTCACAAGTGTAATTTATTTTTCATTATAACAAGGAACGTTAAACTTAAGTTAAAGCTACATGCAAAGTCTTGTATGAAATGAGAGAAGATCAATCAAGTAAATTAACAGTGAAGTTTACATAACTTCAAATTGTTTTGGCTACATAGTCAATTATTCAATTAATCTCTAAATTCAAGTCTGCTAAATTGTAGACATATTTAAGGATTCTTATATAGGATAGTATTTTCAGACAACCATCTCTACATCCTATTAAATCTATCCCTTTACCTAAAGATATTGATGATTGTTTATAAATATAGATTAAACATAAACCTGAATATAAATAACGTCATCATTTTCAAACTCAAAAAGGATGGATTCTTATGTAAACTCTAAATAAATTGAAGCAAAAATAATAACGGTTTTTATTTTAACTCATTAATAAACATATTAAATTATGCAAAGGAACTTAGAAAATTATTAAATTCATCAAAAAATATAATAAATAATAATAATGTCGATCATTAATTTTTATTATGTAAATTAATTAGAATTATTTGTTCGAATATAATTGGAAAGATATTGAGTAAACTTAATTATAATTAATATAAAAATAAGATAGTAGTATTGAATTAATCTCAATTAAGGAATAATTGGCAATTAAATTAGCAAGTACAACCAATTTTACATCACTTTTAAATGAAAAATATAGAAAAATGAATTTTTATTTCTTTCTAAAGTTCTTAAGATACTAAAATAACTAATCTTAATTAATATCAAATTTATAGTAAGGTATAGAAATAAATCAATCAAATTATAATTAATCATATATTTAAGAAAACTAATAAATTATAGCAGCATAAAATTTGCATTCATTTTTGTTTATCAAATTATAAAATTATTTATAAACAATAAAAATTTTTCATTTGAAAAATGATTATTAGATGATTGATACAATGAACAATATGATTATTAATAGTAATAGTAATTTGAAATATTCTTTTGACATTAAAAGAAACTTGGATAATAATTAAAAAAGTTTTGATATGGGAATTAATAATTTTGGAGTACAAAAATAGATCTCATCTTTATAAAATATTTCAGATATTGATGAATCTACAAAATCAATAATACAAGAGAATTAACCTTTAGAATAGTGTTTAAATAAGAAAAAAACAAAGAATTAACATAATAAAATCAAGAATGCAATAAAATCTTATTGCAATTTATAATTATAAAATAGAGTAGGTAAAGAAAACACAATAAAAGTGGAAAATTTTGATTTAATTAAGAGATAAGGGATGAGAAAATAATAATTAAATCATAATTAATTGTACACTCCATATTTATTGATTGTTGTAATGACAATATTATTAATATTGTTTTTGAAATGATTAATAAAATTAATTATTTTATTAAAGATGTCTAGAGAATCATCAATTTCAGAAGGAGGAGGATGGGTATAATGGTTTTGTGCAATGGAAGATCATCAATTTTTGTGTGAAGTAGATGATGAGTTTATAAGAGACAACTTTAACTTATATGGTTTAAAGAGTAAATTTAATTTCTATAAGTAATTTTGAAATTTAAACATTTTAAGTGAAGCTTTAGACTTGATTCTAAGTTCTGAAACACCAGATGATGAAGATTTAGAAGATGAAAGATTCTTGGAAGTATATTAAGAGGCTACAGACTTATATGGTTTAATTCATGCAAGATTCATAATAACAGCCAAAGGTATATAGAAAATATGAATGAAGGTTTGGGAATGATGAAAGATAAATATTTAGGAAGTAAGTTTGGAGCTTGTCCAAGAGTATTATGTGAAAGATAAAATGTTTTACCAGTTGGAATGAGTGAAGAATTACGTACTTCAAGAGTAAAAGTTTTCTGTCCTAGATGTGAAGAAGTTTATATTCCAAAAAAGAAATGTCCTGATGTTGATGGTGCTTATTTTGGTTGTTCATTTCCATCCATTTTTTTAATGGTAAGTATATTATATTGAAGGTATTAGAACTTCATTTAAGAGATTTAAATACCTGCAAACAATTAGACTTATGTACCTAGAGTATTTGGATTTAGAATTCATAAGAAAAAAGGATCTCGTTATTAGGATACTTAATAAAAGGCTACTGAAATAACTCATTATTCTGAAGAATAATTAAAAAAGTTAAGAGGGAAGAATGATCAATAAGGAAAAGAGGATTATGTTCAAAAGTGAATTAGTGTTTTTGTTTTTGTTATTAAAATTTTTAAATCTTTTTTAAATTAAATGCCTAAGGAAATTCAAGATGTTAAGGTGTTCCTCTCACTCATGAAAGGTAATGAAGCATAAGGAAAAGATGCTAGCAAAGAACCAAAAAAGAGTATGAATTTCTATTTATCTATATTCAGACCTCTATATCAAAGAGTCAAAGAAGATCACCAAATTTAAGTTGAGAGGCAAGAAATATCTCTTTACCTTCAAAACAGCTGATAAGAATAAGGCCCAAAAAATTCAATAAACACTTCCATAAAGTATAATATTCATATAAATTGTTAGATGTTAATAAAATTGTTATCGGTAATGGAGGAAAGAAATAATAAACAAAAAAGAAGTAAAAGAAATGAGCACTGATTTATTACATATACAGTACATTATTTGGAGCATATTTAATATACAAAGTTTATTGCAATCATCGAAATACTATATAATTCTTTTTCGTTTTTCTGAATTTTCACTCTGTAATAAATAATTTATTAAATATATTTTAAGTTATCAATAATTTTAATTAATTATAGTAATTTATTTATTTACAATACATTTTTATATTATAAATATACAAAAATACATCATTTTATTTGATTGAGTCTTTTCTTAATTTCATCAGTAATTTATTAAGAGGTAGCAGATTTATCAATTAGTATTTAAAGTATTTCATCAGCTGAATATCTAAGTTATATATTGACACAAAGTAATTTTTCAATTATATGTCTTACATATTCTGGTAAAATAGTTAATTTTAATTCTTTCCAAAATTTGTTCCAATTCTCATTTTTTATTAACTTCCACCAAGCATCTTCAGTTTATGGATTATTTGATTCAAATGGGGGATGTCCTGTTACCATAATAAAGTAAACTACACCTAAAGAGAACATATCACATTTTTTGAGATCTTATGGAATATGCCAAATTTCAGGTGCAGTGTATCCTTCACTTCCTGATATTGTAGCTTTAGGAATAGGAGTAGATCCATGGATTTTAGAGAACCCCAAATCACATAATTTAACTTTGAAGTCAAGAGAAATAAGTAAGTTATCTAACTTAATATCTCCATGAGTAATTCCTTTAGAGTGAAGATAAGAGAGAGCTTCTGTAATTTATAAAGTAATTCCATTTGCAATAGCAAGTGGTAATGGACCTTGGAGTAGTATCTTATAGAGGGAGCCAAAAGGCATTAATTCAAGTAGCATACAAGAACAATCTGAACAATATCCAATCATTTGTATAATATGCGGATGTTGAATGTGACGAAGGATTTGGATCTCGTTCTCTTCAAAATATCACTTTATAATTACGAATAGATTGATGGCATTTTATTCAGTTGTCTGAGCAAGACATTTTATTGCATATTGTTATTTTGTTTGTTTGTCCATAGTCAAAAATACTGTACTATCATGGCCTTTACCTAATAATTTAGAAAAATTGATTTAGTAATTTGCGGCAAATTGCTCTGGAGTAAACATCAGATTATTAATCATTTTTATTAATATAACAAATTTCAATCAAAATGCTTTAGTAGCCATCATTCTTCCTAAAATGGCATTAAGATTTTCATCTAACAATTCATCAACCTTTAATCCTAAATGTCTTTTAGGATCCTTTTTTCCTGTATTCTTAATTTTAGTTTCCTATTCTCCTTTTTTTGATTCATCATCTAAAATGTTAACAAAATTAAATACCAATTAATTTTTAATATTCTAATGCCAATTTTGACATTTCTTCAACACATTATTCATTTCTATTACTATTCATTATTGAAGAATTACATCTAATCATATATATTTTAATTACTTTAATCCTTCAGTCCAACTATTTTTATATAAATTTTAAAGCATCTTCTATTCCAAATCATTGCATTTAAATTTAATATTAATTGAATAATAGTATCTATTAAGTCCTCTTAATAATGCTTCAAGTCCAGGTTTTTGAAGATGACCACAATTTGATGTGGTTTATCGTGGTTCTTATTGAGTAATCATACTTGATTAAGGAATCAATCTAAATGCATCAATAACGACTTTGCCTCTAACTGATTAAATTGGATCAATAACTACAGCTATAGATTTCTTATTTAACTATTCATATGATTATTATGTATTGATATCGACTTGCAAATAATAGTATATGAATATGTACCACTTGATAGCCAACAACCATATGATGGATGTGAATGATACCATCCTATACAATTTTCCATTCTACCAGTTAAATTAAGTAATTCAACCATTTTTTATTAAAAAATAGGATCTACAGATTCTACAGAAACACTGCTGGCAGTTTAGGGCATTGAAAATACATCATAGACTCTGATATGATAGTCATCTACTATATCACCTAATAGTAGACCCATGACTTCAAAAGGAATGCCTGCTCTAGCATGCTATCAAATAATTTGATGCAATTACTTTAAGCATTTTAATCAATGCTAGAGCACTTATTGTAACTTATTCTGCAGTATCTGGTAAAGAGGTTTCTGGTGCTGCATTTCCATGAGCTGCTCCAAATTATTATAGAAGGTTTTGCAAATTCATATGAGATTGTAAATTTGAATAAAATATACTAATACTGGTGTATTGATTAAAAGTGTTAATAGTTTTTGGGAATTTAAAAATTTAAATTATCAAAAATTTGCAATTTGATTGGATTTTTGTTTCTTAAATATGTTTGATAAAATTTTAAATATTTTAAATATAAAGTAAATTTTAAGCGCAAAATATGGCATAACAATAATAAGTTTAAGTTGCCGCAGAGTTCAAATTAGTTGTTGTAGGTGATGGTGCAGTTGGTAAAACAACTTTTGTGAAGAGACATTTGACTGGAGAGTTCGAAAAGAAATATTTAGGTACTATTTTATTTGAGTGTGTTTTTAGCCACATAAGGTGTTGAAGTAAGTCAAGTTGTATTCTACACAACTCATGGTCCAATCAGATTAGTCATCTGGGATACAGCAGGATAAGAGAAATTAGGAGGACTAAGAGAAGGTTATTACATTGGAGCTCATTGTGCAATCATTATGTTTGATGTCACATCAAGAATCTCTTACAAAAATGTACCTAAATGGCATAAAGATCTTACTAGAATTTGTGAAAACATTCCTATTGTCTTAGTTGGTAACAAGGTATATATCTTATTTTAATCTCTTTTTTAGGTTGATTCAAAAGACAGAAAAGTGAAAGCAAGATAAATCACCTTCCATAGAAAAGTCAATATTTAATATTATGATGTCTCAGCCAAATCTAATTATTAATACGAAAAGCCCTTCTTATATTTATTAAGAAGATTGGCTAAGTATTTAATTATTTCTATAATAGTGATGCCAATTTGTCTTTAGTCTAAGCTATGGCTCTCTTACCTCCAGAAATCCCAATTGACCCAGAATATGCTGCTTAAATTGAAAAAGAAAGATAAAATGCTGAAAATCAACCATTACCTGATGAAGAAGATGATGAATTCAAGTGATGTTTCAATGTTCATACAATTATCATAATAATTTAATATAAAATTATTCATGCAAATACATTTAATTTTCATAAAATTCAAACCAAGAAGTATCTTTAAATTAATTTAACAAATACAAATAGGTTTACTTAAAGAAGTCATATAATTTATATAAATATTATAAATGTAAATGTAAAGATCAAGATTATGCTAAATTTAATACTCAATAGATAATATATGATTTCTTTGTTATCAAAAATATTAAATACATTATTTATGTTATTGATTAGGAAAATTAATACACAATTACACAAAAGAGTCCGACAATTCTTTTATTAAGAGGATTCAATTCAAGTTGATGAATTATAAGTTACCCAAGTTTAAATTGCAGAAATGGAAGAATTTATAAATCCTAATAAGATTATCCTTGACTTTTCCAAAAGCTATTTCTAATAGATTAAACAGAACCTTGAATCAGCAACTACTAAAACTTCCATATTCTTTTGTTTTTTAAATTTAAAGAAAATAATTGAAATTCCTTGCAATCCTAATATTGACAAAAAATTAATAGAGTCGGATGACATTATTGTAAAAGAATCCCTTGAAGTTATTAATGAAATTCAATTAGAAAAAGATTGTCTTTAGAACTCTTAAGAATTTCATGCTTATAATGTCTCTTTTTAAGATAAATGTGAATATCAGACTTAATTATTTGAAGCAATTCACTTTTTTGTCTCGATCATTTAAGAAAAACTATCCCTAGATCCTGATTTCATAGAAAACATATCACTAGCAAAACCTCTGCTTTACGATGTTACTTAAATTTATCTAATTTACTATTTGCGTCTTTATAGAATTTATATTGAAACAAATTCACAAAAGTTTATTTTAGAATATTATGAAAAAGGATAATCCTTATTTAAATTAGCTTGTAGTTATTTTAATGAATATCAAACTAAAAATCTATTTAATCTGCTTTATAATTTTAGAACAGTATCAATTTTAGCCATCATTCTCTCAAATAAATTATAGTACATTTAAAAAGTTATATAAGATTTCTTAAACTATCATTATTAGAATATAGAAAATATGATATAACTTTTTAAATTTGAATAGGCACTTAAAAGTACAATTTTTGATTATTGTTTAAGTGTTTCTAATCAAAATACATTCTAATTATTATTTTAAGAAATATAAAATTTGGATTAAAAATTTTAAAATAATTGCTATATATTAGAATTAAAATGGTTATTGTTTTCTAGATATCTTTCATCAGATTTTCAGGAGGAATAATTAAGATCATATATATATATGAATATAAGTAATCCAATTTTATGGAAACAATAATTATTATAACTTATTTATTTGAGCTCAAAAAGATTTTTAATTTTTTTTATCAATCTAGAAAAATTTGCAAATTCTAATGAAATTATAAGAAATTGGTAAGAAGCAATTATTGATGTAATTAAATCTTGTTTTAAGATTGAACCTAAATACGAATTTGAAGAATATTCATTTGAAAATCTTTTTAAATTTATTTTGAATTCTTTATAGCATATTTTATAATATAATTTAAAGAAGAAAACAAGTTCAAATAGAATTTTATAATTATTGGAAGAATCTATTAATCATCCCTTAGCTAAAGAATAAAGATTTTAAAAAAAATTATTAGATATTCTCATCATTAGTGATTTAGCTTGTTATGGTGATAACATTGAAAATTTTATATTCAATTATGTTTCTCCATCTTCATTTACAATTGATCCCATCAATACAGCAAAATATATTGTGATCTGTAATTAAAGTGCTTGCAGGTAGAAAATAATAAATCATATTTATTGTTCCATTATAAGATATAAAAAAAAGAGTTCTGTAGATCCAAGAACAGATTTAAGTCAAATAGTATAATAATTACATTAAATCATTGTTTATCTTAAAGAAGAAAAGACAGTTCATGAAAATGTTAAATTTTTATCTTAATAAATAAGATTTGCTCTAAGATCAATACTCACAATTTTTGTAATAAATGGTGAACAACTTTAATAAGAAAATAATGATTGTTTACTAACATAATATCCTTTATTATTTTTAGAAAAATCATTTTAAGAAATTGTTGTAAATTTTGATTCTCCTTCAAGAGATACTTTTGATATTTCTTGTGCATTACATATATCATAATATTTGATGAAAATCTTAGATTTAGTAAATTCATTTCAAAATTGTTAATTAGAAGATTTATATGACATTTTTACATGCTTACTTAAAATAATCTAAGCAATATAATAGTTTTTATTTCTTAATCATGATTTAATAGCATTAAATTAATTTTTTGATAATATTGATTTATCTTTTTATAAATTTATGGTTAAAGTTTTAATACATCATAAAAATTTATCATAGAGACAGTTGAAATATGTAATTGAAAATATGAATATATTAATTTTTGAAGATCGTTTGAATAAAAATATTAGTAGTATAACTGAAAATACATAAAAATATTTAAATTATCGTTTGATTAAAATATTTCTAAGTATCTTTTTTGAATGTGAATTTCCATATGAATATAATTTATAAATTGTTAATGGAATATTTGAACTTGTAAATTAGAATATGTTTTAATTTTCTTCAATAGTAAACAAAACTATATTACTCTTAGCAATAGAAAATAATTAATAAGATACTTAATTAAGATAAAAATTGATTAATATTGTTAAATTAAGTTTTGAGACTAGCTTCTCAAATATATCATTAAAATACTTATTAAGATTATGTTTTGGAGGATCTAATAAATTGTTAATATTTCGTAACTAAATGTCTGATTTTAAATAAAGTTAATAATTAGCAAATTCAATATTTGAAAATGATGGTGATCTCATTAATATATTTTTTGAACCATAACTGAACCTTGTAAAGAAATATAATTTTAAATAATGTTTATCAGATTTTCTAAATATTTTCAATAATTTATTGGAAGTTAAAGATTCATACATATTTTTTAAAGATTTTAATTCTTATATTAGTTTTCCAATTCAATTTCCTATACAAAAAGGATTTACTATATATTTTGAAGTTTAGTTTACAAATCAAATACCATAAGAGATTAATGGATTTTAGGATTCTTAGGAAATAATATAGTAAGAGAATCGATAATAATACTATGAAATTATCACTTTATATTCAGAAAAGATTTAATAAAAAATTAGTGGAATTAATATTGTAATATCTCAAAAATCTGTTTAAATTAGATAATTTAAATTTCTAAATAAACAAGATATGTTAGGAACAGTATTTTAAAATTACGAAATAAATGTGCCTGAATCTTCAAAATATAATTATTAAATTAATTATAATAATGGATGTTTTACAGTTTATGTTAATGGTCAATTATGCAAGAGTGAACATAAAAAAATTATTGAAATTAATCAAATAATTTATATTGATTTAGGAAAAAGTATGGAATCAACAAATGCTCTAAGCTATATTTTTGCAACTTAATCATTTGATTATGAAACTAATATTTTTACAGGTAAAATGTACAATTTTATTTTAACTGATTTAGTTTAAAATGGATCTATTTTAGAAGAGCAAAATAAAAATAAATACTTAATTAAATTTAATAAATTTAAAAAATTTTTAAATCCAAATGGAGTATTTGATATGGATATGAGTGATCTCTTTTAAATCAATGATACTATTTAAAATAAAGAGAATAGATCATATTGTTATAAAGTTAATTCCATTTCTTGTAAATAAATATCTAATGTATAAGATATCTTAAAAAATAGTAATATATAATCTCTGATATTGCTTGTATTTCAAGAAATTTTGGATTAAAATAATTTATCAGAATATGAGAGTTTAATATCAAATTTATTAGATATCTTATTAAATAAGATCATTTTATAAGATGATGAAACACAGAAAGTATTTTTTAAATAGGAATTTAATTATTTTATTAAAATACTTAAATTATTAACATAAAAAATAAAAATACAAAAATTAATAGAAATTTTAGACAATTTTAATTAAAAACTAAGTGAATCCAATCAAAAATATTATATATAATTTACCAATCAAGTTATTTATGATTTTTCATTATTTTAATAATTTTTGGATGATGAAATCACACTAAACAACTATTTTTTGGTAATATTATAGAAATATTAAATTCCATTTTAAAATGTAATAGAATAAATAATTAAAAATACTAACTAAAAAATTTTAGAAACAAAAACTTATTTTGAATTTTTGAAATCTTACATAATTTAACCTTATTATAAAAATATAAAAATCAAACATGAAAATCTATTTTATAAATTTGTGAATGATATGTAATTATTTGCTAAGCTTTTTGAATATTAAGATTTGAGTTCAGATTATCTTTAAATAATAAAATTATATTTATAATTAATCAATTAACACTTTTAATAGGCTTTTAAAACAAACTTAAATAAATACTCTTAAAATACATTAATAATCTAATAAAAGAATGATATATTATAACTAGCAGCATTATTAAATGCATGTCAAAAGAAAGCATGCTAAAACAAAAGTAAAAATTTTGATGTTATTAATTGGAATTTTATTAATTTATTAATAAATATAGAAGATCTTCATAAAGAAAATTTACAATATAATCCTATAATGATAGATTCACTTGTACTTGAAATATTGTGTAATAGGGATAATCTAAGAATAGATTATGAAACTTAAAACATTATAATAACGATAATCTAAGAAATAGAAAATAAAAATTCATTGTGTGCAATTATAAATCTAATTGCTTTTCTTTTAAATAATAATGTTCAAATATTTGATAACAAACTTAAACCTACTATAATTAATTAAATAAGTTTTAAGTTAATTAAGTATATTTAAAAATTAGATTTACTTGAAATCTCAAATAATAGTATGCTAGAATTAGTTTTTGACTCATTACACTATAAAGATCTTCAAAATTAATCTTAAGAAGTTTATATGTAATTACTAAAATAAAAAATAAAGAATTAACATCTTAATTAAATTGATTTAGGAAGATTAATAAAAATTTATTCATAAATACCTGATATATTTTTCATTTTATTAGATTTTATTAAGAATTAATTACAAATTCAAAAAATGCAAAATTATGTTATAATATTGGCAAATCTTATTAAAATGTTAAATATAATCAAAAAAGATTGTTTTGCAAAAGATTAATAGTCTGATTTAAAAAGTTAGTGTTCTTGCTTTTTAAATTATTACATGGAATTATTTTAGTCTAAAAATTTCTTCAAATTTAATTTAAAAAAAAAGTAAAAGGAGAATTTGTAAAAAGAATATTAATTAATTTGTGGGGGATTATTTGGACTATTTACTGAGATATTTCATATAGCAATATAAAATTAATCATTAGAATTTGTTATTGATAACATTATGAAACTATTATATATATATTAAGAAGAGATGAATAAAAGAACAGATGATTCTTTGGTTTAGGAATTATATAGTTTATTCAATTATAGTTTAGATAAAAATGGAATTAAATTTCCAATTATTGTTAAGATTTTCAAAAATATTATTGTAAATGTACCAGAAAGTAAACAAAAATGTATATAAGAAACTATTAATTAAATAGAATAGTAATAGGAAAAATAATTAAAAGGAAATGAGAATATTATTAATGCTATGTATGGTGAATTTATGAATTAAATTTAAAAGATAGAAGATGATTAAGATTTATTTTAATAAAAATATGAAGAATATAAGAAGAATAAGTTGGGATTCATTTAATTTAATTAATAAAAAAGTATATGTTTAAATTCTACTTGGGATGGATCAACAATTCTTACAAGAAGAAAGGATGATGAAGATTAATAAATTGAACAATAAATTTAATTGTAAAATTCTCATATTAATTTATATATTGATTTCTATCTTAGGAATGATAGAAATTCAACTTAATTAAAAAAATTTATTGAGACACTTAATAATGACATTTTAGAAAATTAAAATAATTTAAAAAAAGATTATTAAATTAAATGGAAACATTCTAATCTTGTTGATTATGAAAATAAAATAATTTTCAAAAAATATATCTTTTTAAAAAATTAAATAGATAATTAAAATTAAGTTAATCCATCTAATCATTTTTTAGAGTCTTAAAGCATAAGTATGACTTAAAATTTTAAAGAAAATATAGAAATTAAAGGAACTTTAAAAATTTTAGAAAATTGTGAGGAAGTATAAATAAAAATTATTTAAACTGGTATTGAATTTTTTGATCCATTTAGTAAGGAAGTGATTGTAGTTACAAATTAAAATTGTAAGATTACTGTTATGAAATATTAAGATGAAGAGAAAAGTTTTTTAATAAAATACTTTGATTAATCTTATCAAAGTATTTTCTTTCTTATTATTAATGAAGAAAAAGCATTTAAATAATTGAAAAAACATTTTTCAAATTTAGAATTATTAAGTACAAAATCATAATCCGAAATTAAGAAAAATTTATCTTCAAAATGGCAATTAGGATAATTTTCAAATTATCAATATATATATTTATTAAATTCACATTCAGGGAGAAATTTATTAGATAGAAATAATTACTTTATATTTCCTTGGACAACTGTATCTTTAAAAAATTCATCAATAAATATTAATCGAGCATTTAATTAAAGTATTTTTCAATAAAAGGATACACAATATTTAGGATATTTTCATTCAAATGAAACATAATTAAATTATTTTTTATGTTTAGGTTAAGAAGATTCAGTAAATCAAACATAAATATCAAAACCTGATGATAATTCTATAAATGAAATGAAACTTGATAGAAAAATAAATTTAATTAAATTTATGGATGAATTATAAAAATTAGGAGAATGTATGCCTGAATTTTATTCAAATCCATAATTTTTTTAAGAATATTAATTACCTAATTGGGTATTAACCTAAACACCTGAAGAATTCATTTATATCATGAGAGCTCAATTAGAATCAGATATTGTTCAAGGATTAATTAGACATTGGATTGATTTAATATTTGGAATTAATTAAGTATAATAATAAATTATTTTATTTTTAGAATTAAATTTTTATTGATAGAAATTCCTCTAGAGCTAAAATGAATGGTTGTAATTATGGTTAATCAATGAAATAACTATTTACAGAAAAACATTTACCTCGAAAAATATGTATTATATTTTATTAATTAATAATAGTTAATAATTATTTTGGAGATTAACCTAAAATAAGAATGACTATAAAAAGATTGCTTTATTAAGGAGATGAAAAGATTATTTCGGCTTATTATTATTCGTGTTAATAATTTATACTCATTACAGAGAAAGGAACAGCTATTATATTAGATGTAAATGGATAATTGTTTTAAAAAATGAGTTTGGAATCTGATTGTTTGACAATTAGATTAAAAAAATAATTAGAAACCAAATAACCATTAACTAATTAATTAACATGTTTTATTGATTTTGATAATTAGAATTTTACAGATAAATAAGAATCTTAATATCATATAATAGAATCTGAGAAATTAAGTTTATTTTAAAGTTATTCTCTATTTTTTATAGTTGGTGGATATCCAAATGGAGAATTTAGATCATATAAAGGGAATAGTTTAAAATATAAACAATTTAACACTTTAAATCATTCAAATATTTAATGTATAAGTATTTGTCATGCAAGATGTGTATTTATAATTGGATAAGAAGATGGTGGTATTTCATTTTGGAAAATTACTAAAGAATATGAGATTTCAATTACACCATTTCTTGTTATAACATCTCATGTTCATAGTATAACTAATATTGATTGTTCAACATCTTAAATATTGAGTGTAGATTTAATTAATGAAGTACATATTCATTATTATAATGGTGTATTACTTAAAAAGATACAATTAAATTGTTATGGAAGAATTTTATATTGTTAAATTAGTTACACAATGAATTTGTATATCTTTTTAAATAGTTTCAATAAAATCATGGCTTATAATTAAGATGGATAAATATATATTCATCCTATAGAAATCCCTTAAAAAATTAATAATTTTATACCTCTTACTCCATTTTCATCATAATTCATATATACAACAGATAGTGGACTTTATTTTGATGACATTTTTATTATGAAAATGAAATAAGATGGAGTAATTATAGAAAAAACTTAAGATAAGAAAATATATGATTAAAATTTTTCATTAATCAAGGCTGTGTAGGGTACTAAATTGTTACTAAATGAAAGAAGTGGAAATAATATCACAAGCACTTAAATAATATTTTAATAGAGTGAGATTTTTTAATTAAGATTTTACACTGTAGGCTGTGATAATGGTAACTTTTGGTGTTTATATAATGAAGAGGAATGTAATTATTTAAAATATTATTTTATAGTACTCTAATATCATGAAAAAAAATTACAAAGGTCAGGTCTCAAATGAGAATTATTATTGTTACTTACATAAACTTTATTTTAAATAATTAATATCTATAATTATTTTTTTGAATCTAAATATTTCTATATTTCAATACACTTTTTTAATTTAAGGTTATTATATAAAAATATATAATTATATATTTCAATAAATTTTAAAATTTTTATCTTTTAGTACTTTTTTAGTGTTTATTATCTATTTTATGATATAGAATATATGTTATCTAATAACCTTATGCTATAATTAAAAGATATTTCTATCAAGAGAGAGGAATCAGAGATACGGGATATAATTTAATTAAAAACCCATTTAAAATATCTTAAATTCTCAATAAAGAAAGACTAAAATCTTACCAGTTGAATAATATATATTAAAATTAATGTAAGACTTACGTCAAAGTGATGGAGATGAGATAGTTTTTCATATTACAAAAAATGCTTAGCAATATGAACCCAACATTACATTAGAAAACACACCTAATGACAAACCTGTCCATATTCCTATTACATTTGAAGAAATCAAACTAGTATCTTCTGTATAGGTTTCAGGAGATGGTCATTAATAATCTGTAAGAATTATTTGTCCAGGATGTAAGATGAAAGTAAGTTTTTAAGATTATATTTCAGGTATATTCAGTAATAAAAAGAAGAGTTGGATTACAAACATTAATAGCTGGAGTACTTCTAATCTTTTGTTCTTTTGGATTTATATGTGTTACTTGTGTTCCATGTTTGTTGGATGATTGTAAAGATGTTGAACATTCATGTCCTAATTGTAAATAATACTTAGGAAAGGCTGAGTTTAACATACTTGATTGACAAAAGAATGATAATTATCATTTTCTTGAGGTTTGAATTTCAATTCATTTTATTTTCATAAACGTTTTCATGTTCAAAACTCACTATTCAATTAAGTTTAATGAATGATTAAATTCTATACAATCTTATTGTTATACTAAAGACCATGTTGGTTCAATTCTTAGAGAATAATTAAGATTACTATTCACCTTTAGAAAAGGTCGTCCATTTTCTTTACTTCAATTATAATGTTATTTTATATAAATTATATAATTCATAATAAATACTCATATTATATATAGAATCAACTTTATTCAAATACAGAGTCATATATAAACATATAGATCCAGGAGATAGTAGTAATTCAATATAGTAAAGTATTATCATAAATTAATATTCTAAATAATTTATATAAGCTTTAATATACAAATACAAATGTATTAATGCTCATAATTTATAATAATCGGCTTAAACAGTAATTTTTTAGAATTATAATAATGATCATAATTTATATAAAAAGGCTTTTAAAACTTAAATTTGATACATGATAAACCATATTAATTTAAGATATCATATATATATATATAGATACTTATTCATTCAGTTCTAAAAAATTCGGTTATTAACTTTTATGATTAGGTGAAAATCTCTTTATTAGGATGATACTACAAGTCTTCAATTGCTTAAATCAACTGATTTTATTATAATATAGCTAGAATAGGATTTGGGACATTCAATTATGTTTACAAAGATAAACCATAATTCATAAGTGAAGTTATACATTCCAATCCTTATAAAACAATATAAGGTTCTGCTGATTCAATAGTAGATTTTAAGTGTACAGCAAGACCTAAACTAATGAGTACTGTAAAATCTTATTAGTTTCCATATTTTAGAATATGTTGAATTGATCTTATTACAAGAGATTGATTAATTGGTTTATCAGTTGTTAAGATATTGATTAATTTTTTGATCAATTCTTATTATGAGAATATCTATTGAATTACATGATGTCCTTATTTACATAAATTTTATAAAATATATAAGACAGCTGTACGTATCTTTTAGTATTTGTAATTGATTAATTTATTAATAATTTCCAAGATGGAAAATTATTAGAAGATGGCATACAATTATTAAAAATCTGATAAATATTTCATTTAAAGTAAAGCAGAATAAAATGATTCAAAATCATTCTCATTAATAAGATATTCATTCAAATAATTAAAGAGTAATTGAAATATTTCAAAATAATTGATTTCTTTATCATAATAAAAACATTATTTATTTATAATAAATAAAGTTTATAATATCTCTTAACTTTTGTTGATCTTCAAATGTTTTAAAATTACTATTAATTAAGGTTTATATTATTCAGGTATATTGCTACATAATGTTTAAATAAGATAACAAACATTATGTAACAATGAATCCTTCATTAATTAACATAAAATCTCTATAGTATTTTTGCTTAATAAATAATTCTGGATTTATTATAATTTACTTGAAACATTTCCCAAATAACCCAATATTAGATTAGCCAAATCATCTATTTGTTTATTCTCTATAAGTAAATCTAATGATCTTTCAATTGACCATTAAATATCTTCTATTGGCAATTAAAAATATTCATCATCTTATGTTAATTACAAATAAATTGTATATGTATCAATATAATAGGATTCATCATTCAATAAATCTTTGAATTATAGAAAGTTCCTTTAAGTTAAATACAAACTATGAATGCGATTCCTATCATCTATGATATTGGCAATTAAATGTAATTTTTATGAAATTTCATTCATGTCTTTCTGAACATATACATTCTTCAATTCATTGAATAAATTATTAATCGAAAAATTCATTTAAGAACTCTATAATCGCTATTTTGGTATAAACCACATCCTCTTCTTTTCCAATTATTCTTCAATCCTCTCCTTCCTAATTTACATTCGAAATTGTTCTCTCATCTCTTAAACACTCTTTGGTTAATGTTGCTTCTATGTCTTTAAAGTCTAAGGCTAATATTCTAATTCATCATCTGATTCCACTAGTTTTATTTCATCCATTATTTATAATAATAATCAAAACTATTCATTTAAAAACAAACTATACAAATCTCAATTATATTTTTACACAATTATATTCCTCTTAGTATTCCTACTTAATATGTTTAATATTAATATCATTTTTAATTGTACTCTATGAAACTATTCTTTTATATTCAATTATGAATTATCCATAAATTAAAAGAACTATGATCATATGAAGATATTATTATTCATTTTATTATATATATATACATAATAAAGAAGAATATTGAAATACACATTTTTCTTTTTTAATTAATTATTCATAAATCAATCTATTTTATTAATGATCTCACATATCTAATAAATTATAAATATATAAATTAATATATATGTTTATTTCATAAATTATTATGTGAAGACATATCAATCGAATATAAAATTTATTCAAAAATTGTTACTTAATAAAGTTTATCTATTTATGATGAAATAAATCAATGATAACATTAAACTAAATCAAAAGTTATGATAACATTCTCTAATCATTTGATTCTATTTCTTTAATTTATTTTTACTTTAAGAATGATTTTAATTTTTAATTACGTAATGAATTTATCAATGAGAAAAGGACATACTCTACCAAAAATTAGGGGGTATTCTATTGATGTAAAAGGATCTTAATCAGCTAGGAAACATAGTAATATTAGCAAGTCTGTTATTTAATAAATTCACTATACTTAAATTTATGAAAAAAATATTGCCATATAAAAATAGTTAAGATTATTTCTATAAAATAGTGATCTATTTAAGCATAATTCAATTAAATTTTATGAAAGTTATGTGAAATTTAGAAATTAGATCTCATGATTTAATATGATTTATATTTGTTTATATGACAAGAATATTAGTTTGACTAATAATAATACATTTATTGGTTGATAAATTTAATCTATATCACTATTATAAGGCTTTTGTATTTGTGGGTTGTTTGTTTTTTGACTAAATTACAATTTAATTCCATTCTAATTAATTTTCAGGAATAAATTGAATTTAATTATTATTTTGTTAATTATAGCCCTCCATATACATGCAATAAAACTTTTTAATTTTTTTCATGTCAAGAATCCCATTTTTATTTTTATTCTATAATATTTCTTATGGTGACAAAGACAATTCTTATGTTTATGATAGGAGAGTTTTGGATAGACACTAAATGATAATTGAAATATTACTAAAGCCTGTAAAAAGTGAGCTTCATAATTAAAATAATCAAGCGAAAAAGCTTACTCAAAGCATTCTTTTGCATTTTCATAATTATTTTACAATATTAGGATTTGACCCTATTAATAATAATTTTGGTTTTTTACTTCTATTGTTAAATTAATTGAATCAAAGCATTTCTTCAATTCATTTGCCTCTAATTTCAGAGCCTCTTAATCCTTCTTTGCAAATAACAATTAGCCTATTTTAAATAATAAATAACAACTTCTTGTTATCTTATACAAGATGTTTTCTATATCAAATTCTATAGATTTTTCAATAGAATTTAAAGCATTTTTATAGTCCTTTATGTAAAATAATGCGAGACCTAAAATAAAATTTATTATTTGCTTTTCTGATAAAATATTCTTGGATCTGGTCTTATTTCTAACAATTTGTCACATTAATAAGCTGAAGCTAAATATTAACCATAAAAAAAGCAATCATCAGCATTTGAATACTCATCTATTTCATGAGTGAGGCGTACTAATATTAAAATACACATTTACATCGTTCTTTTTAATAGATATAATTATCTACATCTATTTCTAAAATTTTATCTAGAACCTTAAGAGCCTCTTTTTCATTTTAATCTTCTTATAAGAAAGTTTGATCTCAAAATATATTATAATTTACATTGTAGAATTAAATGATTGATATCTACTGCATTTTGTTGTACATTTTAAGAGCTCGAATTTTACAATTGCTAACTGTTTATTCGATCTTAATAATAGATATAATTTTTACTCATTTCCTATTTATATATTTCATTATTTTAATCTAGATCTATTATTTCCTATAAAACCTATTTTGCTTCATCTTTTTTATTCTCTTCAAGAAGTTTTACATCTTTTATATTATTTAGATAATAATACAATTAATAGATTTAAATGATATCAATGAACTTTTATTAAGTTATTTTTCAACAAGTTCTGTAACTCTTTCTGAAATTTCATGGTTTTTTAATGAATAAGATATTCTTAAAGCATTTATTAGGTTTGTTAATGTCTGATTTTCAGAGTCTTCAACCATCTATTTCAAATAAGTAATATCTTTATTAGTTATTTACCTAATAGCTGAAACCTTTTGAGTAATTTAATCTATGAAATTTAGTAATTTTTTATCCCTATCCGAAAGTAATTTTATAGCATCTTCAAAAACATTTTTCAATTCCCAAATTCTGGTTGTTTGATGCTTATGTTTTTCTTGTACACAAGTGTTACAACAGATCCTATCTTCAATATTGCATTCTGGATTCTTACAAAAAGCATCCATCACTAAACCATGTAAAGAACAATATAAATTAACATTGAATAATAATTCCATTTTAATTATATTATTCACTAATACTTTATCAAAAAAAAAATATTCTATCTCAAAATACTTTCAAAACAATAATCGAGATTAATTCATTCTGATTCGTAATAATATTCCTTATTCTTTAATATCTTTTATAGCTATCAAAGAACTAAATTTTATAATAAATTTCAAAAATATTAAAATCGATTTATATACCTAAATTTAAAATAATGATTAAAAGAAAAAATATAAGGCCTTTTACTTATTTTATAGAATTTTAGAGATTAAATATATCTATTGACAATAATATATATATAATTTAGAAAATAATGAATTGATAATAATATTTAATATCAAAAGAGAATTTTAATTAATATTTAATAAAATTATATAATATTATAAATCAAAATTATTTTAAAGAGTCAATTCTTGATTAACTTAATCAATGAATTGTTTCTACTTTTATAGGGCTTGATTGATTAATGATGTGAGGAACTTTAATCCACTCTAACCAATCTGCTTGTATTACAATACTATGAATTAGATTTTTCTGATTCAACAGTGCTATTTTCAGTAAAGGTTATTGATTAAAGAGTGTCTCTTTTTTCAGATTGTTTTTGTTACAATTCTTTCAATTGATTTTTAAGTTCAATGATCTATTTATCCTTGCGTAATTATAGAGCACTTTGGGTAATAAATAATTTTTGTTTAATTTCTTAAATCTCTCTTTTGATTTGGAAATTGGAATCTAACATTTCTGCATTTTCATCTTCAAGTTATTTACGCTTTTGTAATTGTTCTTGATTCTCTTTAATTAATTGATGATATTATTAGTTGAGTTACTTATTCAATTCAACTTGAGAGATGAGTTATATATATTACTCTTTTGTTACAATGAAATTTGCAGTTTCTATATTATTTTCTGGAATAGATGAATTGGAATTTATTTATTGAAATTCAGAGAAGCTAAATTCATGTGGTTATTCTGGTGGGGAATCAAGATTGGTTTAAGAGACAATTTTGGATTCATTTCCGAATTTAATCTCAGATTAAGAATTGTTAAAGAGTTCTGCTAATTGATGAGCTGACAAATAGATAGGGCTTAGAAATTAATTTTGCATAATATAAATTATATAAATGTGATGAATCAACTTATACTTCACACTATCAATTAAATGAATTTATCTGGTCTATGGAAACAAGCAGGTGATGAATTGATAAGATTGTAACTCATATAATGAGTTGAACGATCTTTCATCTTGTTTACTCTAAAGAAATTGGCATATATGGGTTATGTAAACATAGAAATGGGTAATTCGATATGAGCATTCCATGCAGTTGGTGTGACATATTCAGCAAAATAGGAGATCTCATCACATTATCTATAAGTGGTTATTAAATTAGAGCAACTTCCATTAGGATTGCCTATTGTTGCATAGAATAAAGCTCCATTTGGTGAGATTTCAATTTCTAAATATTCTGTCTTAGTTCCAATGAAAATTTCATCGACGTCATGTTGAAATAATGGATCATTACATTTTGTTAAAGGGGCATCAATGTATCTAAAATAAAAAGGAAATTCTACGAATCAACATTGAAAAAGTCAATGACTAGTTTATGATTCAGAGACTTGCAAATTGTGAAATAAGTGAATTCTACATTTTCTGTTGTAGCTTCGTTTTAATGAGCTAATTTGTATTATGTTGGTCCCCATTTGCAATTTTCAACAGTGATAGGATCAATTACAGCATTTGAAATGACAATGATGATAGCAAATATTAATATCATAAAATTTTATTAATAATATCATTTTTAAGACTGTCAATATTATTATTTTGTGAATAGCTTTTCTTATTGATGATTTTCAATAAAATTTTGATTTGTTTGGATACTTTGTTATGTGTCTTATATTATATTAGAAATTATAATTAAGATGAAAATTTATAAATTCTGAAAAATATGAAATATTAAATAAGTGCATTAATATTCATGTTAGTATTTATATAAATACTAATTTATTAGAATAATTTTGGTTTTTAATGAAATTTAAGAAATCATATCTATTCTGAAATTTTTAGTTAATACTCAAAAAAGTTCTATAAAAATAAAAAGTAGAAAATGTTATTACAAATTTTGAATTAAATAAATATTATAATAATATATTAATTATCAAAATTGGATTTAATGAATTTCAAATAACGTTGCTGTTGTTTAATATTTAATTCAGATAAAATCTTTTTGTATTTTATTGTTAAATTAAATAATAAATTTGACAATTTAATTTATCATAAGTACGATATATTTATACTCTTTGAACATTTTTCATAATATATATTCTAACTTCAAATATTTTTAATTTCTTTATTAGAATTTATAAGTATAGTATATATATATAAAGACAAAAATATAACTTTAATTTTAATATTTATTATATCAAATAATGGGTTGTTAGATATTTAGATCATCAGCAGTTATAGAGCCTAAATAATAAAAGAATAATAACTAAAATATAGAAATATAATAAAAGAATACTTAAATAATAAAATAAGAAACTAAAGTTGAAAATGAAACAACTATAAAATAATCTCAAACATCACTTCAACAAATATAGGTTCCCATTAAAACCAATATTAAAGAATAGATTATTTATCCATTGACGACTAGTAGTTTGAAGTCTTTTATCTAATTTGGAAAAGAACAAAGAAAAATTCATTTATAAACTAAGAATAAATACCTAAAAATTATTGTAGAAATCATTAACTAAATACAAATTAATTCCTTAAAGTTCTCAAATTTATAAGTAGAATATTATTTAAATTTTAGAGTATATGTTAAACTCAAAATATTAAAATAATGGATGCGATGTTTTTAAGAAATGATAGTGATGAAACTATATTGACATTGATTTTAAATTATATTGATGATTATGAGATAATCACCGAATTAATTATTAATCATAAATTACCAGAAAATAAGTATGAATTGCTTGATTTAGCTGTTTCTTTATTAAGAAAATTTAGACCTTAATCTTCATAAAATAATATACTTAAAAGTATAGAATTTATAGATAGTGTTAAATAATATGAATAATTTTAAAAAGTGTTTAATACTTTTGATGAACTAAAAATTTATAAAGTTTAAAATTCAATCATGTTTGCTTAAAATTGTATTTCATATTTCAATCATAAAAAATGGATACATTTACTTCTCTTAAGAAAAATAGCAAAAATATTTAAATAATAATTTGGGGGATTGTTTATACAATAATATAGAAAATGGAAATAAGAATTTGCTTTTAAATAATTAAAAATTCCAAAAGCAATTCCAAAAACTACTAGCACAGTTACAAATTTGATTAAAATTGAACTTGAAATATTAAATTATAATATATTTCATGAAGTAGCAATTAAAAAAAATTGGGAATTGTTTATTTAATATTCAAATCCATATTATCATCAGAAAAGTTTAGATTAAAGAACTCCATTTTGGATATTCATTTCAAAAGCTCCAATTTCAATTATTTTAGATTATATTCAATAATATCCAAATCAACTTTAATAAAACATTGAAATAATTACTTAATAAGGCTTAACATTAATTCATTGTTTATGTATGAATCTAAATTTATAATCAAGCGATTAAGAAACAATCATTAAATTAATTCAAATATTAGAATAAAATAAAATTATCATGACTCTTTTAAATATTTCTTATCACGATTAAATTCCTCTAGTGTATTATTTAGATACTTAAAATAAACATATATAATCAATAATGATTAATTTCTTAAGTTCTTCTTTAATTAAATAATTTGATTTTGAAAAATTAGAGATGGAATCTGATTAAATAGCTGATTAAATTCTAAATGGAAAACTATCATTAATAGAATCACCATCTTATTTTTAAAAATTATCAAAAAAACAATAAAAAATAATTAAAAAACAATGGCGTTTGAATATAGGTGAATAATTTAAATAATCAGACTAATATATTAATTTTACTTATTTTTATTAACATTATATTTAATTGGCGAAGTAGATTATCAAAAATAATTTATTTGATTAATTTCCTTGGGTCAATAATTATACTTATTATTCCAGTCACATCCCTTTTGATATTGGTAATATAAGTACTTCATTATTATATACTCTATTGACTCATAATAGATTTTAATAACTCACAATTTAGATAGAAAGTATATGTTAATCAATTTAATCACTATAATATTAACAGAAACAAAATTCTTAAGAATATTCAAACTTAGTCCAAAAGATATCTAAATTAGTATTCATTTATTAAGAATTATTTAATTATTCTGAATTCTAATAGTAACAATAATTGATATCAGATACTATATACAATTAAATTAAAAAGAATCCTGAAATTATTTTAAATAAGATTTATGGTTATTAAAAGGATGAATCATTGGCAGATAATATATTTATATAGTATATAATGAGAATTAAAGCTGATAAAGAATTATATAATTAGTTTGTTAATATTTTATTAGAAAGATTGGATAAAAATTTATTTAAAGGAAAAATTATTAAAATTAAGTTATAATTTTTAAATTATAATAATTTTGAAGTTTATAAAATATAATGTCTTAAAAAATTAATACAATAACAAGATTAATTAATTATTCCATTAGAAGTTTAAACTTTAAATATTATTTAGAATTCTATTGATAGTGATGAAAATTTTTAAAATTATTATGATTTTAAGAATATCATATAAGAAATAGCAGATAGAGATAATTAGTTTAACTTTTTTATAAATGGTATCACTGTTATTCTGAGTTCTAATTAAATAATACCAATACTTTTGGATAAGAATTCTAAATTACATTAATTATATAGAAAATCATTTTTTAATATTAAAAGTTTATGGTACACATCTCAGTTTATTAAATATAATATCTAATAAATAATTCCTTATATTTTAGATTAATAAAACACTATTGTTAACATATATAAATTAGAAAAAAATTAATTTGAATCGATATTTGATTGGTAATTGCAAGGAATGAAAGTTAAGTCTTATGTGCATATCTAAAAATTATCAGATTAATTGTCATTAAAAGAATAAGTCATATATAATTAAATAAAAAATAAATAAGAATTTTGGATCAATCTAATTATATATGATGAATTCAACTCTGAAGTAATAGAATATTTTAATAGAGATGAACATAAGCCTTAACTAATTATTCTTTAATAAATCCCTCTATCTGAAATTATCTCAAATAATTCTTATAAAAATTTACAATAAATGATTAATTTAAAAAATATTAGCTAATTTGAATTGGTCCAAATTTTGGCTGAATAATTCTTTATTAGGCAAAATTCTGTTGTATCTCACAAATCAATAAAAGAAAAGATTTCATTATTTAATTAATAATTGCGATAATTAATTGCATAAATAACAACAAATACTTTTGAAATAACTCATTTCAATATTTGTACTTTTGATAAATTTATAAACTACTTAGAAGTTGAAACTATCTCTTAATTTAATTAAAAGCTTCTATTTGATTTAATTAAAAACTCAAAAATTTAGAATTTAATTAATAAGTGTTTATTATTCTAACAAGTTAAATCGAAAGAGTATTATTTTTCTATAGAATGGTAGGAATAAATTTTAAAAATAATCTTGGATAATTGGAGAGATAATAAAGAGAATTTAGATTCATATTGTTATAATTATTTAAAATTATCACAATAGAGGTCTCCAGTAGTTGCCAAATGGATGCTAGAAAGATTAATTTCAAATGATTTAAATGATATGATATTTAAGACTAACCCTTTGTATTTTTACTCTATATTTCATCCAAAGGAAGTTTATGAATAGTTAGAGAAAGTTAATTTAAAATTTTGGATGAAAAGATTTTTATTTGGATATTTCATTAATTTAAATTAAAGTGTCTATCCTAATAAAAAGAAATTAATTTACAAAATGATTAATCTAATATCAATAAAAAAATCTTAATCTCAAAAATTATTTATATCCAATATTAAAAATTATCACTCTTTTTTTAATGATGATAGATTATTTACTTGGAATGCAAATGGAGTTAAAGAAATATATTAATAAGAAAAAAATAAATTGTTTTAGAAAAACTAATTTAAATATAAAAGTGAAGAACTTAAATATATAGATATTATGTATTATGAATATTATATGGTATTAAGTAAATAGGATTATTAAGGATTTATTGATACTATAGATTTAAATGAAGAAGAGTATTTAAAATAAATATAATATTTTATTCTATCTGGATTGAATGATAAACTTTAATTGATTTTTAATAAATTAAAATCAAATGAAAGTTTTGAAAAAATTTTAAATATATAAATATTTGCAAAAAAAAAATGTTTAGAACATGAATTTGGATTTCAGATGGATTTTGAATTCTAATTCTAAATTGAAGAATAGATTAAATTTCCTTTCAATTTTTCATTTTAGAAGTCAGAATGTAATTTTATGACTTTTAAATAAGATGTAGATTATTTTGGAACCTTTAAATATCTGAATGAAGAATTAAAAAAGAAAAAAATCTAACAATCTAATAAAATAAGTTAAATTAATGATCTACTTGATAGTTTAATATTCCCTCACACTAATAAAATATAAATGAATTAACAACTTATAAATATTTTAATACAGCTCTATTTAACTAAAAAATCAAATACTAAATATTAGTATAAGGAATAATAAAATAGAAGATTTAGTGAATTCTTAGCTGATAGATAAGATCTTTATATTAAGTTATTAGGGTCAAATATATAAGATTGTGAAGTCAAATTAAAAAAAGTTTATTATTTTACTGAATTTTAATGTGCTTTTTTTGAATAATTACTACTTTTATTGACATAGGATAAATATAAAGTAAAATATAATGAAAATGAAATTGCTAATCTAATTCTTAGAAATAATTTAAAAAATGAACAATTTAATAAGATAATATAAAATGGATCATTAAATATTAATAATATTAATTAAGTATGCAAATTTTATTTTAAGAAATGCAATTTATTAAAATGCATAACACTCAATTAATTATAAAATAATTACAAAGCAAAACTTAAATTCTTATAAAATTGTATTTCTATAGATAATTTTTAATTTGATAATTTACAAAATACTGAAATTGCATTTATTTTAAAAGCACATGAATTCTTTGATAATAAATTAATTTTTAATTAAAAATATTTGGTAGCATCATTATTAAGTAATAATCTTGATACTATAATTTTTGCTATGGAGTTACATGAAGATCCAGTAACTTTGGGATTTGAATAGAATATTTTTTAGATTTTAACAATATATTCAAATGAAAAGGATATAATTACTTATTATAATAAATTTGTTTACAAGAAAGTAACAGATAATAAACGTTTATTTTCATTGAATAATGTTCCTCTTCTTTATTATATAGCATTCAAAAGATATTAAAGAGTATTTTTTGATGTTTATCTTAAATAACTACAATTAAATTAGAATGAAAATTAAATTAATAATTTTATATCAGAATAATTATAATTGAATTGTTTTGAATCTAATGAAAAGATTTATTAATTAGCTTTGTAATAAAAATCATACTTTTTGTTAAATTATATGAAATCATTCATAAAATTAGAGGATATAGAAAATTACATTTATAATTATGATTTCAATATGTTGAATAGAATTAAAGAATATTCCATTTAATCTTAAATTATATAAGAATTCATCATAATATATTAAGAAACAGAGAAATTTCATAAATTCTTTCATATTTTAGAAAAGAAAGAGGGCTAGATAATGATAGATAATTAAAATAAGGCAAGAGAAGATTAAATTGATTTGTTAATAAAAAAGGAATAAGCAACTTTAATGAAATTATTTGGATTTAATTAAGAAATTCTACAATTTGTTGGAATACATCATGGTTTTAGTTTTTTAGTTTTTGAATTGGTGATTAATTAATTGAGCAATTATAAGGGTAATCCTTAGATTATCTAAGACTATATAAAGAGTATTCTTTCTTAAAACAAGACAATTAATAAAGATATAATTTATATGATTATTGAGTAAGTGTAAGAGACATAAATCTTAGATCATCCAGTTTTTCTATAAATAATTCAACTTTTTCCAACAGAATTATAGAATGCTTTGAAACCATAAAATTTTATTTTAGAAAATTCATTAACACTTGCTTTGAGTTAAAGATAATCTAAGTAATAAATTTTGGCTGATTTTATAAAAAAGTAACTTAAAGACTTGTCTGTGAATTAAGATGATGCATATGAGGATTATATAGATTCTAATATTTTATTAATGATGAGGTTTATAAATTAACCATCATTTAATGTAGATGAATATGAAACTTATTAGGATTAATTATCAAAAATTCCTGATTAAATGTTACTTTCTACTAAATCATTTTTGAATCAAAATAACTCTTATTAAAAGAAAGAAATAACTTAAAATACTCGTGATTTCTTAATTCAATTATTATCTAAACGTATAATACTTTCAAAATAATCATAATTATGGAATATTATTTCAAATAGTAATAATTATATACCAGCTTTTTCAGAAATGTTGTATATTAGAAAAATTGAAAAATTATGTGAATAATTAATGAATTATTTAAATTATTTAAATTTAATTGAAGATGATAATTAGTTAAAGTTTATTATTTAATTTGAAAATGTACAAATGTGTTACGATGGTAATTAGATAATAATCCCATTAGAATATAATAAAGATGAACTTTATTTTAATGAAGAAAAATATCATAAATTAATTGAATAATTAAAATAATTAATATTAGAAAAGAACATCAAAGAGAACATTGAAACTATACTTAAGTTAAAGGATTATTCTTAAAATAATATAATTGGAGAACTTGAAGGTAATTATTCAATTGATGATTTGGAAGCCCCACATTTAGGTTAATAAAATACTATGTAAAGATAGATAACATAATTGGAAAAATAATAAACGATTTTTGAAAAATAATAAACAATTTTTAAAAAAAAATCAACTGTTTTTGAAAAAAAATAAACAGAGAATCCAAATTAAAAACCAATTAAATAAGAAGATATTTAATTTATGAAATAAAATTATGATTTTATGCTTGAATTAGTCAATAATAATAATTATAAAGTCAGAGATCAAATGATTAATAAAAGTTAAATAATATTTATGGAGTATTATCATTTTTTAAATCCAAAAGAATAAATAGTATAATTAGAATAATGTACAGAATCTGAATTTATTAAAAAATATAATGGTAGAGAATCCATCTCTTTTGTTATATCCTAATTTTATTAATATCATGAAAATCTCAAAAAAGCTATATCAAATGAAGATTACAAATAATGGCAAATTAATTTCCCTTATTATATAAAGGATGATAAATTCTATTGTGAAAAATCTCTTTTTTCTACATATACAATTTAAGTAGTATTTTAAAAACTACATCAGTTTCATGAAAATGTTAAATAATATGCTACAAATCTAGGTGATGTTGAGAAAATATAATGGAGAATTAGTGCAATCTCCACTCTAGAAGTCTTAGTAAGCAATATGATTGATTTTAATATGTATGATAACAAATCAGTAGATATTCTATCTCTTTTAGATTCTATTTTAAATTGGAGTTCTTTAAAAATGATACTCATTTAAGTTTTATATTGTAATATGCTTAAATACCAAAATATTTTATAAGTTTTAAGGAGAGTTTATGTAGAATTTAATGAGATCTAAGAAATACCATTTGAAAATATGTATTAAGAAAGAGGTTTAGATTAATATTTTAGATTTGGTTAAACTCATTATTTCTTACAATAACAAACTTTGATTGTTAGATTGAATATTATGAATATCAAAAAGCAGTATCAATTAAAACCATATGTAGCAATTAATCAATATAATTAAAGTTATAATTTTTTGAAATAATAAGAAATAGACTATTATTATTGTAATATTATCAATGAAGAAGATTTATTGTTTTAGATCTTTAATTCAAAATAAATAATATAATATTTATTTAGCAAATTAGATGTTGATCGTAAACTCTAATAGATCTCATAGAATTTAAGTAAAATGCTTAATAAAGATGTTATCATATCAGTTAATCATCAATCTTTATTAGATATATTGTAATAGGAAATTAAATAGATTAGAATACTATAAGATAGAAAGTAGTAATTAAGGATGTAAAATTAAATTAAAGAACTTCTAATTAAATTATCTGAATTCATTTTATATTAATCTGAAGAATTATTAATTGAATAACTTTAAAGTCATACATTTGAATATTAATTTTAAACAAAACTTTCTTCTTTACTTCATTCATTAAGATAAGGTTTCAATCGTTCATAAGATGAAATGCCTAATCATCGTAAAATTGTAGCTGTATAAAAAGCAAAAGTCATAACAAAAATTAGATATCCTAATAGAAATTGTGATAAACTTATTAGTTTATATTTTGGATTTCAATTAAAGACTAATTATTATATATCTAAAAATAAAATTGGAGATCTTTTATTAGTGATTTATAATAATGAATACAAAAATCCAAATACAATGCTTTGTTAATTAGTTGATAATAGTAGATAAGGTAAACTTGTATTTTATTAATTTGATGAATCATCAGTATCAACTTTATCATAAGAATAACTAGAATAATATTGTGGTATGTCAAATAAGATGAGGAAGAATTAAAGTGAAGATGATGAAATAGAAGTTATTGATAATGAAAATATTATAGCTGTGATATTATTTGAAAAAGGATGGCCAGAAGATTCAGATTTTATTAACAATTTAATAAATTTATATATTACTGATTAAAATGGTAATTTATATTTTATTCATGAATAACGTTTGGCTAAAAAGATGATTTAAATTTAAGAATCAGATAGTGAAACAATTAAATAATAATTATTAGATACTGCATTTGGTAAAAATAAAGTACTAACTTATAGTACATTTACAGTATCTGAAATTATTCCAATATTTCCAAATTAAATAATTTATGAATTTGAATCTGGAAAATTTAAATAATCTAAATAAGATGTTTAAAATAGTTAGAAAATGATAATTAAAATTAATGATATAGATTTTTAAATAGATAAATTGAAATTAGATTTATTAAATATAGCATGTTATTTTGATTCAAATGATATTGCTTAATATCACATTAAATAATTAACTCAATTTAAAGAATCTCATAATGAATTATCTAAAATATAAATAATAATCAAATTTAGTGATGATTTGAATTCAAATCCATCCTATTATTTAGATAATATAATGTAATCATAAATAGCATTTTTAGAATTTTAATAAGGTTATGAGACTTTTTTTTTGGATAAATATATGCCATAAATAGAAAATGCTCTTAGTTTTATGTTTGATATAAATCAAGCTTAGATCAAGAAAAACTTATTAATAAATCTCTTTAAAATAATTGAATTTACTTTCGATATAACAACTGCGAATAACAATTAACTTATTTCTTATGAAAAAGGAATCTTTAAATTAAAAACATTTTTAATAGAATAAAAAAATAAAAAATTAGATATTGAAGTTCCTTCAGCAAATAAAATTTCAGAATTTCTTAATCAATTAATTATCAATTTTACTTAATATAATTTTAGTGATCTAATAATTGAAAAAACAAAATTTGATATATCTATAGATTAAAATTATGAAAAAGAATTTGAATAAGAAATCTTAACATTAATTCTAATAATAAAATATCTACATAAATTGATAGCAATCAAAAATGATAAAAAAATTATATTTAAAATTTCCAAATAAAATGCAAAATCAATTTCTTTTTATTAATTTTCAAAGGATAGAAATGAAGTGTAATTATTTTATGATAGATTTTAAGATTTTCGTTTATAAGATTTTTTATTAGATTATTTAAATAACTATACAAACTAATATACAATTAGTTATACTGAATTAGATAAAAAAATATTAAGTAAAAATTAATTGATGATTTAATCAATGATTTTAGGTATTGATGATATAATGAAAAAAGAAAAAAATCAATTTTAATAATATGAATTAAATATACATTATGGAGAATAAAAAATAAAGAAATTAGAAGGTAGATTAGATCCAAGAGATTTTGAAACAGCTTTTATAATATTGAAAGGTTAATTATATTAAAAAGTTGTATGTATTAAGAGTTGTTAAAAATACTCTCCATTAATTTAATATTTTAAATAGAATTCTTTAGATTAGAAATGTGGATTTCCATTATATGTGTTAATTAATGGATTATAAGAATATTTATCTTTAGATGAATAATTATCAAAAATAAAAATAATAACTAAAAATAATGTTGAAAAACCACTTACTTTTTATAAAAATTATTCTAACTTTCTAAAAGCCAAAATCAAATTCATTACATCAAATATTATATTCATTGAATTTAATTGTTCTAAACCACTTGAATTTATTATTAAATCTAATTAATATTAAGTAGCTTGTATAAAATAGGATTTCAATTCTGAGATTAAAATTAAATTTCTACCTAAATAAGATTCATAAATGTATAAGTTTTATCATACTGGAATATGGTTTTAAAATGAATTCAAATAAGTTAAAAAAGAAGAGAAATAATAAATAGCTAAAGAAAATTTATCAAACTATAGTAAATTTCTCAAAATAATAATGAAGTCTTTATAAAATAATGAAGATATGAATGTATAATAAAATCAATAAAATATTAATTTAAATTAGATACTTAATAATAATGTATTGAATATTTAAAGTTAATAATTAATAAATCAATCTACTAAAGTAGGATCAGAAAGATTAGATATAATTGAAATTAAAGATAATTTTGGTAATAAATCAACTAATTTTATACTTTAATCTATAATTTTAGTGCATTCTATTTATTAAAAAATATAGATAATTCCTAAATATAAATAAGAAGATATTGGATTAAAAGTATATTGGGAACCATAAATTAAAGGGATTTATTATTTATATATTAATAATTATAAAGTGGATAGTTATTTTGTAGTTTTGGCAAATTCAGTAGATATAGATTAATCAAAAGTAGATTTTCCAGAAAAACTAAAAAATATACCTTATTATTAAGAAATTACATTTTCTGTTTATTTGAGAGATAAATTACAGAATATTTATGGATCCTTAGAGAATAGTTTGGATATAGCTAAATTAGAAGTGACAAGTTCACATAAAAATTCTAATATTGAATAAAATTACACTAAATTAACTTTTGAAGGTAAAATAGAAGTAACACTTAAAATTCTCCCAATTGATGAAGACAATATTACAGAGAATGATGAAATAGAATTAGTTCTTAAAATAAATGATAAAGAAAAAATGAGTAATATATACTTATATTTATTTAGGAAAATTATTATTTTTAGAAGGTGTCTCATTTGAAAAAAGTATGTAAGATTTCTAAAAATCTATATTATATAGTGATGATGGTAAAAAGATTTATAAGGTTGAAAAAGATCTTTTAATAGCACGTTCAAATTTCTTAGGTAGTTTACTTAGATATTAAAATGATAAATTAAAAGGACCTCTGAAGATCAAATTTGCAAATGAAAAAGGAGAAGATTTAGGAGGTCCAAGAAAAGAATTTTATATATTAATAGGAAATGAATTGAAAGGAGAAAATTTAAAATCAGAGCAATATGGATATTTTAGTATGTTAACACCTGGATATTACTTTATAGATCCAAGATTTTTATTAATTCCTAAGAAAAGTGATTATGCATTAATTTTCGGAAAGGTATTTACAATTTATAAATATTTTTATAGTTTGTTGCAAATTCAATATTTAATAATCATTAAATAGGAATTTAATTTCAACCTTAATTTTGGAAAGTAATATTTTAAGAGAAAATACAATTTAAAGATCTTAATGGATTTTTAGATCCAATAACATATTAAAATTATGAAAGTATTCTTTAATATGATGACTAAACATTTGAATCATTATATTAGAATTTCAGTTATTAAAAGAAAAAAGAATAGATTCCATTAATTCCAGATGGATAGAATATAATGGTTAGTAAAGAGAACTGTTAAATATATTTAGATAAAATAGCAGAATATTTGATTCAGACTTAATATTAAGATATTTATAAACCATTTATTGAAGGATTCTCATCAGTTTTAGATATTTAGGTATTTAAATTAATATATTAAATTATAGAATTTAAAAAAGTATTTTAAACCTACTGATATGGGTCTTATTACTTTTGGAGTGTAAGATATCAAACCAGAATAATTGGTGAATATGATGAAATTTAAAGGAGGTTAAGATTATCATATTTCATTCTTTAATAATTATGTTAATTCATTGAGTAGTAAAAAACTTAAGGAATTATTATAATATATTACAGGGACTCCAACATTGCCTTCAAATACTAAATTTTCAATTCAAGTGGAATTCAAATCTGAACTTAAAGAAACATAAATACCAACAACTAGAACTTGTTTTAATACAATTGAATTACCACTTTATAAAACTTATGCAGAAATGAAATAAAAATTAGATATTGCAATCAGTTATGGTTTACTAGGATTTGGAATATACTGAATTCTAATTTAAATTATAGATCATTAGATATATTATTTAAAATTAATGTTTTTTACATTTATAAATAATACATTATATTATTATAGTTGATTACGCAATTAGTGGTGATTATTTTTAGATTAATAAATAAGGTAATTTGTGAAAAATTATCAGATTATTATAATTATGAGTAATCATCAATCAGAAGCTGATTAAAAGAAAGTGAAATCAATTTCTGATCATTCTTTAGTGAAATCTCATTCATAATCAATAAAAGATATAGAATTATCAGTTTATAGATGGGCAATTTTGCTATTGTACTATTTAGTTGTATTGGTGAATGGAGTGCCATATGAAATTTGTGTACCTATAAGTTCATTTATGGCTGAAATATATAATGTATCCCTAGCAGTAGTTGCAACAGCCTCAACTGTATTTATGGTTATGCATCCTATATTGTCATTTGTTGCAGCTTAAAGTATAAAGAGTAAATCATGTTAGCAATTTCAAATTATGGATGGGCATCTGCTACTAATTTAGGAGTAATACTAACAATTCTTGGATGTGCTATTAAGTTATTGATAAATCAAGCAGGGTAAGGAATATAGATGATATCAATAGATTTACAGTTTTAATAATTGGTTAAGTTCTATGTGGAATAGGAAGACCTTTTATTTTAAATTCATAGGCATCTATGGCAATGAGTTGGTTCCATCCTAAGACTAGAATTATGATCATAACACTATTGAATGTTGTTAATACTTTATCTTTGGTTGTTTCTGCTTAATTACCTGGAATCATTTTTAAAGGGTATAAATTAAATGACGACACAGAATATGAAGATGGAAAAGAGAAAATGTAAAGTTTATGCTTACTTGAATTTTATGTAAGTTTGGCAATTGTGCCTAGTTTATTTTTATTGAGAAGTAGACCAAGTTAAGTACCTGTAAAAATAAATAAAATTGAAAGAAAAAGTGGAATGTTGAAAATAATGTTGAGATTATTTAAGAATAGAAATTTTGTTTTATTATTCATACCATTTAGTTTATACTTTGGTATATTAAAAGCATATTTGGTAATTATGGAATTATTAATGGCTCCATATAAATATGAGACTGATTAAGTAGCTGGTGTTGGTATAATAATAATATTTAATAATAAGTTTCATTTCCTTTAATTGGTGGATTGATAGCTTAAGGAGCATTACCATATTTTGTAAACAAGTATCAAATATAGAAACCATTTGTTCGTTTCTTTTTGTTATTTTCAACTTTATCAATGGCATCATTATATTTTGCATTAAAATCCAGCAATGTTGTCTATATGTATATAGTAATAACTCTATTGGCTATGTGTGTAATGCCTATATTACCTGTGATTATGGATATGGGATGTGATTTAATATCTCCAATTGAACCATCATTTGCAGTTGGTGCCTTTTATATGGGAAGTATGTTATTTTTTGTTGCTTTTACTTATATTTTAACATTCATAACTGGGAAGAACAAAGAAGATACAAGAGTATTATATACAAACATTTTTTCAACTATTATGCTTATAATTGGATTTATATGTAGTCTATTTATAAAAATTGATGATTAATATTATGAATTAAATGTAGAATAGGATAAAGGTTCTTTAGTACATCCTTTAGAGAAGAGTTAATCTATTCAGAAAGGAAAAGGTCCATCTGTTTATAGAGGGACTTAATCAAAGATGAGTGTATAATATTAGAAGGGATCCATGTTCAGTGTACAGTATCAAAGTATCTTTAGTGCTCATATAACAATATCAGCATAGTTGGTGATGTGCCATTAATTCCAGGAGAAGAAGCAGAGGATCCTATAGATTAAGAATAATAAGAATGAGTAATAAATTATATATATCATTGTATTTGGATTTATGATTAAATTTAAAATAACGAGAAAATTGAAATAATATAATTAACACTAATATTATCATTTATTCAATTGTTTCTTCTTTAACTATTTAAGAAAATTAAGTGCTTAAGTACTCAATTATTCATTTAATTCAGTCTTTTGAATCTATTTACCTATAGATGATGTTTGCATTCTCTATGTAGATCTAAACAAAGATCTAGTTTATGATTGTACTCTACCAGATCTAAGTCTTTTGATAAGATTGTTAAGTGCTTCTGGATTGTAGACTAATTTCTTTTGTTTCATTTCTGTATCAGAATTGTGAGGTGAGATGAAATACACATGTCTAGGTTTAGGTGGTTGTAATATATCTAAAATTTAATCATATAAATGAGACACACGAATTAAATCTTGAGTGTCAAATTTGGAGTTTTCTAAAAGAGTACAACATTATTTAGCTTTTTCCCATAATTCATTTGGAGGAACTTAAGTTTTTTCTTAATCATCAATAGTCTTAGCATTTTCATAAATTATTTCACTTTCAGCAATATGTTTACTAACATTTGTCATATTAGTGATAGAGACTATTTCAAATGGCATAGGTTTTATCTGAATCTGTCCAAAAAATGAATTTATTAATCTATTCTTAACTTTGTAATGTGTAGGATATATTCTCTTTTCTACTCTATGACATAGGAATTAATATGAGTAATCAGATGTAAAATACTAACATTAATCTAACATTTATATAAATTGATATTATTTATTTAACATTACTATATTTCATTATTAATTATATAAACAGTATGCATCACCTTTATTCCTTTTAGTTTACGATTAAAGTTTATTTCTAGATCTTTTATTCTTCTAATAAACTATAAGTGCTAAGAGAGCCAACAAAAATAAAACACAGAATAATATAGTCAATAATATCCAATATCTAATATAAAATAATTAAATAATTACAAATTAGTAGGTACGATTGCACTCATATGAATATTTAAAATTATAGAGGCTTAAGTAAGTTAATTAAGAGCAGTCAGAGTAATAGGTTATTCGGTGGCATTACCAAGAAAAGAGAGAGTAGCAAATTCATCAACCACATAAAGATTCAATTTTTTATTATCTTTGTTCAATTGTAAAAGAGTTTAACCATTCTCATCACTATGAAGAGAGAAAAACTAATTTGGATAAGACTTTGCTATATCTACTCCTGCCATCATTAATGTAGGTTATTCTTTTTAACCTAATTTATAAATACAAATAGTATAATAATTAGTTTAATAAGCTAAGGCCAAATAATCTTTCTCTAAAGAAGCTTCATAATATACATCGAAATCAGAATATCTTTGTATCATTTCATCTATATATAATTTTTAATAGATATTGTCTTCGAAATACAATACTAATGATAAATGAGCTATTGAATTTGTTAAGAGAATCATTTTAAATATCTGAAAATTATTTTATGGATTTCCATTTCTTATCACTTTAAGATATCTTACTTCATCATCAATATTCAATCCCATCATTTATTCAATAGGTAATCTTAAAGACACTCTATATAATGTATCATCTGCTGAAATACATTTGATTGAACTATCAATATAATGGAAATCTTAAATAAATAATCCTTATGATAAATCACTCAAGAATACTCTATATTTATTATTAATCTTATAAGTAATGAAACTAGATGCATAAAATTCACTATGTTTTCTTGAATCTACACAAGGTGTATAGGTATATGATACAGATTTTGGTGGTGTATATTCATAATGGTAAGCACAAATTCTAGATGTATAATACATATATCCACCAATTATTTGATATCCATCCAAAATTAAAAAATTACCATCATCCAACAATTCTAATTATAATAATTAATAACTAAGTTTAATTTAAAATGGTTCTCCAATTAATTAATATTATTTATCTTAATATTTAATCATTTAAACAAAACCAGCATATGTATTAGTCTAACCTGTTATTAATATTGTATCATTTTTACACCATATCTTATTTATTGTATATTAATTATCTAAACTGAAATAGAATGTTGGATGTTTTACATAATGCATTGAATCTAAAAATATTAATTGATTTGCTGTCAAAAATACAAAATAATCATCATCTAATTAACATTAATCTAATAAAGCAGAAAAATATTCAAGACTCTATATTAAATCAATTTTTTAAGTAAGCATGATTTAATCTTAACATTATTAACATTCTGCTTAATACTTTATAATTTATCCTTTAAACCATCCATTTGATATTTTCATTGCTGCCTAAGTGACCAATAAACTTTCATTACTTACTAATGCAGCTATATTAGTCATTAAATTCAAAAAAGTTACATTCTATCTAAATTCTATTTATTCTGGTGAATCTATTGAATCATAATGAATTAATATTTCTTTCTTATGAATATATTCATCATTCCATTATGATGATATCACTGCTTAAAAATTCTTATAAATTAATAAATTCTTTATTCCAAATTTTGAACTTGCATGTATCAATAAACCATAATAATATACTTTTGTTATTCCTAATCTTAAAGAATCCTTTAAATACCAACCTAAAGGAATATGAGTTAATAATGATTCTCTTAAATTTGCATCTGGTTAATAAACTAATAAAACTGTTTATTATAGAACTGGAGTATAGGCTCTAACTATTATTTATTCTAAGGATGACATCATTTATAATGGAGTTTAAAGAATATAATGAAATAGTGGAATTTTCTTTAAAAAAGATACTGATCTTCTTCTCATACTATATTCTCTAAGTTCTTATTGATGACCAAAATGTAATGCTACAAAGAATGAATAACTTGCTAAACTAACCTCTATTTATCTACATTCTGGAAAATATAAGTAAGTTACCATATTAAATCTATCATACAGAAATCCTGCAATCAAAGATTCTTAATTTGCTATAATTATCAAATTTTATTTTTTATCTATTCTTACAAATTTAGGTTTTAATTCATAAGGTTATACATCTTATGATGTAATTATGTAAATTAATTATTAATCAAATAATGAATATATTTATATTTCTCCTTTTTTTTCTAATACAACATATATATATTATTCAGTCATACAAAATGAATTTATTAATGAATTTTCATCTTTCAAACTTGTTGAAATCATAAATAATTTAGTAACTATTGATTATTTTAATTAGAATATCTCAATTGTATGTCTGAATTTAGAAATATATCCAAATATTACAACTTCTTTCTCTATCCATTAAAAAGAATCATTATCTAATTCTCTATTTGGACTAAAATCATGAACTTTTTAACAGAATAATTCATAATTGATTATAGATACACGACATTGATATAAAGTAGCTTTCAAGGTTTACAATTAAATGACATAATAAGTATAAATACCACTATAAAACATACTTATATATAACATATTTTCAGGCCATATAATACCATTAATTTTCATATCCTCTAAATATCCTAATTTTAATGATATGCTTTAATCATTTAGATATATTTTAGCATTAATATTAGATCCAGTTACTCCTAATTCCTTGAAAATAGAAACCTATGGATATGTAGGATAATTGACAAATGGTTTTATCTAATTCTTCACATTAGTCTTTTAATATAAATTATTATCTAAATAATCATATATTATATAATTAAATGTAATAGCACATTATGATTCTTCTGTACCAATCACTTATAATCTTTAAAATTCATTTGAAGGTTAAGTGAAAGGTTTCATTATTAACATTGCTGAAGATACATAATAACTTTATTGAATATTTTGAGTTACTAAATATATTATTGATTATTAATAATTGAAATCTAATAAAATAGGTGTTTCAAATTATATTGAATACATTCTTACCATATTTGAAATTGAATATATACTAATATTTGTAGTATTATATAAAGTAAAGTATTTTTATTCACTATTTACTCTAAGACCAGCTATACGATATTGAGTAAAATTGATAAGTCCATTAAACCAATAAAAATAATCTATTCCCTCTGGTGATAACACAAAGATTGAATTCTGAATTGTAGTTACTACAATTTAATAACTTAAATCTTCAAACATCAAACTCATTGCATAATATGAAGAATAATAAGAATAATTATGATGATAAACTAATTTAAATTTATCTAAATTTATGTTCTCCAATATGATTACACCAAATGATTTATCTAAAACAACTACTTAATTTAGAATTGCTAATTTTGCATCAATTATTTCAAATGATTTACTTGCTAAAGGTAACAAAGACGTTAATACTGTTGTATTTATGACAACATTAAAGTCATAAAAAGAACCATCATAATAATAAATTTATACATCATTCTTTGTTAGAATCAAGATCTTTTCATCTTATATATCAATATCTAAAATTAAACTATCAACTTAGTAATAATTCTATTGTTTAGCAATCCAAAATCTTTTCCCATATGCCAATAATACAGCATCCTTTTAAATCACTCTAATAAAAGAACATGGTTAATCTGTCTCAAAATAAATTATCTCTATTGATGGGTATCTTATTTAATACATGGACTCATTCTTTATTAAAATTGCTTTATAACTTGTATCAAATCCTTACTTCTTCATTGAATGAATGTCTAATAATGTAACATCACCTATAATTGATATAAGTTTATCTACTTAAATCAATATGAGTAGCATCCATAGGTTAAAGTATTTGAAAAAGTTCAAAATTTTCCTCATCACCATTTAATGAAAAGGTCAGATCTTATCCAAAAAAGTATTTGTTCAAATCCCATTCCTTTCGTTCATAGGTTGAAGCATATATCGTTAAATTGTTTTCTCCTCAATTAATATATATTCATACAGCAATACAAAGTATATGATGGAATGAACAATATAAATAATAGCATTTATATAATATATATATTTTTAATTCATTTCTTAATTGAACAAGATTTAACTTTTTCAGCAAATCTTAAACTTGCAAGGGTTTATTAAAAATCTTCAGATCTAGATGAAATATTCACCATCATCAATGTCTTAGAACTTCCTTCCATATATTTATATAACGAAAAAGTTAACTTACTATTTCTAAATGGAACATGTTGTTATTTAGTATATAAAGCATTAAATACATCTCCCAATGCACTTAATGATTTATTAATTGCTTTTGTTTCAGTAAATCTATCTCCTTCAGTTTTAGCTACATTAGCTCTCTCAGAACCAGCCAAATCAATTAAATTTAAAGTAGAATTGATTTGTTTATCACCCAAATGTCCTTATAAATTTAATTAAAATATAAAATGACTTCTAGATGATACTTCATTACTAAAAGTTTCTGCAACTTATCTATTCTTTTTAGCAGTATTAAAATGTTCTGCTACTTCAAATATATCTTTTACATCCAATAATTTAACTTCATCACATTTTTAATTTGTTATTAAATCTCTACTTTATTCATTATAAATCTCTTAAAATCCTACTCTAATATTTGTTTACCAACCAAGTTCCAACATACCTTATCTCTCTTTAAAGATTTACTCAACTGCCCTAGGTATTACACCTTTATTATGATCATCACCCTACATTGTATAAGTTTTACCTGAACCTGTTTATCCATAAGCAAAAATACACACATTATGACCATCAACAACATTTTGAACTAAATCTGAGAGTTCATTATAAATTTCTTATTAATCTGCATCTTAACTAAAAATGTGCTCAAAATTAAAACTGCTTTCCTTTTAACAATTAGTTGACTTTAAAAATCTCTCAGGAACTCGAAGTACTAATGTACATTCTCCATTTAATAATAACATATCTTCTTATGAATTTGGTCTAATACGACAATAAACACGTATATTGCCTTTGGCTTCTTATAATAGATTATTCCAATATCTCTTCTAATGTTCAGTGTCTTTGAGTTCTTATTATAATTGAATTTATTGTTGTTAACTCAATTTAAAATTATTCATTAGTTATTGCTTCAAGAATTTCTTTTATTCAAGTTCTTCTTTTGTTTATTATAATTCAATAAGCATTCTCTCTTTGGCCTTTTACATTTCAGCAATTTATAATCTTTATCTAGTTTGTTATTCAAATAATTCTTAGATAGATTACATTTGACTCTGTTATTAGTTTAATCGACTGGCATGGTATTCTAATTGATCCTATTGTTAATGAAACTACTAGATTGCTTATCTATCAGCTTCATCTAATTTAGACTAAAAATCAGATAAGCATTCGCGGGTAGTTTTTTGAATTATTTAAGTGAGAGGCTTGAATTCATCAAAACTTTTTTTGAATTCTCCTATTTCTTCACTTTGAACTGCAAGAATTCTATTTTTATGAGTGATTAATTCTATAAGTTTTTCTTCTATAACTTTTAAATGATATGCTCTAATATCTTTAAGTTCTTTTTCCATTTATAAATATAATAAAATGGATGACTTGAACACAATAGTGGAGCCAATAAATACTCTTTAAAAAATAACATTTGGAGAGAAGTTTGCTGAATATTAGGTATTAAGATGTAATCATCCTGGGTTTTTGCCATTGATAATATAAATAGAAGCATTAATTACAGGTGGATGTTAAATGTGGTTCAAAATGTACTTGCATTAAGAAATCTTGGTAGGACATTTAAGAGACTTTTTAAGAAAGATGTTACAAAATAGATTTGCAAACATTGCACAATATAAGGACAACATTGCACTTGTAGTTAGTGATTTCATAATTATCAAATGTATGGAATATCTATAACTTATTAAAAGTCGATGTACCTTTAAATGAAATATATTAAAAGAAGGCAGAAAAAGATGGTTGGTTATATATTACAATTGCATATGATTACTAAAAATGACATTATACATACTAATAATTATATGAATTAAGACATTTATATCAAAAAACAATGGTTCATAAAAAGTCGAGAAGGGAAGGTCGAAGATTATTATATTTTAGACAATAAAGTTTAATTACAATATCATCTATTTAGGAACTCTCTTCTGGTTCATTTGGAAAGGTCTATTAAGCCAAACCTAAACTCTTGAAAAATGATCCAATGAGAGCTGTAAAAGTGATACCAAAAAGACTAATTGAAAATAAGGATAGATTCCTTTAAGAAGTAGAAATTCTTAGAAATCTTGATCATCCAAATATTATCAAACTATATGAAACTTTTGAAGATGTTCGGAATATTTATTTAGTCATGGAGTATATTTGTTGATTTTAAATTATTTAGACTTTGTACTGGTGGTGAATTATTCGATTAAATTGTTACTCATGGTTAATTAAGTGAAAAGGATGCACAATAAGTGTTCATATAAATAATGAGAGCCATTTCTTATTGTCATAGTAAAGGTATTGCTCATAGAGATTTAAAACCTGAAAATTTCATATATTATGATGATAAACCAGGAAGTTTATTGAAAGTAATTGATTTTGGATTATCTCGTGTATTCAGATAATCAGGTTAATAAGAGAAATAAATGATGAAGAGTAGAACTGGCTCAGTAATCATTAAATTTTATAATAGGTTTATTATATAAGTCCAGAAGTTTTGGATGGTTAATATGATGAATTATGTGATATATGGTCAGCTGGAGTCATTCTCTATATTTTACTTACAGGAATCCCACCTTTTAATGGAAATAGTGATGGAGAAATTGTTAAATAAATTAAAGCAGGAAAATTGAATTTAAATTTATCTGAATTATAGGTTGTTTCTGAAAGTGCTAAAGATCTTATTTAGAAAATGATTTGTAAACATTCTTAAAGATTAAATTCTCAATAAGTATTATAGCATGAATGGTTACAAAATCTAAATTAAAATGATTCTAAATTAAGTCTTAATTTTGATTCATTAAAGTAATTCACTTAACAAAGTAAATTAAAAAAAGTATAAAATAATTATTAATTTTATAGATTGTGCTTGCTTAAATTGCATCTTAAGTAAGTTTAAATGAAATTGGAGAACTTAGTAAATTATTTTAAACTTTAGATAAAGATGGTAATGGATAATTGAGTTTTGAAGAATTTAAGAATGGATTTAAAGAAAAGAAAAATGATCTATTGCAATATTTTGAAGCTATTGATACTGATTCATCAGGATCAATTGATTATAATGGTTTTTATAATTGATTTTTTATTACTATAGAATTCATAGCAGCCATGATGGAGAGGACATTCTATTTAAAATAAGATAAATTATTATAAGCCTTTTAAACATTTGATTTAGATAATGATGGAAAAATAACTGCATTAGAATTAAAAAAAGTGCTTGGAGGTAATAAATATATAAATATTATTAATATATAGATAATGATTATTATAATAAGATTGATTCTAAATTTTGGGAATCCTTAGTGAAAGATGGAGATTTTGATGAAGATGGTAAAATTGACTATTTAGAATTTGTTGAAATGATGAGTGATTTATGAAATATTTATTATATCCATAAATTATAATAATATTCATAAAATTTATATATAATATTATATCAACACCAAGAATCTAAGGTTCAATTGACTTTGGATTAAATTTATAACAAAATGATTATTATGAATAATAACATCAATCAATCTTTGAGATGATACCTAAACAGATATATACTATTAAGACATAATATAATAAGAATTCTAATTCTCATTGTTATACTACTATGATAATCTTAATAAGATGTTAAATTTATATCTTGAAAAAACAATTGAAGTTATGGATACATTAAATTATATTTATTTTCAGAGTATCCATTACCTCAAACCAAGACTTAATGTAAACTTTTCCTCCCTTTGTTAGAAGTCAATAGAGATGATACTAGAAAAAGGCCAAAAAGTGATAATTAAACGCATATAATATTATGAATAAAATATAAAACTCATCCGATTAAATTTAACCTTACTCGTACTCCTCCATTAATAAGATAAGCAAATTTTTCTTTACTTGGTGTTATCCAATACTAAATGTAAGTTCTCATTTTAATTCGATATTAGAAAGGAAGAGTAAATCCATTATAATAAACCGATTTGTGTTTGATTGCAAAGGAGGATTCCTCCTATCATAGTTTTCTTAACTATCAGAACTAAATTGATTATGCAAAGAGAAGCAACAGCTCTCTTATTGGAGATATCGCAAGGGCATTTCAAAGTATTTATATGGCCTAAAGAGATTAGGATAAATGGTGATTACATTTATTGCGTACTTTATTGTAGCTATTTTATCTGCTATATAACCATATATTGCAAATATTGGATAGACATTCTTCATATATGACAAAGATGAAAAGAAACCTTCAGGAAGCAGTATGGGTTAGTTTGTTATTTTACAGTTAATATATATGCTTGCTATCACATTAATTAAGCCATATTAAATATTTGAACAAGTAAAAAATTATATATTCTAAGACTTTGCTTAGTGTTAAGATTCAGGGAGCCTTGTAGTATAGAGTAATGTAGAAATCACTAAGTTTTGCTATGTCTCTTTCAAAGAACTATTCTTTTGGAGAATTACTTACCATTCTATAAGTAGATATTATCTAAGCATCTAATTATTATATTTACTTGTTCAGTCTATGGACTTGTATTCCTCAATTGATAGTTGGAGGCATAATCTTTTACATTACTCTTGAAGAGAATAGTATAGTTCCTGCAATAGGAGCTGTTGTATAAGTATTTTTTGGATTGATTTTTGGTCATTATTATGGAGTGATTCAAAAAAAGTTTATGGAAGCCAAAGATTAACGTATTCAGTTGGTTGATGAATCACTTTTATATGCTAAATAGATTAAATTAAATTGTTTAGAAGATTTCTTTGAGAAGAGAGTAATATTACATATAATTTTATAGGTGTAAGAATAAAGGAAAATTGAATTGAAATATTTAAGATATTAGGTTTGGATGGTTATTGCTATTAAATTAGTGATGCTTATCATAATGGTTTTAAGTTGGGAGATAGCATTTATAGTAGCAAAAAAAATTAATTTTTCAATCATCAGTACAATGATACAAAATTATACTAGTATTGTTATGACTTTGGATTCATTACCAAGTATTAAAATTTTGAAAATCAATTTTAGCTCTATTTAAGAATTATTAGATGTCTTTGAATTCAATGAATAGAATTGAAAAATTCTTTAAGGATAAAGATATTTAAATTCATAAATAATAAAATGAAAATAGCATTGAATTTAATAATGTTAAAACAGGATGGAAAAAGTAATAGAATGAAGATACAATCTATGACTTAGATCAATCATAAACAGGAATGTTATAAAGATAAGAAGATAAGACTTAATTCATTGTTGAAATTAGTATGAAAGTTTTGCCAGGCTAATTTATTGCTATTGTTGGAAGTTCAGGAAGTGGAAAGTCTACTATTTTACGTTCATTATTGGGAGAAACTTATGTTGATACTGGAAATATATCATATCATGGATAAATTAGTGTTGCTTCATAAGAACCTTGGATTATTAATGATAGCATAAAGAATAATATTACATATATGGATCAATTTAATTAAGAGAAATATAAATAAGTCATTGAATGTTGTTGTTTACAATAAGACATAGATGGATTTAAATATAAAGATAATACCATACTGATTGAAAAGGGAGATAACTTATCAGGTGGATAATAAAAGAGAATAAATTTAGCTAGAGCAGTATATAAAGATGCTGATATCTATTTATTTGATGATCCATTAAGTGCTTTAGATATTAAGGTAAAATATGAAATTTAGTAAAAATGTTTTGAAGGGTATTTAAAAAACAAAACAAGAATTTTATTTACTAATTCTTTGGCTAATCTATAAAATTGTGATATGATCTATATTTTTGAGGATGGAAAGATGATTAATTCTGGGACTTTTGCTGAATTAAAGAATATTAAATAATCTTAAATTATAATAAAAACATAAGAAAATAGAGAGTTATTAGATAAGTAATTTGAAGAGAAAATATATTAAGCACCTTCTCATTAATTAGAAACACAAGCTACATTAATATAGGAAGAAGATAGAAAGTAAGGTAATGTAGAAACTAAAATAATGAAATAAATCTTTGAGTTTTAAGGCAAATGGTTAATGGTTATTATCATTATATTTTATATTGGTATAGTAACAACATGTTAATTGTATGGGAATCAAAAAATGGCTGATGATTCAATGTATATTAATAGTATATTATAAAAATAGACCAGATGATGAATACAAAGAACTTGCCATTATTTATTATCCTATAATACAAGTTCCAGTTGTTATTGCTAACATTATTATAATTTTATATTTTCTATTTAGAGGATTAAGCACATCTGAATAAATTCATGTAGATGTCATTAAAAGTTTGTTAAAAGCATCTTTTACTAAATTTTATAATACCATCTTAATTGGAAGATTGATAAATAGATTAGGTAAAGATATTACTAATATTGATTACATGTTTCCAAACGAAATTTACAATCTCATATTTAATATTATATCTCTTCTTTTGCCTTTGATAGCAAGCATAATTTATTTGAATCCAGTTGCATTACCAGTTTTGATTGTGTTTTTCATTATTTTGATAGTACTTACTATCATTTATTATAAATCACTAAGAGAAATAAGTAGAATGGAAGCTATTTCTAAAAGTCCAATTGTTTCATTTTATTAATAGATTTTACGTGGAATCCTTTTTGTGAGAAGTTGTTTACCACATTAAGAAGTTATTGATCGTCATTTGAAAAATGTAGATTTGGATTTAGGCAATCAAGTAAATTTGAATGGATTATAATAATGGTATTAATCTATAGCAGGTACTATTACTAATGTATTCTAAACTCTTCTTTTTATAGTTTGTGTAAGTGTTATTATTTAATTAAATTAGTTTTATGCAGAAGGTTCCACTCCTTTTATGACATACTTGATCTTGTTACAAATGTAGAGTGTATCTCTATTATTATTATTGGTGGCTGTTTCGTATGGTAACATCCTTATATATTGTATCTCTTTCGAAAGATGTTTACATTTAGCAAAGTATAGAAATTTTTTGAATTTTTTTAGTTAAATTCCTTTAGAGGAGGATGATTTAAGAGATTAAATTCAAGAGGAATAATATAAATCGAATCATTTGATAGAATTAGAGAATTGCAATTTTTAATATAGACCAAGAACCAAATAAGTTTTAAAATAATTATCATTATAAGTAGATTATGCTGAGAAAGTAAATAATATTTAGATAAAATTAGATTGGAATTGTTGGAAGAACTGGAGCAGGGAAAAGTTCAATAATTATGGCATTAACATATATGTTAGAATGTACTGATGGAAAATTTTTTATTGAAGGTCAAAGTGTTAAATAATTGAGATTATAGCAATTACGTTAAAAATTTAGTGTAATTCCATAAGAACCTCTTATTTTTATGGGAACTTTATAGCAAAATCTAGATCCTTTAAATTAATTTGATATTAAAGAGATTGAATCAGTTGCTTAAATTTGTTAATTGTTTAAATTAGATGCACTTAAAAAGAAAGAATTATAAAGTGAGATTTAAGTATTTGGATAGAATCTGAGTGTTGGTGAAAAACAATTAATCACGTTGGGTCGTTGTCTTTTAAACAAACGGAGTATTGTATTGGTTGATGAAGCAACTGCAAATATTGATAGTAAAACTGAAGAAATGATAAAAGATGTAAGAATATGATATATTATTTTTTAGATATTTGAAAAACATTTCACTCAATCTGCAATGATAATGATAGCACACAAAATAACAACAATTATGAATTGTGACAAAATTATAGTTCTATCAGATGGATGTGTCACTGAATGTGATACTCCTAATAACCTTTTACTCAATCCTAATAGTGAATTCAAGAAGATAGTTGATTTGATCAAATAGTCTGAACAACTATGATATATTCATATATTTTAATTTAATGATTGAAAAAGAGGATTCCACCTTTAGAATTTTTATAATCCTTCTAAATGCATTGTCCTTTACACTTACAATTCTTATTTTACTGTTTATTTGTAGAATAAAATAGCTTCATGAAAGACAAGGTCATACTATTCAAATTGTACTCATTTTAGAATGTATGTTCTCATTTTTCTTAATACTATCACAATTTTATTATGATGAATCAGACATCTATGAAACAACATTTTATGTGGAAAGTGAAGGTAAAGGTTGTTTAGCAATTGGCATACTAAATATATTTACATCATTTGCTTATTTTACTAATATCAACCTTTACTCTTTAGAATCCTTAGGCATATTGAGCTCGAAATTCACCAAGAATTACAAATTAAGACATTTGGCTGTTGTGTCAGGTTCCACTTTTTTTGCACTATTGGCTTTCTTATCCAATGCCATTGGATTCAATAAAATTGGCATGTGTTCCTTACTCCCTGGAAATCTATTTACAATATTCTTGTTTATATTAACTTCTGTTACCTTTATTATAATAGTTTGGACTTGTACATAAATTCATAGATTAAGAAAAGTGTTAGGCAAAGACTTGACTTCACGTATCTAAGACAAAAAGTATAAAGTCAATTTGATTTATATCATAACATTCTTGATCATTAGAATACTACCGGTATCATTCCCTTATAGATTATTTTAGGTATTAATTTTGACTATAATATCCCTTGCAGATAGTAATACAGAAACATATACTGTTGCTTTCTATGTTTTGGCTATACCTATGTCATTAGGAGGAGTGTGTTTGAGTTTAATTAGATCTCAAGAACCAACTATTTAAGATTATTTGACAAGGAAACTGCAAAAATAAAAATCTGGAATTGTCGAACTTTCTTTACCCAAAATGGAAGTTAGAGCCTTGAGTAACTCTATTTCGAATTTAAGTGCAGAATCTTAAATTATTAAAACTCATTATCTCTCTTATCTTCAAGGAACGACGAGAGACAATAGTGTAGCCTATCGAAAGACATGTTTGGACAATGAAGAATTGTAATAATTTAGAATTATTATAAGGGTTGCAAAACTAACATCTCAAATGGAAAATAATCAGATTAAGTTTAAACTCAATTAATTCCTCTTTATATTCAAAATAATTCGAGAAATGAATAATGGTTTTATTATACCAATTACAATTATGAATTTAACACATTATCATATGAAACATATGAGATAGAGGATCTTCTATTTTGATTGTGATTCTGATTTAAATGCCTCTTAAATTGTATGTACTAGTTATGCAGAATCTGTTTTCATATAAATAAGTTCAATCGATTAATTCATGACATCATTTGATGAAAAATTAAATAAAAATTTTGTTGAGCAATTGCACAACTCTAAATTGAAATTATAAACAAATAGCTTAACTACATACGATGGAGAAGTACTTATCTCCATTATTAATAATTAAGCCAAGAGATATTTAACAAGACATTTGTTGTCAGCTATTTACAATTTAAGTGTTTCTGCTTAAAGATCATTTATCCCCCCTTTGATAGGACTCTACTCAATTGTAAATGATGATGATTAGTACTCAATCCTCATCTAAAGAAACCTCCTCAATTCCATCGTATTAGAATAATAGGGCTTTAAAATATAAGGCTTATTTACCTATTAGGTTGGCTAAGTTGATGAAGAAATCAAGGGAGGAAGTGATACTTATAGCAAAATGAAGATGAATCCCAAAGTTAAACAAGAATTTCTTTATACTCTAAATTAAGACCTTATGATACTCAGAGATTAGTTTTTATGGGGCTATTCATTTTACGTGATCTATTTAGAAGCCGAAGAGGGAATCAATGTGCTTCCAAATATGTACAAGACTCGGAATGGATATGTTATTGCAAGTTTAGGAGGAATCTTAGATTAGTTCTGGATCTTTAATAATGAAACAATTGCCAATCCAGAACTTTATGCATCGTAATTAGCTTAACAAATTGATTTATTATTATGATAGCTTTTGCTTATTAATTATTTATAATCATTAATTCATCATATCAAGTAATTGATCATATTGATAGGCATCTAAATTGGCCAAATCTTATTCATTCAAGCCCAACTCAGATTGCAGTTATTTCAATTCTTTCTTTTCACTTTAATTCAAACTTTTATCTAAATTTAATAATAATCTATGATATTGGCTTTCAGTTAATTGTTTTGAATCATACTCTCCTGGTTTTTTCTTTTAGCTTACATTAAATTCTCCAATCAATTATTATTTGTATCCTTTCAATAAAGCTTACTATTTATATTCTTTAATAATTTATTGTTTATAATCAGATAAATATTATTATAATTATGCTTTTGGCATAACTAAGAAAGGTTTTTCTTTTTTTTAATTATTATTATTATTAATATTATTTTTATTATTATTATTATTATTATTATTATTATTATTATTATTATTATTATTATTATTATTATTATTATTATTATTATTATTATTATTATTATTATTATTATTATTATTATTATTATTATTATTATTATTATTATTATTATTATTATTATTATTATTATTATTATTATTATTATTATTATTATTATTATTATTATTATTATTATTATTATTATTATTATTATTATTATTATTATTATTATTATTATTATTATTATTATTATTATTATTATTATTATTATTATTATTATTATTATTATTATTATTATTATTATTATTATTATTATTATTATTATTATTATTATTATTATTATTATTATTATTATTATTATTATTATTATTATTATTATTATTATTATTATTATTATTATTATTATTATTATTATTATTATTATTATTATTATTATTATTATTATTATTATTATTATTATTATTATTATTATTATTATTATTATTATTATTATTATTATTATTATTATTATTATTATTATTATTATTATTATTATTATTATTATTATTATTATTATTATTATTATTATTATTATTATTATTATTATTATTATTATTATTATTATTATTATTATTATTATTATTATTATTATTATTATTTTTATTATTATTATTATTATTACCACTTAATTATCCTAAAACATCTTGTATTGATTTAGAATCATCTTATATTTATGATTAATGTCTCACTGTTGGTTTATCTTAATTACCAAACTGAAAACTCAAATTACTCAACAAAGAATTATCCTTTTATTATTATTATTATTATGCATAATTAGGTTATAAATTTCTTTAATTATTAAATTAAATTCCACTTTCTACTCCCCAATATTTTTCTACTCTACTTTTCTATTTATTTTACTTTTAGTCTTCTTATTTATCAATTCCACTTTTCGATATTACAACATCTTCAACTTAATTTAAACCATGAACAATTTAAAATGTTGTTTATTTTGGTTATTTATTGTTATCATCCCAAAGTTTCTCTGCTTTCAATCTAGCTTATTCTATTACAAAATCATCTAGAGTATCTTTCTCTACTCTTTCTTTTGGTTTCATATCATAAACAAGTATTTTGAAACCAGTATTTTAAGACATTTTGAGTAACACCCAACATATTTTAGCAGTAAAATAATCTTATTCCCCTAATTTATATTTAACATTATGTATCTTCTATTTAACACCTACATCCTATGGCCATTTCTGTTGAATCTTAATCAATTCTATTTCTTCCAATATGTAATAATAGAAATATTATGCTACATGATGACCACAATCACAATACAATTATATTTTTCTAGGAATTTCATTTCTCATATCTTCTTGAATCTAACCAATAAGTAATTCTCTTGAAGGATTCTTGGGAAATTTATAAGGTTGAAAAATCTGAGAAATCAAATATTATCCTAATTCGTATACTTCATCAAGAGTAGTACGAGCTATAGTTTCTTCAAGAAAATCAATCATTTTTAATCTCCTTGCTTCAATATCACAAATCAAAGCTATCCATCTCTCATCATAATATATTGCTATAATGACTTATTCATATTCAGTATAATTTGCTTTTGGTCCTTCTAAATTGTCAGAGAGAAAGAAGAATTCTGCTCTTTTAGAGAAACGATCATATGATATAACTTTAATACATAAAACACCTAATTTAAGTTTAGCTTGCATTTTCATTGTATTTTTTCTATCTTCAAGATAATCATGTAAATAATGCATAAATATTCCCATAACATTTATTGAAACTGCAACTTAATTCTTAAATTATGCAAATTCTCCCCATTTGATTTATAAATTGTATCGTCTCAATAAGATGTCACTATCATGATGTCTCTCATCTCCCCTATCCTCTTATTCTAATAATTCTGCATATTCCTACACATCAAATTCATGCAATAATGGCAACTCAAATTTAAGTATTTCATCAGGTTAATCAATAAAATCATCATCATTCTATTTCACATCATATTCCTCTACATTTTTACGATACATTCTTTTTAAATACTCTGGAAGTACAGCTTCCCATGAACCATCTTTGAAGATGGCTGCTTTTTAACATTATATACTGAATTTATTATAAGTGTTCCATATAACATCAATAATCTTCCTTAAATCTTCATCCATATAAAAACCCTATAAATCAATCATCTTTCTACAAGTATGACACATAAAATTTGCATAACTTGAATAATTTGATTTCTCATATCTCTCATACAGTTCATCAATATCATAAATGCAAGTCGGTTTTAAACATTAAGTATTTCTCATTGGAATTATTTACTTACGACCACTAAATTCTGTGAAGATTAGAGTTTCTATATAATTAAGGGTTCGATCATAAAAAAAGAATCTCTTCAACATCCCCTTTTTGGCTCTTGCAAAAAACTTTGTATTAAATTCTTCTTACTTTTATTTTTATAGCATTAATTAATACATCTCAAAAATTACATATATAACAATTAAAATATATCAATACTAAACCAATTACAATTATTCATTCTTTTTATTCTATTTCTCTTATTATTAGGCTAACAATTGTTGAATAAAGTTTAAAGGTAGTAAATAAATACCAAATTTTGAAAAAGATGTATAATAAATTAAATGCAAAAAGTAATAACATAAATAAATGATTGTGAAAATCTTACATTAGATAATACTTAATTCTATAGAATTATTTGTAAATACTTAAAAATAAATATTATTATAATAGACTTTGAAATAAGTACTTTTCATCTAATTAAATTTATATAACAAATAGTTCTACCTTCTTAAGTAACTAATATATTATTTTAGAATTCTTCAATTTCAAGTCTAAACTTCAAAGATCCCTTCTGATTAGTCATTACTTCATTAATTTTAACCTTCTTAGATGATTAAACCAAATTAATATAATGAGTTTAATCACAGTACCAAGCTTTACCTAAATGTATAAAATTTTTTAACCATTCTTTGATACAATGTTTGCTTGAATTCATTATGAGTTTAAAAGAATATAAATCCTCTATTTACTTTATTTACGAGAATTGTAATCAACAATTTATAAGATAAATCATTATTTATTTTAAGATTTAAATTAATCCTATTTGAATATTCAATTCAATAATAATTATCAGTAAATTAAATTGATGCTGTTAATGTTACCTCAATAAAACTAAAAATTGGATTTAAATTATTGAATATATTAAGACAATATGTATTTATTTATAAATTTTATCTTGATTTATGATATATATATATTTTAGATACTAAAACATAATTGAACTTATATTTTTAAAAAAATGAATATTGTAATTATATTTTTTATAATTATATAATTCTTATTCAATTTAATAGACATTATGTTATCTCATTACTTTATGATCTATAATTCAACACTATTTATTTATTGCTATTTTCTCCAAAAAATACAACAGAATAAGACTACTATGTTAATAATATTGTATAAAAAGGTCCAACAGAGAATTATGATGTTTCAGAATTCTCTGATAATTTATAAATACTAATTGCTGAAATGTTATTTGGAGACCAATATGTTATTGCAAAATAATTCTTATATAAGTCCAATCTATTTTTAGCAGGCCAATCTTGATATTAATTGAGTGATGTCTTAATGAAAAATGTAGCCAATTATTCATTCTCAAAAATTGCAGTTACAATATAATGATCATTATTATTTGATGCTACTAGAATATCAAATCTATTATCATATTTAGAAATTATTCTACTAGTCAAAAAGATTTAATTTTATTTCATATAAACTAAAGGTCTCAATTCTATTCTTCCTTTAGAAGTTGGAATAAGTAAGTTTTATTTCAATTAACAATCTACCCACAATAATCCATTATCTCTATCAGCTAAAAACATTTTAGCTTTCAATAATCCATCTTCTTCATATTAATGAATGCTGAAATCAATTATATCAATTGTATTTGGCAATCCAAAATAATAAAAATCTAAATAATAAGATGGAAGTTTCAAGTAAAAGTTATCTTCTGTTAATACATAATTCATAAACATTACTCTACCATTAGTATTTGAATAGTAAGGATAATCTCTTTATGCATTTAATACTACAAATGTATTTCCAATTACTTCTAGCTTTGAGAACTAATCTCCACAATTCCAAATTTGTTAAGTAGAGCCTATTTGTTTGCATATGTTATTTTCACATTTATATGCTGTTAAATATGGGATTACTCCATATTCAAGACATACTGAAAAAACATGTTATCCATCAGGATGATTAATTACTCTTTAACAAACAAAATTCAAAGAATCTTCTTCATCTATTACACCTATAGTTTATAATTCAGAGTTTGTTTTCAGGATTCTCTTTGTTGTTTATAAATAATAATTTAAATCTTATCCTCGAACTCCTTCTGCAAATCCTTCATTTTGTAGAGGAAATGATATTTATTAATTACATCTTACATCGCTAATTGCTCTTCCAAATACAATTAATGTTGATACTAACAAAATTGAATTCATTTCTGTTTAATTTCTGTATATTTTTATATAAAAGAAATAATATTCATAAAACTTTTGAGTTTAATTATTTTTATTCAATAATTTTAAAAGTATAATTATATACATTATATCTTAATTATTTTATATATAAATTCTTATTATATTTATTCAATAATATTTAGATTTATTAGTAAAAAACTATATTATGCCTCTCACAATTGATATGAAAATTGAGCAATTTATAGAGACAACAAAAATGTGAATATTAAGATAATTTAGTAATATTTCTTAGAAATTTGAAAATCATTAATAATTAGTAAATGTTAAGATTTTAGTTTTTAAGAGTATTTAAATTGAAGCTAATCTCTAAAAAAATTATTATTTTAAGTTATCTACTTTAAGAATGTGTTGTTAAATAAAATTATGTAACAAATGAATAATAATTATAGTCATTTTAATTATAATTAAATCCAGTATATTTTTTCTTAAAAACTTAAATTTATAGCAAAGAAATCTAATAATTAAATGAATTATTTAATAATTCTATTTAGTATCATAAAGGATAGTGGGGTTTAATAAATCAAATTTAATTTTTCTATTGAAATTTAATATTCTAGGTTGATAATTTAAAAATAAAAGTATTGATATTAAGTTGATAATTACTTTTTATTAATAGAAATATAGATTAATAGATAAAATAGAGTGTATATATAAAGAATTCATTTTATAATTGAAATTATATATATAGTATTTATATACATATAATTATGAGTAAAATTTATAGTTTACATCTATAAATCATTTTATGTTTATTTATTAATTTAAATAATATAATGGAATAGATCATCGTATAAACACCAGGCCTAGTTCAAATGCTTTATGCAGCTTACTACTTTGTTAAGGGCATATATACATTAGAATAGGTTTAAGAAGTGATTGCACAAGTGAAAGACATTCAAACAAAAGACACCAAAACCATGATTGCCTCTCTTAAACACGAGTTTCAATCAGAATTACTGAGGGAACTGTTTTATTTCTATTACAGAGCTCTAAGTTTTCAAAATGCCTTCCTCAATACCTAATACTTATAGGAAGATGGAGTTGAATAAGACATACATTACTTAGAAGGCCTAATAAGTGTGAAGACTAAAGGATACTGATACTATTATAAATTATTATACATATATATTTAAACTCATACATAATAGAATTTATTTCTACTAAGTGACTTAAGTGGTATCTTATTATAATTGAGAAACACATAATTCTAATACACTTAATTATTGAGAATTAAGATTTTAATAGCAACATTCATTAATGAATATTATGATAATTATACAATAAGATTAATATAGACAGATAGAAGCATAAATATACAAATGAATTATTTATTATATATATTTTCAATTATAATTTTTTTTAATGATATTTATCAATATGTAGGATTATAACAATTGGAAACTGATTAAATATAAATAATAAATATAATTTCAATAATTATCATATTCTTCTTAATATTAGTGGGAGCCTTTTTTAGAAATGATTACCCAAACTGAAAAACCGATCATGAAACCAATTCCAAATATTAGAAGAGCTCTTTTTGGATGAAATCTGAGCCAAGCTAAGGCAATTGTTATTAAAGTCAAAGGTATAGATATTAAGGCACTAACAATAGCAAAGAAAAATGTAGACAATTCAGCCATGAAACGACCAAGAAAAGGGAACCAAGAAATTACATATACAACAGGCGAAAAGAACAACATTAATCCAAAGAACTAAATATATATTAAGATAGATTTACCATCAATAAAAATCCTAAAAATCTAACTGCTAATGTCAATTTACGTGATTCCTTAAGCTTATGATCAAATACTTCATGAATTGTTAAGACTTTTTCTAATAGCCAATCAATATATTTAATTGGTTCTAATAAATGTTTGAGTTATTTTTAAATTCCATTGTCATCATCTTTATCTTTTAAAATCTATGATAAATCTTATCCAATATAGATAGAATGATCACTTCCTTTGTCATCATAATCATTAAGTAATTTACTATCTTTAACATTTAATGAGTATGGTTCAAAAGAGTTACCCTTTTATTAAGAAACAACTGTGGCATCTCCACATTTTACCTTAAAAAAACGTATTCTTTGATCTCCTACTGTGAAATTACCATGAACCTTGTTTAAATATACATATTCATCTTGTATTTTACTAATTTTGATAATTGATTACAGCCTTACATATGATCTTGAGTCTTTTTAGGAAATGCTTGTTCACAAATACTGATCCATTCTTATTATGGTTAGATCACTTCAAAATTTTTAGCTTATTTTAATTAGAATTTAGTAAGTAGATAAGCTCCTAAATAAGCCTCTTTAGCATATTTAGATTTCTTTTTGACTGTCCAATCCTATTCATCATTCTAAAAATTTTCATAACTTTCTTATTAAATTGCAGACCATTCTGTAACAAAAAATACTTTAACTTTTTTATCTTTACCCACTCCTTCAGTTTCTTCTTTTTTAATCCATTGATAAGTTTCAACTTTACGCTTCAATACCAAACAATTTTAAATCTCTACTCCAAATTATTCATCTTTAAGAATATTATCAGTTCTTATCTAACCATTTATGTGTATTAATCTTTTCTCTAAATTAGAATTGATTTCAAGACAATTAGTTGATACACATTCTTTCTCTGCTCTCTCTAAATTTACTTCATTTTCAGCAGCTCTGTATTTTTAAATGAATAATACTTGTATTCATTAAGCCATAATATAGGAAATGATAAAAAGAATAATAAAATCCCAGCTAAAAATTCAACTAATGGACTAACACTTGATTCTCCAGAATAGTGTTTTGATGAACTACTAGAAGATGATGAATAAGGCTTTGTAGATGATGATGCTATAAATTTAAATAATTAAATAAATACATCCTTTGGTTCCACTTTTTGTTCCACTTGATTTCTTGCAATCTACAATTTGTAACAATAATAATGCTATAAATAGAGTTATTAAGAATTTTTGACTCATAATTATAGATTTTTAGACTTATCTGTTGTTTTGTTAAATGAAATATTAAAATAAAATCAATAATCAATAATCAATTAATAAGTTCAAAATACAAAGATTCATAATGAATATATATATATTTCTAAATACAAGATAATTATATCATCAAATTCAGTATAATTTATATGAATCAAAAATTAAATAAATTTTGTTTGATTTTCAAAAGAAAATAATTATTTTACAATAGTCTTTGATGAAATATTATTTCTAAATAGATTGATATAAAATTAAAAGATGTTAATATTAAAATAGAAATTATAGGTTATTTTATTTATTTATTATCATTTTGGAATAATTTTATTTATTATCATTTTGGAATAATTTTATTTATTAAATCAAAATATCGCAAAACTAGATAGAATGAAATTATGCTTATGATAACAATAAGTATTGTATCTTTAGAGTTTTTACTAGGTTCGTTCTTTGGTTTTAAGATTGAATTACTATGTGTCTTTTGTAAATTTAACTAAAAAGAAATTAAATAAATAATTACTAATTGTTATTCATTTTGAACCATCTCTTATTAGAGTAATCCAAAATTGGGTTGATTATTGTTAGATTGAAATCTGGTTTAATCAAATTTAGGTTCTGTAATAGTATTGTTAAAGTCTAATTAATTATTCTATTTATGAAGTGACTAAAACACTTAATTAGCATTTCCACAACCTTATGATATAATCTTTTTATCAATAGTTTATATGACTATGTTAATTTTTTGATTTTCAGATGGTCTGCTTGGATCTTTGAATATAGTTGTTGGGTCTTAGATTTCTGAGAAAATAGGAACAGATATTAATTGCAATTTTTCATTAAATTAATTAATCAAAGCATTTTCAAGGACTTTACAATGAAGTGTTACATTAACTAATTAATTTTGTTTAGGTTAAAGTATTCCAATTGATGGTCTTACTAAAAAGATATTTGGATTTGATGCTTTGAACTAAGAATAAAATGAATTGTACTTTAAATGCAATAGGAGTAAGAGTATCATTATACAATACAATATTTGATTGCATATTATCATATTTATTGTAGGTGAATTCAACATGATTAGAACTTAATCGAAGTAGTTCCATGTAAAAATTAATTAATTATAAATAAATTGAATAGAATTGTTTCAAATAATATAAAATAAATTAGAACTAATTAATTTAGTGAGGAGTGAAATTAAATTGATAAATAATTAAGCAGTTCATAATTATAATAATATTAAAAATAATGAATTAAAGTAATTAGGAGAATTAAGAATGTTTGTAATAGTTTAAAAAAAGTCAATATAAATTAAAATATGATAATATAAATAATTTTGTTAAGTGTAGTATATGCATAATTAGGTTATGTATAGGAAGTGATGAATTAATTAGTTGATTAAGAATGCAGTTTGAAAAATAGAATTGCTTATGGTTAATAAAAGCTTCATAATTTGTAAGGAATGTATTTTTGTGATTCATATGCAAAAAGAACATGTTGTAGCTAATAAAATTTAGAAGAATTAAAATATAAGTAGATTATATTAGTATATTATAGATGGTATAGAGAATAGTAATAAGCTGTTGAACTTAGTCAGTAATGTTAAGAAATATTTACTAAGACTATTTGTTCAGATTGTGATGGTGATATTGGATAATAAATTAGATTTGGATTCTGTCCTCATTATTGCAATTAAATGTATTAATCCTGTTGGAGAGACTTATTCTAATATGATGAAAAAACTTAGAAATTGAGACTTTGTTATTAAGTAAGAACATTAATAATTCTAGAATGACGTGTTATGTTCTGAATTAAGAAATATTGTAAATAATGGAGATCAATTTTGTACATCATTAGGATACAAAGTGAATTCATATTCAAATAGAGATGAGTGGATAGAAAATAAGTATTTGAATCTAACTACAACACCATTATGTTGGGATGGAACTCCTTCTCATAGAATTTGGAGTTCTGAAACCAAATTACCATAAACAAAAGTGAATTAAAAGAATAACAAATAAAGTTTCAATGATCAATAAAAATCATATTATAGACTTTACATTTTTGCTGGTATAATTTTAGTAATTGGATTCTTTATTGTTGTTAAAACATTTTTAAAGAAATGATTAATAAATGTATGTATTTTAATAATTTCACAACTTCACCTATATTGCTGGTATTTAATCAATGTCTGGATAAGAATAAAGATGTTCATACTAACCTTTAATAAACTAATCAGATTCTGTTAAATTTTCTGATTACCATTTAATAAGTGGATGATCAATATGATTATTGGAATATTAATATGTATAAAATGCTTTTTATTCTTTTGTTGATATTGATAAACTATAAGTCTAATGAGGCAATAATTTTATAGGATTTTTGAATTCAAGATAATATAAGTGACCATCCACAATTGTCAATTTTTCATGTTCCAATATTTTATGTTCTTTAAAAATTTATTTGGTTAGATCATTTCCTAGATGTAACTTATAAGTTAATTTCAATGAAGATTTGCTTTGTGAATCATAATTTGATGAATTATAACTACCCTTATATAACATAGGTTAATAGATTCCAATTAAATACAATGGTTTGTCTCTTATTTGGAATTGATTTACCCTAATTGTATTTTTATCAAAGATACTTGGTTGACTCAAACCTTCATCAGCTGAAAATATATTTTTATATAATTACTAATCCAAACTTTCTTCAATCTATCAATTCTTTGACTATTAGTATAAAATATTCTATTCACACAATCTAATTAATTTAATATATCTTTTTATATATTTGGAATCTAATTTTATAAATAGTCTTTGAGTTCAATTATTTTTTTTTAGTTTTAATTCTCTTTTAATATTACTTAATTTTTTTAAATGTCTTACTATTCTTTTATAAGATATTTTCTTAAATCTTCAATGTCATCTTTATTAAATTCATTGATAGTCTATAAAAATTTGTATCCATATTAATTTATTTTGGAATCATTGACTAGATTATTGATAATAATTCTTAATTCTTCTTCTAATTGATTTAATTAATTTTATATTGTTTTCTTAAATTCACGATAAATATTGTATGCTTCTAATCCAAATTTATCTTATGAGATTTCATTAACATTTGTATTGCGTTTAAGTAAGACATCTATTTATTTCATGTAAATAATTTGTTTGGAATGTTCAACATGAAGTTTAACACAAGTTTAACAAAATTAGTGTTATTCTTAACATTATTCATTCAGACAGATATTTGTTATTGGTTTATCTGGATGTTTTTAACATTTAATTAACTAGAATCGTTCAATAAAATTCATATTAATAAATAATAATATTGATTATTATTATTAGTGATCAATAAAAATAATATAAGAATTGATTAGGATGTTATTAAAAGAATTTCAGTTTGAATTAAAATATTTGAATTTTAAGAAATCTCAGGCAATTTTATTTAATAACAGTAAATTTAATTGAAAAGAAGCATAAGACAAAATATTTAGTAACAATATATATCATATTCAAATTAACTATATTAAATATTTATTGAAATCAGAGTCTCTAATTAAGTCTAACTTATAGTTTACGAACATAACTATCTACATCAAAATTTTATTAGATTTAAGGTTTATTCTCTTTGTTAGAAAATTCAGAATGATATTAATTAAGTGGTGTTTATGGATAATTAACTTAAGAATATCTTCTTTATTTAATTTGAAAATCTCTCTAGTTTGTTATTGATTGTGCTTGAAATTAAAGGTCAGGTTGACAATCAAACTTATGTTTAGGTTCATACTTTTTATGCCAATCTGTAAATTTATTTGGAGTATATCGTGTTGTACATTCTTATAGCTGGTTTTAATACTTAGAATAGGATCTGATTGGATATTATTACATACGAATAAATATAATTAAATTAAATTATTAGATATGGTAAAGTTGCTGTCTAAATCCCCAGTGGCATTAAATAGTCCAACATTGTAATAATGGGACAACAGTTTCAGAGAGAATTACGATATGTATTAAACAGAGATTGACAAAAATACTTATGCATTATAAAGAAGCATAAGAGGTTTCTGGATATTTGGAAAAGCATTCTATCCTGCTCTTACTTAACATTACAGTTAGAAATTAGAGCTATATCAATTGAAATAGCAATTAGGAAAGGTATATAATATTATAGATTTATATTTCAGATTGAATAATCAGAGGTGAATTTATATAAGACAGTTGATCCAAGCATTAGCACTGTATTGAATAAGACATTCAGTACTTAATGGCTTTGGTGGAATCTCTAAGACATATCCATTACAGCTGGACTATAAGTCTATGCTTAATTGTTTAATTTTGGATACTCATGGAGAGTTGGATTCTTAGTTCTACCATATTGTGCTAGAGTAAATAATTCCATAACTCTTAGGTCTTTTATGACTATGCAACATCATACTAAAATAAATCAAGGGCAGTCGAATTTCTAAACTGGGCAATTCAATATAGAAAAGCTAAGAGCTAGATCGAAAGAGGTAGTTTGGATCCATTAGCAATTGAAAAATATTAAGCTCTTTTTGGAACTGTGAAGAAGGGACCACTTTAAGTATATGCAGATGTTATTGAATTGGCTACCCAATAAAATCCTAATTTGTGATGGATAAAATAAATGATATAATAAATATTGATCATTGGAATAATATTTACTTCACAGTCTCGGAAAGTAAAGCACCTGCTAATTCTACTGAGAATTTCTAAGCCTCTTTAATTTATTATTTCTCTTTTTTCTCTTATTCGTCCACTAAATAACCTTGATCATATTTTATAAAACATTTTTCCTTCAAATCACACAAAGACTATCCAAAATACAACTAACTCTATCAAGATTAAGATCTACTTGGTTATCCTGTAGAATAGATTAAGATAATCTCAAACCCCAATATCTTTCCCATAATCCTTAGACTATTTTACTATCAATAGAATTGCTAAATATTTCAATATCCAAAGAATAATATTTATCATGATAAGCTCCAAAATCTTTAATCTTTTAAGATGGAATTCCAATTTTATCATTCTAATTGTCTATAATAATATAATTATTATTTACTTTTGTATGGTCTATATCCATCAGGATATAATAAAAAAATATAAATTTATAATTATAGAAATTAGATTATTAATATTTGTCAATTATAAAATAATATTTATATATTAAATAATATATTAACAAATGTACACTCTAAATGCACCTATATCAACCTTTTGATTTGTCATTGTTCGAATAGGATCAATCACAACAGCAACAAATGCACCATAACCCATTTATTAGATTCTTTGATTTTGTACATCAGTACCACTTAGCCAACATCCATAACTTGGATGAGAATGGTACCATCCTACAGTTGGATGTACTCTTCCAACAGTTTCTAACATTTCAATCATTTATACATATTCACCCATAGCTTCAGGAGCTAATAATTTAATAATAATTATATCTACTTAGTGTAACATTCACTTCACTTGCTTCTGCATTTAAGTAAATTACATCATAAATAATAAATGTTTCTTTATCACATCTACCTTACATTAAACCCATAACTTCATTATTCTCTATATTTAATTTATTATTCAAATACTTCCAAGACATGCATGAATCAACATCTTAATTACAGAAGCAATAGAAATTTTGCATTTCTTAAAATAATTAGGTGAACTATCCCATGGTTTCTAATCTATGAAATCATTTTATTCATCTTAATTAAAGTGATAAATCTATTCATCTTGTAAAATGTTATTTTTCTCAACAAATTATTGATAATCCATTTACTCTAATTGTATATATTATTATTATAAATAAATAAATATATATATATATTTAATCAATCTATTCTTTTAAGTAATGTACTTAATGTCTAATCTAATTCATGTAAGGAATGTAAATAACTAAATAAATATATCTATATACTTTGAATTCAATTCACGCATTTCCTTTTTAGACATTTAACTTAATCCATTGCTTATTTTAATCAAATCAGATACACTCACATAACTTTCATTTTTAATCTTACTAAAAGAATTCTAATTTTCTTTCCAACAATTTGCATCAAATTATACAAATGGTTGAGATGTAGATCTTTAGATATATGATTGTTCATAACTTGTTTTCATTATTTGATTATTCTTAATAGGTTCTTATACACTCTATCTTAGTTAAGTACTCTTTAAAATAAAAGACAATTATTTTGTAGAATTCTTTCCACTTGGAGATTTATCTTAAGTGTTATTTATTTTTGCCTATGTCACTTATCTAACATAATTTCTAAATTCAATCAGCTCTTGTCTTTGCGATTAATCGTACATTCAAGTAGCCGTTAATAAAAAAATATTAATAATTCACAATTTGATCAAGACTACTCATACACCATCTTCACTACTACTGTTGGAGGTATCTTATCTTCAAAAATCAATTGTTACAATGTTTCTTTAGATATCACTTAAGGTCTATTATAATAATTATTCATAATCATTTTACCTATGTATTTAACTCACTATATCCATTAATATTTAATCACTTAATACATGATCCTTTCCATCTATTCTTGATGCCAATAATCTTAACAATCCCTATATTTCTGTAAATGGTATTTCATTACGATCTGAAGCTAAAAAGAAATCATAAGTAAATTTGATATAATCCTCAAATGTTCCCTCTTAAAATACTATCAATTTATAAAAATGTTTAAATCCACTAAATGTAAATAAATCTCCTTTACAAAATGCCCATACTACTCTTTCTACTATTTCATCCTCTTTACGTATCAAATCCCAAAATACTTAACAATATGTCAAAAATGTATCTTTATGAATTGAAACATCATCTTATCCTTTCTCTACTTCAGAAACATCCAATAAAACTTAATTTGATTTTCCAAAATCAATTGGTTCTGATGAATTACTTTATCTTGAATTCTTTACTACAAATTATGGAGATATCTAAGAATTTGGTGTTTATTAAGTTAAACTTTAACCCATTTTCTTTTTGTGGAAATCTTGTATACTATAATAATGACTTATTGATGAAATAGTTCCAAATTATTACATTCTAATTTCTGGTTTCTGAAGTTAAGCATGAGATACTAATTTATCATTATTTATCAATATATTCCATTCCTTAACCAAATCCAATTGTTTTGTAGTATTGTTCTTTATCATTCTTATCATATTATCTCTATACAAATATTTAGGATTCCCTTTCTATCTCTCAAATACAGTATTTTTATCATAATCTAAATATGATCTCAATCTAGAACCAAATCCTCTTAAATTTTCATTTAATACTACTACATTTTATACATTAGGATCAATTTCTTAAGATGCACTCAAATCAACTTCTTCAGATGATTTATATAATCTTGGTTATGATAGAAATGGAGATTTCCATGATTCTTATAATGGATTTCTTTCATTTAATTGTTACACTTTTTTATCCAATTTTTTAAGTTCTTTATTTCTATATTCCTATTATTAAAGAGGATGTAATCCTTTCATTGCTTATTCAAACAATAATGTGGGTTTGGATGGGAGTTGCTTATAATGTTTCAATAAATCATTCTTGGAGAATTCTTAATTAATAATACTTGATTATGCATCATCATGTATTGGTATGACTAAATCAACCAATTGTTTTTAAAAGTTTCTCTTCTCAACTATTTATTCTAATTTTTTTTCATCATTAAATTTAGTTTTTTGAGGAGAACTTAATATCTATCTTTTTTATTGAATAATTTTTAATCTTGGCAATGTTGGTTTAAATATTACATTCCTTTTGTTTGAACAATTATTCATTTATTATAACAAATTATAAAATAATTGTTATATTTCATTCAACTTAATTTCTTAATAATATTTAGTATTTATAAAATATATATCAATCATTTCAAATTTCTAAATACATTACCTTTGTTTTTACTTTTCTTTATTTAATAAACAAGTCTACTTAGTTATGTGAAAATTTATTTTTGTTTTTAAAATAAATCTAGTAAAATATTTATTTATAATAATGAACAAGTTTAGTCTTACATTCATTTAAAAAAGTTTGGAATTAAAATATTAAGATCATAGATATTTATCAACAATACCTGCTTGCAAAGCTATTAATTTAATGTGTTTTTTAATTTGCATGATTAGATCAATATTTTCTGCTATTAAGTAAGATTATATAAATCTTATCATATTTGCTCCACTTGGATTACTTGTTTTCATTGTTCACTTTGTAGTTATGTTTTATAAAAAATAATGGATAGATTTCTATCTAGTAGGAATAAATCATATTTTAATGTGTTATCAAGTATATACAGAAGCAGATTTCAAACCATAAGAAGCCTTTGTTTTTGGATAAAATATGATGGTTATACACACCATTATTATATTAGTATCAGATTTTAAATTTGCTGTAATCTAAGTTATTAATAATGCCATCATTAAATTAGCAATTGCAAGATATTTTTAATCAGACATTTCAATTTAAGCCTTTATCTATTGTTTCATTCTCTCATTTATGATTCTAATTCCTCTCCAAAGAACTAACAAATAATATAGAGAATCATTTCTATATACATCATAAAATAATTCATTAGGTATTACTATTAAAAATTCAAATAGATTGGATTATCCCTAAAATTATTGAGAACCCTTTTGTTATATTTGTTTATGACTATGAAAATGTTGGCTTTCATGTCAAATTATCTAATTTTAATACTTTCAATTAATTTGAATCAAGTAATAATAATGTTCAAAATCTTAATTCACTTTTAAGAAAATATAAAATTAATGGAAATTCACTTGAAACCTTCATTCTCAATAGAAGATAATTATCTGAACAAATTATTGTCAATTAATAACATGAAATTGTTAATTCAAAGAATTATTCAGATAAAATATACATCAAATATTCAGAAGTTTAACTTACTGAATAAACTTTTATTATAATACTCGATTATAAACAATAGGATTATATAAAAATGGAAAAAAGAATATAAAAATTAGAAACAGGAATTAATCTATTTTTATTAAATATGAAAGGATTTTTAATTAAACAATTAATAATGTTAAATAACTCTAAAGGAAAGGATTCATCTTTTATATATATGAACAAAGTTAATTTAATGTACATTCTCACCAAACTCTCTGTTAGATAAAATTTATTTGTACATAAATGTAAAATTGTACCAAAAATAAATCATTTTATTAAATTATTCAATAAAGCCTACAAAAAGAGAGTTAATTTTTAATTTGAGAAACAGCATATTTAAATTACTACTTATAAGAATGTATTTGAAGAACTCTTAACAATCTTAATGACATTCATATTTCGACTATAAACAAATTCCTAAACTAAATTAATATTACGTGGAAGCTATTATTAAAATGAATAATTTTTAGATCTTCTAATTAAATTCGATTAGTCCTTTTAATTATTTTAATAGCTTCAATAAAATAGTCATTTTCGAAAGAATCTTAAATAAATAGGACCATGTGATAGATTACTTATGGAAAATAACGGTAAATATAAGATAGTATTTATTATTAGTTGTAATTATTAGATTATATAAGGATTTGAGTTAGGTTAATCAATTATAAACCTTTCTGAATCATTCCAACCTTAAACAAACTAATTCTATTTGATTTTATAAATTTGTTAATATATTTTTGCTATATATACAGAATACTAGAAGTTTATTTAAGAATTCTAGCTAATAAGTTTTTACTAAGCCACTTAGTTTGATTTAATAAATTGAAAATCTAATATATATTCTGATTATATATTATTTAAATTCATTTACTTACTAAACGGTTGATTAATATAAATAATATAAAAAGTAATAAATTTGTATAAAATATCATTATATTAATATCTTAGACTTTATTGAATGCTCATTTATATTATTAAATATGATTTATCTATATTTGTTAAAGTTTATTTTAACAAAAATATGTACTATTATATTTGACAGAATTAAAGTACAATTCTTAACAATAATGGATAAATTACAATAATATGTCCAAAAATACAGTATTAATTCATAATAAAAATAGAGTGTATTATTATTAAAATGTTCACATTATATAATAAATTAATCTATTAATGTCGGATATTAAAATTACTCCAAGATAACATGGAAGATCGAAAACAAAAACAAGTATATATTTTGTATTGAAATTTTAGTTGATAATATTTAAGTTTAATAAAAAAAGGCAGGAATAACAAATGATCGATTAGTCGTTAATAAATTAGGACTTAAATTCGATCCAGTTTGTTGGAAAAAAACACATGAGAAAGGTAGAATTTAATATGTTTGCATTGTAAATATAAGATATATATTATATAAAGGAGAAAGATTGTAAAGCTGATAGAAGATTAGCATGTGCACATTGTATAATTGAAGAACATGATTAACATGTTTCTAATAAAATAACAGTTGAATAATATTGTGAAGCATTTGAATACAATTATAAGTAATATGTGTTATAAGTATGATCATAATTTGCTAGTGTAGGTAGCAAAAATGGAGGAAAATTATAAAAAATGCAAGATGATTGATGTTATAGAATAAATTGATCAAGATATTAATACCATATTTGAAATATTAAAATATTAACTGAAGACACTAAGAGATAAATATATAAAAGACATGTAAACATATTCAGAAACCACTAATGCAACTTTAATTTAAAATTTTAATGATGAAAGACAGATCCTTTTAAAGATGAAAGAGTATGCAAATAAAAACCTTTATGAAATGACACCAGCTGAAATGGATCATAGTTTATTGTTAATAGGAAGTACTCATATTGAATAAATAATTAATAAATTAACAAATTTTGAAGAATAAGGTGCCAAAATTACTAGTACAATGAAAGCTTAATGGAAATGGATATATGAAGAATTAGAAGAAAAATTAAGAGAAGTAGTCTCTTAAGTTGGATAGTATAATTTAAATGTCTTATAATTAAATGAAACTACTGGAAAAAGAACTCCAATAGATTCAGTCAATATTTTATTATAAGATCAAAAATATTAAGATATGACTGCATAATATACAAGTACAACTAATAAGTCTGAATCAATACATATATCAACATTTTAAAGAACTAATTATTCATAGTAGCCACTTCTAAAACTTTAACCAATTTAATTATTTTAGTAATTTCAATCTGTAGATAAATAATCAAATAAGCCTAATACTTCTAAATTTGCAGATTCAATATCAGAAAATTCAAAATAACTAGATAGTCCTAAGGAACATACAAAAAGTATTAGATAGGTAGCTGGATCATCAGATGTAACATCTCCTTTAAAAAGAGAATTGAATTAAAAATAAACAACATCAAAATAAAATTCTTTGAGAAATCTTATGCTAAAAAATCACAATTAATAATTGAAAGATACAAATAATTAGATTATAATAAATAATAATTGTAATTAAAAATAATAGACTTAAATTCGATAAATCAGTCCAAATGGAATGAATTATTATTATTAAAGTGATGGTAAAAAATTAGATGGTAAAAGAGGAAATCATTTATAATCACAAAGTTCTTCATCTCTTAATTAATAATCATTAGATAAAAGATTATCTGCATAGAAATTCTAAAGTTATCACTTTACATGTAATAATAATAATATGAAGTGTATACATAATGATATAATAAGAGCTTATCCAATATTTGCTTGTTGTAATTAAGTAATTATATTATTTAATATATAGGCATACCCTTGTTATGAATGTCATGATTAAGTTTCCAATCATAAAGCACATATCACAATTCCATCATAAAGATATTGTTCAATGTGTAAAGAAATATTTACAGTAAATCTATTGTCAACAGTGGATGTAAAATGTTATCATAAAGGATTAATAGATTAAGAATAATCATAAAATAATCCTCATTCATGAACAAGAAACTTTATATTATTTTATTTTAAAATTCTAATATATAAATCTTATTCAGATTAGAGAGAGTAATAGTATTCTTAAAAATATCAAATCTTTATTTGTTTTATTCTTCAAATATATTGTAGATTTATATTAGTGTTAATGACTATTTTTATAATAAATTATGCTATCCTACTTAAGATTTTTTAGATTCACTTCTTTTAGAACTGATCCTTATATAATTTTAGGGATTAATAAAGATGCTTCAATGTAATAGATTAAAGATGCATATATTGCAATGTGTAAGAAATGTAATAATATTGATTAATTGAAGATCATCCTGATTTGAATAATGAGACTGATGCCAAAGAGAAATTTGCAGAAATACATTAAGCTTACAATTAACTTAAGCAACGCAAATTTTATGAATAAGTAGAAGAAGAATTTAAACAAAATTATTAGTAATCTTGATTCTCATTAAGTATAGTTCAGCTTAATCAGAAGAAGAATGTTTTAAATAAATATTTGGATTCTATTTCTATGAGAATCCATAAGAATATTATAAGCCTGAGAATGCATAAAAGAGAGCAGATTATTAAGAGATGTTGCGTAAATATAAAAGTCAAAATGAGAAACAAAGTTCCACTAATCAACAAGTGTTTAATGATGTAAAGATAAATAGAAACTTTAATTCTGATAATATATACAGTATATATCTATATATATAATCTAGGATATAGTGATCATACTTTCCTTAAAGTATTAATGATGTTCACATTTGTTGTGTCAGTAACAAGTGCATATATTTTCTTTTATAAGAAATCAACAACATATGCTAAAAACACAATCACAGATTCTTAAATTCTCAGAATGAAAACTTTATCTTTAATTAGATAATAGAAAGTGGCTGAAGAAAAATAACTAAAACTTTGATAAACAAAATAAATTGAATTTTATATTAACAATTTTAATCAAAATAATATTTTTAGTAGCATCTAAAATAAAATTGTCAATTTTTATTCATATATATAAATATAATTATAGATTTAATCATCTTATTAATATCTATTCTAATTATGATTAATCAAATATATTAATGATAATTATTATATATTTTAGTTTATTTTAAATTCATATATATATATATATATTAATTATTTTATTAACATATATAATTAATAAGATTTTTAGTATAAAATTTTCAATTTCTAAATACATTTAATTATATTAAGGAAATGACTCATGGTATCAATTATAATATAATTGTTTAGTACTTTATTTTGGAAAGATTTTCGCAAATCTGCAGACTGAAAACCTAAGGAGTCAATAATAAATGTATGAAATTGGTATAAACAGAAAAGATTAACGAGAGTTTGTTTACCAGAGAATGTGTTTTCGAATGACTAAACAAAATAGAACAAAGGAGGTGAATAATAAGTTGCATTTGTAAAGGTGATTTGCAAAGAGAACATGGTGTTTTTACTTGATCGTATACTTTGTGTATAGAATTAGATAAATCTGAAATGTGGGCATTTGGTGCATCTAATGAGGGATAATTAGGTTTACGTATAGCTGGTCTAGTGTATCCAGTAAATATATCATAAGTGATGGATACAAAAATAAAATATGTAACAGCAACTTAGAACTTTGTATCAGTGTACACTATGAAAAATAGACTATATGTTTGGGGGAAAACAGATGAATTGAATTTTGGAGATTGTACAAAATAAAAGAAAGTAGAGTTTAGTAAGACTATAGATAGAAGGTATGAATTCTAGTGTTATGAAATTTCAACATTGATTTAAGGGAATGGAATATAAGAAAAAAAAAATGAATTATAACAAATGCAATCAAGTTTAAATAAACTATATTTATTAACTAATCAAAGTTTATACTTGATATCTAATTAAGTAATATAGGTTATGTAAAATTTCATTGGTTTAGCATGTAATTAGAATCATGTATTGGCTTGGGATATTGAAGGAAGAGTATGGAGTTGGGGTTCATAATCAGATGGTAAATTAGGATATATGAATTTTGAATAATCAGAATAAATATAACCAAAGATGGTTGAGAATTTGACAAATAGGATTATTTAATGTGCTTGTGGATTAAATTATAGTATAGCATTAGATGTAAAAGGAGATATTTATGGATGGGGAAAAGGTCCATTTAAAATTGAATTATTGAAAGCAACTTAACCTACTAAACTTATAGAAAAAAATAAATCATTTGTAAAAGTAATAGCAGGTGATGATCATTTTGGTGCATTAGATATGATTGGTCAATTATATGTTTGGGGTTTAAATAATAACAATTGTTTAGGATAAATGGATGAAGAAGTATAGAAACCAACACCTTTTGAATTGAGTGGACTCAAAGTTATTGATGTAAGTATGGGACCTACTTGTACAGTTCTTATTGTTCCATCTGGTAGATTATAGAAATTACCAAATCTTAATTTAGATTCCTTTACTAGTTAATAAAAGAAATGTTTTATAGAAGAAGCAAGTTTGATTAGAGATTTTACTGAAAGAAGAAATAGATAAACTTTAATGTAAATGCTAACTCCTAGTCAGAATAAATAATTAAATAAACCAGATGATAAAGAATATGACAAAGCCAATGAATTAATACATAGAATGTAATTGAAATTGGATTCACCTAGAATTAAACCAACATTTAATTCTACTCATATTTCTAATTCTCTATTCAGTAATAATGAACTTTCTAATAGAACTATGAGATCTCCTATTTCTTTTGATAATGTTTAAAGTAAATTACATAAATTAGAAAATAATAATCCTCTTTATTTACCTATTCTACCTAGATTTCAAATGACTTAAATCTTAAAAGAAGATGAAATCAATCTGGACTTTCTTATATAAACAGATGATGATGAACTTAAATATCGTTATATATAATTAGTAAAAGATAATTCAGAGGATTAAGTACTTATGTAATTATTAGATGAATAAAATATTAAAAAAAATCATACTATTTAAACTGCCAGAAATTAAGTCAAAACATTTAAATAATAAAGTGAACCTAAAATTATCAAATTTAATGATAAATATGATAAATTAGATCCTAATTTACTTGAAAATGTTAAAAAAGAATTAGCTGAAATTAGTAAAGAAAGATGGAAATAATATTTAAAAAAAAGAAAAATTAGAGAAAACAAAATTAATATGTTAAAAACTAAATTTTAAATGACAAAATTAGAATAAATGTCTAAAGAAGAATAAATTGAATCAAATCGTTTATAAGCTGTTGAAAAAAATGTTAAAGTTTAATACACTATTTTAAGAAAAGAAGAGAGACTTAAAACTAAATTAGAAGGACTTTAATAATAATTACATGAAAATTCTACTGAATTTTAAATCAAAAAGAAAACTGAAATGAAAAAAGAAGTTGCTAAATTCTTTGCTTTCTTATAATTATTATAGTATTTTAATTTTGAAGCATGTTGTCAAATGTTTGAAGAAGCTGCCTATCGTGGTTTATAGAAAAAAAGATTATTATTCTAAGCAAATAATAAAGCAAAGATTATTCAAAAAGCTGTAAGAAGAAGAAATATTATTAAAATGATTAACAATAATTTAGGAGAAAAACCAAAAAAAATTCTACTCTCCTTTATCTTTCGTATTAGAATGTCCATCAGAATCAAAAAAAGAAGAGCTTTACTAAGAAAATTAAATCTATTTTAATAAAAAAATTAATTATTTCTTAAAGTTCGTATAAGTTTAAACATTATGATGAAATCTACAAAAAATATTCAATCATTTTGTAAATATTACAATCAAACTATTAAAATTTAATTAAGTTACTTAAATTATAAATGGGATGAATATTTAAAATAAGAATTTAAAGGCCTTATTATTGATAAAGATAAAGAAGACTAAAAATTAAATCAATTATAATTTCTTAATGAAAAATAAATACAAATTATGAAATAATTATCTTATCCTTATAAATCTAATAAATAACTTATTAAGGAATTGTTACTCAATAAAAAACCTAAATTTAAAGTTGATATACTTAGAATCAATATATTAAAAAGAATTCCAGGGTTTCAATCTTAAGAAGATGAAATTAAAGATAGAGAAATCAGAACTAATTTTAATACTGTTTTATTACCATATACTAAATATGTTGAAAACATAATTATTCCCTAAAATTATAGAATTAGATTTGATTATTAAGAAATATAATTATTAAATGTGCTTGATAAAGTCAATCTAGAAGAAGCTAAACTTAAAATGGAATTATTGTAAACATATCAGAGGATTTAAAGAAAAGATTACATTCAATAATGTAGAAATGTATATATATAATAATTCTTTCTCTTAGTATTTTTAAGCACTTTGTGATTTTAAATAAAAGAATAAGGTTTTAATAGGAACTGAAAGAATTAAAATGATGACTAAATTGGGTTCAGATGAAGTTAAGTAATTGAAATAGAAGGATGAACTTGAGTATAGAATTATAGCATAAAAACGAGAGATTAATATGAAAAGAAGTAAAATAAAATTATATAGTTTTTAGTAAGAATATTTGATAGTGCTCTTAAAGAGAATATTTTTGAGAAAATAAAAGCATTTCAATAAGATAACTATCCCTTTTAATTATTAACTTATAAATTAGTTGTAGCTTATAGTAAAATTGAACCTCCTAAATTAACAATGGAACTTAGCTATAAAGAATGGGTTCGCTTATTTAAGAACTATCATACAGATTTTAAAATTAGATTACAATCAATAATGAGTGAAGCCAGAAGAGCAGCTGCCTATAAAGCAAAATAAATTAAAAGATCTACAACTATCAAATCAAAGTCTATCCAATCTAAAAAGGCAATTGATATAGTTTGAATAAAATATATGTAAATATATATATATAATTCAATTAAGAATTAAGTTCCATCTTTATATTCTCTTAACTCCCTTTTTCTCATATATATATAGGTAATAAGCATAATAGCAAAATAATTGAATACAATTAATCTATGATAAATTTCATTATGATTTTGAACTTCTTTATTAATATTTTAAAAAACTGCATAAATTTATGATTCCATAAGTATAATAAATTTAGGAATACTTGGGTATAAATAGTAAAAATATAGTTTAAATGTTCTTGACAATTTTAATAAGTAATTGATTTTTATATGTTATAATAAAAATAGTATACAGAAAGTATTTATTAAAAAATATCTAGTATATTTATATTAATATTGAAAAATGAAAGGACCTAAATATGTAGAAACCAACTTCCAGTTATTATTATCAAGAAGATTGGAATACAATAAACATATAAATCAAATAAAGAATGCAAAATGTAATCCAATGTTAGAGAAAAGAGTAACTTATTTTTATTTAATTAGTCTTTATCATAATAATAGTCCTTTTTTAAATAGTTGGAGTAAAATTGGAAGTAGGCTAATTTAAAAAGAGAATAAATGAAATATGAAGATATAGTTAAGTTAAATACAAGAATGCTATTAAAAGTGGCTAATGCTAAGGAGGACCAATTATTATCATAAAGTAATTATAAAAACTAAAGAAAAAGATTCATAAAAAGGTAGAATTGACTCAGCAAGATCAAGTAAATCTTTACATAGTGTAATAAAGAAAACAAAGGAGAGAGAGTTATTTTAAGAAAATAAAAGATTGAAAGATAAAATTGAGAATGTGTAATCTTCAATTGCATATAATAAAATAATAGAGAATTTTAATAAGTAAATATATAACAAAATATGTAGACATTAAGGTGAACGAGATCGATTAACAAGAAACTCATATAAAAAATAGAAAAAGATAAAAGATATGTTGGATAATCTGACATCTTAATCAAAAGCATCTCTACATTCTAAAATTAATTAAGTACCAAAATTAAGGTTGCCAAAAATCAATTAATAGGGAGAGAGTATCAAATCATTATAATAATTAAATAAATTAAGAATAGATGGTTTCTACACAGCCAGATGAAATATGTTATTATGATAAATAAACTTTTTTATTTGTAATATTGCAATATTAACTTGATTCAATTAGTTATTACCATATGGATTAATACTTATTATATAATGAATATGCATTTGATTATATGTAAATCATGCTAATGGAGCAGCATTGTTTTCTACCTTATATTATTCAACCTACTTAATGTAATTGACATAATGTCTGATTTTATTCAAGACTGGCAATGTTTCAGCTGAAATCACATAACCTAAATCCTCTTCAATCTATTATTAATAAATTACATTACTTGCATAGATAATTCAATAGAATCTAAACTATCTAAACCATGTTGTTCCAATTCAGAATCCAAAGTGATAGCTGACTGCCAAGATATATAACAAGTATTACTTTATTGGTTGTTCTATAATAATTTTTGACTAAGGTAAGAACATATCCCTCAATATCTTATGACTTCTTCAATTGTAAAAAATTCTTAGTGATTAATTGTCCATCCTTATAAACTTAGATTGGTTTGGCTTGTTGTGGTTTGCTCTATGTTGTAGCTGGAGTCTTATCAGCTGCAAATGTATAGAGGGGTCTCATATTTAGCATTCTGAATACTTTGATCATATTCATTTATTTTAAATATTATATTTGAAATAAAATATATTATTGATTTCTATTCCATTCATCTTTTTTGTATATTAAATAATGATCTCTTTATTACAAATTTTCTATTATTTATTTAATGTTCTTATTCTCTTTTTTAAATAAAATGATGCAGATTTAGTTTTTGATCTTATTTAGATTTATTTAAATAATCTTGTTTATCAAAAATCTTTTAGATGTTTTTGATTGCAATATAGATATGAATATTGATTTCATTATTTAAGTTATCAATATTATTATAATTAGATAACAAAATGAGATTAATTGATTTTATTACTATTAATCAAATAAAATTTATTATATATTTTTACAATGAAAAGTGAATCCTAATCATATGCATCATATTCAAGGAATTTAAATAAAGATCCTTAATAATAAAGTTATCATTCAGCAACATTCTAAACTCTATAAACATCACAAAGAAATTACATCTTAGAACAGACATAAAATGTAAATGATGAAGAAAAACGATTATTACAAAAACGAATTGAGGATTTAGAATTTTAATTGAAAAATTTATCACAAAAACCAATTCTTTATGAATAAGAAATAGCCAGATCAACAATCTAAAGAGAAACATTATAAACTGATTTTGGAAGTGCTAATCAAACTATTAGATAATTATAATCCAAAATTTCTGATTTAGAGGTATCTAGTTAAATACGATTATCTCAACAGAATGAAGTTAGTAAACGATAGATTCTTGATTTGGAAGACAGATTACAAAAATTATAAATACAATGTGATTCTTAGGTTATCTAAATAAATTAATTACAAAGAGACAAGGTAAGTCTTGCATCTTAATGTCAAGCTTTGTAAGATCAAATAGGTAGTTCTAAATTGAATTATAAACAGGAGATATCTGAAGGTGAATTAAGATACACTAAAGATAGTCAACGATTATCATTAATTGTGAATGAAAAATAAGTCAATATATAATAATTAGAATTAAGATATCAATAATTAAATGATTAATTTTAAATGTTATAAAGGAAATATGATTAAGATACTTCATCTCTTAAAGTTTAATGTAATGATGCTGAAGATAGATATAGAAGATTATAATAATAATTTGATTAATAAACTATTTTAGTGAATACAATAAATATAGAAAAATAGAATTTGGCAGTTTAATTGGATAAATTGTAATCAGAATCTAATACATAAATTTATAATTATTAATCAACAATCAAAACAAATGAATCTAAATTCATTAGAGATTAATAATAATTTTAAACTTAATTAAATGAAAAAATATAATAAATTAATGATTTAGAGAAAAAAAATAGATAATAATTAGATTAATTCTTTTAATTATAATAATTATATGATAAGGATACATAGGCATTGAATTATAGAATTTAAGATCTTGAAGATAAATTAAATAAATTATCAAGATCATTTGATTTATAGACTAATGAACTTAATTAGATTTATTCTGATAAGGAAAGAATTGAGAGATAATATTTGAAGTTGTAAGATGAAATTAATACTCAAAAACTTAGATACAATTAAGAAATTACTAAAACTGATGAATTATCATCAAAAGAAAGATCATGGTTTTAAGTTTAATTGAATGATAGATAATAAACTATTACTGAATTAGAATTAAAAGTAAAATAACTTAGTGAACAATTATAAACAATATAAAGAAGAACTGACAATGATATTTTAATATTCTAAAAATAAATAACAGAATTATCAGATAGATTAAGAAATTAATAAGAATAATTAGATCTTAAAAATAATTAATATATTTAATTAAATAAAGAAAAGAATCTTATTATTAATTAATTTGAATAATTATAATAAGAATTTAATGATTATAGAAGAATATATGAAAATGATGTATCAAAATTAAATAGAGATAATTAAAGAATCACAAGTAATGTAAATGAAAAAACATAATCTTATATTTAATTAGAAGGAAAGTATTAATTATTGAATGAAGAATTCTAAGCATTATAAGTTAGATTTGAAAAAGAAACTAATAATTATACAATGAGAATGAAAGAATTAGAAGAAGATTTATCTATTATGATTGAAAATTATAGAAGAGAATAAAATGTAAATTTATTTATTTATTTATTATAGATTAATAGAGATTGGGAACAATAAGTAATTAGATTGAAATAATAAATTAAATATTCAGTAGATGAAACTAGAATATCTACAGAAAAAACATTAATTGAAAAATATGAAAATTTGACTAGTGAATAAAAATAAGAATTTGATATCATTTTTAGTAAATTAAATTAAGATAAAAATGAATTGAGAATATAATTGAATTAAAAAGTAGATTAAATTAGAGCATTGGAAAATTAAATTACATAATTAAATTTATAGAATACTAAAAATTTAACATTAATTTCTGAATTGGAATCAGCCAATTAATCATTAAAATATTAAGTTAATGAATAAGAATAAAAAATTAAGACTCTTATCATGTAAGAATTTGATTCTTTGGTATATTAATATAATTAATTATTTTTAGAGAGATAAATCTGCTGATTAAATGATCAGAAATTTGATGGCAGAAATTAAAGCTTTATAAAATAAATTAAAGAAATATGAAGTTTATATGAAAAATATTGATGAATAAAAACTCTAAGAATAATTTTAAAATGAATCTAATCTTGGTAGAAGTAGTTATGTAATTGAATAAAGAGTAACAACTGGATCAAGTATTATTGGTTAAGGAGGTACATCTTAAGTTAATAATGGTAAGATTTAATAATTAGAATCATCTCTAAAAATATCTTAGTAGAAAGAGAGGGAATTATAGAATTAAATTAATTAATTGAGTTCTTAATTAAATCAATAAGCACCTAATTCTTAAAGAAATTCATTTATTAATAATCAAAATAATGATAATGGATAGAATTAATTAAATGAAAAGATTAAAAATTAAGAAAGGGAAATCCTAGAATTAAAATCAAGAATCTAAACGACTTCATAAACAAGAGTAGATACTAGATATGAATAATCATAATTAGATGAAAAAAATAAAAGAATTATTGAATTAGAAAATAAATGTGCCCTTTTGGCTAATGAAAATTCAAGATTGAATTTAATGAGAGTAAATTATATTTTTTATTTCTCTAGAGCAAAGTTATTTCTGCCCAATAAAATCAACCTTATGAATCTTAAAGCAATAATGGATCATAAAGATATTATTGATAAACTTTATGATTATTATAGGTTTAAATATATATATATATATCAATGTAAAATGCTTCTAATTATATTTATAAAATTAAAATACAATTTCAAATAAATCTAAAGGTATTATATAACATAAGAAAATGAGAAGATTCATAATTCTCTTTAAATAAAAATACTATAATATATTTACTAATAATCTACAAAAAAAATTTAGTAGTTAACAGATCAAAATCAATCTTAAATAAATTTAATCAACTCTTTTGGATATTCTTGTTGTAAAAATTAAAAAATCCTTTGCATAACTTAAGATCATTAAGTTAAATACTTTTTTAATATTAATTTTTTTTTGAGACATCAATTTCTTTATACAACTTGATATCTTTCTCTGGTTTTCTATACTATTTTGAATTAAAATCATTTACAGATTAACTGTAAGTTTTCATTATGATGATACATAATGCCTCTCTTAATCTAAAACAATGAACTATGCAATCTTTTATTTTGATAAAATAGAATTTAATAGAAAATGTAAAAATTTATTTTGAAATTATATGCATAAAATAAAATGTATATTCATAAAATATATTTAATATTTTAAAAGATAATGAATTTATAATTAATAAATCAATAATAAATAAGTTGAATTATATTTATTAAAAGTATATTGATCATAATATTATTTCTATGTCTAAATGGATTAGAATTGGTCATACAAATATTAAATAAATAATTACTAAATTAGATTGATGTTATTTAATTAGAATATTATTTTATAATTATTATAATTTATATAATATTTTATATATGAGACCATAAACATCTGAGACATTTGTACGTGAATTTCTCGACGTTTAAATGAGACCAAAAACTGCAAAATTAATGACATCAACATAATTAAGGAATTTGAGTGCAAAAACATCTAAACCTAATTTTGAATTTACTACTAAGCCATAGGTGGAAGTTCACTATTAAAAGTTTATACCTAGGAATTTTGGAGTACTCTGTGATCAGTATTTATTGCATATTGATATTAGAGGTTATTATGAAAGCAATAAATAAATATAACTGTAGAAGTTTGGAAGATCATAAAATAGTGGTACAACTTAAAAAACCAAGATTAATCAAAGCAATTAATAATAATAACAACAAGTAAAGAAACCTCAAGTATACAAATTAATTGAAATTGACTCAAGATAAAGATAAGATCCAGAAAGTATAACTGAGAGGGAAAAAGAATTGAAATATAAGAGATAACTATTATAAATCATAAATGATGATGTGTAACCACTTGGAGAAATATATAAAACATTTAATAAAGGCAATCATGTTATAATAGCTAAATTAACGTAAGTTATTTATAAATCTATAGACCAATGATATTGAGAAAAAGAAAAGTTAAAAAAGAACACAATCCTTTAACCTTAAATTGGAATCAAACTAAGAAGCTATTACTTGTAAAAGATTTGACAAATTATATTATTGAAAGTACTTATCTTAATCTAAATAGATATGACATATTAAAATAAAAAGATTTAATTAAATGTTTATGCTATAAGTGGATCTGAATTTATTGATGAAATCTAAAAACCAAAAGATATTGAATTTGTATTGGAATAAAGAAGATTTACTTGTATAATGCCTAAATTGATCATATATTGTGATGACATTAATAAACATGCAACTATTCCATTAACAAATTTAAAAATGTCATAACTACTTCAATCTAATTTTCAAGAAATTGATAATTATGTATTTAATATTATTAATATTTAGATGTCTGAAATTGATGAATTATCTAATTTTGTTATCCCATAAAAAAAGTTTCCAGTATCAATTCTACCAGGTAAATTGACTAAAAAAGAAAAAATAATAAAGAAAATTGTATATCATGAAGAATCCTATTATCAAATTGCATTCATACCACCATCAATAGTAGTTTCTAATAATATTAAATAAATTGGTTAATATCATTTCTCAATAGCTGATTTGGAGTGTTTAGCTAGTTTTTGTTTTAAGAATCCTATTCAAAGCTTTATTAAAAATTATATTGAAATCATCACTCTTACTCCAACTAGAGCATCAGTCAAAGTAAACATACCAGAATAGTATGATGTTGTAGCAGGACAATAAGGATTAGCATGTTCAGAAAATGGCTTTTTATTGAATTAAACTATTGAGTCTGAATTTAAGATTGTCTATACTCCTGCATCACTAGAGTTTTACAATCCAACAACCCTAGACAAATAAGTTAGAATCATTGAAGAAAAGGAACTGCAATAAATCATTGATTTAGACTTTAATTTTACATTATGAATTATATCATTTTTATTTTATTTCCTTTATGGTAAATGGTTTAGCCATTTATACATTTGCTCCTTCTTTACTAAGAGTACATAATGGCATAATATTTCCTCCTTATTCAATATAATTAGCCCATTATTGTAATTCTAATCCTCTCCAACCTTCTTCGGTCTTTCCCAATTCATGTAGTTTATCATAATCCACCCATGTAGCCATTTCAGATTCTATTTAAAATTAATTACAATTATTTAATACCTTTGTCTGCTATTTTCTTAGGCACTTAATTTTAATCAGTTGGCTCTGCATAATAAACTATTTTAATTCTCATAAAACAACTAAATTGATCAATGTCTTATTCAACTCTTAACACTCCTTTCAAAGTTACATTAATTCCTGCTTCTTCAAGAGTTTCTCTTAAAGCTGCCTTTTCAAATTATTCTCCAGGATCAACTCTACCTCCTGGTAACCACCATCCTCTATTTTTTGTTTCTAAAACAGCTAAATATTAGTTATTTTTATTTCTAACTACTATTAACACTATTCCTATTCTATCAAAAAATTACTTTTACATTTATAATGCTTTTGATTATTTAAATGTTAATTCTTTTCTTTTAATATTTTATAATTTACTGTTTAACTCTGAGATACTAATATCATATGAGCATAACTCAATTGTAAATTTACAATAATTATAAAGTGCTTTAATAGAAATATATTATTTATGGATTATATATATAAATTAGTGATTCAATAATAATTATTAATATTGTACTTAAGAATTGGGATGTTGTTATATATTATTAATAATATTAATTTATCATGCGTATTATACAATTTACTATAAATATTACTCAAAATATCTTAATTAATTTATTTTGAAATATATATAAGGGCTGCAAAATATAAAGATTTTTTGTAATATAAAAATACATCATTTTTTTAAACAATTCTAATTCCTTATATGTAATTGATCAATCGTGACTTTTATCAATTTAGTAAAAAAGTTAATCTTCCAAAAACAATCGGAGTATTAGGATACGGTGCAATTGGAAAAGCCTTTACAGAAATATTATTAAAGTAACATCCATGTAAATTCCTCTATTAATTTGGTTAGAAGCTAATATTGTAATTCTTGACAAGCATGATGCTTTTTTTCCAAAAGAAAAGAGATTTAAGACAATAATATATAAATAAACCAGAGATAACCTAACACAAACACTAGATGTAATGGGGTAAATCAATAATATAATATTAATAAGCTTATAATAAGGAGATACACTAGTAGATTTGTCGACAAATATTGGGTTTCAAGAGATTTGGACACTTTGTGCTTAGAAAGGAGTTCAATATCTAAATACAGCATTAGAAGTTTGGGAAGACAGTGAAGATGCTAATTCATGTCCATAGAATGCAGACGAAGCATATAAATTGACATTAGGTTATATCAAAGATAATGCTAAAAAATCACCATTTTGGTTGAAAGTAAAAGTTTAATATCAAATTAAGGGTCCAACTGCATTGTTAGAAACTGGATTCAATCCAGGAATAGTATCTCATTGTGTTAAAAGAGGTTTAGAAGATTGTGCTAAGCATTATATAGAGAATTCATTAAGAGATTATAATTTAAATGATTTAAGAAGGTATCTGAATTAGAAGAACCATTCTAAATTAGCATAAGCACTTGGAGTACATACAATTCATTGTTCTGAAACTGACAATTAGTTAATGTCTGAAATTCCTAAAGATGTCAAGACAAAGTTCTATAATACATGGTCATGCAGAGGATTCCTTACAGAAGGATTAGTACCTATTTAAGTAGCCAGAGGTTCACATGAAGATACTCATATTCCAAATTGTTATACAATAAGGGATGGAAAAACTATAGTCTCAAAAATACCATCTGTTAATATATGGGCAAAGAGTTGGGTACCTAATGAAGATATTACAGGTATATTCATTATTATCTAAAGTTTAGGGGTTTTAATTCCTCATGGTGAAGCTTATTCTATTTAAGATTATTTGAGTGATCCAGAGACAGGATACTCACCATCACAATATTATGTTTATGATTATAATCCATTAGCTAAAGAGTTCATTAGAAACTTACCACTAGATGCTACCATAGAGAATACTCATCCAGATATGGAAGTTATTCATCCGATGAATTATCCTTCATTGAAAGGTTGGGATAAAGTAGGAGCTCTATTGATTATGAAAAATAATAGAGCTTGGTGGACTGGCAGTATTATGGATGAAATTGATAGTTCTAAAATTTATAATGGAATGTTTGGTCCAACAGTCTTATAAGTAGTGGCAGGAGTATATGGAGGATTTTTGTGGACTTGTTAACATCAAAATATAGGTGCCCACTTTTCTGAAGATGTTGATACTGATGATCTTATTCGAATTGTAATAATTTATTTATTTTAACATTTCTAGAGTGAACATCTAATGGGTAGATTTATATCGATTCCAGTTGATCTCACCAAAACTAAGATTAAGGATTGTTACAAATTGTAAAGTTTTCTATGCCAATAAATTTGATATTACAACTATAAATAATTAATTAATTAAATATCCAAAAATGAGTTTGAGCTGGCTAGTATCACCATAACTTCATAAAACCACAAATGGCTATTATATTAATCATGATAACCTCATGCTTGGTAAATTTATCCTATTATAATTAGCTGGACCATAAGATAGAAGAAGATTAATATTTTATTTTATTGCTAGTCAAACACCTGAAAAAATCACTTAAGAAGATCATAAGAAATTCATCAAAGAATAAACAATAGATGTCGACATGAGATCTGGCATATTTTCTTTTGGTGGTATATTCTTAGCTTTAGCAACATTAAGAGAACAACAAATGATCACTTCCAGAATTACAAGCAGACCCATTTTAAATGGAATGTTCATCTTAGGAGTTGGTAATATTGTCTTATATACTTATAGGTTTGGTCTCAGCCGCATTTTCTTTCAACTTGTCCAAAGTTTTGTTTGAACCACTTTTTGTATAAAGAAATCAAGTGTTGTAAGAATTGGCTGAAAAGTATAATTTTTCAGTCTTTGATTTTGCCCTTGCCAAGAAAGAAGCAAGATTAAAATAATTAAGAGCAGAACTTACAAGCGATAGTAGTAATGCTGCTCATTTCTGAAAAATAATATTGCAATATCAATAAAAATATAATTATTATAATGATTAGAAAATTATTATCAAGGTCCCTATTTATTAGACCATAATTCTGCATTAATCATATGTATTATTATTCAATTTATAGACAAGATTTGATACTCAAGATTAATTTAAGAAATTTAACAGAACAAGCATTGATAGTATTAAGTCATCTGTCAGACCATTACCATCTCCAACTGAAGAGGCAGGACTCTTCATGGAAGAAAATGAAGTAATAGAATATATCTCTACATTATCTAGGTCGATGTAAGATTCTTGAAAGTCTTGAAATCCTTTGAGAAAATAGATGTAAAATCTGTCAATTGGGAAGGAGATTTGATTAAAGATCTAGGTTTGGATAGTCTTGAAAGAATAGCTTTGATCACTTCAATTGAGCATGAATTCACAGCTATATTTGAAGACAGAGTATTTGATAATTTGAAATCATTGCAAGACATTAAAAAGCAGATCTTAAAAGATGATTCTGCATTTTGAATAATATATTATTAAAAAATAAATATAAAATTATGCAATAATAGTTTGAAGGTTATCTGCTTCTCCATAATATAGCAAAGCCTAAAAATATAGGCACTATTATCAGGTATTAATTCTATCAAAGATAAATAGAAATGCTGCAGCATTTAATCTAAATAAAATTTTTATGATTGGTAAACAAGGTTAAACAAAAAAGAAATTTTAAATTGCTGATGGATTTTCTTTTTTTGGTAATCATGGAACTTTTGAATAAATGAATTTTCATCTTTTTACTAATTTAAAAGAAGCAAAAGATTATTTTGTACAAAACAATATATTTGTTTGTGGTGTTGAAATTGGTGAAGGCTCTTAAAATATTGTCACAAATCCTTTTAAGGGTAATACAGTCTTCTTTCTTGGAAATGAAGTAAATAAATAAAAAAACCAATAAAATAGGGTACAGGGTTGATACCAGAACATAAAGCTATTTGTGATCATTTTGTGTATATTCCTTAATACACTTAAAAAACTGCTAGTCTAAATGTTGGTGTTGCATCAGGAATAATATTTCATCATTTTGCATGTAAATATTTAATAAATTTACTTTAGTATGGGCAGGATTCTAAGAATAATAGGTAGAAGGGGAGAAATTCTTAGATCCAGAAAAATAAAAAGAGGAAAGAGAAAAAAAGAAATAAGAGATGATTGAATAGGGTAGAGAAAGAAAGAAATAAAAAATAGAATAATAATAATAATAATAATAATAATAATAATAATAATAATAATAATAATAATAATAGAATAATCATCCATAAAATAAAAATGATAATAATGATAATGAATGATTTTGTTAATACATTAAATTCAATTTAATAATTCCTAAAAGGCATCTTAACTATCTAATATACATTATTTAATTTCTGACATTCCTTTTATAGTATTAAAATTTAAATAACCATGTGATAAATTTTCATATATAGTTATTTTGACATCTCTCTATACTACTCTAAATAATATTAAATAAATAATATTACTATAATCTTGAAGCTAGTCTAAATACTTAATCATATAAAGGATCTTTATTTCCACAAAATAGTCTTGTTGGTGGGAAATATTTTAAAATATCATATGACAACAACAAAGGACTCATAAATGAATCAATTCCCAATTATGAATCAGGATGAGCTGAATAAGATTCAATACAAATTCCTAATATAGTATGACTAAGAATTTTATCATTCATGGAATTCAAATAACTAGGAGTGTATTAAAATCGTATATCAATAGCAGGATAATTCAAAATCAATCCATTTGGAATTTATAATTTATATTTAATTATTAAACCAACTAAGGCAGTAGCTAAATTACCACCAGCACTATCACCAGTGACAATAATCTTATTGGGAATTATACCAAATGTTTTTTCAGAATATTTTATTATCCAATTATAAGCTTGCCAACAATCATCTAAAGGTATTGGATAAGGATATTATGGAGATAAACTATAATCAATAGAAAAGATGGGAACATTTAAATTGATAGCCCAATCTCTAGTATAACATTAATGACTTGATGAAGATTATGAGATAAAACCACCTCCATGAATATGAATGATAATCTTATCTTCAAAAGTATTGTTTTGTTTTATGAAGAATGATTTTAGAAAACTAAAAATATTATCCTTTTCCATCACACGTTAGTTGTACAATAATCTAATTCTAATTCTAGCTTCATTTTTAACAAATAAGAATTTGTCATCTCTGTGGATTTCTTAATTTACATATTCAATTGGATGAGTAGAGATTTGATCATAAATACCTTATTTAATTTATTTGTTGGCTTCTTGAATTGTGAGTGGCAAAACAACTGGCAATATATAAAATTTTAAGTTTGTAGCAATTTTAGGTAATCCCAAATTAATTAAATGTTTAACTCCTGGTAATTCAATAAAATTCATAGCCTAGTGTGCAGTATCAGCTCTTAATTAACTCATATGATCTTTCATTCCTTTTTCTGCAGCAGAACTTGATAAAAAATAATATAGAGAATTCAGACTGACTGAAAATATTTTACCCCATCTACTTGAATTCTTCTTACAATCATTAACTAAAGCATGACCAACCATAACAGATTATACAAATGATTCAAAAGATTGTCTAATTTATTCAGGGTCTCCTAAAGACTTTTAAATAATTAGGAATTATACTTTTCTTGTTATGATGCAATCTAATTTCTTCCAAACTGGATGAGTACTATTTAATGACATGATGTCATTTTAATCTGTATCAATAGCAGAAGGCATCATTAAGTTTATCATAAGAATTTGAGTTCCAACAATCTTGATTTCTTAAGTTAAAGTTTGAGTAGCACACATATTTTATTCATGTGATTTAAATTGTTAGTTCATATTAGGTAAGAAATTTGTCTATAAATAATTATAGGGCATTTGTAACATCCTTATATTTACATCATTTGCTATAAGTGCTTTAATTGATCTCTCTTAAACATAATCTAAATAGATGGAAATGATACTTTATTTTAATTCTAAAAGTATCTTGGTTGATGATTCTTTACAATTAGATAAGAGTTCATCTATAATCTACAATCCTTTCAATAGTATCAAAAATTGTTTATTGGCATTATTGAAAATCTTTTGTTGGACTTCTGATTCACACTTTACAGTCTTAAGTATCTTGATGATGTAGTTCAATTAATCGATTACTATTGAATTTGTAATTCTAATTGAATACTATCTCTGGTAGTTTATAAGCATAAGTCTTAGGATTAACATAAATTGACATTTTTAATTTAGATTTAAGTTTCAGTTGGTATTTATGCTTGGGAAGACTTGTAACAAACATTGTTAAAGAGTGTGTAATCATCAATTTAATTAGTTCTATCATAATCTGATGAGATAAATTCATTAGGATTAGTTTTTAAAAATTACATAATAAATATTTAAATTTTTGGATCTGTATTTTAGTGAAATATATAAAATATTTAAATCAAATTATTAATATTATTATTATAATTAAATGTTAGTTGGTAAAAGAAAATATTTCGAAGATGAGCCAAATGAAGTAATATGTTTATAATTAAATAAAGTCATTGAATCCAACTTTTGCTTTAAGAAGACGTATAAATTAAGATCGAAATCTAGAAACTTTAAGTTAAGCGCGAAGAAGATTAACATAGTATATAATTTTTAATAAATTTGTAGATAAAATTTGGCAATAATTTAAGAGAAATACCCTTAAATATAATAATCTGAAATTAATAGATTATTAGAAGACTTTGATAATAATGTTGAGATGGTATTTGAAATCCTAGGATAAAAAATGGCAACCCCTCAAAAAATTGACATCGATAATACAGATGTATAATTTAAATTATTAAATATAGTTTGACAACTATAAAATTTGTTTAAAAGAAGAATTATTGAAGAGGCTTCAATAATCCTAAAACATTTAAACAGCATAATAGAATATTCAACTCTGTTTTGATGCTTTTGAATAAAAATTAGGAGAAAAATTCTAATAAAATGTATTCACATATTAATATTTTTAGACTCAAAAGTTACTTGATGAAAATAAATTGCTTAAGTAGGCTTTCTTAAAATAAAATAAGAGATTAGAAAAAGTTAGAGTAGATGCAGAAAACAAAGACAAGCAACAATAAAATTTAATAAAAGACCTTACAGAAGAATGCAAACAATAAAAATTAATTAACAATAATCTCACAATATTATTAATTCAAGCTTAACAAAATGTTTCAATTAATAATAATAATTTGGATCATGATATATATTGAGCAATCATCTGTACATTTCGGATTTTTATTTCCTTCTTAGTTCTTAGATGTCCTAATATTTATAATGAAACCGAAATGCAATTATTTCAAAAAGCTATAAATTATTATTATTATGATTAATTTCCAAAAAGGAGTTTAGGATTCTCAGTTAAAATCTACTATAGACTATCGTATTAACAGATAATTTTAAGTTGTTTCAAAATCTAGAGAAATTAGACAAACTCAATCCTAATGTTAAAATAAAGTTGCAATTAATAACAATAATTATATCAAACCAAAAAGATCCATATAATATAATTCAATATAAACAGATTCAACAGCATTTGAAAGTTTAGAAACAGATTAGAGAAGACAAAGTACTGAACCAAGAAACTATTAAAAAAGAAGAAGTCGTATTATATCAACTGTATATAAAATTTAATTAATTAGTTTTTAAGAAAATATAAAGCTAAATAGACTTACTTTAATCATGTGATATGGATCATTTAGAGTCTGAATAAATTCCTATTGGAAATTTTCAAATTTAACAGTAATAATATTCTGAACCACCAAAAAATTGTTTTATTAATAAAGAAAATTATTAAGGACGTCGAACTAAGTTACCTACATTAAAAAAGCATTAGCTATGTAAATTTTAATTATTAATTTAAGAATTTGAAAAAAATGAAGGAAAAATAAGTGGATCTAATGTAGTTAAATTTGGAGAGTCTTTTGTGACACCTTTTTTTGGAACAAAAAAACCAATATCTTTAGAAAAAAGACCTAATGAATTTCAAGGATTAGTTTATAAAAGGAAAAAATGATTATGTAATTTTACTTTATATTCTCTATTGAAAGGAAACTTATAATTTTAATTAGATTCATTTTAAAATATAAATTATTTAATGAATAGTATTTTAATAGCAAATGATGGCACCCAATACTAAATTAAAAATCAACTTGGTAGTGGTTCATTTGGTACTGTTTATTAGGTGACTGATCTATCAATGAATAAACATTATGCTTGCAAAATAGTTAACTATAAATGATATTTCTAGATTTCAAAGGCCCTGCTCTAAAAATACAATGCTGAAAAGATGATTCGATAAGAAATTTATATTCAGTCAACCATTACTCATAGAAATATTGTAAAGGTAGTGAATTCCTTTGAAGATAACTATTATATTTATATCATTTCTGAATTTTGTTCTAGAGGAACATTGAAACAACCCAAAATTCCTTATTAAGAAAAGGAAATTTTCAACATAACACATTCTCTAATGAGTGCTCTAGATTGTTTACACTCTAATAGTATTGTTCATAGAGATATAAAGGTATTAATTTGTTAAGTTATCTATCTATTATAGTTGGAAAATATCTTTATAAATGAAGAAGGAACTTACAAGTTAGGAGACTTTGGATGGGCTACATACATAGATAAAATTGAACCAGTTATTTGTGGTACAACTGAATATATGCCTCCTGAAGTTGTTCTCAAAGAAAATCATGATTTCAAAGTGGATTCTTGGTCATTAGGAGTTTTGTTATATGTATGATTTAAAATCATTTATTAATAGATATTAGTTCATACTAATTATCCTTTTAGAGCATAATCATAATCTGAATTGATCTAATTAATAACAACAAAGGAAATTAATGTAAATAAAGGAATCGATGAAGACTTATAAATTTTAATTTTAGCCTTATTGACTAAAGATCCTCAATAAAGACCAACTATATAATAACTCTTTATGAGTAAATGGATTAAAAAGTAAATGAAATTATACAACATTTTCAATAAATATGAGAATCAGCAATTGAAAAATAAGACATTATCCAAAAACCTTGCAATTAAAATTATTGATGTTAAGTAATATTTCCATTTATTATTTAAGTGGATCTGTTAAAAAGTGTTTGGCTGATAGTTAGAAGAGTTCTTTAACATAGAGTACAAATACACAAATTAGTTCATCAAATAATCCTTGTTCACCTTTCCAAAGTAAGACAAATATTGATCATATTTTTTCATTTAAAGAAGATGACAACATCATATCTGTTCCATAACCTAAATTTGGTTGATGTTTTAATAGAATTATATGATTAATTTTTGTAAATATCATATTTGTATGATTATAATATAAATAATTATAATAATTAGTTCAAACAATTATTTATATATATATATAAAATGATTATTACTTTATATTTAATCAACTTTAATGATATATCCTTATGATTTTATATAGTAGTGTTAGATAATAACGTATTTCTTAAAATAAAATGATACGCAATAAACTTTTCTTCAATATCAATTGGCTACTATAATAGTAATTAAAATGATATTATTAATTATAATAATGATAGAGCCATATAATTATGATTCTGATATCTTTGATGATGAAGTTGATCATCCTGTTTCTGTTTATAGTCTAAAAGCACATTTTAAAGATGATATACGGATGAGAATGTAAGACAAATAATTAAGTGAACTTGATGTCTAAGACTTGAATCAAAAGATGAACTAATTAACACTTAATAAATGCAATTTTAAAACAGATATTAGAAGACATCGAAAATTAGCTTAAAAATAATAGGAATGTCTCAATATTTAGAAATAAACTTAAAATGATTCAAATTAGTTACAAGCAACTCTTAAACAAAGATAATAAGCTATATAATTATCATGTACTGATCAAATGACATTAATGGACACAGTTCCAAAAATTAATTTTATTAGAGAAATGAAAGATAGCATCAATTAAGATGCAACATTAGATCTAAGAATAGATTTGAAAACTCAAAGTCAGAGTACTTTTGATATAAGAAAACTAAGAAATGGGCTTTCTCCTTCTCCAATAAATAGACTATCAACAAAGAATTAATCAAAACTATCTTAGAGATCTCCAGAACATGACTCCAATTTAGATTTATCATTCAATTATACTATGCAAGTTGCTTCTTAAGGTTCTATTTAATATTAAGATAATAAGTTTGAATAACAATAATCTAAAAAATCAACTATTAATTAAAAACATAATCATTAAAGAATAAAATTAAAAACTCAGCAACATGTTCATTCATAAAGATCATCACAATTGTCTTTGCTTTAAATTGATTAAGAGGGTTTCAGAGGAAGATCTTTGAGTTCTGTATCCACACCTAAAAGTATATTAAAGAATCCCTCATATCAGAATTCTGTTTTAGATATTGTTAACAAAATTAAATTTTAAGGCAGACCATGCTTTTCTAGTTTAAATCTAATAGATTCAACTCCTAAAAAATTACAATAAAACATATACTCCTCTGCAAAAAGAGTTAAATTTTGTTTAACTAAATAATAGGCGCGAAGAGAAAATATTTATAATTGAATAACATATGTTTATAGTTTATCAAATTGATATTTATTAATTTTAATATCTTTAGTAATAATAAATATTTGATATATATTTTAACAATATCTTTTTATGGGATCTATAAATATTTTATAATTTAATCTGTTTAAGATATCTCTCTCTATTTTTAATTATTAATTTAATATTCTCAATCTTTTTTAATTATTTTACTTAGATCTAAATAAAATTTTTAAAAGATTGTTTTAATTGATGAAAAAATATTTAAACTTCTTTGTTTATTTTATAACTTCAACAAATTATTTGTTATCAAAAGTAGATTTTTTTAATTTGAGCTTAGAGACACTATTGCTTTAAATAGATGATTCATTCAAATTACTATTCAACTTTTACTTTAGATATGGATGTTTCCTTAATGAATCTCTTATGCCATATTCTACTATCTTTATTTCTTTACGATTTTTTGAAGATCTTATTTTAATAAGTATACGATTTTAATAATATGAGATTTTATTGAATATAATATTTATATTAGTATTTTTATATGATCATCTCTTTTTTCATTTTTTAAATCTAAATATATAATTTTACATTTTAAATCAACAATTTTAATTAAGGAAACTTAGTATACATAAATAACCTGTTCAAAATAAGTTTTTATTTTAGTTTAAATTTTTGGAGTATCTTAGAAAAACTTAAAAGGTGAGTTTAGAAAAACTCTTTTTATACAAAAATAAATTACTTATATGATTAAATAAATTATATTATATTATGTTAAATTTGAAAATTAGAAATTAATAAGATATCTAGGAGATTTAATAAAATTTATCATAAAATAATTAAAAATCTTCTAAAAAAGAAAGCAGAATAACTGACTTAATAATAAATAGTAGTATATCAATTGTTTTACTTGTGTAAGATAGCTTTCTTAAAATATATTTTAATTGAAGTAAGCCAATATTCTTAATTGAAGAAAAACAATTACATAAAATTTAATTTGTTATTTTTCATCAAGAATCAATTACATGATTTTTATTTTAGAAATTAACTAATTACAATATTGTTGTTTATCATAGAAGAATTAAACTATATAATGTCAGTATTTGAAAATAAGGAAGGGAAATTGATAGAGGCTAGAAACAAAAAATATTTTAATTACGATCATCTTAATTTTCTTTTGGACTTATTTGATTTAAGAATTGTTGGTAATTTATAAATATCTTAAACTTTCAAAATTATTTTTAATGAAAAATAATAATAAATTTCATTAATAAATAATAAATTAAATTTCTATCATATGTCATAATCTAAAAATACATTTTTGGATGAGTTTGACTATTTTAAAATTCCTGGATCCGGAGCATATAGTTCTCTCTAGTAAATACGATCCACTCCATGTTATTCGTATATATTAAATTTAACCTAAGATTTGGAAGTTAATAAAAATATAAAGTTATATAGAAATTTTAAACACCATCTCCAGCTGCTTATAATACTAATTCAAACTTAATTTAGTATGTCAATACTTTTAGGTTAAATTATCATTCATTTAAAAAGGTTTCCAACTTCTAGAAGATAACAAACTAATTATAATATTTATGTTCGTGGAGTAGGCGCTTATGATTTACAAAAATTTTTTGGAAAATAAAAGGGTTATACTTTTGGAACAAAATTGAATAGGGGAATTTTAAAACCTCTGTAGAAAAAACCATATTCTAAAGTGGGTGTTTATTTTCCATGGTCAAATACATATTTATACGGGATATAGTTTGAGTAAATTATGAATTTTATTTAGGAATGATCCATAATAGTAGAATAACTTTGAAGAACTTGGTTTAACAAGTAGAGAAATTCCTATGAATAATTATTATGGAGATAAAAGAGGGTTATGGGTTGAATGCATAAAAGAGTAACTCAAAATATTGATATTTTAGTGAATAATGTGAAGTATTATTCAAAGGAGAATATAATAGAGGCCAAAGAACTGGAATATGGAAATACTATTGGAAGAAAACTTTTTGTTATCCTATTTAGTTGATGTAAAAGATTGTGAAAATTATTAGTAACGGCGGTTCATATGTTTAAACCGATGGAAAATGGCTTTATTAAAATGAAGATTTTGATGATGATGATGTTTTAAAGTACTGTAACATTTTAGTTTAATGAATAAAATATAAGTAAAATCACTTACGTCAGATTATTTAAGTGCTACAATATAATTCAAGTCGCACCTGAATTATAGAACCAAATTGAAATTTGGTCATTTTCTATTTCAATCTGGTTTAAAGATTTTGAGTATGAGAATGAAGATTTCTTAAGGAAATGCTTTGATTATGATTGGAGCCACAGCAAATTATCAGATATTATAACTAATCAGGATGAATTTAATGAAGTTGAAAATTTAATATGGAAAAATTATAAAATGATTAAAGAAACATATAAATAGTATTCATCATATTCACCATCTGGAGATGTTTGGTCTATTCCAAATAATGTAATTGCAGATTTCGTATTTGAAACAGAATTGATTGATAAAACATTTAAGCTTTCAGATTTAGATATCAAATTTATTGTAACTTGTGCTACTTCATTTGAAAATAAAAGAAATTATAAAAAACCCAAAAGAGCATTGTTTAGATATTAATTTATGGAACTCTTAGTGAGAATTTCAATTGACAAATACTTGGAACAAAAATTAGCAAATAATATAGCTGAATCTGTAATTATGCTTTTAGATCAATGTAGACCTATCATGTAAAAATATGATGTACAAAATTGGAGAGATGAGAGATACTTCAATCAATAATGTGATAAATGTTTGAACTATTACAAACCTTTGTTATAGAATATTTATAATAAATACAGCATTAAAATAACCAAATTAGGTTAAAAGAAATTTATGAGTCTTGATAAATTTCAGTAAATTTGCTGTAAGGCAGGTTTATTAAAAGACGAATAAAAAGAACAAAATTTGGTATGAAAATTAATAATAATAGGCATTTAATTAATCAATTATGACATATGTGAATGAATTAGAAAGTGACAAGTTTTTCTCATTGAATTTTTTAGAGTTTATGGAAGCTATAGCCAGAATGGCTGAGAAGGGTTCGTGGATTGATGACTGGAGGAACCCATCTTAATAGATTCCATTGCATATTAAATTAGAAAAAGTTCTTATCTATTTAGTATAAACTTGTGCATCTCAAATAGATTTAAAAAAATATGGAAATTAACAAAATTGCATATTTAATGCTTGAACTTTCAATGATTGACTTAATAAATAATATTCAAATCTCATAAATATTATTGTTAATTCATTTTATAAAATATATTTGTGAATATTTATGTTATTTTTAATTGTTAACCTAATATTATGATATACATTTTGAGCTATTTTTTTCATATAGTTTAAATTAAAAAACGAACCAAAATGAAAACTAAGTTGTAAAGCATGAAATCTAATAAATATAGAAATAAAGAAATCATAGAGTGTTCTATATTGATAATTCTTAAATTAATAAGAATAGAAATATCAAAAATTTGCCTTAATCTAAGTTAATCTACAATTTTCCCACAAACAGAATTAATAATTAGCTGATTTTCTTTATGTTAATTGTTAGGAAGATTGATACTTCAGTGAATAAAGATGTTAAAAATTCAGCAATTATTTTCTGAGTTAATTTTTCAGAATCCTGTGAGGTGCTTAATTAATATAGTATACAAAAAAGATATTTGTTGCTATGATAATTTCTCAATGATACTGTTCTCTATCAAAGTTGATAAAATTAACTTAATAAAATATTAAAGAATCTTGTTTAGGTCTGAATAAAAAAACTTAAAGCGACCGTTTTCTTTAATATCATTTCATAAAAAGTATTGGATTATCAAAGTTTAGATTTAATTTCGAAATGCAGAATTTATGTTAATATTTGGCGAATGCATATATTTTTAATTTTTTGTTTTCTCATTTTTCTTTTTTACTTTACTTCATTAATTTATGGCGATGATTATTTATTATATTTTTATTTCAATTTTTGCACTTAATAATATAATTTAATTATGTCAAAAAAATTTGTAGAAAATGAGATTATTCTTGAAATTAATTTAATTAGGCAGATATATTCAATAATTAACAATCAATTAAATTGGCTTTAAAAGTATTTGTGACAGTTAATAATGAACAGTCTTTCTATCTTTTAATTAAATTATCTAATACAATTTGAAAAGGGACATAAATTAAAATTTATTCTTTTGATCTTAGCAAAGTAGTAAATAATCATATTAAGATTCTGTTTTAACCAAATTTTAAGGATATTACTTGTTTATTCATTCTTGCTCAATCAGAAAACTGATTATGAGGGATAAGTGTATTAATAAAAGAAAAAGTAAATATTTGGATAATAAGAAACTAAAATTCCTTAAGAACAAGTTAAGTCACAAAAATAAATTAGGAATATTTAAACATCGCCTAATTGAAAAAAAAGAAAATTAGAAAATGTATAACTTCAAATAATCATATGAGAGTCTATTATCTTTTATGAAGGAAACTGAGAAGTGAAGAAATTTGCTAGACAATTAATTCAAGATAAAAAGAGGAATAGATATTTAAGACTACTGCACAAGATATCATGGAAAGAATAACTGTATATATTTAGTAATTATTAGAATGCTTTAAAAAATAAAATATTTAAGGATGATAAAGAATTAAAATATCATCAAATAGATATAAATCAGGAAAACCCATTTTTGCTCTTCAATTTTAATATCAATAGAAATAAACTAAAATTTGATGATCTACTGCTACAATGAGGGTAGAATATTCTATGATTGATACAATAGTTATCAATTTTACTTTTTTTGTAACAAATCCTTAACCTTTAGCAAAATCATTGGTATAACCATTCTTTTTTTTCAAGTATTCCAATCATTTAAAATTCCTCCTTGCTATATTAATACTAGTTTATTTTTTTTTTTATGATAATTCATCCAAATCGATAATTTGTTTATTATATTAAATTGAATTAATCTTCATCTTAAATTTTATTCTAAAGCGAATCCGTGAAATTATTATTATCATTCAAAATTTTATACTATTAAAAATGTTCAAAAATAGGTATTTTGTAGAGAAGAAGTTCAAAATTAAAAAAAAAATTAACAGAAATAAAATCTAACCTTTTAAAATAAAACTATTTGATTTATTCAAATAATTAATTTTTTTTAAAGATTATTTTGTAAAATTTTACATTTATCTTAATTTAAAGCATAATTAAACTAAGTTTTGACAATTTTTAAAATTTAAAAGATAGCTAACTTAAAAAATTAGAAACCCAACCATGATTTTTACAATAAAGTTTATCAAAATTTTGAAAATTTATATTCAATATATATATTTAATATGTTACTTTGAAGTTGTATGCAAAGAGAAAAAATCCGATCTCAGAAAATATTGTTACTTTCTCCAAATTATAATCAAAATCCTATAGTATCTATTCGTCCCTCTAATATTAAGAATGAATTATATTTTAGTTTAAAAAACGATGAATCTTGCATTTATAGTCAATTTTTTTAATAGAATTTAAATTAATATCCAGCTATTAAAATTTCGAAGATATGGTTTTTTGGGAGAATTTTATTATTAAAAAAATACAGTTTTTATTATATAGGGAATGTTTAAGCAGTCTTTTTTTGAAAGAATTATAAGTGTATTTTTAAGTATTTCAGTTAAATATAAAAACCTTTATAAAAAAATTCTTAGAATGTAAAAAATGATATTAACTAAATAGCTATTTTTTAAATTAAATGATAGGAATTTGAACACAATATCATAGAATGAAGTTTTTTATACTAAAATTTAAATCCCAAATTTAGATCTAATTCTTTATATTGATAACAGTTAGAGTTGACATAATAAGTTTAAAATAAATTGAATTTCCATACAAACATAAAAGAAAGTTTAGCCAAGAGTCAATAAAGAGTCTTTTTAGAAAAGATATGTATATGGAGATAAATTAGAGTTTATATTTTCTAAAAATTTCCTTTCTCAATAATCATATTAGATTTTTTCGTATTAGCCTAGTTTATTCCATATTTTTCAAGAAAAATGTTTTACTAAAATTTATATAACTTCCCAATAACTTTTTTTGCTTTTATTAGAATCAATTCTTAATATTACAAGGTTTGGTCTTTTACTTATCATTTATACTAAAGATACATTTTTAAATTCTGATATAAAACCTTAAAGAGTGGAAAAAAAATAGATAATTATTAATTTAATTTAGAAAATGAATCTCAATTCTGAATAGAAAACAGATTTATATGAGGTTTTAGATTCATCAAGAAATATTGATGGACAAATTTTGGATATCTTATTAGAAATTTTAAGAAAAGAAAAATTTAAGATTGTCTAAAGTTTCTTTCAAAAGATTGGGATCTAGAAGAATTTGAATAATACATTTGTTAAAATGAAAATGTATAACCTAATAATACTTTATTAAATAACTTTAAGTATATTGCTAACGTTATCAAAAATATTCGCGAACATGACTTTTATAAACTAAATTATTCAACAGAAGAACATAAAGTAACTAGAACAAATCTAATCATTAAAGTATCTAATGAAAAGGCCATTTTTGAATTTTTAAAATTTCTAGTTCGTCTCACTGGAATAGATAACCAATTTATTTAATGTGGATCAAATTCGCTTAATTTATTAGTTGAAATGAAGGCTGATTTTTCAAAACAATGTTTTAAAAACATAAAGATTCAAAATACTTCATTAGTTGGAGCAAATTTTGTAAAATGTAATTTAATTGGATCAGTATTTGAAAATGTAGATATAAGTGGAATTAATTTAAATAAGGCGTTATTAATTGGTTGTAAATGGAATAACTTAAAAATAAATGAATTACATCAATTAGACGGTCATAATGAAGAAGTTTTTACAATATGTTTCTCTCCTGATGGGAACACATTAGCATCTGGAAGTGGAGATAATTTTATCTGTCTATGGGATGTTAAGACAGGTTTTAAAAAAAGCTAGTATAAAAGGACATAGTATTGGAGTAATATCAGTATGCTTTTCTCCAGATAGTAATACATTGGCATCTTGTGGTGCAGAATGTATAATTTTTCTTTGGGATGTTTAAAGGGGACTACAAAAATCCTAATTAATAGGTCATTGCAGTACTATTTATTCCATACGTTTCTCTCCTGATGGTAATACAATAGCATCTGGTAGTAGAGATTACTCTATCTGCTTATGGGATATTAAGACAGGCTTGCAAAAACTCAAATTAGAAGGTCATAATGATGATGTGAAATCAGTATGCTTCTCTCCCGATGGAAGTACCTTAGCATCTGGAGGTGGAGATTGCTGTATCATTATTTGGGATTTATAAACAGGAATGCTAAAATCTAAATTAGAAGGTCATAGTAGTTATGTACGCATGGTATTCTTTTCTCCAGATGGTACTACATTAGCATCATGTAGCGATGATAACTCAATTCGTTTATGGGAAATTTAGACAGGATAATAAAAATCTAAATTAGAAGGTCATACTAATTGGGTTTCATCAATATGCTTCTCCCCTGATGGAACTACATTAGTATCTGGAAGTGGAGATAAATCTGTCCGTTTATGGGATGTTAAAGCAGGACAATAAAAGCTAATATTAGATGGTCCAAAAGTATATGTTTATTCAGTGTCCTTCTCTCCTGACGGTAATACAATAGCATCTGGAAATGGAGATAAGTCTATCCGCTTATGGGATATTACGTTGGGGCAACAATGCTTTATATCAGAAGGTCACAGCAATTTTGTTTAGCAAATATGCTTCTCCCCTGATGGAGGCACATTAGCATCTTGTAGTGGAGATAAATCTATCCGTTTATGGGATGTCAAAACAGGAAAACAAATTTCTAAATTAGAAGGCCATAACGATTCTGTTTCATCAGTTTGCTTCTCTCCTGATGGTATAACAATAGCATCTGGAAGTTAAGATAAATTGATCTTTTTATGGGATGTTAAGAAAGGATAGCAAAAGTCTAGATTAGAAGGTCATAATAGTAATGTCCATTCAGTATGTTTCTCTCCTGATGGTAATATATTAGCATCTGGAAGTTGGGATAAATCCATAACTTTATGGGATGTTCAAACAGAAAAACGATTGTATAAATTAGAGGGTCATAGTAGTTTTGTTTAGTAAGTATGCTTCTCTCCTGATGGATCTTTGTTAGCTTCTGGCAGTTATGATAATTCTATCCGCTTATGGGATGTCAAAACAGGACAACAGTAATTAAAATTAGAAGGTCATAGTTAATGGGTTTAATCAGTATGCTTCTCTCCTGATGGTTCTATATTAGCTTCAGGTAGTTATGATAATTCTATCCACTTATGGGATGTCAAAACAGGAAAACTGTAATTAAAATTAGAAGGTCATAGTTAATTGGTTTAATCAGTATGCTTCTCTCCTGATGGTTCTATATTAGCTTCTGGTAGTGGAGATTAGACTATCCGTTTATGGGATGTTTAGACAGGACAACAACAATCTAAATTAGATGGTCAGGGATGTGTCTTGTCAGTATCCTTTTCTCCCGATGGTGCAACATTAGCATCTGGTTATGCAGATAAATCTATCCATATATGAGATGTCCAGAGAGATTAATAGCATTTAGTATCATAACATAACACTTAAGATATTCTTGAAACCCACATTTTAAATAAATTTTATGAGGATAATGGTAATTATTTATTTTTATTTAGCCAATACTAACATAACCATTCTTATTATATCTGAACAGCTACCTAAATTTTAAGCATAAGGAGCATTAATTTATTAAGGAGAATTTAAAAATCATATAGGCATTGATTTAAAAAATTTATTTTAATAAAGAGGAGGTTGCGTTTTGGATGGTTAAATAGGTTTTTAGTAAAAGCAAAATTGATGAATATAAAGAACATTATTATTATAGAATTATATTAATTTATTATATTTCAGATTTTGAATAGAATGACCATAGTTCTTTATTTAAGAAAGAAAATAACCTATTATTTTTATTAAAGAGGATTCTTTAATGTAGTCAGAACAATGTAATTAATTTTGAGATTATATGATTAGAACAAAAAAATGAATAAGAAAGAAAAATTGATTGTTATTATTCGAATTAATTTTAATTCAAGAAAGATTAATTAATATTAATTTCATAACACATTACTATTTATTAATAAGTAATTAATATTTTACAAAACTTTTAAATTAATTTCTAATTAAAAAAAGCATTATTTTTGGTTTTCAATAAGTTTAAGTAGCTTTAACTATTAATAAGAAATGAGTTCAAAAAGCAAAACAAAATAAGAAGGCAGGAATGGAAGGAAAAATATCATGAAATTGTTGATGTTTTTGCAAGGTGATGAAGGTTTGATTGATGGTTGTATAAATTCTTACCTAATTAATAATATATATCCGATTTTAATATATAAAAGAGTATACTTAAGTAATGCTAGCGCTTTTAAAAGTGCATTTTTATATATTTTTTTTAAAATGATAATATGTAGAATATCGTGATAAAAAAATTGATATTAAAAAAGATATCTTGTAATATCAAGAGATTTTGCTGTTTGAATGGTGTATATATAATTGATTATAAAAATCTTTTATAAGATAATGTGATTTTAATTTTTGTATTTCATTTAAAATGTATAAATATTAATTCAATCTATAAACAAATTTTTTAAAATAGACTCATAACACAATTATTAGAATATAGGGGAAATTTATCCAAAAATAAAAATGTATTTATTCTATTTTCACTATTCTTATACAAGAACAAACTAGGATCAAATTAAAATTTGTTTTCATTTAAAGTGAAATCGTCATCTAAATTTGTAGCAAATTATTGCTAAGAGTTGTTTTAAATTCATGATTTGATACTAAGTATTTCGAAATTTCCAATTTTAAACATAAAAACTACTATACTAATAATTTGAAAAAAATCTAGAATGGATGAGTAATATATCTTTAGAACTAAAAGTACCATCCTCAATAAGAAATAAAAAAGTTTTATAAAATATAGTTACACTACACGAATAATATAAATTAAAATATCAATATAATAACATAAATGATTATAATCCATATATTGAGAAGGATAAACAATTACATTTATCTTATGTAAGCATCTTTTTGATGAAATAGGATCAATAATGAATCAATATTATTTGATTGATGAAGATCAATTAATAACGGAAACAACAATTATATGATCCTCTGCCTTTTAGAAGTGCATTAAATGGAAATATACCAAAAATTATTAGATTCTTAAAATATATTTTATGAAAATTTAAAACAATTTTTATGAGTTTGTTAATAATTAATACCCAAAACATCTATTTTTTATGGACTGGTTTACAAACCTAATCTTCCCTACTATTAGAAGTGGAAGAGGATGTATCTACAATAGTAATTATTGCAAGATTTCACAAACATCGTTCTTATAAGTTAAGTAACTCAACTTAATTAGTCTATTTATCAAACAGCAGCTTCAGAAATTCCTGACAAAAAATTGCACTCATTAAGTGTTTTTTTGTAAAAAATTGTGGTATTGATATTAAATAAAAACTAAATTAAATCAAAATAGTATCCTAATCATATTTCTTAATCTAAACAAATTAATTTTATAAGAAATAATTGAGGCTACAGCTAAAAAGAAATCCATATAGAAGAGATAATTTAGAAAAAGTTACAGATGTAATTATATCAATCCAAAAAAGAAGTCAATAATAAAGTAAAAGGATAATATAATTTCAGTTGTTTCTTATTGATCAACTATAATATATCCTCTTTTGGACTTAGTTAATAAATGTAATAAAGGAAGTTTAAGGTTGCATTCCTTTTTTTCTTTACATTTTTACCTTTTTGGTTTAAATAATGGTTTTTTTTTCAATTTGAAAATTAAAAAAAATTGAAAATAACTATGCTTTGATAAAGAATATTTGCAATTAAAGATATTCTAGAAAAATAATGATCTTGAATGATTTCAACTAAAGTTAAAGTTAAAGAAGAACTTTGGACTAAATTTAATAAGGCAAAATTGGATTGCCAAGTTTAAAACTGTGCTACGAAAAAGCGTTTAGATCTTGTCTAATATATTTGAAAATAACTTTTCAAGTATAGGAAATTTTTGATAATTTTTTTTAAGCAATTTGAACGAAATTCTTAATTGAAGAGCAATAACTTAGACAAACATTATCAGAACAGCAAAATCGTGAGCATAATTGACCACATAATTAATATACTTATGTGAGAATTTCTGATATTATTATTATTATCAGAGGATAAGATATCTCCAACTAAATTATTTATTCTATCAATAAAACTTAAGGATTATATAACTCAGGTTCCAAAATTAATTAATTTTGAACCATATTTATCTGAGAATGAAATTTTTAATTTAAAGAGTTTCAAATTTTAAATATTAATCTAGCCTTATCAATATTTATAGATGTTATTTAATTAATTAATATTTTAATAAATTAAACATTCATAATTTCATCATTTTTCATTAATAATTTCACCACTAATTCACCCATTTATTAAGTTTAACCAGCCTAATTAAAAAGAAATGTAATGTTATTCTTATGACAAGCTTAACCTAAAGAAAAATAAATCGTTAAAAACCATTTCTACTATTAAGAGAATAATTGAAAATTTTATAATAAGATATTCTTTATGTTATTTCAAGTCATAAATAAGATGAAATAATAATTATTCATTATGTCTCAATAAAAATAAAAATTGATTTAATATCAATATCAAAGAATTTGGTAAATACATAATCTTTTTAAACAGAGATTATACTTAATTTTATTAGATAAAATAAATATTTTAGTCATGAATAAATCAAGTTATTAATATGAACAAGCTTGATTTAGCTATAACTTTTGAAGTTAATGATAAGATTATTTAATTAAAATAATTATTCAAAATAACTATTAAATATAAACTTTTTTCACATATTTGTTTGGAGCTTATAATAAGCTTCCGCTTTTATTATATGAAGTCCAGTATTTTAGGTATTTCCATTTTCATTGTATATTTTAAATTTTTATACAGATTAGTCAGAAAACTTAATAGTGGTTATGCTTTATACTAAAGTGCTTTCATAGATTATTGTTTCTACATCATTATAAATTAAATAAATTTTTATTGTATAGAATCTGTAGGATTAGTCCCAAAACCATATTTTTAAAGTGTTTAATTAATATTATTCTTATAAATCGAAAATTATTGAGTTACCTAAAGCACTTGCTGTAAATCCATATCCACCTGTAATAGTATAAATAGTATCACGGTAACAACTACCTTAATTACCTCCTGAAAATCCATTTATTACTTTTGATGAGATTAAAGCACCCATATTATAGTTTAGCACATTTTTATACTTTCCCCTAGTAATAAACTTTAATCTTGCCTCTCTTCTCTAACATGCTTAATTGTATACTAATTCAAAGTTGAATAACAATAAAATGACAGAAAAAATGTATTTATTCCACTTCATCTAATTATATAAGTTTAGTTGGTTAGTTATATTAATATACATCATTATAACCAAAATATCAAATAAAGTCAACAAAACTTAACTAAGAAAAAATTACATTAATAATTATTGTTATTATTCAATTATCATATCTGATTTCTTTATAAATTTCCTCTCCATTACTTTTACCCTATTGCACCCATAAACCAACTTTTTTGCCATTTAAATATTCACCATTATAAATTATTGAATTATACCAATCAAACTTTTCCCACGGCTCAATCCATTTTCCAAACTTCATACCCTCACCTTTCTCATCATATGATCCCCCTCCTCTAAACTATCGTACATATTATTTTACATTTATTCATCTTCATCAAAAACATCCCATCTACCAACTTTTTTTCCATTTTTATACTCACCAATATAAATGATATTTGAAGCATACTGATAGCCCTCACTTATATCCACCCATTTTCCAATTTTTAATCCGTTTCCTTCTTCATCAAATAGCCCACCACCGCTAAAACATTTATAAAAATTATAGTTACATCTATTTTCCATGATATAAAATATCCCATCTACCAATTTTTATACCTTTTTTATATTCTCCAACATAAGCCACCTAAGATTCAGCCCAAAAGCCCTCACTCAATTCGGTCCAATTTCCAATTTTAGTTTCATCTTCTACTTCCTCATAAAGGCCACCTCCACTTAAATATTTTACTTGCAAAATCTTACATCAATTTAAACTCGTTCTCATCTTCCTATCTCCACATAATATCCCATCTTCCTATTTTATTCCCATTTTTATACTCCCCATTGTAAGTGACTTGTGAATTATTTCTAAATCCTTGACTCAATTCTACCCATCTACCAATCTTAATCCCCACTCTTTCTTCATCATATAACCCACCACCACTATAATTGGATATACTAGACATTACATCTATTTATTCTCTCCATCCCAATTCCAATAGGTATCCCATCTACCAACTTTTTTTCCATTTTTATATTATCCACAATAAGATATTTATTTCCAATTATCATATCCATCATTTAATTCAATCCACTCCCCGATTTTAATTCCTTAGCCTCCTTCATCATAAAATCCTCCACCACTAAAACATGATGAAAAAATTATTACATCTAATCTCCCTTATATAAAATGTCCCATCTTCCAAATTTATTACCATTTTCATATTCACCTATAAGGGTTACTTCTTACTCATTATTGTAACCATCTGGCAACTCAATCCATTTCCCAATTTTAACCTCATCACCAGCCTCATTATAAGATCCTCCACCGCTAAATTTTCTTTTAATAATATTTACATTAATTCAAATTCTTCCTAACCTTCGCTTCTTAATTTAATATCCCATTATCCAACTTTTTTGCCATCTCTATATTCTCCTTGAAAGGTAGCTTGAGATTGATCCCAAAATCCCTCAGTCAATTCTATCCATTTGCCTTCTTTCCTACCTTATGAGTTATAGTCTCCTTGACCACTTTAATATATAAGTATATCAAATACATTTCTTTATCTCCATATATATATTTCCAAGCTCCCCTTCTTTATCCATTATCATACTCTCCAATTTCGTAAGCTTATGCTTTGCTATTATATAATTAAAATTAATCAACCTCCAATAATTTTTGATTAGCTCTTTCCATTTCCCTAATTTTCTTCCATAGTCTGAGTACTAGCCACCAACTTTGTTTAATGGTTCTCCCTTCCAAGTAGCTACCCATTTTCCAACTTTTTAATTATATTTTCCATAAGCTCCAATCCAATTTAAATATTGTATTTACTCTAAGTTACTAAACATCTAGGGTTTTTAGGAAGAGTCAATAATTATATCACTATTTTGTTTTCAATATAAATATAATACCTTCTTAAAATTGAGCCTTACCTAATATATTAAATTTCTTTTTATTTAGTAAATATTTTTTAATATTCAGTATCGATAAATCTTTCTTTTGAACAATTCCATAAAAAACTTTTCTCAATGTATCTACTTTCTTGCCACACAAATTATTTATCTTATTAGCTCCTATTTTATATAGAAAATATTTACTTAAAAATTGACAATATTTCACACATTTCAAAATTGAAATTTTTACTAAAATTTTTCATCTCTTGTTCCAACCAATTTTTGGATGTCTCCAATTATAACATAAAATAATTTTTTTAATTATTCCAATCTTCTAATGTATTTCCTTCCAAAATTTAAACTAACTATTCTAAATCATTAATTGAAGAATCTGTGGGATTGGAATTGTTGTCTAAGAGATTAATGTATGATTAATCTTTTTCTTCCATCTTGCTAAATATTTTTTCAATTGATTCATCAAGTTATTTATATAATTTTATTATCATCTATTCTGTTGAATCGAGAACACATTTAAAAGCAACTCTGAACTATTATTTTTACTAGTTCTCCTTTAACTTATATTAATTGACTTTCTCTTGTAATTTATCCAAAAAAATATTGATTGGAAGTGGCTTTTATTGGGTTATTAGATGATTGCTCAAACATTAAACACAAAGTTTTCTCTAACATTTATGAGATGAAACACAAATAGCTGATATTTGTTATTAAGGATGATCTATACAATAACTCATTATCTTTATAATTTATTTATCATCTTTTCAAAGATGGAATTATATAATCACGCGTATCTTAATTTGACTTAATAAAAATATTTAAAATATATAAAAAGCAATTTAAATACTCATTGTTTTTAAGGACAAAACTTCCTGATTAATGGATAATTTTCGTAAGATTTATAAATAAATAAGTATCTCAATTTATCAACTCTGATATTTTCTAAAATAACTTGGTTTTGAAATATCAAATAGATTAAAAATTATGTTGACACTTTTAATTATAAATATTGTATACTGAAATATCATAGTATCTAAGTATCTAGAATTTTTAAAGATTTTTATATTAAGTTTCTATATTGAATATGGCATTTTTCACAATACAATTAACTTATTCTCTCTTTAGATGTTACATGTTACTAAATCTCGGGTTATATTTCTCGCCTTATTAGTGAATTTTTCATTTTTCTAGTAGAAAAACAAATTTTGCTGCCTAGAGCTATGCCAAAATGATGCTTTATTATTTCTTGATAGAATCTGACATAAAAGGTATAATTTTCTATATTTTCAAATTTTATACATATGGTTGTTGTAGTATAAGCTCAAAAGATTGCTTTATAAAAAAACAAACCAATCTAAAAATTAAAGATTTAAAATTACTATTAATTATTACTTCAAAAAATTTTATCCTTACTAAGCAGATAGAAGTTTTACTGCTAAAGATTGAAATATGATGTTTAATCTATTTTAATTTAATAATTTACTGGGCATTAATACCTATTTATTTCAGAGTTTGACAGTAATAAATGCGGTGCTCTTAAGGATGTCATAAGAAGTTTAGGAAGGACAATCAAAGTACTGATTAATTTTTACCATAAACAAAGTCATTATGTTTAATTTAATCTTATGCCTTCATTTATTAATATAGTAAAAATTGTACTTTCTAAATTCCATCAAGATATATTTTAGAGAAATTTCAAGTAAGTTTAAAATACAAATAATATGTAAAAGTATTTAGGAAAAATTTCTTAATAACTATATCAACAGGAGCATTCTCTTTAATTAAAAAAATATTACAATAACTCATCTACTATTATTAAAATAAAATTATTTTTTTAATTTCTATAGTGTCAAAATATCAATCAAAAAAATTATGTCAACTTAAAGTCTATAGAAAAATAATAGACTAAATTCAAAAAAATTATCTTACCAATGGAGATTTAAATCCCCTGGATCATTGTAGGTAGAGATCCTAAGGAAAGAAGATCTCTTCAAATCTTCAACTATTTGAGGACTAGAACCTAATTGATTTTATGAATTTAGAAATGTTGTTGAAATTGAAGAATAGGAGAAGGATAAAGGGATCAATATAATCTCTAATTTCCTTTCTAAATTTAGAAGGTATAATTCTAGACATTAGGAGAATTGTTTCTGCAATCTGTCTTATTCTTAATTCTAGAATTATTTAGATCAACTCTTCAGAAATAGGAAACCAAAAATTAACTCATAGCCACTATTTATTGACTTCAACTACAAATAAAAAGAATTTACATGAATAATTAAGGTAGCACTTCAAGTAAGATTATTTTTTCTTATCTTCTATTATTTTTGTAGAAATAAGGTAGAATCACATATGTTCCTATAAATGGATACTTTCCATTTTTGTCACTATTATGGTATTCTGTTAATTAAATAGGATCCAATTATCATATGGAATGAAGTTAAAATTACATATTAGTGGATTTAAATAAAGATCATTGTCATTGCTTATGACGATTTATGAAATGGATTTCTAAATACAACTGATAGATTAAGAATATTTGTCCTAATTATTATTGAATAGTTTTTGTAATAACCCTGTATGTTCTACAAAAATTTAATTAGATAGAAATATCTAAAAAAACTGCTAGAATTGTATTCTAAAATAAGGTATAAGTTAAACAAAAAAGCAATAATTTAATAATAATTGTTGTAAATGCCTTAGAGATGATTGTTAGTAAGGCTACTAATTAGGTCAGTTAAATGAGTATTAAAACTTTGATAAAGGGTCAGATTCTGAAGGAACATAAGCCTAAATATATTCAGAATTAAATTTAATTAATTAATTAATGGATAGTAAGATCATTTAAATAGGAATTTTTATAAAGAACATGGAAAATTGTTTGGTTGTATAATGGAGTTCTTGCTCTTATACTTGGAGATTGTATAATTGGAATAATCAATGGAGAGAATCTAGAGTTATCACTCTATGATAAGATCTAAGTAGATAGGCACTTTTTTAGATTTGCTGAATACCCAATTTAAAATGCTTGTCAGTAATGTGTTGAAATTATCAACAGAGTAAGTTGTTTACAAATTCTATTTCAAATAGTTTTTCTGATACTTTCATTAGAATTATATAATCACTTTTTTGATTTTTAACAAAAGATTCATTTTTCAATATATAAAACTCATAGTATTGATAAGGAGTTACATATAATAAAGAAAAGTAGCATTTAAAATTACAAAAACTTATAACAAATCTTTTATGTATTTTTTTTGATTTTTGCAACTCTTTTTAATAAATATTTTTATAATTGGATTAATTGGACAATATTAAGGTTATAATGGCTCTTTTAAACTATCTTCAACAATCACTAACTTACTTATCAGATTTATTCATAGATCAATATGCCATTCTAATTTATATAGTAAATTTTATACTTCAATTTTAGAATATTAAAGTAAGTGAGCTACCTCTCTTGAATAGAATCTAATTATTCATAGTCCTTTGTTGCTAATCTAGTAAAGTTATTAAAGGTATTCACTAAAGTAACTATTCTAACATTATTATAGAAAAAATGCTAGATAGTAGATCCAAATTCTCTTTTGAAAGATAAGATCTTTTTATAGTTACAAATGAATTAAAAAATAATGAGACAATACTTTGAATACTTATTATAGCAGACAATTTACCTTATTAATAATTTTCAAAAATATTTATTTTGTACTTAATTAATATTGTGATATGAAATAAAATATTCACAACTAAATGTTATAATGATATTCCAGGTAAAATTCTTATAGCATCTATGATTTGGTTGTTCAATTTTGAAATTCTCATCTAATCCATAATATTAATCTACTTGTGATAAGAAAATTATAACAAATCATTTATAATCAATTTAATATTTATAGCAATTCTACAAAATAGTTTTCCTTTTCTTTTGGAATAAGAAAGTTTTGCTCAAATTTGAATATATATTTTTTTTATGTTCATTTCAACTTATATATGATATGAATTAAACAAATAATAATATGTAATTGTTTTAATGATATTATCACAATAATTTTTTAATAGATATTCTCATTATCTATTTTCCAATTCAAAATAATTTGAATTTCTGGTTAATGTCTACTTATATTTAAAATACTTTAAAATTATTATAGTTATTAAAGTTATTACAATTAAAAGAAAAATGGAGAGTCCAACTATCAAGCCTACATTTTATTTTTCTTTTTCTTACGGAATAGACTAGTAGGCTTCATTCAATAAAAAATATGTTTATTTGGCTGAACTCTATTAATTTGAAGCAATTATATCAATTTATGATTGTTAAACTCCTGTAATATCAACATCAATTTCAAGCCAATTTTAAAGAGGATATACAATTGTCTAATTGAAATAATTATTAGTGAAAAATAAATAATTTTCGGATACTACTGAAAATAATAATAAACCTGGTATTTAGAGTGTATAAAATTCTTAACCTATTATTTGGACTAATTTCTCATCTATAGAATAACTAATGTTATATAAATATTTAATTTACTTCTCAAAACGAGCATAAATATTAGTGGTTATAAATGTGAAATTAACATAGTTTTAATTAATTATCATATCATTAAATCCTTAAAATACAAAATAGCCACTAACATTAGAGTTAAAACTTAGGAATAAATTTGTATATTTATGGAACCCTATAATAGTTCCGTTATTAAGATTAAATAAGATTGCATAAATCTCAATACTATAGCTTAATGAGACAATAAACTTTGATTCAACTACAAAATCTTTAGCTATAAGTTTTGAATTTTAATACTATTGTATATCAGATAAAAATTTGAAGTAAATTGGTAAAGTTTGATATAAATTCCAGGTTGTAATTGAAAAATAGATGTTAAATATTTAAGCATACTAGTTAGATTAAAAGCCAAATTATTAACTAATTTATGCAGAAATACATGTATTAAGTAAGTAAAATATGGGATTATATATACCATTTTTTTATAAGGATGTAAATCCAAATATTTAACAAGGTTAAGTTGTGTAATTTGTAGACATGCTGAGATAAACAAATTCCAAATATGAATTACTACAAAGGTTACTTGAATTAAATATTTATTCCAAATAAATTTTATTGTCAGATATCCAAAAATAAAATGATTAATAAGAATATTATTAAATTAATCGTTTATAATTAATTGTTAATACTTAGAGTACACCATTATTATAATTTGCTTTATAAAAGTTTGAATACTCTGAAAAATTATATTAAATTCCTATATTTCCTGTAAGATTATAAGCATATATAGTAGTTGTTTCATTAGCACATATCGAAACAGGAAACTATGAAAATTTATCTATAAATATCACAAAACAGTAAGTATTTTAATAAGGAAAGTTATATATTAAACTGTAAACTCCTGTTTATTCATTTAGCTAGTATAAACTGATATTGTTTTAAATAAAGATCATGTTGTTATTTTTGACTGCGGCCTGAAATGAAAAGTTTAATGTTTAAGAAGTTAATCCATTTATAGGTTAAGTAAAATTAAGTGATTTGCATTCTATACAATTTATTGAATAATTCTTAATGTTTCCATTAAATAAATTGGATGGATTTATGATTAATTTTGTACTATTTTGAATTTTTAATACTTAAGATTCTGAGTTGAATTATTTTTGAGTAATAAATTATCGTTCAAATAATATGTTGACTTTTTGTTGTAATTAAAGTGAACAATTTTAATCTTACGCCAAGTAACTAACTGTAGTCATATAAGAATAATTGGTTTCTAAAAAATAAGGCACTATTTGAAATTCGCCATAGAGAACTGAACCATTGACTGCCAATGATTTATTGGTAAATATTTAGACCAATTCTATATTATATTTTTACTTTTAAACAACACTCATTGATATTATAAGTACATTCTATGAATTAGCGAATAAGAAATTTGAATAAACGAATGAATTAAATGGGGAATCACTACCAGAAAAATAGGCACAAAATATCCCATACTAGTCTTGCAAGATTAAATAAAAGTGTTTTGGAGTATATGAACTGATAATTTATCCTGTTTAAAATTAGTATCCTAATAAATCTACTTAATAATAATTTTATAACGAGTTTGAAATATAAACATTTTATATTGGATAGAAATATAAATAGTTGTTATTTTATTCAACAATCGCCATATAAATTCCAGTTTGTAATATACCTATCTATATTTAATTGTAATTAACAATTGGATATGTAATGCTATTTACAATTTCATAAGATTAATATCCTTTATACGATAAGATAATTAAATTAACTTGATTATCAATAAATAAGAAGTTTGGATAATTTATTAAATTAGTGTATATATATTTAAATGTATAATTAGATATAGTAAATAGGCTAGATTTGCCATGTTTGAGAAAATATGCAGTCAGATTTCCATCAATGGTTATAACAAACAGAGTTTCTTTTAATAAAGCACTGCTTAGTATTTAAATTGGCATTGTAAGTTTATAAAAATCCTAAGGTTAGCTTTAATAGTTGAATTACTGTATTAATATTGTATCATTTAATTCTATTAAAATATTAATATATTCTTATGTCATGATACATGAACAAGACTGCATGGTTTAATTTGTAGTAATTAATAGATTTTAATTTTATAATATGGGATTCCAATATGAAATTTCGACTGAAAAATTTTGGTATTATGAACAATAAATAGCACTACTATCATAAATAGAACATAGCTCTAAAGTTATAATACTGTAAGAATTGATAGTACTTTTAAAATAATTGCTAGATGTATCAGCGTATAACAACTATGGATTTTGTGAAGTAATTGATTAAGTGAGATTTGGACCTAAAAACACTTCAGTAAAAGGAATATTATATTAATCAGGAAAATTAAGATATAAATCGTTCATTTTATGTTAGAAAGGTATAGGACATTTTGAATTAGTTAGATTTTAGGGCATAATCCAAATTTAAATTTATCTTTGTATTTATTATAAGGTTTGAGGTATTATTAATAATTATAACTAGTAATACTTTGTATTTTATTCGATCAAAAAAGTTTAATTAATAGATATTTTTATTTATGGATTATTAAAGAGAAAAGTTGAAAAAATGGCTTAACCGTTTAATAATTATTATGTTACAATAATCTACCGATTATATTAAATCAAAGCATAATTACACTATTATAATGGCAAAAAACTTGATGGAAAGATAACTTATTCTCCAGAAAGTTTCATAATAAAATTATTTGTTATTATGTAAATACTATTGATGGTGATACTAATTTGAATCATCCTTTAATATGGATTAATTATGAATGAATTTATAGTTTTTTTATTTGGTATTTATACTTCAGGATTATAATAATAAATATATAGTTATAAATTATCCAAAACTGCTATCCGAAATAGATGATTATTAATCTCACAAACTGCCATATAATTCATTTAATTTCCTGAGTTTTATATCTAAATTCTTCCTGTCTTTGAATTATTTAATAAATCTAAATATTAAATAGACTTGGAATCCAATAAAAATAAATTTAATTATATGATTTCCATTTAATAATAAGAGCCTGAAAAATTAAATGAATTTACAAATACTAAACTATTTTAAAAATATTTAAATATAACTAAGTTAGCATCCACATTTGTAATATAAGAAATGATAATCTAATAGGCAGTATCATTCAGATAATATAAATTAGTTTTTAAACTTAAATATCCCTAAGGAAGTGAGTAATTCGTATTGTATTATGTATATTGCACGTTTGTTGAATTTACAAAAAAAAATGAAATTTATTATTAATTCAAACAAGTTAGGATTCCTTATGTATGAGTGATTAAATTTATGTACTGACATTCTATATAGAAATTATATAATAATTTTACCCAAATTTAGTATTTATACATCAATTTTCTCAATTATTAGACTACCAAAATTATCCAACATACCTGCATATAAAATTTATTAATTAGATAAAAACCAAAAGTAGTTTGAATATATACCTGATACTTCAATGTAATTACTAGCAAAAATGATGATCTCGCCTATTATTATACTTTCATATATTACTTGAATTGAAAACTTGATTAAAAAGTGGAAGAATTGATTGTTATATTTCTAAATTGTAAATATTAGAATTTACAATCTAATAATAAGGAGCCTCAATGTCTTTTGGAGTATATTATTATAATAGAACAGTATTAGGCTAGCCAACTAACATGGCATAGTTGTATCCATTACATTAAATGGTAGCTATTAAATCTAAAAATAATAGAAGCATTTAATTGAATTTAACAAATTTATATTAAATAATATGGAAATAAAAGAAGAATCTTGAACTAAAAGGCAGATATACGCAACAATTAACTTATGTCAATATAATCCAAATAAATAAAATAAACAGTTTTCGTTAATCTAAAACCTAGTCCTAAGATAAAACTATTTTGAAAAACTCAACGTATAGCCATTTACTTTATTTCCTTCATTTATATAGATATTAAAGTTTATTGAATAATTAATTCCTTTCATTTATTTAATTGAAGTTATTTTTCAGTAATCAAATTTTTTCATCTTCATATTCAATATAATTATTTCTTAATTTAATTTCAAATATTATATCAAAAATAGTATTCAGGTGTATTTCAAAATAATTAAAAAATCTTATGGCCCAAGAAATCAAAGATTAAGATATTCAATTTAAAAATACATCAGAAGTTGTTCTTTTCCTTTTCCTTTTCCTTTTCCTTTTGATTATCATTTTTATTTCAAATTTGATCCTTCAAATGCTGAGCCTATAACAATAATAATATGAATACTCAATAACATTAAGTTATAAGTTAGATAGTTTTGTTGATATTTATTATTAAATATTGTAAATAAATTTCATATTTTGATATTTTGTTTTCCTATCTAAAATCAAGGCTATAAAAGCCTAAGAAATAAATTTTAGAAAAAAAATTAAAATAACTTTTATTTTATCGGCCACCAGCAAACCGATAAAATAAGTTCCTGCCGGTGAGGAATTAGGGTGACTAGGGTTAGCCCATGAGGTCTCTCATGCAATATATGTAGTAATGATGCGTTCATCTAGCTACATTTGTTGAGTGCTTCCCATCCTAAGAGTGATCATACCGGGGGCCATGAACGGAATAACCAATACAGATTAAACTCTGGTCTATTCATGGCCTAAAAAGGCGGTCAGGGCTGGATCCCTGGAGCAACAACAAAAAACCCGTGAGGGTTGGGGTTGGGACTTTAGAGCTGGCAATCTAGTCTTTACTCAATGTTCGTGAACTATCAAGTAATGATTTTCTTAAATCACAAAGGACTTTGATGTTTCTATTTGGTAATCTAAAAACTCATCATTTCATAATCTTTATCCTATTAAGGCCAATAATTTCTATTAACATAAACTTTGGATTGAGATAAATGAATCTCTATGAATTTTGTTTTCATTCATCATTATCGGATGAATTGATAGCACTTTAAATTCTTGTATCCCAGCTCAAACTAGAAAAATCCTTACCTTTATATTTTTTTTGTTTTTTTGTTCAGAATAAATTAAAAATGCTTATCTGATTTATTCGATAACACTTTAAATCTAAAAGTATTTTCTAAACAAAAAGAATAAATAATTAAGATAACTTTAATATCTATAAAATCAAGATCTTATTTGTTTATATACTCCAATCTTAAAAATTTTTCTTTGTTCTTAAGGACAAAGGAATTGCATGAATAGCCTAGAAGATCATAAGAATATATTCTAACACAAATATCTGATCCTTTCATCGTGTGATGCTACTGAATCATTAAAATTGAAAGCACTCTTGAAATCAATTATGATGATTGAAAGGATTTCTAAAATGGTGGATAAGAGATTTCTTAAACTTAATTAAAATCATAAGAATTAATTGGAGCGCTTTTAGGAGGATAAAAGGAGAGAAAATGAATTGATATATGTAGAAATTTTTGGAGCATCTATTTAAGATTCCATAGATTTTAATTTAATCTAAAAAAGATATTTCCGAAAATGAGAATGGTATCAGCAAACTTATTTTGATTCATAGTTCCAAAAACCGATAACTTTTAGTTAGGATGATACTTTCTGTGAAAAAAAAAGGATAATATTTCTTGAATAAATTTTATACTAAAAATAAAACTTACTTTGAATGATTATTTGAAAACAGAAAAATGTCTTGGATAAAAGTGTAAAATTTTAGCTTTTCTTTTTTTTTGAGTTTCATCTCCACTAAGATCAGAATCTACTCTGTTAAATATTGGTTTTTATTTTGATTTTTTGACTAATTCAAAATAAAAGAAGAAAGAAAAAGAAATGAAGATGCCTTGAAATAGTAAAATTGGTTATTCATTTAATTGTAAATTTGAATTATCCACTTCATATTCTTTAAAACAAGTTGATGTGAAATTTTATTAAAAAATTGAATCGTTGAGGAATTTGATTAAAAAATTTTTCCTAATTTTTGACATTTACAAGAGACTTAAACAGTTTGATTATCAATTTCCTCAGTTAAGAAATCACATTTATAAAATTATCCATCTTAATGGATATTAACACAATCAGTATGGAGTTTTAAACATATCGATCATGTATTATTTAATTGTATCTTCATATTCTATATAACGATCCTTATAAAGATGATACTATAGATTGGTTTTCTTGTATTTATATTCATCAATTTCAAGGGTAGTAAAATTAAAGAATGTTTGCAATTTTGTTTATAATTCTTGAGATGGATTAAAGTAGTTGTAATTTAATTCTATTTATTCCTTTTATACAAGATCAATCAAACCATCTAATAAATCTCTATCAATATCGAATTAGTTATTTAAAATAACTTTAGTAATTTTTGATAATTACCATTTTAGAATTTATCCATTAACAATTAATTGAGGACCATTTACTTTTGCTTTTACATTCACAAGCATTGCAATCTTCTCAATAAGATTTATTAATCCCTCTGCTACATTAATAATTTATTCTTCATCTTATTAAAAACTAACAATAGCCTTAGGAATCTTGAGGAAAATGACATCAATCAAAAGTTTCATAACTAATAAAGAGTCCAATATAGCATCTTTTTTCTAATAAAGTCTTTCGTCCAAGAAAACTACATCTTAATTTATCTAAACATCAAAATTAGTTGACTTTATTATCATTTTCTGAACAACACCTATAATTTATTTTAATTCTGCTTGTAAACTAGTTGGAGTGATAGTTGACTTAGTATCAGCATGTTGGATTGCGAAATAAAAATTTTTGTGGAATTCTTAAAACAACTTTCTGAATTATCATTCAATAATCTAATAGAAGTATTGGAACTATTATTATCTTGAATTAATCTTTAATATATTTTAGTTGTTTGATAAACTAATATTTGATCATCAATATTATCAGAATCCAAAAAGGTTTTGATTTTTTAAAATAACTCATAAGTCAAATTAATACAATATTTTTAATCTTAATGATTCAATAAAATTTCTAATAGTAAAGAAATTTGTTATTTAAAATTATATTAATTTATTATTATCTTAGAACAATTAAGAAAAATCTTAGTTACATTTACCTATTTCTTAATGTTTAAGTATGATCCTTTAGAATGCCATCACCTTATGGAAAATACCCTTCCAAAATATTTGCACGTTAATAACTACTCAAAATTAATGAATAATCAGATTTACTATTAAAAAAATCAATTAAATCTTAATTTATAAGAATATATCTCAATTAATATGTAAATGGAGCTGCATAAGAAAAATCACAAATTGTAATAATCTTTAAAGGTCTCAATGCTTCAACTGTTAATTCACTCAAACTCACTAAACAAGTAGGAGGTGAATTTACAATTAACTATAGGTCCGCTTAATTAGGTATAATTTCATTTGTAAACTAAGCCAAAAATTTCAAATTTATTTATTTTTTTTTTATAAATTCCTAATAATAATCAAATATTCATAATTAGTATATTCAGATTATAATATCTTTATGAGTTCAAAATTATAAATAATTTCTACTTGATATTCAAACAGATACTATCTATCTTAAAAAGGAATATTAAAAGTGAATTCCAAATTTTTATAGTTCTTGACTGGTCTCATTAAATACCCTTAACTATAAGTAACATTTAATAGTTCAAAATCATTATCTAGATAGGCAATATTTTATTTAAATTTATAAGTAAATTGATTTTTGAAGCCACTACTGTCCAACTTTAAATAGTATAAGGTTGTATTGTTTATTTTGGAATTACTTGGATACTAGTAATTTATATGCTTGAATCCTTATTCCAGTCATATTAAGTATCTAAATCTCTACATAATATATATATAAGTTTCTTTTCAATAATTCTAAATCTTTTTTTTGTCCCATTAAATTAACAAAATATAACTCCTGAGCTAATTTCAAGTGTAATATTTCTTGTAATTGAAAAGTTAAGCAAAGGATCAATCGTTGTTTATTAGAAGGTATATGCAATCCTGAACATTAAGAAACTTTGGCGTGCTATTTCTTAATAATTTACTCTTAAAGGCCTTGATTTAGAATTATTTCTATATACTAAACTAAAGATAATTAATATTGAGAATTATTTATTTAAGTAATTACAGATTCAGAACAATCTTTTTTTTCAATTAAGAATTGCAAAACAACAGTTTAAAAAGCTTAATAATAAGGTTTCGAAATCCAAAGTATAGTGGGAAATTGACCTGAATGAGTTTACAATTTAATCATTTATATTGTCTTTGAACCTACAAAATTTTGAAACTTTATATAAAGGGTAATATCGGACTGTTTTGATACAGTTTGGTATGGTATAACTAATTCTAACATTTATAAACTGGTTAATGAAGCAACAAAATTATCAAGATCTCCATTTCCATTAAATCCATCTACAGAGTATGTCCATTTTATTCCAATAAATCCTCTAAGTCCATCATTAAGTTTTGATTTCATAGATTTAATATTATAATCACAAGGATTGAGAAGATATATAGATAAATCATAAATAATTCTAGGAGATACAGGATTTATGGGATTTTTGATTTCATTGTAGATAAAAATATCTAATTGTTTTTCACATTCTTGATGACCAAAATAGTTATCATAAAAAATGATTTTATCCCCTGGAATAATCATAACTTGCTATCCTACTTTCTTAATTAATTTTGTATCATCATCTGGATCCACATAACAAATAGGATTCTTGCCAAGTAATTAGTATGTTTGAAAATCTAGTATTTTTAAGCAGATATTATCTTAAATTTATGTAGTAAAGAATGATGGATTCAATGGAAAAGCAAACTTTACAGAAATAGATAGTAAGTCATCTGAGAATCTAACATCTACTACAGCAACTTCACAAGCTTTGTTATTAATAGAAATATTAATACTAGAGCACCATGCAGTGTCAGGATGGCTCACAGAATTTTATGGTTGATCACAAGACATTTCAGGAGATAGGATCCTAATGCCATTATAACTGAGACAACCATCTAGATTACATTTTTTACATAATCCATCACAAACTTAACAAAATACATTTAATAGATCATCATAAAATCCATATGGACATCCACATCTAGGAATGTTAATTCGATCTCCTTTACAACATAGACAATTTACTGAGGAATCCTTGCATGTTTTACATTAAAAGTCATACTCTTAAATTTATTATTATTTAATATATCAACACATAGAGGCTATCCACCTTCATAATACCCATCTTAACATACACAAAGTTGGGTGGATCTTGCTTCTTTACATGATATACAATTTGAAGATGTCTTTTCACAAGTTAAACATTAATTTTCACAGGCTAAAATAAAATTGATTTGATTACATTCACAATTCTAAAAAAAATTTTCAAAAAATTCAAGTTTGCAATTACAAAAAGGAGGTGTATCTCTCGGATTGCTAAAACAAGTTAAACAATTAGTCGAAGAATTTTAACAAAACTTGCAACTTGTACTACATTTTTAACAATCCACTAAATGCCATCATCAAAATAACCATCTTTGCAAATACAATTCTGACATATGCTTTGTCGATTAGAAATTTTGGAATAAGAACAGGTTATACAATTCTCTTTAGATTAATTACATGTTTAACATTTTGGATGGCATTCTTATTATGTTTTAAAATTTATACTTTAACAATTTTCATTTTCATCTGAATAGAAACCATTAGAACAAGAACATTTATTAATAACAGATTAATCAATTCTATTTTAATTAAGATCATAACTTTTGCAATAATCTCTTCTCCCTTCACATGTAAGACATAAATAAGAACATTCTATAAAATTAATTATAACTGTGTACATTCACAAATTGATGAATTATTTTTATAATATCCATTTTAGCAAATACATTGATTTTTATTTAATAATCTGAAATGTTGTGTCTAGTTACATGATGTACATTTTGTTGAAATTATTTAACAAGTCTTACAATATAAATTGCATTATTAACACATCTCAATCCCAATATCATCATAACCATCTAAACAAATACATTAATTAGAATTATTTAAAATTCTAAAATAAGTTGATTCACATGATAAACATTTTGTAGATTAATTGATACATGTCTTACAACTTAAATAATATGCTAATGGTAATATGAAATTTTTACTTGAAAATTTATTGAGTTGAGCTTCATAATATCCATCTTTGCATGGACATCGCAAATTATCTGAATCAAAATATCTAGTAAGATTTTCACACTCTATACATTGCGTCTATGTTTTACATTGTTTACATGAAATATTACAAGCTAAATTACTATTATTATACCTTCACATTTTAGAGTAGATATATATTCAAATAGAAATCTGTTGAACAAACACATCTATTCGAGACATCCAAGCTGAGATTGTAAAAAGCATCATACATTAAACAATAATTAGGAGATACTTTACAAGTTAAAAAAGACTAATTACACTTTTTACAACTTAAAGTTATTGATTCTTTATAATATCCATCTTGGCATATACAAATATTTCCTGTTTTGAAGATTTGAATTTTATTTGCTGAACAAGATGTACAATAGTTTTCTTGATTAATACATGTCTCACAAGTTTTATTGCAAAGTAAACATTATTTATCATTTCCACTCTCATATGCGCCATCTATGCAATTACATTAATTGTTATTTAATAATCTCAATAGTTTACAAGATGTGCAGTGCCTGCATTTTAACATTTTTAACAAGTAATATCACAAACTTGGCATTAACCATTAATCTCAGCAGTTCCAGCTTTACAAGTGCAAGTTTTAGTAACATTATCCAGTATTCTCATTAATGATTAATCACATTCAGTACAATTTTTTCCAATTTATTATCAAAATAACCTGTATCACATATACATTTATTTCCTTCTAAGTGTCTTGTAGTTATACAGGTTATAAAAAAATCACTCCCCTTTGCTTTTTAAAATAATCAAAAATATTTTGTGACCACAAATTTCTAGGAGAGGTCACAACCTATATCTGAGGGGTCATACTAAGTATTGGATATATTTTTTAAATCTTACATGCACTAAGTATAAATCCAACAATCCAATTACAATAGTAAAACATATTCCAATCTTAAAACATTTAGCTGAAAAATTAAAGATAATCAAGAAAAATTTATGAATAAATCAAAGAATTAGATTTTTGTAAAAATTAAAATATTCATATAAAATAAAAATATTCTATATTATTAGAAAATCAAGTAATGCAGATATTGAAATGAATTCTCAATAGCATAATTAAGATCTACTACAATCAATTCCAAATCTACACAAAGTCCTAACTTCTATTTTACAGAAATGCCCAAGATACTTCTATCGATTTTGTAGTATATAACTTCAATTTAGAGTAATAGAAATTCAATATTAAAAATAATGAATTGCACTTATCATATCAAAAGTCCGATATCTTTGATATGTATAGCTCCTCACAAGTGCTAAAGGAAACTTTGTGTTGAATGCCAAAATGATCATGGAGTGGATGTTAAATAAATTGTTCCTATAAATAAATTTCAAGAAATGGCTATCCAGAAATTAAGAGACTCCAAGCTTGATGATACATCAGAGTTGACCAAATAGAGAATGGCTATTAACTAAATGCTGTCATTTACTGAGACACAGTTGAAGAAAATTTTGGAAGAACTATCACAATCAATAAAATAGATATATGATATGATTGAACAATAAACCAAATCATATCTCAATATCATTAGTAAGAACACAAATCTATTCGAAACTCCAGATACTGAGTTAGAGAAATTAGCACAAATATTAGAAGGAAAAACAATAAATGTTTGGAATGCTTAGAAACAATTTTATTTCAATTAGTTGGAATAAGTGAAGAATTTATGGGGCTAAGAAATCAAGTCTTTAAATGAAAAGATTAAGTAACAAATGAATGAGATTTTTTCTAAACAATTTAAAGCATATTCTACTATTCAGCCTATTTAAGAAGAAGGATAAGTTTATTAAATGAAAGAAGATCTATTTGAACTTTTAACTTAGATCCAAGATATTGATGAAACTTTCTATAAGAAGATTCTTGAAATACTTAGAAGAGAGAAAGTTTCAGACATCCTTGAATTCCTTTCGAAGGAAAACAATCAACACTTTGATGAATCCTTAATCAACAAGCAAGAAAATATAAGCGAGTTAGGAAAGAAAATAATGAAAATCATAAATGTCTTGAAAAATATTTAGGATCATAAATTTAATAAAGACGACTTTTCTTTAGAGACTTATGAGAAGGCAAGTTAAGATCTTATAAAAAAGTTATCAAAAAATTATGGGATAATAAATTTTATAAAGTTTTTAGTTCTCCTCACAAGTATTGATGTTAATTTTATTTAATGTGGATCAAATGCATTAAATTTCTTAATAAGATTGAACCTAGATATTAGGAAATAATCTTTTGAGAACATCAGGATAAAGAATACATCTTTAATTGGAGGTAATTTTGCAAGATGCAACTTAAATGGATCAAAATTTGATAATGTAGATATTAGCGGATTAAATTTAAATGGTGCTTAGATGTTTAATTGCTAATGGAAGAACATTAAAATCCATGAATTGAATAAATTGGATGGTCATAGAAGTTGTGTCCTATCAGTCTGTTTCTCACCTGATGGGTAAACATTAGCATCTGGTAGTTAAGATAACTCTATCCGTCTATGGGATGTCAAAACAGGATAATAAAAAGCTTAATTAGATGGTCATAATGATTGTATCAACTCAGTCTGTTTCTCTCCTGATGGAAATACATTAGCTTCTGGTAGTGAAGATAAGTCTATCCTTCTATTATATCAAAAACAAGTATTTTTCAGATTATAGATTTATAGAAATTTAGGTTAAAAATGCAAAATATCCTTTTTTTAACACACTTTTGCAGAAAAATTATATATATATAATTTAGATACATCTAATATTATGGTTAACCCAGACTTCAATTTTTCAAGGTTTAAGAGAGATTTTTATAAAAAACCGTTTCCTTTTAGGAGAATTATAGGAGTAAATTATAATTTCTTACAATAACACTTGATTAATTTAAAAACTAACCTATATTAACCCTTAATTTAAATCTATTTTAATATAGTTCTTGTGTCCAATATTTTTTGATAGAGTTCTATTTTATAGTTTTTTTCTTTTTTAACAATCTTGAAGCATTACTAAAATGGAAATGAATTTAGCACATTTAAAAATTACAATAATAATTATTAGTTGCATGAATGCAATAATATCTTAATTCTTTGTATACTGTTTTTTTGGTATTATTCTTATCATAACCAAGCATTTTCTATCAATTTATATTTCGAATGTGAATTGTATAAGATTTATAAAGTATATTCTACAACTAAATCTTTCAGCATTTATCATTTCTAAGTTTTCTAATCTTCTTATTTCTTGAGAGTGAATATATCTTATTCACAAAATAATATATTCTCAACTCATATTTAATTAACAGTAATAC